GTGCACACTATGTGTGTGTACTGTGTGTGTACTGTGTGTGTGTGCACTATGTGTGTGTACTGTGTGTGTACTGTGTGTGTACTATGTGTGTACACTGTGTGTGTACTGTGTGTGTGTACTGTGTGTGTGTACACTATGTGTGTGTACTGTGTGTGTGTACTGTGTGTGTGTACACTATGTGTGTGTACTGTGTGTGTACTGTGTGTGTGTGTACACTATGTGTGTGTACTGTGTGTGTACTATGTGTGTGTACTATGTGTGTACACTGTGTGTGTACTGTGTGTGTACTATGTGTGTACACTGTGTGTGTACTGTGTGTGTACTGTGTGTGTGTGTACACTATGTGTGTGTACTGTGTGTGTACTATGTGTGTGTACTATGTGTGTACACTGTGTGTGTACTGTGTGTACTGCGTGCTGATTGTGATATTCTGCTCCTTAACACGCAGTGCTTTCGCGACCAATATTATCCATAATGAAAGTTTTTAATTTCGATTCAAAGCTTTCGTTACTGCAGGGATTCATCTTCTTGGTTCTTTCGGTAAAGTCACGTAGAAAACCACACCTGATGATGATTGCTTGTGTTGCAATCGAAACGTCGTGAGAATTTTATTCTTTGATTTTTATTATTTTATTATTTCCCTTCTACGTGACTTTACCGAAAGAACCAAGAATATGAAAGCTTTAAATCGAAATATAAATGCGTCGTTAACCCCAGGAAGACTTATTTGCATTTCTGACCAGCGAAACGTCGTACACGAATTGTAAACGTGGTGGGTTTACTCTCCAACACACCAGCGGTATGCTGAAGTAGTGACTAATTGGCGCGTTGTGTTTAGTGACAACAATTACTGATTATTGGCTGTGCCGGGTGGTGGCGGGGTTTAACGACGCATTTATATTGACGCGCTCTAAACCACCCCCCAAAAACAACCCTCTATGATGGATGTCTGCTCCTGCTTCAAGCCTCCCTGCTTGTAGTGGCGCAGGGACGGTTCTAGCAACAGAATCATCACCAGCAGCAGCAGCAGCAGCTGAAGCGGTAGTGACCGCTGCTTCTGTTATTACTGCGGTTTAAGCGACCGTCTGCACGTGATGGCACTGCTGCTGCTGATGATGTTGTTGTTGATGTTGTTGTTGTTGAGTCGATTGTAATGATTATGCTGGCTATCAAAAGGAGCTTGAAAGCTCATCGGATTTCTCCGGGAAGAAATAACGACCCTGATCATTCTGTTATGATGATAATTCTGCTGTCGCTGCTGCTAATATTGTTGCTGGTGATGATGATTATGACGAATCCGCTATTGCTGCTACTGCTGATGCTAATGCTGATGTTGTTGTACGCGTGTGATTTAAATTCTCGTCCCGTCCCATCTCACCAGATCCCCCCCCCCCCGCACTACACCCCTCCCCTACCAACCCCTCAGTCTGTCAAGATTGTGAATGAATCAACCCCCGCCACCCCCCCACTCCCCCCCCCCCCACCCTCTCAAGATTGTGAATGAATCAACCCCCGCCCCCCCCCCACTCCCTCCCCCCACCCTCTCAAGATTGTGAATGAATCAACCCCCGCCACCCCCCCACTCCCCCCCCCCACCCTCTTAAGATTGTGAATGAATCAACCCCTGCCCCCCCCCCCACTCCCTCCCCCCACCCTCTTAAGATTGTGAATGAATCAACCCCCGCCACCCCCCCACTCCCCCCCCCCATCTTAAGATTGTGAATGAATCAACCCCTGCCCCCCCCCCCACTCCCTCCCCCCACCCTCTTAAGATTGTGAATGAATCAACCCCCGCCACCCCCCCCCCCACTCCCTCCCCCCACCATCTTAAGATTGTGAATGAATCAACCCCTGCCACCCCCCCCCCCCAAATCCCCCCCCACCACCTGCCCCACCCTCTTACGATTGTGAATTAATCAACCCCTGCCCCCCCCCACCACCCCCCACCCTCTTAAGATTGTGAATGAATCAACCCCTGCCCCCCCCCACCACCCCCCACCCTCTTAAGATTGTGAATGAATCAACCCCTGCCACCCCCCCACCCAACTTCCCTCCCTGCGGGGGTCTCTCTGGAGGCAATGACGCCCGTGGTGACGTAGGGGGGGGGGGCATGGCAACAGGAGAGGAGCCCCCGAGTGTCTCTCCGTATAAAGCGAGACGTGACCAGGGGGCTTGCGTGCGGCGGTGTGTGCGGCGGCGTGTGTGGTGTGTGCGGTGTGTGTGGTGTGTGCGGTGTGTGCGGTGTGGTGGTATGTGCGGTGTGTGCGGTGTGGTGGTGTGTGTGGGGTGTGCCGCGGTGTGTGCGGTGTATGTGGTGTGTGCGGCGGTGTGTGGTGTGTGTGTGGTGTGTGCGGCGGTGTGTGCGGTGTATTCGGGGCGTGTGGTGTGTGTGGTGTGTGTGGTGTGTGTGGTGTGTGTGGTGTGTGCGGCGTGTGGTGGTGTGTGTGGTGTGTGCGGTGTGTGCGGTGTGTGCGGTGTGTGTGGTGAGTGTGGTGTGTGTGGTGTGTGTGGTGTGTGCGGTGTGTGCGGTGTGTGTGGTGTGTGCGGTGTGTGCGGTGTGTGTGGTGAGTGTGGTGTGTGTGGTGAGTGTGGGTGTGCGGTGTGTGCGGTGTGTGTGGTGTGTGCGGTGTGTGCGGCGGTGTGTGGTAAGTGCGGTGAGTGTGGTGTGTGCGGTGTGTGTGGTGTGTGCGTATGTACGGAGATCACACCACACCACACGCACGCACTCACGTCTCTCGGTGTGTTCGTGTGTGTCTTTTGTGTCCTTGCCAATGTCTATCTGTATGTCTGTTAAGGCTGTACGTTGCTGATCTTTGTCAGTGTCTATCCTGTATTTGTCTATTATACGTTGGGGATCTTTCTCAATGTCTATACTGTCTCTGTGTGTGTGAATGTGAGGAGATAGAGACATCTAACAGTTACGTTTCGGGAAATTGTCCTTCATTAGCCGAACCACCGCAGCTACGTGCTATGAAGAAGGGCCATTTACCGAAACGTCGCCTATGTTGTCATTAACTTTGCTTGTGCACCATTGACAACGCAGCAGCAACAGCGTCACCAACTAATGTGTGTGTGTGTCATTGCTCGCTAGCAGCACTTGCCCCAACAGTCTGTTAAAAGGCTATACGGGGGATCCTTGTCTTTGTGTCAGTGTGTGGGCATCGTAATGCGTCACAAACCCGGCCACCCGAGTTCGATTCCCGCTCACAGCCACAACATCAGTGACGAATATCTCAACCGATGGGGTGCCTCCCCCCCTAGGTCGACTCAGCCTTAAATAAATACCTGGTGCAGTTGGTAAACATCAGCCACTGGAGAGACTAAAGCGACTGAGCGTGGTGCTGGCCACCCACGCCAGCACGTCACACTGCCCAGGGACATCGGCCATCCAGTGTTTAGCGGAAGACTTAAATAGGTCAAGGACTCGAGGCGTCGATGCGTCACAGCTGCTGCTGCTACTCCGCAGGTTGCTGTTAGCAAAGTACCTAATCAAGGCGTGGTGCGGTCACCACCACACCACGCCCGACCGCCTTCGTCTCCCCCAGCGGTGATGACGTTCATAGCAGCAGCAGCACCGCCACGTTCTCAATTTAGGCTGAGTTGACCTAAAGGCATCACGAGCTTACATTCATATTTACATTTCCACCAGAGACTATCAGTATCGTGCTTTAGAATTGAACCCAGGTCACCGACTCGTGTGTTTTTTTACAGTGTTGTTGTTGATGTTGTGTTGTTGTTTGTGCTATATCTGGCAACTGACAGCAACATGCCAAGCTGCCCACGGTATGTTGCTGTCAAAGGTCGTATTGATTGGCCTGGGCGCCTCGTGCTCACACCGACACAGACGCGGGCTCGCAAAGCAAGACGCCGCGCACATGTGTACAAGGCATGTGTCTGTGCGCGTGTATCGCTAAGGGAGCGGTGGCGCAGTGGTTAGTGCACTGCACTACCCACCCGGCCACCCGAGTTCGATTCCCGCTCACGGCCAACACCAGTGACGCTTATCTGAACCGGTTTTTGGCCTCCCCTAGGTCGACTCAGCCTTATATGAGTACCTGGTGCGCTGTGTAAACATCGCCGCTGGGGATACGAAGGCGACCTGGCGCTGTATTGGCCACCCAACTCCTTAGTGTACCATGTTGGCCTTTATAGGTTATCGTTGACCGCACTTGCCCCAATAGTCTGTTAAAGGCTATACGGGGGATCTTTCTATTAATGTGGATTCGTCAGTGTGTGTGTGTGTGATCGTGTGGACACGTTTTTATGCCGCCGTGTCAGTGTGTGTTGATGACTTGTTGTATATGTAGGTGTCATGGAGTGTGTGTCGATATGTACGTCTTTGTTGTGTATGGGTCAGTGGTTGGCTAGGTTGTGTTTATGCCATTGTGTGAGTCTTACAAATTTAACACGTAGGCTTTCGCGAACAATATCATCCATAATAAGAGGGTTTTTTGGGTTAGATCGCGTAAATATATAAATGTGTCGTTAAAACCCGCCACCACCCGACACGGCCAACTAGTAAGGGTTGTCACGGAAACAGAACGTGGCCAATTCGTCACCAGTACAGCAACACCGGTGTGTTGGAGAGCCAAGCCGCAACATTTACAATTAGAGTACGACGTTTCTGTTGACGTGACAACCCTTACTAGTTGGTTATGTTGGGTGGTGGCGGGTTTTAACGACACATTTCTAACCCCCCCCCCCCCCCCAAAAAACCCTCTATTATGGACGAGTCTTGCCAGTCTGTGCCATTGTCAGTGTGTTGGTGTGTCTGCGCAATTTCGTGCGTGCGTGTGTATATCTATCCACGCTATGCATAAGCGTGTGTGTCATTATTGAAGGTTCTCGCGCTGTGCAGAGTCAACACGGCGTCTGGACCCGTCCCTGTCTCTCCCCAGCTTTACAAGAGTAGCGCGTGCGGCGCGGTGCAGATCAGCGCCGGGAAGACAAAGACGGCCGGGCGTGATGATGACCATACCGCCGCTCCTTGCGTGGCATTTCGACCATATTAGGTGCTCGCTGACACCACTGACCTCGCTCTCGCAAGTCTGTGCTGACGGCAATGCCCGGCGTGCCTGGGACACGCGCACCGCGTTCAGCACCACGGACAGCTCCGCGCTGTTGGTCCGCGACCTGCGATCTCTGTCTTAACCAGCGGTGATACAATTCCACGTTATTATGACTGGGGTCCACTTATATTTTAAATGTCATACCACAACAACAACAACAACGACGATCAGTCGTGACGTTACAAGAGAGCGTTGTAACACAGCCTGCGCCGGGACACTGCTCGTTTGACAAATGCGAAATTACGATAATGATGATGATGTTGGTGATGATGTTGGTGATGATGATGGGGATTTTGATCACGGGTGATGGGGCTTGCATGGACCTTCTCTGTACACGCTTGCGTGCCATGTAGCGGGTGTTCTCGGGATATCCCGATTCCTGCCATAGAAATGTGGAATTTCCACCACTCGACCCGTTTTTTTTAATCTTCCTTTTGTCGCATCATTTGCCTTTCGGCCCCATGTCTCCCTTGCAAAGGAGACCGCGGGCTGGAATCGCTGAACCTGATTTATCATTCTTGCGCTCTCTCTCTCTCTCACCTCTCGGTCTATGGGTGGCGCGATTCACACATAACCCCGTGCCCTGCCGCATCCCTAACTCCTTCACCTCCCCCACTCTACAATCACAGCTCACGTCCCCCCCACCATACCCACCCCCGTAGCGGCCCTCTCCACGTAGCAGCGGCTCTCTCGTCATTCCTCGCTCCCTCCCCACCTCTACCCGCCCGCCCCTCCCACCCACTCCTCGTGCAGCATCAACATCCCCACGTGCGGCTCCCACTATAAAAGCTCGGCCGAGCGCGCGAGCCCGGAGCAAGGAGCTGCCTCATCGATATCGAGACAGCAGGACGCGAGACCCCCACCCCCCCTCCAATGCGTAGACCGCGGGTCCCTCCCAGGTCCCCCTCGCTCAACGCGGCCTCCCACGAACTTCAACTTCGCGCAACCGCCTCCACCCACTACCCGATAATACCACAACCTCCACCACTAACTACCTAATAATACCACCACCATCTCCACCCACAACCTAATAATACCACCACCATCTCCACCCACAACCTAATAATACCACCACCATCTCCACCCACAACCTAATAATAACACCACCATCTCCACCCACAACCTAATAATACCACAGCCTCCACCACTAACTACCTAATAATACCACAGCCTCCACCCACTACCTAATAATACCACAGCCATCCCCACCCACTACCTCATAATACCACAACCATCTCCACCACCCACTACCTAATAATACCACCAACATCTCCTCCTCCACCCACTACCTCATAATAGCACCACCACCCACACCTTGAATTATACAACCACCACCTACCAGCCCATGATACCACCACCAACTCCCGAATACCACCGCCCCGACTACCTTCAATCATAACACCACCACAGCTCCAACCACCATCTGCCCACACTCTAACTCCCGCCACCACCACCAACAACCATCGCCGCCGCCGTCTCCATCGCCAGGTTCTCCTCGTTGCTGGAGACCTGGGCACCCCGCGCAGCAGTCCCCATGGCCCGATCTCCCCCGGATGCCCTCACCGTGCCCACGGCCGTCCAAGCGCAGCCGGGAGGAGGGAACTCACCGCGGCAGTCAGAGCCGCCTCCAGTTAGGCAGCACCACCACCAGCACCACCAGCAGCAGCAGCAGCCTCGTTCCACCAAAGGCGCGTCGAAGGCTCGCAGGGATCTGATCAACGCCGAGATTCGGAGGATCCGTGAGCTGCTGCCGCTGAGTGATGCGGACAAAGCTCGACTCTCGTACCTGCACGTCATGGCGCTGGCGTGCGTGTACACGCGGAGGGGACTCGCCTTCCCTGCGGGTGAGTGTGCGGGGTGAGTGTGTGGGGTGAGTTTGCGTGGCGAGCAAGTGAGTGTGAGCGGAGTGTGGTGCGAGTGCAGTGGCGCAGTGCCACGGACACGCTCGGCGACCTGAGATCGATTCCCGTCCACGGCCATCATTGACCGAGTACTCGGTGCGGTGTGTAAACATCGCCATTAGGGAGACAAAGACGTCCGGGCAAGGTGTTGGGTCATCCATCCCCTCGTGTGCCGTGCCGGCCTTCAGAGGTGCTCGCAAACAGCACTTGCTCCAACAGTCTGTTAAGGCTATACGGGGGATCTTTGTATTTGTTCGTGTGTAAATGACAATTTGTGGGGTGCGTGTGTTGGTAGGTGAGGTTTGAGCACGAGTGTGAGGAGCGGTGGCGCTGTGGTTAGCGCGCTTCACTCCAAATTCGGCATCCAAAGTTCGATTCCCGCTCACGACCAAATAACGAGTGGCGAATATTTTAACCGCTGATGAGCCTCCCCAAGGTCGACTCAGCTTTAAATTAATACCTGCTTCAGTGTGGTAAACGTGAGCCCTGGGGAGACAAAGGCGGCCGGGCTCGGTGATTGAGACGTCACCCCTCGTGTGCTGTTTCAGCCTTAAATAGGTGCTCGCTATCAGCACTGGCCCCAACAATATATGCAGGCTATACGATGAATCTTCGTATATCGTTCGCTAAGCGAACATGTAATGTAGAATACGCCTGTAACCATGGCCCGGGTGCTTCAGTGGGCACGTGCTGGCGATGTGAGAGTCACTCAACAAGCCAGCCGAGCTGGGCACATGAGTTCGAATCCGTGTTTCGGTCACCCGCGATGAGACCGAGTCGGCAGGCCTCCACTGCCAGGGCGACGAGCCAGGCAAGGGGCACGTGGCCACGCTTGTTGAAGTGGCACGGTGCTCTCGCCTGCCGAATGTAATTACACCCGACTGGAAATTCCACATTCCTAGGTCGAGGGCCATATCTAGCCAGTTGTGGTCTTCAAATGAAAAGTGATGGACACTAAAATGATCGGCCACAGAAGATGAATGGTAGTGGTGATTATGATGCTGCTGAGGATGTCAGTGTTGGTGATTTTGATTATCATGATTACGATTATCGTGATGCCGATGTTCATGGTGGTGGTAATGACGACGATGATGATAACGATAAACTCAATTGCTGTTCACTTTAATCAGCCAGACTCGGCTGCCTTTTCAATGCACATTTCAATGAATATTTATCAACGTGCTGCTATTCTCCCCCACCCATTCCCTCTATCCCATGCCTCCCCCCTGGCTGACGGAGAAGGCTGTAGCGCAGAAGGATCGAGGCGAGTTGGAGGAGGAGATGGAGGAGAAGACTCTACATGGGGGGAAGTGGCTGCGGGATGGAGCCACTCGCTGCCCGGCTTCGTGCTCGTGATGACCCGGGAGGCTCGCCTCGTGTACCTCTCGGACAACGTCAGCGACGTGCTGGGATACTCCATGGTGAGGCGTCGCGTCTCTTCACTGCAGGAGCCATCATCATCATCATCGTCGCATTCACCATCGCCAGATCGAACACGAGTTATCATCATCATGTCTATGGGATACCATTTTGCCAGTATCAAAGTGATGGAAAAAAATAATAGGTGTTTTACCCTTTCTAGCAATGAAACAGGTGTTACGATGTTCAAACACCAAATAGAAACCTTTTGCGAGGTGTCTATTTGTACTGTTCGCCCGTCGGCGTTCTCTGGCCTAGCACCCGTGAGAGAGACTGGGTCGTAACGAAGGCTGCCGTCTCTGGTGTAGACCAATCGGTTTCAAAGACAATGCAAGGACATTGTTATCGGGGCATGTTTCTTTGCATGTTTTGCCACAAGTATGTGTGGTTAATGCAGACTTGATGCCTTCCAAAAGGGTTCTATTTGGTGTTAGTATCATCGTCAGCACTATCGACATTATTTTCATGAGCGGCATAAGTCATCGTCATCACCATCACCAGCATAATGGTCACCACACCTGACCCACGTGACCCATGCGACCCACGTGACCCACGTGACCCACGCGACCCTTGTGACCCTTGTGACCCATGCGACCCACGTGACCCTTGCGACCCACGTGACCCACGTGACCCATGCGACCCATGCGACCCACGTGACCCTTGCGACCCACGTGACCCACGCGACCCTTGTGACCCATGTGACCCACGTGACCCATGCGACCCATGCGACCCACGTGACCCTTGCGACCCACGTGACCCACGCGACCCTTGTGACCCTTGCGACCCACGTGACCCTTGCGACCCATGTGACCTATGTGACCCTTGTGACCCACGTGACCCACGTGAACCCTTGTGACCCACGTGACCCATGTGACCCACGTGACCCACGTGACCTGTGGATCGGTGGAGCGAGATGCTGACCGTCGCGGCTGCTGTAACCCGTCCAGGTGGACCTGGTCGCACAGGGGGACAGCTTCTACGACATCGTCGACGAGGAGGACCGGGCGCAGGTGCAGTCCAAGCTGCAGGGGCACGGCGAGTGCACAGGTGAGAGGGCGACCATCATCATCATCGTCATCGTCGTCGTCATCATCATCATCAATGCTATAAACTTCATCCTCATGATCAGTGCCATCAATCATCTCGAGTACCAACTTCAAAACCGCCGCCACGATCATCACGACCAAACAAAGACAAAGTTTCCCCCCGATAGCCTTATCAGACTGTTGGGGCAAGTGCTGTTAGACAGCACGGTCGGTGGCCATCAAAACGCCCGACCGCTTTTGTCTCCCCAGTTGGTGTTGTTTACAACACACCGCACCAAGCACTCATTTGACGGCTGAGTCGACCTAGGGGAGGAAGCCCAGGAGCGGTTCAGATAATATAATCGTCACCAGTGTTGTTGGCCGCGAGCGGGAACAGTGAACTCTGGCCCTCCGGGTTCGTAAGCGCAGATAGCGCTAACCGCTGCGCCGCCGCTCCCTCGCCCTCCCCCGCCCGCAGAGGTCTCCTTCGTGTGCCGCGTGAGCACGGCGCGAGCGCTGCGCCGGCAGGGCTCCAACCGCGCGCTCGCCGTGCGCTCGCGCGCGGCCCCCGCGCCGCCGGGCTGCGCGTGGCAGCAGCAGCAGCGGCGGCAGCTCCTGTGGCTGCTGTGCTGCCCGGCCGAGGACGTCAATGCCGCCGGATCCCAGCTGCGAAGTCGCCTCGCCGCCGCATCCTCCTCGTCGTCTCCCCACGGCCACCAGCAGCAGCAGCTACAGCCGCAGCTGCAGCAGCAGCAGCGGTGGCAGGAGAACGGCTTCGCGTCCAAGCACTCCCGAGACATGCGCTGGATCTCCGCCGAGCGCAGGTGAGAGAGGAGGAGACGGAGGGACACACACTCTGGAGATTCCTCACCGATCGTCGTCTCCCTTTGCCGAGCTCCTTCGACAAATAACCTTCGCTCAATCCAACAAACGTGCTGCTGCTGTTGTTGTTGTTGTTGAAAAACTCCTTGACGATTACAATCGTAGACGTCGGTGCCGTTGTTTGCTGGCCGTTTGACGTGTTGGGCCTTGGGGTCCTGTGCTAAGCAACTGTGTTCAAATTTTAAATAAATAAATAAATATTGCTTATACAGGATGTCCCCAGGACAGGTAGGATTATTATATTTAGTTTAATCGTCACCAGTCATTATAAATATTATATTTATTTTAACAAATTATCAAACTGACTACCATTAACAATAATGCATGCATGGGTTCACTTTTGAAACTAATTGAGGACTTTTTTTATATTTTAACATTCATCAATTCTGTATTTGTCTGCATTCATTCGGAGTTCTTGGTCGAGTTTTGCAAATGTCATCTGAAAAGAAAGAAGAGAAAATAGATGTTGATAATGCGAATAGATGAAACATTAACTTAAAGAACGAACAATTAACATGTTTCAATGCCAATGTTAAAATTAATTAAACAACCCTATCTGTCCTGGCTTTCGGACCATCCGGTATACACTCAAACGTCCACAAATACACACCGCGACACACGCACCCTGGCGTGGTGTGTAACCTGGCGTGGTGTGGCTCTGTCGCAGCGTGGTGTACCATCTGGAGTACGAGGCTCAGGAGCTCACGGGGAAGTCGTGGTACCAGCTCCTGCACCCAGAGGACGTGGGCCACGCCACCTCCCAGCACAGCATTTTGGGTGAGCCCTCCACGGTCACCACACGGAGAGATTGGGACTCGTCACAACAGCGGTGACCAACCGGGCACTGTGTCTCACTATCAAAACAGGGCTCTGTCCTGGTGTTGAGGCTGTGGGTCAGTGCTGAGGTGGTGGGTCAGTGTTGAGACTTTGGATCAGTGTAGAGGCTGTGAGTCGGTGTTAAAGCTGGGTCAGTTTTGAGGCTGTGGTTCAGTGTTGAAGTTGTGGTTCAGTGTTGACATTGTGGGTCAGTGTTGAGGCTTTGGGTCAGTGTTGAGGCTGTGGGTCAGTGTTGAGGCTGTGGGTCAGTGTTGATGCTGTGGGTCAGTGTTGAGACTGTGGGTCACTGTTGAGACTGTGGGTCAGTGTTGAGGCTGTGGGTCAGTGTTGAGGCTGTGGGTCAGTGTTGAGGCTGTGGGTCAGTGCTGAGGTGGTGGGTCAGTGCTGATGCTGTGGGTCAATGTTGAGGCTGTGGGTCAGTGTTGAGGCTGTATGTCAGTGTTGAGGCTGTGGGTCAGTGTTGAGGCTGTGGGTCAGTGTTGAGGCTGTGGGTCAGTGTTGAGGCTGTGGGTCAGTGTTGAGGCAGTGGGTCAGTGTTGAGGCTGTGGGTCAGTGTTGAGGCTGTGGGTCAGTGTTGAGGCAGTGGGTCAGTGTTGAGGATGTGGGTCAGTGTTGAGACTGTGGGTCAGTGTTGAGGCTGTGGGTCAGTGTTGAGGCTGTGGGTCAGTGTTGAGGCTGTATGTCAGTGTTGAGGCTGTATGTCAGTGTTGAGGCTGTGGGTCAGTGTTGAGGCTGTGGGTCAGTGTTGAGGCTGTGGGTCAGTGTTGAGGCTGTGGGTCAGTGTTGAGGCAGTGGGTCAGTGTTGAGGCTGTGGGTCAGTGTTGAGGCTGTGGGTCGGTGTTACGGTTAAGCTGCCAGTGGCATGAGCCACGTCTGATTTATTGACCTATTTAACTCTGGGATTGTGCGCTTCCTCTCGTTCAGTTCAGAGCCGCGACTCGTGCGAGGTGCGGATGATCGTTCGGCTGCAGCGGAAGAGCGGGGATTGCAGCTGGGTCCTGGCGACAGCTCAGCTGCAAGACGACGTCATATTTTGCGACAACCTCATGATCAGGTGAGAGCTGCTCATCATCAAACCGCGGTCATCTTGATCTCTGCCACGCCGATATCCATTCCGACTTCCTCCGAGTCAAAGGCGGGGAACATTTTGATCACCGAGAGCCAAATAGGACTTTGAATGTAACCTGTGGCGAGCAAAGCAGGCATTTGCACAAGACAAAGGCACACACGCACACGCGCACACGCTCTCGCACACACACAAAGATCCCCCGTAAAGGCTTAACAGACTGTTGGGCCAAGTGCTGAAGTGCTGTTCGCGAGCACCTATGAAGGCCGGCACAATACACAAAGGGGTGGGTGGACAATGTTTACACACCACACCAGCTGCGGATAAAGCGTAGTTTGTCGGGCGTTTATGAAGTGGCGGGCCTTGCGTGGCCATGGGCTGCGTGGGCCGTGGGCCCTATGCGGCCCCGCGGGCCATCGACGCGACTGACAGCGCCTCCCGCCCCTGCGCGCCCTCCTCCTCCTCTTGCAGCGAGGCGGAGGCCACGAACCTCCGTGGCGCCGTCGGCCTGGCCCCGCGTCCCGTCGCGTCGGGCCCATTCCACGGCGGCTTCGGGCCGTCGGCGGACGCTTTGGAAGAGCCGCCGATTGACCCCGCGGACGTCGACGCGGCGGCTCCGCTGTTGGAGCCCCTGGCGGACGCGCTGGCGGACACGCTGGTGGACGCGCTGGTGGACACCCTGTCGGAGACCATGGCGGAGACGTTGGCGGAGACGTTGGCGGAGACGATGGCGGAACCGCTGAGCGTGCAGCTCATGGGGCACCAGGTCGAGGCGTCGTCCGCCGTTTCCACCGCGGCGTCGCTGCTGCTCATGCCCTCCCCGGTTCCTCATCAGACCGCGGCGCCCTGCACGGCCGCCGCCGCCCCCTCCTCTTCTTCCTCCTCCTCCTCGCCCCCCTATGTCGCCGAGATCCTGCGCACCCTGGAGGTCGGCCTGCCCGGCTGCAGGAAGCGCAAGCGGTCCGAGGACATCGCGAACCCCGCGCAGACGGCAGCGCACCACCCCGAGATGGGGCTCTACTGTCCGCCCCAGCCCCTGCAGAAGCTTCATCGTCCTCAACTTCATCACCATCACCACCAGCAGCAGCAGCAGCAGCATCAGTTCCAGACCCCAGTGTGGAGCGAGCGAATGTTGGCAAGCGCGAAGCATCAGCCCGAGTCGTCGCCGGGCGGGCTGCAGTGCACGCCGCCCTACACCCCAGAGAAGGCCTCCACCTTCCTGTTCAACCCGTGCGACGTGGCCGCCCGCCAGCAGACCTTCGTGCCGCCCTCGCCGAGCCCCGGCGTGTACGATCAGCTGCCCCCCACGCCCGACAGCCCCTTGACCTCCGCCGCGGCCTCGCGCCGCTCCCTGCCGCCCATCGGCACCTTCGGGGGCGGGCGGCGAGCGCCGGGCGCGCCGCACGCCGCCCGCGGCCCCCACGCGTATTCCGAGGCGGAGAGGGAGCACATCAACGTGCTCGCGCGGCAGATCAGCACGCTGGCCGAGACCTTCGACTCGTACATGCGCAGCGGCGGCGGCAGAGGGACTCAGAGGCAGGAGGGCGAGGAGCTGAAAGCGTCGCACACGAGGCTCTTCCTGTCAGGCCGCAGCTCCTCTCTCCCCGAGACTCGCTCCGGGTGGCTGGAGGCGCAGGCCGACTGCTCCGGGGAGCTCGCCGGAGTCGGCGCAGGCGGCAGCGGCGGCGCGCCCGCCTCGCTGCTGCTGCCGCCGCCGCCGCCTTGCAAGCGTTGGAGGAGTCTGGACTTCTCGATCGTTCCCGAGCTGGAAGAGGGCCCCTCGTCGTCATCCGTCGACCGAGAGGTCGTGTTCGACACTCTGCTCAAGGACATCGTGGACCTACAGGAGAATGAAGCGGCGGCGGTGGAGGAGGGGGTCGCGGGAATCATGTCAGCAGGAGGAGAAGACGGAGGAGGAGGAGGCAGAGGAGGTGGAGGAGGAGGCGGAGGAGGGGAGGGCTTGGGTGAGCCGTGCCTTGTCGCGGAGCCCCAGGCTGCTGCCGCGAGCTCCCCATGTTTTGGGCTTCGTGCGTCTGAGTTGTATCAACTCGCCGAGGGCAGCTCGCCGCACCACGCGCCAGGTGAGCCACTCGTCGGGTCGCGAGGATTCTGGGAAACGTTCAGAGCGGGAGGGGGGTGGGGGTTCTTTGATTGGTTGTCATTCGAGGGCTGTTTCGCAAAAGAGTTCGCGACACACATTGGCGGATGTTACCGTCATAGTGACATCGCACGCTCTATTTAGGGCCCAAGACCTGGAGGACATTTTCACAATTCTGGCAACTGCCTGATGATGCTGATTGTAACTTAACCAGTGAAACGTCCGCACCCAATTGTTGAATGTTGTGACGATGCTCACCAACAACAGCACTACCGGTGGTGCTGATGCAGAATCTAAATATTTGTGCTGGAGGAATCCGATGAGCTATAAAGCTCTTTTTTCACAGATGTCCAGTAGGGGCGGGTCAGAATGTTACAACAACAACAAACAGTACAACACCACGATAGGGGAGCAAAGTGTAGGCAAGGTAAACAAATAACTTTTAAAAAATATTAAAATAAAACTAAACCATTTTTGATCTTACCAGGGAAAGCACACGGAGCTATTCGCTTAATTTGTTGTTCACGTGACAACTTTATTAATTGGCCGTGTCGGGTGGAGGAGGGCTTTACGATACGCATTCTACTCGCGCGTTACGAATCCTACTTTTAATCCGATGGGTCAAAATGTCCCACAACCAAAGAACCGGGGGGGGGGGGGGGGGGAACGTGAGGTCGCGAACAGCGACGGCGATTCAGCAGGATCCGCCGACACATAAAAACTGTGGACTCAAGTGGTAACGTCCGCGTGCTTCGATGCATTTAGCGCAGACGTGCGGCAAAGAAAAAGAAAACTCGACAAACACCGAGACGAGTTCAGTCCACATTCGTCCGCCGTAGAGGTCGATCGGTATGTGCGTGATGTCACGTGTCGGTGCTGTTGTTACCTCTTAAAAGGTCTTCTGTTTTAGACAATAATACTGACAATACTAATTTTTTCCTGTGTTTTTTTGTCTTTATCATTGCAGGTGGAAGCCCAAAGGAACGACCATTCTGAAATAAGTCTCTTGACTTACAGGCTGTGGAGTATGGCATATTGCCATGGACGAGCAGACACCGGTTTTATCCCTGTGCCCTGGAAACAGTAGTTTCTGGTTAGGGAAATAGGGACCTGTCTGTATGTACGTGTATGTGTGTGTTGCGTCTTTGTGTACATTGCGAGCTGTGTGTGCCGTGGTTGTGTTTTCATAGGCTGCGTACGCGCGGGCAAGCGACGTTAGTGAACACCCATTTAGAGGTTGCCAGCACCGTTCACGCCCGGCCGCCTTTGTCTCCCCGGTGTTGAAGTTTTACACGCCGTCGCTTCAAGTACCCGGTTAAGGCTGAAGTCGATTTAACAGAGGCCCAGGGGTGAGTCCAAGACGCTGCTTGCCCACTGGTGTCAGCCGTGGCTGGGGAATGAGCCCAGCTCCTGGGATCGCAGTGCGGATTAGAAAACCGCTGCGGCGTAATTCTCTCCGACGAACCGGGGAATCTTTGTCTTAATCGGTGATCGCTGTCGGCCATTACATCCCCTACTATGCAGTACAAGACTAAACGGGGAACATATTGTGTGTGTGTGTGTGAGACCGTTTGTCTTTATCGTCTGTGTGCAAGTTCTACTGCAAAAAAGACCACACTTACACGAAGCGGGTTGTGTCAATATGTGCAGTATGTACATAGTAATTGACACCGTTTGTCAGTCCACTGCTGGATGAAAGTACGTAAGACGTATGTATATATGAGATACCCTGATTATTGTGACCGCATACGTACGCACGCACACACGTGCCCCAACACGCTGGATTCGTTTGGCACTCGATTGAGAGGCCGGTCGATACGTGGCGGATGCGCGCTGCAAACGGAACCGTGCGATTTGTGCACGTGTATAGAACTCTTCGGTCAACCGAATTTAATGCTTAACTTTTTAATATATATGCATAAACGTATATATATAGAAACGCATTAACAAATGGTATTGAAATATTTTCAAGGATTTATTTCTTTTAAAAACTAAAAAAAATCCCGCGCTTAAAGAGATGCTGTTGCGTGGCGTCGTCGACGCTGAAACCTCGGAGGGGGTCGGTCGCTATCGGATAGCGGTCGTCGTCGTCTCTCTCCGCTGTTCGGGGAGTGGTGGTGGTGGCAGCGGTGGTGGTGGTGGTGGCTGGTTCACACGCTCGCACACGCCGCTCGCCTACTGGACGTCTGTGAACAAAAAGAGCTTCACAGCTTATCGGATTCCTCCAGTTGAAATCAACTTTCCGATTCGTCCTGCTTCGGGGGTTAGAACGGAACGGGCCTCTGCCCCGGGTAGCGCCGCACCACTCGAGCCGTTTGTAAAAATTATAATCCTGATACGAAGGTCAACTCGGCATCCTATCTTATCATCATGATCATCAAACACATTGGCCTTAGCGCATCAATTACGCGATATGTAGCAAGGGCCATGGCCCGAAATGTCTCAGATTATATATTGTCTTTTAAGGCCACACAGTGTTGTTGTTGACACGGAATGTGTCCATGGGTTTTTGTTGTTTGTGCACCACTGCCAACTCAGCAGCAGCAGCACCACCAAGTAATTTGTTTACTCATCCTTACAGGATTGATAACATTGACACCGCTCTGTGCGCGCGTGTGAAGTTAACACTTGGACTGGTGAGACTGGACCTCCCCCTCGCCGTGGCAATGTGGGATCTCCAAATGTTTCCATGGCAGTGCGTATAGTTTGAAGTGTTCAAAACATTTGAACCGCTTTCGATTGTGTTGGCCGATTGACACATTCATTCGTACGCCATTCGGTTACAATGAAACGCAAGTCCGCGAGCGAGGGCTTCGAGGCGAGTCTTCACGTCGCGTCACTGTGGGGTGACCAAGGGCTTCGTCGCGTACAAATGAAGTTGGGTGAACCTCGCGCAATTTCACGACCCCACGTGGGCTGGCCAGCCGGCGGCCGCTGTTGAGCCCCATAGGCCACATTTGCCAGCGGTCGCTCGTTTGTGCACTCGAGTGGAAACATTTTGTAGACAGCCATTAGGGGGGATGAGGTGAATTCCAACTTCGTGAAGAAGACGAACTCGATGGCCGTGCATCGACCCAATAAGCGAAACTCACAACTTGCCTCTGTGTTAAATAGTTCTTCGTGATAAGATATATTTTTTGTAAAAATGTAAACGTATACCCAAAAAGACAAATACGGACTGTCGAATATTTTTTTGGTGACGAATTTTCGTGGATATCGTATATTTATTTGTATTGCCACATGGTGACGGATCGAAATAAACATTATATATTATGAACAAGCGCGCGTGACGCAAGACTGCTCGTCTTTATTGTCGGTGTTCCATCGCATTTCGAGAGCAACGGGATGCTAACCATATCCCAAAGAGCCCAAATGCAGCCAAATCGCCTAATTTAGGCCATGCTTACACAACCCCCTAGCATCCGGGTCTTGGAGAGGCCCCGAAACCTTTTTCCACTGCACAACCAAGCCACGCCGACGCCACGCCGACGTGGCTCATGAGAGGCCAGGTCGCTATTCCGCTGCAGGAGTCGGAGTCGCACTGCCGACGTCGCACGCGGCAAACGAGCGCCGATGGGTGCAGACGATTGCAGCGGTGCCACGTCCTCGCCACATACCCACTGGCCCCACGAGCAATGAATGCGGTGTTAGCCCCACCCCTGATCATGCTCGGCACCCTCCCCCCCCCCAGTCAGATTTAGCTTGTATATCACGGCTTGGTTCAGGTTCGGCACGGCAAATGGACGGCGGGAAACCACCCCTGTAGCGCGCAAGAGCCCTGCACGAGCGCGGCGTGCATGTGGCCAGTGGGAACGGGGCAGGAGGCGCCACCACCTGCTTCGTTGTCCCATCAGGCCACGCCTGCAGCCGCCCAAGAATCTCTCTTGAAGGGCATCGCCTATATGTCCAGGTCCACACATTCATCAATAACACTGTGGGCCCTATATAATCATAAATAAGGTGACGTTTCCGGCAATGGCCCTTCCTTCACGGTGTTATTTGACGAATGCGTCTAGTTTTGTTGTTGTTGTTAACTGCGGTTGTGCACCCGTGCCAACCCAGCAGCAGCAGCTTTACCAAATAATGTTTTTTGTTTCCGGACGGACGCGGTTTTGTGGCACGCGCTACCCAAGCGCGGCAGAGCATTGGGTGATGGTGGCTGGAGGAGGAAGACACCGGTGGTTAGAGTAAATACCAGGGCCGCCAAAGAAAAGCCTCCGTGCCGCCCTTGTCCCACCGTTAGGTTCTGGCATCTTGAGGTGGCAGTCGTTATTTAGACGAAAATCAAACATCAAAATGTGACTCTTTCACAACGGCACAAAATCGGACGGAAAATAACACGTTAAAGTAGTTTATTGCTGACAAAATACAGCAATCCCACTATCAACGAAATGCAAATCAGTTACCACCATTCTTAAAACACATGCGAGAGTTGCGGCAAAAAAGAGCAACGACTGTGATACTCTTCTGACCGTTCGTGTGAGAATATACGTTGGACGTCACACTTTTTATTGTGTTTTTGAGGTCACTGCATTCGTGTTAGCTAGCCTAGCTTAAATACGCCGCCGGAATCGCCGATGTGGATGTCTCTCAACGTCGAGATCACGGAACGGCGGAGGCCGACTCCCCTAATCATCGGCTCGCACTGCGACCCGCGTGGAACAGAATTCGCACGCACGGCGGTGCCGCGGCTGGCGGCACCACCTTGCAACGGAAAAACATTTGAATTGCGTCGGTTCCGCGGTAGAGGTCGCGACTCACAACGGGAAGAGGTCACAAGGTCAAATTCTGTGATCTGGGATCAATTCGGCCTTATTGCCAATGCACCTCTGGGGGTTGAAATAATACATACCAAATTAATTGAACTAATTTTTATTTTACTCGGTAAGGCCCACTGAGCTATGTAGCTCTTTTGCAGGAGCGACCTGGCCACAGATGATAGGCTCAACTAAGTGGCTTATCAAGTGGAAATTTATAGCAGCCAAACACTCTAAACATGTTGATTCTAAATGTGGAGGGAAAAACAGGAGGATCCGGATAAAAGAAATCCACACGGCCACGGGAAGAACATGCAAACTCCAAATATACAGCAGGTGCCAGGGTCAGAATCGAACCCACAACCTCCTGCATACCAGGTGAGGGAGTTAACATCTCCCTAGCCACCGTGGCACCCCGATTGTGGACAGCCAACAGCGCTTGTTGCGTGGCTATACGAACGCTCAACCTGAGCGTGTCTGATTGCTACCACCGGCTCCGGCCACTCCAAATGCTCACGTGACCACAAACACACCGTGACTTTACAAACCCTCTGACATTACGTACAGGAGGAAGGCCTCACCACTGAGCCTCAAGGCTTTCCTTAAAGTCTTTTGCAGCGGGATGTTCCACCAATTTTATTTTCCTTCGTCGTCGTCATCATCATCCTTCTACTTCTGAAGCCAGGTCAATAAAAAGAAATACCACCACATTGTGGGAAAACAACAGTGGTCATCCGATAAGCGGATAGTCATAGAAACGTGGAGTTACCACCGCAGACTCAAAACCACCCAAGTGCTCAAATATATTTGAGTATGGAGGCACTTTAAACTTTTTTGAAGGAAACAATTTCGTGATTAAATTACAACGTCTAATGTAAACTAAACAAACGGCAAGAATGTGACTAAAAGGGACTTGGCAATCCCAGATAACGATAGCGAGAAACAAGCTGTGAACAATCCTCAATTCTTTATAGCAGAAGGCGAGTGTCATACACATAACGGCGCGCGTGTGCACGCAGCCTGTATTGCCATTCAAACGTTCAGGCTTGGACTACGTTGAGAAATATTCGTGACGAGCAAGCCCAGCGCAATAGCTATCGATACAGGAATCCTACAGCAGGAGTTTCACCAGAGATACACATTCCCTACCACGCCCCCCTCCCCACAACCTCTCTCTTTACTGCATCGATGGTGACCCCCTCCCCACCACCTCCGCCATGTACACGCACCCCCCCCTCCCCTCAGTTGAGATGGAAACCCTTCTCGATGGTCGCCGACAGAAGCCTCTCTCGCATGATTTCCTCTGACGAATATTCGGGCAGTTTGAGGTAGTGGACGCAGGTGTTCACCGACGGGAAGCTGCCGTCCGTCGCGTCGACCTGCGCACGCAAGCACAGACGACGCACGGCTCGTGAGAAAGACGACACTCACAGGGGTGGAGAAGTGGGGGTGGGTGGCGGCTGTCCGACGGAGAGACTCGGGGCCATAGGAATGTGGAATTTCATGACTACTGGTCACGGTCGCCAATGAAGGTGGGCATCGTCCCATTTGTTCACCTGAAAAAAGGGAGGTTTAGTTAACGTCTTGCCTTTATTTGGATGAATGATGATGATCATGGTAGTCATTCCAATTAACAAATAAAACTATAAGCTAGTTTTAGTTCACCAGGTAAGGTCCACTAAGCCATATAGCTCTATTGCACAAGCGATAGTGCAACTAAGTGGCCTATCATGTGGAAGTTTATAGCAGCCAAATACCATAAACACACGATGATCATTTATATGGAGGGGAAAACCAGAGGACCCGGAGAAAAATCCACGCAACCACAGTGAAACAGACGCGCAAACTCCAAATATACAGTGGACGACCTCCTGAATACCAGGCGAGGTAGTTAACATCTCGCCACCGTGGCGCCCATGTTGTAGTAATGAATCAAAATTCTCCCTCGGAAAAGAGACCTTGTGTCTAAATAGGCCCGTCAGCTGGTAATGGATAAGCTTATGTCACCGATCGTTCGGCTGCGGTGGCTAGGAGCGTTTCACGCTCTCCATTTGGAGCGGGTGGCCTCGCGGTCAGCACGCTCGCCTCCCAGCGCAGAGGTCACCGGTTCAAATCCAACTCGAGGAAGGCAACGGGTTTTCGACTTGCGTTCACGCACAGGCCGTTTAGTTACTCCGCTGCCGGATGAGGGACAGCTAATGGCCAACGTGGGTTATTTGACCATACTTCGCCATGCTGGTCAATGAGGGTCGCAAGGGTGAGCAACACAGACGTGGAGCACATAAGCACGGCACGGCGACAGATGTTACCGCCCTCCGCTGCTCACCGCGTAGTCTCGCAGCAGCCGATAAACAACCTGGCGGGCACGGTGGTCGCCCGTCCGAGCACTATCCAGGCCCAAACCTACTTAGCTTCCCAGAGCTGACAAGATCGGCCACATTCTTGGCGATTCAATGAAAAGGCTTTAGACTTGCAATGCAAGTCTAAAAATAGCGAGTTTGAGTGCCACACGTTAGATATGAAGGTCCACACACATATGTGGCGATTTAGGTTAGTCATAGTTAACTTAATTATACTAAAGAGTAATTTTATAGTAATGTTTTAGCTTTCATAAGTGAAAACAAACACTATTGAGGTTTTGATTTAAAGCTTTCGTGACTGCAGGGATTCATATTCTTGGTTCTTTCGGTAAAGTCACGTAGAAGGGAAATAATAAAATAATAAAAATAATTACATAATAAAAATAATACAATTATCAAAATATATTATTATTATTCCCTTCTACGTGACTTTACCGAAAGAACCATAATATGGGTCGCGAAAGCACACGTGATATAATGAAGCGACGTCATGCTTGAGAGGCGTTGGGGACGCGTTCTAAACTATTTTATTTACCACCTAAAGCCCACCGAGATATTCGCTCTGCTACAGAGACGACCTGGCCAAACATGATGGCAGCTCATCCAAGTGGCTTACATCATCACCGTGCGAAGAAAATTGATAGTGACAGCCAAATAATTTAAATGCATGGTTTTAAATATGGAGGCGGGGTGGGCAAAACTGGAAGAACCTGGAGAAAAATCCACGCGACCACCACGGGGAGAGCGAGAGGGAACACGCAAATTCCAAACCAAGGTTTCCCTGGCTCTATGCGGGTTCGCTGGACACAATTTCACATCGATGCCGCTCACCTATTTGTGCCCATAATTCACGACATCTGGTTTGAATCAGTCAAACGTGGCTACAAGCGGCCGGACGTGGGTCAACATTAGGTGTGCACTGTACGCACGGCTACTCAGCAGGCAGCCGTGGGTGGTGCGATTTCGCTTCCTGTGCGCTTTTGCGGGGAAACCTCCATACATGCATCGTCAGGGTCGGGATCGAACCCACGAACTCCCGTGCACAGGGCGATGGAGATGGAGTCTCCTAGCCACCGCGGCGCCCCATCGTCCTAGCCCAGGAGTTGGGAGCCGCAGGTTGCCTAAAACTTAACTACAATTTAAAGTAAAGATTTTTGTATTCATCATCAGGCGTGAAATCCACAGCAAGAACATTTTCTTGCTGTGGATTTCACACCTGATGATGATTGCTTGTGTTGCAGTCGAAACGTCATGAGAATTTGTTGTTTAATATTTGTATTGTTAAATATTTTTATTTATTTGATTATTTCCCTTCTACGTGACTTTACCGAAAGAACCAAGAATATGAATCCCTGCAGTCACGAAAGCTTTAAATCAAAATTTTAAGATTTTTTATTAAATATAGTAAGGAATGGGTCACTATGGAATGGCTTGGCAACAACAAAATGTACAGTCAAACTATATTGTTAAATAACAACCAAGGAGAAAATAAACGAAATCGACGCAGTTAATTCCACCACCTATTTTGTTGATTTAAGTGAGAATTTGTTTGCCACTTGCCGTATATCCGCTGCGTTTGCGTCTGTGTACCAGGTAGCTCTGCTTCCGACGCGGCTCTCAAACAATTTTTGGTCAAAGACAAAAACAAAACGTCTCTTCTTCTTTTAAAAGGTTTTTTGCCGACTCCCGTCCTCGCCGATGGGCTCCCCGGCGCACTGACCTTGCGCACGATGGTGAGCCGGGGGTGCAGGTTAGCGAGGCCGCCGGGAGGCAGCGACGAGCAGCCGGTGGTGAACTGGAGGAACGCCTTCCTCTCTTGGGCCGACATTCCGCACAGCACGTTCACAAACCTGAGGAAGCCGGGGCTGCGAGAGGGGGGGGGGGAGGACGGGACAACGTTCAAACGCGCGTGGTAATCGCGGATGGCGGCGGCGGTGGCGAACGCTGCACGTGGCTGCCTCCAATCCAGCGGTGCGGTAGTAGCGGCGAGGGTTGGTGGAGCGCAGCACGAATTATCAAATGTTGCGAGATTCCCTCCCCATGGACATTGAGGAAGTGCCATACCCTGGCTTGCCAGCAGAATGTATTACAGAAAAGTGAGGACTATTATCATCTGTCCCTTCTCTATGGGATATACAGGGTGTCCCATAAGCAGGGAATCAGTGAAAAATACATAATTCATACTTTTTTGTTTCTGCAGGCCCAAGATGTCGGAGTAAGGAAGAACGGGTCCAGATAATTCTACTGCTAGAAAATCGGAGTCAGAGGGAGGTCGCTGTTGAATTTAACAGACTGCATCCAGACCGCGGGCCAATAACACGAGAGCCGTGTATGTTTTTTCCTCTGATTCCAGACTTCTGGGACACCCTGTAGACTGTTTCCCCCTCGCATGCATGGGTTTTGTCCGAATGTTCTGGTTTGCTCTCAATGTATAATAAACTCTCACCATTGGCCAAATACTTCTTAATATACAGTAGAACCTCGGAGATCGAACGCACCAGAACTCGAACAAATCGGTGTTCGAATGATATTTACGAAAAAATTTGCCCCGGACGGGCAATCGTGACTTGAAAGAACGTGTACGGCTGAGACGCGTATGGCCAGCATGCATGACGCTTGCCCAGGCAAAGGTTTTACCACCTCCTGCTCCTCACCACCTTCCACTCAAGCTATCAACTCTCCTTACTACAGGTAAAGTGAAGTTCAATGTTTGTTTATTTCATTTATTCCATATATTTATTCATTTATTCCATTTATTTATTGTGTTTCTTGTTTTTTTGTATGATGTTATGCATGTATTACTGTAAACTTCGTGTAAAAATGCTTTATAATGAGAGATTTCTTGCGCCTGGAACCAATTTATGTAATTTACATTTATTCTTATGGGGAAAATTAATTCAATCTTCGAACAAATCGGTGTTCGAATGGCCTTCTGGAACAAATTAAGTTAGGGAACTGCAAAGGAATCTTTGGCGCCGGCTTACCGACTTGGCAGCCTTTGCAGCTTGGATCTGTGGTTTCTACTCAGCAATTGTGAGACGCAATTTCCATGAGCGATGACGCTGCATAAAATGAATCGTTATTTACTTTTCAACAATTTCGAGCCGAGTGCGGCCACAGCTGCGGAAAGTCTGAATCTCTGCAGGTCGTTTGTCAGAACTGCTTTTAGGGTCCCGTGTGTTTTTCGGTCTCACGCGGATTTGCTTTGACGAACAGCCCCAAATAAACATTTATTTCGTCCCGGAACGAATGTGTGACGCATCTTTGTCTGTCATTTACCAACCATGGGATCATTGGCGTTTACGACCAGGGCTTCCTCGCAAAAGAAACACGCATCTCAATGGGCATCGGCTCTAGCCGGGGGGGGGGGGGGGGGGGGGGGCGGGTACATTCAGCGAGCAGAGTGCACTGAACGTGGCACTACAAGGTGGAAAAATAAGAAAATGAATCATCATCGGATATCAGAATCAGAATATTTATTTATACTCAGGGAATCCGATGAGCTATGAAGCTTTTTTTCACAGATTCCCAGTATGGAGGGTATGCGACGGGGGGGGGGGGGGCGCTGTGGTTAAAGTACTCGTGTCGGCATGCGAGGGCTTACGAGTTCTGATCTTGGCCAGGAGTCAACCCCTGCCCAATCATCGCTCCAGCGTCGACAAACATTCGTTCCATTTTGTGGGAAGTCAACGGCGGTCATCGGATGGATGGAGACAACAATTCCTTACCGCGGAGAATGCGGAACTTTTAACCGCTGCCCCCCGCTGACCTCCAATGGAGGTGAGCGTCACTTCGCGGTGGTGTGCGCAGGGCGGGAAGTGGGGGTCAAAGCGCTCACCTCTCCCTCGTGTATCCCAGCTTGGGCTCCGTGTAGTTGGTGATGTCGTCCGCCGTCCACGACGGGCACTGGTCCCCGCACAGGATGAGCTGCACTTCTTCGGGGCTGAAGGAGCTCAGCTTCTCCATGGGGTATACGCGGTTGAAGCCGTCTTGCAAGGAGACACGGCGACAGTGACGCGCACGCGCGCACGTTGAGAACGACGCGACGGACACAAGCGACGCGCGACACTCGTGAAACCAACCGCCATTGTTCCTTCATTATTTGAAATATTTAACTTGGTAAATCTGAAATTAATTGGGCGCATTTGTTCAGGTGACAACTTTATTAATTGGCCGCGTCGGTTGGAGGAGGGTCTACGACACAACACATTTTACTCGCGTGATCGAGCCAAAAGTCCGTGATGTATAGCAATACTGTGCGTGAAAGCCAACGTGTGCTGATCTTTAGTCACTTTCCCCTAAAGCTAACAACCGTTTAAAAATTTACCACCAATCTTCACGCCACCTATCTCTCACCGTTTTATCAACGGCTTTCCGTCTCGTTGTCGTCAAGCGTCTTATTGACGCACGGTATTGTTGTACTGTACGTGCATTGTCACGTCAATAATGGCATTAGCCTCGACGAATGAGTAAGAACTTCTACCTCTGAAGGCGTCGACTTGTTTCCGAATGCCGGAGTGGAGGCAAAAGTCGAACATCAGGTCCACGTACTCCTCGGCGTTCTCCAACGTCACAATCTGCAGGGGAGAATTGAGACGTAACAAATATTGTTGTTATTATCGTACAAGTACGGTCCCCTCTTGTCAATCCACTGCTGGATGAGGGCCTCCCCATGTCACGTGGGCTATGGGGGTTTATTTGTCTGTATGCGCCACGGTGGTCAATGCCGGTTGGCAACGGCTTCTTCTTGTCGTCCGGATGACCGCTGCAACGTATACTCTTGTGTTTTGATTTAGTGTGCTGATTTTTAAAGGTGCATTAAAAAATTTTGATACTCCTATTGATGCTCCTGCTGTTGTGGAGTGACCCCTGCAGCCAGCTATGGCTGCAGGGTTTGGTGGTACATGTTGTTTATGTCGTTAATTGTTAAATTTTGGTCACAGTTCCTATGATCACTGTTACTTTGCTTATGGCTTTATTTTGGTGATTTCGAAAACGTTTTGTGGTTTGGTCATGTTTGTTTGTTGTAGTACGGAGTTAGAATAATGGCTTTAATCTAAGTTGTCTTGTGGTTGTTGTTGTTTGACTTGCATCCCACTGGGATTTTTGCACACAGCATTGGTGTACGGTGCTTTTTCTGGAAGATTTGGGTGCTTTTTCCTAAATGTTTCTGTTTGCGCATAGTCACTTAAAGATGTTTTCTTGTTCATGTTCTTGTTTTTTGTATGTTGCAGTTGCACCCGATTCAAGAGCCGAATGGCTCACAGGACTATACCAAATACATGAAACTGAAAACTGAAACTGAAAACTGTTTCTTCTTCTTCTCTGTGTATGGAAATTCCCGAAGCTATCACATAGCTTACAAACTTAAACCTGGGCGTATAATTTAAATATGCTGGTCATTTCTTAAGAACTGCATTTCCTTTAGAACTGCTTTTTGTGTTTAGTTTGTTGTCCTTCCCCCGCACCTCTGATTAGCACAGCTTGCTACGTACGGTGCAAAAGAAATCCAACATACATACATATGTACGCTCCAAGAAGGCTCTTTCTACAGCGAAACTTGATCACGGTTCTATGTTGAGGTGAGACGATCAATGGCTCACGGGATGGTAAAAGTGGATCACTGCTCTTGCCGCTATAGCTGTTCCTCCGGGAACTGCGTACATTAAGCACTCGCTGGCAATGTGGCTCATGGACTGTGCCTTGCTGCATTTTCAGAGCGGGAAGTCCTGGATGCTCCCCACTTATTCTATTTTTGTTATTTCACCAAGGCGCTCATGCAGTCATTCTGTTCTATCCTTGCGCGTGGAAATATGTTGTTGTTCAGAATTGGCCAACGCCGGCCGCGACATGACCCAGAAGAAACCAATTACGAATCATAACAATGGTCGTGAACGCCTACGCAACAAAATCAGAATAAAAGCCGTTTTTATTTTTTTAAGTGATTCGTGATCGCCGCCGACGAGCGCCGCGCTCACCTCGTCTTCCCCGCAAGACTTGAGGTCGTAGGCGGCGAAGCCGTGCACCTTGGACGACGGGCAAAACTGGAAGTTTAACCTGCGGGGGGAAACACGAGCAGAGATTTTCCCAGTTAGCAGCAGATTGCACGTCGGATTTTGCGACCGATATCACAATTCGTAATTCGATTTTTACCGACACGATCCATTGCCCAGAAACAACCAAGGGATTAATCGGCAACGATTATGTTCTCAGGCCGAGGTCGAGGCTGGCAACTGAAATAGCAACGCAGAATTTCAACCGGTGGCTCAGCTGCTTCAACGGAGGTGGGCGCTGCTTACGAAGAGAGAAATCGCTTTCACCTGGCCACCAAAACAAGCACTCCGCACCTTCGATTAGCGCCATTGGCTACGTATGGTGCGAAAGAAGTTCAACATACATACATACATAGACTCACACAGAAACCCATAGACTCACACAGAAACCCATAGACTCACAGAGAGACCCACAGACTCACACAGAGACCGGTAGTTTGTTGTCCTTCCGCCGCACCACCGATTAGCACGGTTGGCTATGTATGGTGCGAAAGAAGTTCAACGTACACTCAGCACATACATCCCCGTCAAACATTCCTCGCCGTCGTCATCTTCTACCCTATCATCATCCTCACTCACTGATGCTTGCCGAAGCCACTGTACCGCGAGGCGAACGATTCACTGAGAAATCTGGTCGAGCGGAGCGGCGTAGATGGAGAACGATGCCCCCCTCCACCGCACCGCCTTAAACGCCAAACCGCGAACGTAACGGCGAATGCAACCGGGCACCGCGAGAGACACAAACAACTTTTAAAAAACGCATCTCGTACCCAAGGTCTTCAATGGCCACCGGAGTTCCCGTGCCCGTCGAGTTGTTGAGCATGAGCTCCTGCAGCATGGTGTTGCGCTCGTCCTCCGACAGGGACCTGTTGCCGAGGATCTGCTTCCGCTTGATCGCCAGCTCCTTGAGCTCCTTGAGGAAGCGCGCGCGGTGAGGGTTAATGACCGCCAGGTCCTCCCAGCCCAGGATGCCGTGGAACCACGCGGGAGCACGCGGCTTCGGCGGGTCCAGAATGAACTCGGACTTGCAGTCGTCCTCCAGGCTGCCGACCGACAGCGTGTCGGGGGGACCCTCCTCGAGCGACGCCTCGGACGCCACCTCGCACGGCTGGAGGTCGCCGTCGTGCGGGTCGCCGTGCTCGTACAGCGGCTTGCACGCCGCGCCGCTGATGTCGCCGTTGCACATGAGCCTGAAGAAGGGCCGCGACAGGGGGATGTCCACGAGGCGGTTGTCCTGCACGCACTTGGCGAGGAAGATGCCGAGGAAGAAGAAGAGCTTGACGACGCGCTCCACCTCTTCGCTGTCCTGCGGGAGCGGCGCCGGGAAGAGGCCGCTCAGGTGCTGCACGTAGAAGCCCTGCGGTTTCACGCCGTCGCCGAGGTCCACCTGCTGATGTTGAGAGAGGTGGTGGGGGGGGGGGAACAACAGCGGTGAGCGACCGACCGCGGTGGATATATTACGAGCTCACAGTGTCAACGTTGTCGTCATCATCATCGTCGTCGTTTTAAGTTGAGGCGTAACGGATCCAGTGATTCCATGGATTACTATCCTTCGCTTCAGCTTGTGATGCGCACGTCGAATTGAACGTGTAAACATTGACGCTGTGAGATTTGTACGTTGTATGCAATGGGTTCTTTCGCGTTACCCCCCGGAAGCCACTGCCGACTGCTACCATATTCACTACAATGTTAAATACGACGCAAGCCCAACACTTAAAATAAGTAGGCTTCTGTTAGTGGCACCCAAAAAAGTGACGAGTAACCGTGCAGACGGTGGTGGCATTACGAGCGTGGAGACTCGCAATTGGATGGTTTCAAGTTAAAATCCTGCTCTGGGGTTGACTGAACCAATAATCATTCTTTCCGCAGTCAATAAAATAAATACCCGTTTGTGGGAATTCAACACTGGCCCCACCATGGGAATGTGGAATTTCCATCAATAGCTCTGCGCTGCCAATGGAGCTTAACACTGCGCCGATGTCATTTGAGCACGAAGGCTTCTTTGATTACCTCGGACAAATAACCAGAGCCGACATCCCACAGAGCCCTCGCTCGGCACATCAAACCCTATAGGCACGACTCCAGAGCTCATTCCCGACAGCGATTGGAACTCGCAAACTTTCCACTCGCGACTCAAAACGACTTAACCACGGTGCTATCCAGCCGGAGTAGTGACTACAGCGTCATCACACATGTCATTCCCATTGCGGGGGGTCCAGTCTTGGATCTCAATCCATTCCTGTCCCTCGTTTTCTTGCAAAGTGCCATGCTTTGTCTGTTCCTTGCCAACCCATAGCACTTTAAAGTGCGTTAACCACACGATGCTCACGTCTTTCTCCCTTTCCATTTTTTTTTTGCCCTCAATCTCACCAGCAGAAAGTTGCGCAAGATTTCGCGAAGCTCACCCCCGGGGGTCTGACCGCAGGCCCCATAAGCGTTGCCCTTCTTATCGCTGTAAACTTTCTAAGCCGACGACGTTGCTTTGCCCTCTGCAAGACTTCTTCATTTGTCGTTCCCCGAACCAAGCAGCAGCATCCACCGCCGCTTTGTCAAGACGCCTTTTGCGTGCGGGAAATTATTAACGGTGGGCACAGGACGCGGGAGGGGGGGTGGGTGGGCACCTACCAGGTTCTGAGCATTGGCAAGGTCGTCGTCGCACAGCCACATGCCCAGGCTCTTCCTCTGGAACTCTGCGGCCACAAGGGCGTAGAATTCCAGCGTGGGTCCCAGTCCCGTGCCCTCCTCGCCAATGAACTCCACCTGGAGAAACGGAGCGAGTTGACAGACGGCGGCACAGCTCAGAAACTCTTTGCCCCCACGGCGCCCTCAAGACTGATTTTTGAGACGCGTTCTCTGTGCACTGATTACACCCAATTCTCGATTATCCGTGGTCATGGGGGGTGGGGGGGCAGAGGGGCAGGTGGCGGGGGGGCGGGGGGGGGATGTTGGCCCGCATCAAACATTTATATGGATATTACTAAATGTACAGTTGTATTTTTGGGAACCCATTTGCGAAGAACACAGGAACAAAACAAGGACGTTACAGATAAGGAAGTCAACGTTTCTTGAATTGAGCATGATTTTAAGAGTCCGGTGAAAAGAGACGATGGGAGGGAATTATAATTAGGCTATAAAACGAGGTTTTGTACCTTGGTAAAAACTAGTTTCTATCGTCCATTATGCTGGCCACCAGTCCAATGTCATTCTTAACATTGGGCCAGTGGCCTGCAGCATGGGACGAGGATGTTTATTGTGTAGCTGCGTAGAATATCAACAATTTAAAGTTCTCGAACTGTTGACATGGCACATGTATGTTTACTCCTGTAAGTTGGTGGTCTCGCAGACACGTAACAATTGATTGAGAGAATGATCAAAAAGGAATCATAAGTCAAAGTGCACTCACTGAATTGTTACGTTATATTCTCTATCGTGTTATGTTTGTGGAAGATTCGTGCTTATTATTCCCGTAGGCTCATGGGTCAGACAGACGGCATCAGCAAGACGAAATCGATCGCGAAATTAAAACGCAGTGTGCACAAGACGCAAACAAGTGAGGCGGGGTAAGTAAAAAAAAAAACGGGCAGAGCAGAACACACAGGCAAGAAGACAAACAAGGGAGTGAACCAGAATTGCAACAAATTCATCATCGCCACGCAGCAGCGAAGTGGCGGCAGAGGAGGGAGGGGTGGAGCCGCTGGTGCCCACTTCCTGGAGACAGTTCACAGCAGTGTTCTTCATTCATTTTCAGCGGAGGCGGGGGGCACGTTCGCCGACAAGTCATCACACTGAAACCGTTGGGGTTTGACAACAGCACGACGGGGGTGTGTTCACGTGTTGTTGTGTATTGTGTCGGGGGGCCGCACGTCAGGGGACCGCACTAAAGGCCACCAGGGGCCACCAGTGGCCCCCGGGCCTTGCAATGAAGAACTCTGCCCCCTACTGTCTGATCCGCACTGCGTTCAAGTACCGAGCTGCTGGTCATCTCGCTCTTCTCCCCCTCTGCTTCTTCGCCTTGCACAGCTCTACTTTGGAATTCTCTCCTCTTGTCATCGTCTCTTCCTCCCCTCCCCCCCACAAGCACTTATAATAACCTTGCTGAATTCACCAAATGTGTTAAATCTGATATATTATAACTCTGACGGTGCTTTAAAGACGAGTCGGCTTTCGCAAACAACGTCGTGATCCGCAACTCATTTCTGGGTCGAAACGCGCGAGTAAAATGTGTGTCGATACCCTCCATCCACCCCACGACACGATCAATTCCTAAAACTGTCACGTGGAACAAAACGTGGCCAATTCATCACCGCTTCAGAACGCGACCGGTGTGTTGCACAACGGTCTGCACAACGTTTAACGATCAATTGGACACAGACGTTTCCACTACGAGTTACATCAGGCAGTTGCCAGAATTGTTGCTGGTGGCCCTGTATGTTTGCTGGCCCCTTGACGTTGTATACCTTCAAGCCTGCACTTCGACAGCGTTTAAACATAAGACTCATGTTTAAACACGGAGTCATCAAACAAAGACGGCCACCGCATTGCTCGCTTCCAGATGCGCTCCTGTGGCCGCCTGGAATGCTCTTCCGTTGGATATTAGGAAGCCACTGGACCTATGCACTTTTAAATCATCATCATGTCACTTGACAAACTCATTTCTTTAGAACTGCTTTTTTGTGTTTAGTTTGTTGTCCGCCACCCACAGCACCAATTAGCACGGTTGGCTACGTACGGTGTGAAAGAAGATCCACATACAAACATACGACACTCGTGACAAACACACAACCACACAGGTCCGCAGCTAATAATGTCGTGTACTGGCAGGGGGTTTGGTGGGGGGGTCACGCGGGTTTGCACCGTACCTCCAACACGGACTTGCGCTCCGCGTGAACCTGCATGACGTTCTCGGCCCAGTCCATGAGGGACTCGCCGCGCGGAACCTTCACCCGCTCGTGCTTGAGCCGCCCCACGCGGAACTCGTTGGGGTCGTCGCGGCGCGCCGACGAGCTCACGCGCGTGCGGTCAACGGCCGACTCGCGCTTGTTCTGGATCCACACCACAGCCCTGCGCACAGCACGGCCGCCGCACGTCACTCACGGTCAACACAGGCAACGCCGCCACACCCGCGCTCGTTCTGGATCCACGGCATGGCCCCACTCACCGCACCGCCATCGCCGCCGCACGTCACTCGCGGTCAACGCAGGCAACGCTGCCACGACACTCACGCTCGCTCTGGATCCACGGCGGAATCAGATTTAAAGGCTAAAACTGCCATCGCCCCAACCTATCTTTGAAGACAGCGAGACAGCACCATTAATATAAATCACGCTCTCGCACATGTTCTGCTACGCTCCGCAAAAGTATTTCTTGAGGGAACAAAATTTATTTTTTACAATTTAAGGTGGGTGCATTAAAAATCATCACCGAGCGCAGATCGTGTCTTAGTAATTGCGTGATATTTCCACACATAACGGTGTGTGTAGAAAAAGCAGCAGCATGTGGGTGGTCCGCAAAATGTCTGGAGGTTGAAAAGGGGTTCCCCGCACAGGCAAAAAGGTTGGGAACTGCTCGGTCTCGAGAGACCAATGTGACAGTCTAGTGCTGCCATGGCCAATCCACCAGGCGCTGTGATCCATTCTGGCGAATCACAACAGGGTCTGCGATCCACCAGAAGGCAATGACCGACAAACACAAGACAAAGTACTATCGCCATCTATTGGTAGAAGTAATTATTTAGTTATTTTCATATACGAATTTTTAGTCGGGGATTTTTTTTACTTGGCAACGTTGTCAGCTTATGTTGAAGAGTTCCGTACAGATTTTCCCCGAGATCCGCAAAAAATATTTCATTATTTAGCAATCCACGTAATGGCCACTGCTGGTCTAGTGCAGGCATCGGCAAGCTGTGGCTCTTTTTAAGGACTGCTTCGTGACGTTATTTATGAAGAACCACCGTCTCGCGCATTCACACGCACTGCAGCTTTTTAAATATAAAACGGGTTTTTTTTTTTACCGAATTCAAAAAAAAATGTCTCTTCTTGTTATTTTGGTTGCCAACCCCCCTGGGCTAAGTGTATTAAGACCCCCATCACAGACAGGTCAATAACAATCTACCGTCTTGACTCGAAACTGACAGTCGTGGCAAAAGGGAACCTCCTCGAGGTCCCAGCGGTGTGGGACCCCTCCGAGTCTGCACAACTACGGCTACCAGCTTCGTGTAGCGGCGATGACACCACGAACGCGGGGATGGGGGGGGCGAGCAGCTACTGCTGCGCGCCACGACGCGGATCTCCGCGGGGCGACGGTGGGCCAAGCGCACTCGCCTCGACACGCCGAACGCGGTGCATGTGAAGAAGAGCTGCCGCGTCTCGAAGGGGATGAGGAAGGGGCACTTGCTGGTCAGCTGCTCGCACCAGTCGGGCAACGCGCCGCTCGTTAGCGCCAGCGGCTCCTGCGGACAGAGACGGGCGGGCGGGTGAGACCGGCGGCCGGCTGACAAAGCGGGCGTGTAGCGATTCACCCGCTCCTCAGCGTGACTCGGCGAACTGGTCACGGTCGAAGTCAACGTTTGATGTGTGAATTGATTTCGTCGCCTCGTCTGTACGGTGCGTTTCGTACATCGAGTGTTGATTGTTCTATCTGAACATTTGAAAAGGTGCAATGGATCATGTCAGCAACTTGGGTTAATGTGAAGACGTGGCCAACAGATCATGATACACAGCCTACAGATCATGATACACAGTCACAACATTGCGCTGTTATTTCTCAAGTTAAATCAAATATTTGTTGATTTAAAAACGGAATCAAATAATAAAGTCCCCAGACGATGTTACTTTGAACAGACCCCTCACGGATTGCCCCGCACCTCCGATTAGCACGGTTGGCTACGAACGGCACAAAAGAAGTTCAATAAACACACATACGGATCGAGTAATTTCTGAAACCTTGCGTAATCGGTACTAATAAAGCCACCCTCTAAACACTAAGAAGTGTTATTTAAACACAATCAAAAATTTTTATAACAAAAAAATACTATTGACTACTTCAAACATTCACGTAAACAAAATAAAATAAAATTATAACACATTTTTTTATTTTTTTACGAGGAATATTTTTTGCAATGAACAGAAACTAAAATAAAATGCACCTCATACTCTTAGGTTTTTTCGGTAAAGTCACGTAGGTAAAAAATAATAATAGAATAATAATAATAAAATAATGAAATAATACTTATAAATCAATTAAATCACTAAAATGCACCTCCCTGCTCCAATGATATGGAGGGACTACTAATCCTTCTTGGCTGCTGGCCTCGAGCCAATGGTGGAAATTGCACATTGCTATGGCGGGACCCTCCTCTCTGTCAGGCGACAAATGTTGACGACTCTGCACAGAACAAACCGGGGGAGGGGGTGGGGGGGGAGGAGTGAATATCGCGTACCTCGATTTGTTGCAATATTTTGGTCGTTAACTTCTTGCTCGCGAATTCTTCCGCAGACACGTTGAAGCTCTGGCCGAGACCTTCTGAGGAGACGAAACATTCCGTGAGAAAAAGAACGTGGACACATTTCTGGCACAGAAAAACCAAAGTCCCTGAACACGCGACGACGAAGCGTTGGCGCTCGCATTAAACGGCTCGGAGCGCGCCGCCCTTAACCCACATCACCAAGAGATCGTCTGTTTAACGCGTTGGCTTTTGCGACCAATATCATTAATGAGAAAAGTTTTCGGGTTAGATCGGGTAAGTAAAAATGTGTCGTAACCCACTACCACCCGACAGCCAGTAAGGTTTGTCGTGTAAACAAATTTGCCAGAATTCTGGCAAATGCCTACGTGACTTTACCGAACGAACCAAAGAGTATTAAATAATTTAAGTTTTATTTGTATAAATTTTTTTGTGATTTGCTTACCTTTCCCCTACTAGACATCTTAAAGCTCATTAGATTCCTCCAGTGTAAATATTGATTCCAATTCTAAAATCACTCACGATGTGCACGATCTCCCTGCCTTCAATGCATCACACTGACCAGCATGGCGAAGTATGGTCAAACACCTCCCACGGTGCGAAATGGCCTTCATCCAGCAGTGGATTGACAAGCACTGTACATGCACGTGTTTATTTGGAATTTTATTTACAAATCAAATACTTTTATGCTGACAGTCTGGCTGCGGCAAAGCCTCTCAGGCAATCACTGAGTAATAATAATACAAATCTTTTATCTTACTTCTTTATTTCTCCAGGAAAGCCACACTGAGTTGTAGGAGTCCCTTTCAGGAAGATCCTGCATTGGGTTTTTATTTTAAGACACTTTTAGCCAATTAACCGGAATAAAATCTAAACTAAAATAACTTTATCAATTATTTTATCGTGTTATAGTTAAATAACTATAACACAATCCCCCATACGGATGGGAACTGATGGAAATTAGTCCAACTGCTGTACTGCCTTCTCCTGGGGAGCCAGGGTGTGGTACCTCTTTGACACCCTCGGGAAGGGATTTTCACATTTGTGTGACCCACCAGCCCTTGCTGCTGCCTCCACAGTGCTGGGTCACAGGCTACCACGTGCAGCAGCATAACAAGCAATGCATGGCACACGAAGGAGTGATGTGGCCGGCACTGTGCCCAATCACCTTTGCCATTATCTTCCCACTGAACATTTTCTCCGGCCCACAGCCACGTGAGCCCGACTGCCTACAACACAGACGTCACCGCAAGTGTCTCAGGCCGAACAAATCCGGTACTCGAGGGGAACATTGTCAGTTCAAGGGTCTCCCCTTTATGCTCGGGTCCACAAGCGTCTATTTTTATTCAATCAATGGACAAAGCCGGGGTGTGCGCGTGACGTGCGGAAAGCTCGATTCGGCCCTTAGTAAGAAGGAGGTCCCTCCACCCCCATCCTGGCCACGGCGCCGCATGGCCAGGTTTTCCATGCCCGCCACGTGACGCTCACCCATGCCGTGGCTGCAGCTGGAGTAGGGGTCCTTGGCGATGCTGTAGAGAACTCGCAGGAGCTGCAGGACGTCCTCCACCGCGCACATGTTCTGACTAGAGCCAGCCTTGGCCTGAGGCTGCTCACAGGGAAGACTTAAGATCTGATTGTCGTGCAGCCGCACGGCGGGCTTGTGGGACGCAGGGCACGTCCTGTACGTCTGCCCACAAAACTCCTAGAACGAAGAGAAACGTCACAAGTCGGGCGGGCGGTCATCCCTCAATGCCGCACGACACCGCCTTGATCGCCTTTCGCGAGCGCCACTCATCAACACGGCTGCAGCAAGCGGTGGAGCGCCGGTACGACTATTGGGTGCCTCTTAACCCTTTGGACGCCGCCCTTCGTGCGAGAGACCTGGAACTATACCTTGTACAAGACGGTTATCGTTTCATGACATAAAGCAATTGATAAGTCATCATTTCTGAGTGAATGCACATTGCTGCCATGTACAGATCTTCCAGACCTGACCACCGAAAGCACGTGCAACAATATTTCAGCGCTGCATGCGAGAGGTTAAAAGCAGGCTTGGCGAACGACAAAAGCCATCGGGGGGGGCCAGTGCCGCTGTTTGCATACTGCGCCACCAGGTGACCAGGGAGGGCGCAGAGCAGGTTTAGACGGCGCTCGCCACCGACGGTTACCCGTGGCCGGGAACCGAACCCAGGTTGGTGGATTAGAGGGACGGCGTGCGAACCGATGTACTACCACCGTGCGCACGCAAAAGGCACAATGGGGCAAAGGTTGCCCACCGGTCAGCAGCTTTAACGATGCGAGCGAGGGATGGCATGAAGCATGCATCAGCACTGTCACCCAGCACACTTTGACATTACTAAAGCGTTGAATGAAACCGTTTATAAAAAACTATAACCTATTTTTATTTGACCAGGTAAAGCCCACTGAGCTATGTAGCTCTTTTCAGAAGTGAACTGGCCACAAATGATAGAGCAATCCAGGGGCTTATCATCACGTGCAAATTGATAGCAGCCAAATATCCAGAACGCATGTTGATTCTAAATGCAGAGGGGAAAAACTGGAGGACCCGGAGAGAAATCCACGCAACCACGGGGAGAACATGCAAACTCCAAATATACAACAGGCAATCAGGTTCGGGATGGAACCCACAGCCTGCATACCAGACGAGGTAGTTAACATCTCACCACCATGGCGCCCCTATTAGGACAGCGTAACAAATAGGGGAAGGGGGGCACCCGTGTGTCAGTGGGACTGGCAGTAAGAAGTGCTTGTTTAGGAGAAGGCACTGTGAGGGTTTTGGAGAGGGGAGGGGGGTAGGAAGCTAGAGCAAAGAGAAGCAAGAGGGACGGTTTGGTGAGGGTATGCTCAAGGATTTCGCAGAGAGACAAACATAGTAGGAGGAGGAGGACCCGGGACTTGGAACAGAGTGAGGGGATTTGGCGGTGTGAACACGGTGCTTTGCGGTAGGGAATTCCAGACGGTGGGTGGGGGGGGGCAGTTGTGGAGAAGCAGCAACTTCCCGTTGAGGAGCAGAGGCTGACCGAGGGTTTCGGTCAACCTCTGCATTTCACAGGTCCCGACACGCGCTCGGCTGAAGATGACCAAGCAGGGTCGCTCGTTGACGCGACCCAAGGTGCAACCCGGCTCGATTACGATAATTTGATCTTTTCTTTGTTTGTTTTTTTGCTTTTATACCCCCAATCCAGTAGATTCTGATTGCACCACTGGCATCACAACATGACATGGGACAAAGACAGGTTTCATTTGGAGCTCTTGCGCAGAGGGGGATTTTCTGTGGTAAAACGACCGACCGTCATGAAACGATCTCCGGACGTGACGTTTACACACCTTTTAAAGTTCCGAACACAGACAAATTGCCTCTCTTATTCACATTAGTTGGCACCAGGGCTTAATTTCAGGTTGGGTGTGTCTGGGTCAGCGAGCCAGAAAAAATTCCCTTTCACCAGGCACAGCGCGTCGAGTTTGCCTCTCGCTCTGGACGGCGGCTCCTAGTCACATGCCTACTCCTGTCGACTCGTGATCCGGAACAACATTTAGTGAGAAATTAAGCCCTGGGTAAGACATCGGCATTTATTCCAGTGCAAGGGGTGCGCTCGCCACATAGCAAATGAAACCTGACGTTTCCTCTTCTTGCTAACAACAAAGCCTACAGCTCGTGTCGTGCGACCCCCGGGCAAACACACACAGCTACGTTTACGTACAAGAATGTATTTACAAGAGCTGGAGCCGTTTGTTTTATTTACGTCGCTTCTAGCTTTAGACGTTATTAAATAAAGGACACGGTAGTCATTTTCATACCTTGTACGCGGAAATTAGCTGCGAGCAATTTCGGTTCTTTCGAATGTTCTTGCTTGCACCTGTTAACTTCCACGTCCGTAAAAAATGAGTGTCACAACTTTTCTGCAAGAACGTAATGAGTTCGTTTTTGGGAAGGTGATCAGTGCCCAGATAGCGCTCCACATATTCCACAGACCAGCAACCCTACGGGGGAAGACAACAATAACAGGCAACAACACGGCAAGAGTTGACAGCTGCTGTCAAGGGCTGGGGATGGAAAGGGAACTCTGCACCAGGAGGGGAACCACCCCCCTTGGTTTGGCGCTGGGAGGATGGACACTGCTGATGCTGCTGCACCTTTTACTCCTGCTATGTAAGTATGCTGAACTTCTTTCACACCGTACTAAGCCAACTGTGCTAATCGGAGGCGAGAGCTACTACCACTCCTATGCAGTGTGGGCGAAATGCTCCCACGCATCACTTGACTTCCGGACCACCGCTCCTGAACGCTACCAATCGCGCCGGGCTGGCAGCGTGTGCCATAACCTGGCGGTTTTTCACAACACCTAAAGGTCAAAAGGCACCGAGCCACAAGACCTCCTCTCGTGCGTTACTTTCGTTATCTTGCGTCTTGGCTTATTTCTTAGAGACGAGACGACTTTTTGCCTGTATCTGGTCAGCGGTAATATTCCACGTGCAAGTACGCGTCTCTGCTGTGCGGAGGATTTCGCGTCCACAAGGTACACCGCGCGAATACCGATATCAAATAAAAGCTGTCCAAGATGCATGACAACTGTAAAAAAAAATTACTTCTGTAGTTTTTTTCTCAAATAAATAAATAATCGGAGACCAACAGGTTTGTGGGTGGGTGAGCGGGTTGGGGGGGTGGGTGGCAATGAAGGAGGGGTGGGACTGACGGGGGAGTGGGCAGGGCCAGAGGGAAGTGGGTGGGACTAGTGGGAAGTGGGCGGGACCAACAGGAAGTGGGTGGGGCCAAGAGGAGAAGGGGCGACGCCTGCTTCTAAAGTCACGTGCAGGGGTCCGCACGGTGTGTGTGTGTGTGCGCGTATCACCGGTGACGATTATCTGAACCGGTCCTGGGCATCCCCTAGGTCGACTCAGCCTCAAATGAGTACCTGGTGCGATGTGTAAACATCGCCACTGGGGAGACAAAGGCGGTCCCCGGGCGTGGTGCTGGCCACCCACCCCCTCGTGTGCCGTGCCGGCCTTCATAGGTGCTCGCTAACAGCACTTGCCCCTACAGTCTGTTACAGGCTACACGGGGGATCATTGTTGTCACGTCTGCGAGACGGCAGAGAGAGTCAAAGTTGTGTGATAATGGCTGTATCGGGCAACAAATACTAAACAATTCTATATTACCAGGTAAAGCCCACCGAGCTAAAAGCTATTTTTCTGAGGCGACCTGGCCACACACGATTGCTCATCGTAGTGGCTTTATCGTCGTGTGTGGGAATTTATGGCAACAGCCAAAACAATCCAAGCGCATGTTTTAAAAAGTTGGATGGAAAAACTGAGCAAAATCCATGTGACCACCACAGGGGAGGGAGAGAACATGCGATCTCCATATATACATAGGCATCGTCTGAGTATGGTATCGAACCAACAAACTCCTGCGTACCAGGTGAAGAAGATAACATCTCAGCACCTGCATGACTTTATGAGCGGTAAACCATCGTTCGGTGGGGAGCGACACCGACGATCAAAAACATCTGTGCGCTACTGTGGCACTAAGAGATGAGGTTGGTGGATTGCGAGATGTTTGGGATCGATGGATCTCAAAAGAGATGGGAGATGGTGGGACACTTAAGAGAGATGGTGTAAATCTTCTGTGCATTACTAATACCACCAGCACCACCAAGAAGAACACCAGAACTAAAATGTATATGTTGTATAGCATACCTCTATGCTATACTGTACACAAAGACAAATATCCCCTATATAGCCTGTTAACAGACTGGTGGAGCAAGTGCTGTTAAGCGAGCACCTATGAGTGGGGAGCGGCCGTGAAGTGGTTAGCGCTTTGCACTGCGAACCCGCGTGTTGAGTTAGATTCCCACTCACGAGCAATAACAGCGGCGAATAGTTGAAACGGTCCTGGCCCCTCCCCGAGGTCGACTTGGCCTTAAATGAATACTTGGTGTGTTGGGTAACAAAGGCTGTGGTGTTGGCCACCCACTCCCTCCGTGTGCTGTGTCAGCCTTTAAAGAGGCTCACTACACGGCATATGAACACATACACACCAACATCTACGTGCTTCCCTACACAAAACTTGGATCCCTTTACAGGAAAAGGTGTACCAGCTTTAAACATTCAGGCTGGCCTGCTACGATCCATCCAGGGTTCAAAAATGCTGGATTGTACAAAGAGCTACGAGATTGTCAAAAGATCTGGACAGTCCAATCAGTGAGGTCCTCCAGGAGGCGAGGCTCCGTTGGCTGGGTCACGCATCCCGCATGCCCAAGCAGCTTCTGTTTGGCCGAACGGAAGGGGCGAGAGAAAAGATGGGCTGATGTGGTTACGGGAGGATTTGGAGTTGATTGGACTTTCCGAAGACCGGTACGAGCAGTGTCAGGATCGGCCTCTGTGGAGGAGGCTCGTGAAGGACGCTGCCACTGGGCAGTTGGAGGCAGCCGCCCTCCAACAAGAAAGGAGGGCAGAGGAGCGAAGCTCGCAACGAGCGGAGCGCAAGGTGGCAAATTGGGAAGCACAAGTAGTGCCATCCGATAGTCACCTCGGTCATTCAACCCATAACACCTGGGACTGTTCCATAAATCCCGCGAGCCTTCGACACTTCACGCGGCCTCCAACTGCAGCTAGCCTGGCACAGTTCCTGTAGAGATGTCACCGTCGCTTGGTGACAAATGGCAGCTGGTGTTGCGTAAAGTACGTGTGCGCATGGCAGCACGTGCGCACGTGTCTGCCCGTGTACACGTGTAAAAAGGAGACAAAGGCGGTCAAGCATGGTGTTGGCCACTCGCCCCCTCGTGTGCTTTTCCAGCATTCATAGGTGCTCACGAACAGCACATGCCCCAACAGTCTGTTAAGGCTATACGGGGGATCTTTGTCTCTGTGCGTATATACGTCCGTATAAACGCATCTCAGACAGCGCGTGCATCGACCGACGTATCGACGCACAGACGGCGCGAGCCGAGGAGTGCGCGGACGGCAAATCCACCGGGCGGGAGGATGGCCAAAGGTGGGGGGTGGAGAAAGGAAAGGGGTGCTAGAGTGGCACACTTCGGTGAAAGTTCAACTCGGCCTGCGAAGTCATCAGTGTCCACGAGCACGCTTGGCGGCTCGTGCCGAGAGGGGGGCGAGGAACAGGAGCCCGCGTGACGTCACGCGGCATGCCGCAGCTGCCTTGTAAAGCAAACACAGGACACGTGCCAGCACGTGGCTACTCACGGATTTGTCCTCGTCGTCCTTGTCTTTGTTCGACGTTTTGAGTTCGCTGTACACGATCCTTCACGTCACGATGAGCGGAGGCGGGGGGGGGGAAGAAACCGCACCTCCGATTAGCACGGTTGGCTACGTACGGTGCGAAAGAAGTTTAACTTACATACACCGAAAGACCCAAAGAATATGAATATGACATACATTTGAATATATCACGATAATAATTCTAATAAATTACAAGGTACTCAAATCGCTTTACATCACAAAATAAGTCAATATAACGTTGCGGGGGATCTTTTGTTAAGCCGGAGCGAGAAGCCTTACTAGGTGATAATAAACGATGACAAACCATGTTAGTGACGGATCATATAAATATTGGTAGTTTCTGTGAGACTTCGAGGCTAGGCTGTGAGCGGTGGCCCAGGGATGGGTTCATCAACCCGTCTGTCTGTGCGGACCGTTGTCATCCCGCCCCCCCTCATACGCGTCGCGAGTTTACTCCGCGTATTCTGGCTTCCTCTCCACAGGCATTGAAGATAAACCCTTCCGAAAAAGCGTCTTGGATCCCAGTGAGGCTTTGCTGCACGATCTATTTTGCTATTATTGACAACTCCAATGGCAGTTTTGAGCTAGTGGCATTAAAGCTACGCCACCGGCGCCACCCGGCCGGCCGCCTTGCCACGCTCGCGAGCGGTGGAAACGGGCTTGCTCGCCCAAGTCGACACGTACGTGTACGTGGGCTCCCAGATGCGTTTGAGTTTTTCCGTTTTGACGTCGCCGTTGCTCGTCTGCTCCAGCAGCTTCTGGACACAGGCAAAGATGGTGGCTTTGGGAGACGAGAAGGGTAGGTCAATATCCTGGGTTGTTCCCAGGCCCGAGGCTTTCAAAGTGATGGCTAGCTGTGGAGACGAGCTCGATTCCATCTCCTCGATCAGCTCGGAGTGTGGCGTGCCTGTAAACGACAAACGAAGGGAGTTGTGGTGACGGCTTCGACACCTCGCGTACGTCACACACGCTCAACGCCGATGACCAAAATCGCCTGGAACGTGTCTGATCTCGACAGATCTGGGAAGCGAGGCAGGCTTTGATGGGTGCCCACCACACACATTGAGCAGGTGCCGTAGGCTGCTATGGTGCTATGCTGTCAGCAGGAGGCTGTGCGGTAAAATTCATTGCTGTCCACTACTATTACCCAACGTCTACACTCCCATCATCTGCCAGGATAAGGCAACGTCAAATAACCCCTGCATCCTGCACGGCATGGGGAGGCCCTCATCCAGCAGTGGACTGACAAAAGGGGCTGTACGTGTACATTCTCAATTCCATTGTACGTCTCTAGAAGCCTTCAATATATCATTCACGAAAAAAAAATCGTGCGCATGGCGCTATCACAGCTCCCGCACTATACAACAACTGTGAATACCTACGTCGTAGGGCTAGGGTATTATCACCTCTGTGCAGCATGAAACTCAATTGGCCATCGCAGTGTGGGCCAGCATTCATCATCGCCGGCAGCCCTTAACCTGGGGCATGAAATCCACATTTATATGGCGGCATAATAAGGGAGATTAGTATCAAGTCGATCTGCGACCAACATTTTTACTTGCGGCCGTTCGTTTGACCGAGCCCAGGTTCCCTAATCACAGCTCCACCCGTCTGCACAATTCGTCCAGGCAAAACAATCCCAAGGCTGGATTTGTGGCACAGCTGTTAGCGGCAATGCGCTACAAATCAGGCCACCCGAGTTGGATTCCCGCCCATTGGCTGTCCACCAGCGACACGTGACACCTGAACCGGTCCTGGCTACCCCCCCCCCCCCCCGACTCCTCAACCTTCATCAACCCGCACTGGCCGAACATGAGCGGACACGACGAGGGGAGGGCCTCCTTCATCCAGCAGTGTTTTGCCAACGGCCTCTAAATTATTATGACAGTAATTCCCAGGTTCACGTCATTGGTTGATGCGTTCCTGAAATGTGCGATGGACGAATATCGAAACGACGTCAATCGAAAGCCATTGACAGGGTAGTGGGTGGAGGCCAAGGCCAAGGGGGTGACGGATACGAGAAAGGACGGATGATGATGCTGTCGGCGATGGAAATGTGGGTTGAGGCGACGCAAATCAGGTATTATTCTTTAGAACTACTTTGAGTGTTTAGTTTGTTGTCCTTCCCCCGCACCGCCGATTCGCACGGATGGCTCCATACGATGCGAAAGAAGTTCAACATAAATAGGTACATACAGTAAAGTGACGTTATTTGCTAAACGACGTAAAAGGGGGAGACGTAAATCGGGTTATTACTGTATTGTCACCATTACACAGGTCTAGATTGCACTGCGTCTGCATTGGTTACCTGGAGGTGGGATTTCAAGATCCGTGGTTTGCTGAACGTTGGTGCGACCAGGCCTTGGATCAAAGGCCGGAACAAGGGCGGAGAACTGTCGCTTCAGGACAAAGTCGTCATCCCACATGCGTCTGCGTCCGCTCCGCACCTCATATTCCTCCTCCTCCTAAAAACGAAACGGAGATGAAAATGTCACCGCTACAGACGGAACCGCTCAACAAGGTTTATTCATATTCTTTAGGTCTTTCGGTAGTCAAGTAGATAGGTTCAAAGAAAACAACAAAAATAACAAATAATTATTTGAACCTATCTCCGTGACTTTACCGAAAGACGCAAAAAATATGAATTCCTGCAGTCACGAAAGCTTTAAGTCAAGATTTAAGGTTTATTCAGAATGTTGTAAACAGCCAAGCGCTTTCGTTATCATCATCACGATCCATGGCCAGATAGCGTGTAAAAGTGTCCACTGCACATTTCGTCATTTGTTTCCACTTTCCTCTCTCTTGTGCCAATGTGCTCAAGTAGTGCCACATCTTTCTGGCACCAATCTCTCGTGTCGTTGTGAAGAGAGTATCTGTAAGGTGTTCCCGTCTTTTTGTTATCACCCAAAGTCAAAGTATCCCTCCATTCGGTGATACAAATAGGGCAAGCTCACATCGTCGTGTTACAGCCCTGGGAGCTGGTGGTGGAAATTCCACATTGCCATGTCAGAGGCCTGTCTGTTGACTACTTTAAAGGTGGCAGTTATTTTACTGATTCCAGATAAAAACAAAGTGCCCTTTTATTATCACTATGCTGATATTGACATCTGCATTCGATATGGCAAGTGTCAGACTTTACTTGGTAATTAACATCATAACAGGGAGACAAAGTTATACATAACGAGCATAAGACAGTTCTCATCTACATTTTTCGCCGAGGCAGCGGTGGTAATTCCACATTCCCATGACGGCGTGGGGGGGGGGGAAGCTACTCCACAGGTCAATCGTTGCCATCTCACAAAGTGGTCCACTATTTTATGAACCACAAAGGTAATAATGAAGATGACGATGGCAACGAGCCCTCAACGAGGATTTTAACTCGCGACCTTCGGATTATTCGTGAAATCTTAAACCACAACGCCACCTGGCTAGGACCGCATTTTGACATGACACCAAAATATAAAACGCACGCACCATGACCTCTTCGAACTCCTGGTCTTCACGATTCTCGTCCTCATTCTCATCGTCCTCCTCGTCTGGCTCTGGCAAATCATCCTCGTCCTCTAACTCGGCAAGCAGCGTGCCTGCACGGCAGCTGTCCAAAAAGTCTGCGGGCGGCGGGGGAGGGGGGAAAGCGGACAGGAACGCACACGGTGCGGTAAAGCACGAGCGCAGCTTACCTTGAACATGTGCGATGATATCACAGCGTCGTTACACAGTCGCTCGCAAGCCATGTCAGCACATCACTATATACATATATCTATATTGAAAAATATAGGAACATTTTAGTTTTACCAGTCTCTTCCCCACCTGTCTCTCATTCTCTCCCCCCTCTCTCTCCGTCACACGCACAACACACATTCATCTCTCATACAGCCCGCACAAAGGCTGCTGGGCTAAGCGCCGTTAGACTGCACGTCTCGAAGCAGGAACGGCACCGTGAGGGGAAGGTGATGTGGCCAGCACCACAAGCTGCCGGCTTTGTCTCCCCCAGCGCTGACGTTTAACACGCCGCACCGGGTACTCATGTAAGGCTGAATTAATCTAGGGGAGAGTCCCAGGAGACGGTTCTGATACGGTGACCAGGAGTGAAGCAAACGCACGCACCCACCCACCTACACGGGCACGCACACACACAGGCCAGCCTCGGGCACCCACCCACCTACACAGGTATGCACACACACAGACTCATGCACGCACCCGCAAAGCGACAACAGACATATAGGAACAAGTGGCTGGTTGCATGAAAGACCTTAAGTGATTTGTATCACTAACCCGGCACTGCTGTATGCCTTTGGTGTCTAATTAACCGCAGTAATATTACTACACGCCGTCTGTTGGGACAGCGGACGTTAAAAATCCCTTGACGTCGGAGCAGGCCGTTGCGTGGCTGGGCTCACGGTCCAAATTTGCCAAAATTCGAAAAATCGCCCCACAGAAATCACTGCCCCCTCCCTTCCCTCATGGCAGCCTGTTGCTTGCAGGCCCGGCGCTGAGCCGCCTTGTCCCCGCACAGGGACAGCTGACACCCGTTAAACGTTTGAGAATGCGATTTCAAGGTGTTTTTGAGTCCCTTCGGCATTTTAGCGAGCGGCGTGTAGTACATGCTCAGGTTATTTTATATTGTCACTTTATTTATTTACTTCTTCCTCGATTTGCATTTCTATGGCAACGTGGTTGTCACGAGACGAGGGATTTCCGCTCCGAATTCTCACGGTGAGCAGGGGGGCAAGCACACCGTGTCGGAGAGCGGCCCCAAAAGATGAGACCACAGAACTACGAGAGGTAAATTTTTACGGGCCTCTATAACCACACCAGCGCGTGACCTTTCACATGCCCCACATGTTTAATGTTGATCAAACAAACCAAATTCCTTCATTCCTCAGCAGTGGAATATTCCAAATTTAATACGTAGAGTCATTGAGTGACATTGCTGAGACCATTAATTCTAAACATTTGGCCAGCTATGAAATTAAACACAAAGGTGGAGTTTCACTTCAGGTATTTATGCAAACAGCCACGCATTTGGCGAATATTGTGACATCAAACTCATCCGGCAAGCGACACTGCGGTTACAGCACTCGACTCACAATAACAAGGTTATAAGTTCAAATCCTGGGTCAGGGGCCAACTACACACAACATCCCTCCGAGGTCGATAGAATGAGTACCACCATTTACAAGGTCAACAGAAGTTGTTTTATGTAAAGACCGGCCCCTGTCAAGGGAATGTGTAATTTCCACCACTGCCTCAGGGCCACACAAATCGAAACTAATGTCACCGGCGTACGTCACTTGAGCAGGAAGACACTCTGACTTCATGATAAATCCCGGCGAGTGTTGGCTCGTCCGAGGGAGTGATATCTCAACGCAAATCCAAGCACGACTCGTGGCTCGCGGAAAATCGCGTTGCCGTTTTTGCCCGGGCGTGAATCTCAGGTCGCACACGCAACAACGGGCAAGGCACATTTTAGAAAATCTAGATTGAAAACGCATTTCTTTAGAACTGCTTTTTCTGTTTTGTTTAGTGTCCTTCTCCCGCACCTCCGATGAGCACGGTTAGCTACGTACGGTGCGAAAGAAGCTCAACATGCATACATACTTCAAATGAGCACACTCGTAATCTGAGTCGAAGGGGCCACGTTTGTCCATAGCCACGAGAGGCCAACAGAGAAACTATGCCGGATCAACGCAAAACGTTTTTTTGTTGCGCAACATTAAGCAGAGACCTATGGGAAAATAAACCGGGAACGTGCCCAATAGCGTCAGATCGAAGCAGCTAAACGGGTTCGAGCCTGCTACCGCACTCGGATGGGCGGCCACCACGCAAAGGCAGGTTGCTTCTCACAGCAGCAGGCGGCGGCTTTGAGAGCCGAGCTACGTTGTGGGACACGGAAGACGTCGCAGAAAAAAGCTATTGCTGCGCCGTACATACACGCTACCCTGTCTGCGCAACTGCCTTCACCAAACCCGCACTGCCCAGTGTTTGGTGAGGTATGGTTAAACAAATCTCCGCCCCCCCACCCACCCATGCCCGACACAGTATGTGGTGACCTTCGTCCGGAAAAGGACCGACAGTTTAGTGGTGGAATGTGCGACGGCTGCGTTCGCTGCGCTTGAGCGGAGACCACGACATTATTGATTGAGCTGCTCACTGGGAGAGCCTGACCATTGTGGAGAGAGACCCGGCACAAACGAGTCTGTACACCTTGTAAGCCCGTATAGTCAGGGAATCTCATAAACGAAACGATATTACTTTCAACAAAATCTTGTATCCGACAAGAGTGATCATCACATTTGTTAGGAAATTAACGTCAATGACGATGACAATCGCCAAGCTACTCAAAGGTCAAAGTGTCTCTCGGCTCAAACGTGCAATGGAAGCAGCCCATTCCACATTCCTATGGAAGGGGCCAGTGACTCCATAGGACAACCACTTGCCAACTGGTTACCGGCGACCCAAAAATATCAGACGGTACCTGTTTCAATGAATAGCTGTGGCAATGTTGCATAAAATCCAACAGCGATTGAAGCAGTAATTCCATTTTAAAAACCCTTCCTGCTCACCATTACGATTACAATTATAACACTATATACCAAAAGCTCAAAGCTGTCCTACACACAAGCACTTTCAATTCAATCGAACCTGTGTGCATCCATCAGCGTTGCAGAGTTATCATTTATCACGATATGATATCAAGTTTCAAGATGCCAGGATTATCGTTATGTCAGTTTCCCAAAACTTTGTGATTTACTATTTTTGTTACCGCAGTGTTTTTGTGCTTTACTGGACTTCCAACACAAAGAATTAGAGAACCCTTAAAAGTTTTTCGATTGCAGTTCGCTCAACGTAATCCTGCCCAAAGCATTCTAATTGCTGCAAATGCAGCGCCGGTAAAGGCGGTAACAAACACGTAATTATTTCAGAGAATTGGCTAAGAATTTGACGAAGCCAATCTCCAATTGCTCCAGCGTATATTAAAAACGTTAGAAAAACGCTAATCTAACGGGTAACAAGCAAGTATCCATCCAGCCGGGGTGCCTCTGGTGACTCTCACGTGGGCAAAAGTTTACAAGTTCCCATCCCAGTTCAAGTTCTCCCTGCTCAAGAATACAAACGGGGGCACCGCCCCAATCCATCCATCCTATCGGTGGTTGGTTGGTCCTGAACTGGTGGTGGAAATCCACATTCCCGCAAAGTGACTTCGCTTCGGCCAAGTGGTACTCGTTTGTTAAGACTCCGGAAGGGGGTGAGTGATCATGATGGTGGTGGGCCGAGTTGACCCGTAACCGGGATTTGAACTTGCAACCTTCCCATCACTGAATTGAAAGGGGAACGATTTTAAAATGCACAGTGAGAACATTGCATGGAAGTGCTTTCACCGCCGCACGAGGGTTAAGGCAGCGGTGGGCTCAAGCGAACCGCCGAGCTGTGAAGATGTCACATCTCCGTAGGCATCTGCCGCTTACATTTAGCAGTATTTTATCGATGCCAACACTCGCTGCCATTTGAGCAAAAATTATCGGTTAAATTCACCTTAAGTGCTTAATGCTAAGTAGTAATTGTGAAGTCATACAGATTACGTTGCGTGCGGGATTAAAGTGAATTATATCGCCTCGAGCAATCGTTAATCGCGGCGATCACTTTTCAAGAGCAATGATCCCAATACTGGCGATGTAAAATAAAAACACAATGAAGTCTGAAGCATGTGGATGCACCACCTTCAGTGGGTAGAGTAACGTTAAACTTCACGTCAGTTCGATATCGTGTGCATCGCGGCACACACGTGCATTACAGTGAAGGCGGAATTGAAGCTCTAATCTTTGGTTTTAGTGATGAATGGGTCAATAGAGCTTAAACCAAGCAGCACAGGGCCGGAGCTCATCTCCAAATGACGACCCTGAGCCAGCGGTGGAAGATCCACATTCCCATGGCGGGGAGCCAGTCATGCCATGGTACAACAACCACTGTTTGACTTCCAACCAAAGTGGTACTTGGACTTTAAGCAACCCCGGAGGGCCGACGTTGGTGAGTTGGCCCAATCGATCGGGACTCGCAACATCTTTAATACTAATAAAAATGCCAATTGTTTACTCAGGAAAGTCTCAAGAGTCCCAAGACAATTTGTCAGGAGGGTCCTGCAAGTGGAATGTTTGGCCAGTATCATTATGGAGCGTTTGGCTTTGCGTGGGATGATAACCGGAGAATCCGGAGATAAACCAAGCATGCGTACGTGGGGATTGACACTCCAGTACTGCCATCTCCTGGCCACCTCGCGGCCCTACAAACTACAACGCCTGGCAAGCGCTGGTGGTCACCCATCCAAGCGCAGGCTCAAACCCAGCTTAGCTTTGTGAGATCCGACGAGATCACGTGCAAATCAGGGCGATCGGTTAAGTATGCTCTTAAGCAGGAACGCCTACGAACTGGCACACGGCATTGGAAGAGAAGGCAATGTGGTTTTGTATCGGGTACCAACAGGAGAGAGAGAGGTAATATAAAGAGAGTAGGTGTATCGATCCTAGACGGAGCCTACCATATAGCGAAAATTCGGCTTCCTGACCTGTGTCGCTCTCACTAGAGGTGGTGGACGTCAAACTTGTCGTCAGCGTGTTACTGAGCGACTGGCTGACTGACAAACCTGTGGGCGCAGCCGTTACATTACTGCTGCTCGTCACGCTAGTGGTGGACAGCGTCACAGTGGACGTTGTGCCCGCAGCAGTTAAATTTGGAAAGCTCTGGGCTCCGCTAAGGGGAGAAGCTGCAAGAGAAGGAGAACACAAAAAATACGTGTTTACACGGGCTCGCGTCACGCCACGCGCTCTCGACACAAAACCAACTCGGCGGCAGTGCGACATCACCGATTTAAAAATCGACTCGCGCAAGCGGACGGACGGGGGGGTGGGGGTGCCCGCCCCCAACCGGCCACCATTAAAAAAGAAAAAAGTGTTCACGAGCGATTAAACTACGTGCAGGCGTCGTCACCCTTGAGGCTAACAAACAAGACGGGACGAGTCAGAACGCACGAGGACAAGACGATCAGAAAATGAAGCAAAAAAATTATCAAAATCTTGCAATCATGACATCGAGTCGCGGTGGCGGACAGGGGTGGCAAATCATGACAATGCCCACAAGAGCGATTAAATATATTACCGACGTGGCCCTTAAACGTTCAAACAGATTACAAGTCACCAGAGTGTCTCCTTGCTCAAGCAAGCAAAGGGGGTTATCAGCAGGCACCAAGTCTGTGGTGGAAATTCCACATTCGCCAAGGCAGGAGCCGGTATATATGTATGGAAAATAACCACTGTTGACTTCACACAAAGCGGAACTCATTTTAGGGTCCCACAAGAGATTCCCCGTCAGGATTTGAACTCTCAACTTTCCTATTTGAGTAAGTGGTATACACGCATATAGATTTCCATAATCACCACGTACATACAATCACATTTAGTCACAGCGTCACTCTGATCAAACAAGCACAGCGCAGCACTCATTTCCACAGGTGACCCTGAGCCTGTGGGGACAATTCCACATTCCCACGGGTGAGGGCCAGTCTCTCCGCAGACCGACGACCACTGTTGACTTCCCGCATTGTAGCACTCATTTTATAGACCCACCCCCCCCCACCACCAAAATGGGAGCGTTGGTAGCTGTGTCAATACAAGCACAGAAACCGTGGGTATATTTATTTTAAAGAGAGGCAGTCGGCCTTGAACCCGGACTTGGAACAGGGGGGCAGTTGACAGGTCAGGTGACGGAGGGAAGGGAGGAGTTCCATCGGCTCAAGAGTACACATGACAACGGGCAACGCGCGCATTACTAGGACGGGGAGCATAGGACACTCGCTGGAGCATATGCACGCATACGCTCCCGAACGGGCGGATTTTGACTGCTGCTGCTGCCGCTGCCTCGTGTTGCTCGTACAAACACTCGGTGGCGGTGAGAACATACGCGCACTTGCGCACTGCGCGCCTGGGCTGAGCGTCGTCGGCTGTCGCACCCCAGCCGTAGGCCACTGCGGCACGAACACTGATGTCACCGCTGGGCTACGTTATGGGCAGCTACGGGCAGTTCAGAAAAATCCAATCGTTGCACTGTACTTCTATGACCCTCGTCTTCATTGTGGTGAAGTTTAGGTAAAATAAGCCACACGAGACGTCATCTCCAAAGCCAACGACGCTAGAGGTCGTGGATTCGATCCCAACCCTGACGATGCCAATTGTGGTCGGGTGGATTGATGCCCGGGTCCTCCGGTTTTGCCCTCCACATTTAGAAAGGGCATGCGTTGAGATATCTGGCCTACGACTACAAATTCCCGTGCGTTTATGATGTAAGCCGCTTCGATGAACTATCGTGTGTGGCCTGATCATCTCTGAAAAATTAGCTACAAATTAATACTAAATCAGCCAAGATCAAGGGGTCAACACGGCCGATGCCGCTGATGCTCGCCTTCTGCTATGAGATATCTCTGATCAACAGATGCTTGCCCGATCTCCCCAAGGCACTATGAAAACCTCACATTCTACCGCTGGCGGGGCTTCAGGTCCTTTCACTTGGTCGCCAGTCTCTGGGTGCCCATTCCAGTGCCCGTCTCGGCCAAGGTGCCCTACAACGCTGCACTTCACGAAGATCGTCTACAGCCCGGTTTTTCGGCCGCCACGATCGTTTGTGAACTTCACAGCTGCCGGCAGAAATAAGGAACGTGACACTTGCGTTTACCAGGAATATACATTATAAAAAACTCTTCGGTTGGGGTATGTCATTGATACGCATGGATGACACACGCGAGCCTACGAGTTATTTATGTAGCAGCAAACATGACACGACTTGAAATGCGGTGCCTTGCTGCTCAATAAAAGCACAGGCCGGGGCGCTTACTTCTATCGGTGGTCTCAAGTCAGTTGTGTAAAACAATCCACATTACTATGGCAGGAACAGTATATCCAGTAGGGGAAAAACCCCACTGTGTTCACATCCCAATGGCTCTAGCAAAAGTAAGAGTGGGTTAAATCAACCGTGACTCCCATTGGTGCAAGTCTGGCACAGACCCGCGGTGCCACGCGCGTGGCGATGTTAGAAAACACGAAATTGCTGGCCGGAGCAGTAGTTAAGAGGAGCTCGCAGCTGGAACCAAGTCAATTCAAATCCCATCCAGGATAAATTCAGTTCTGCTGAATCGATAACAATGAGCAAGACGCCCCCCCCCCACCCCCTGCAAGATGTCAACAGTGGTCAGATCTTAAAGAGATAAAAGACTGGCCTCTGCCATAGGAACGTGGAATTTCTAACGCTGGTTCAGGAGAACCAACGGAGATGACGAGTGGTGCCCTATTGCTCAATTGAACAAGGGAGACATTTTGAAATTGACCTGCTACACTAACCCATTGAAAATCAAATTGTTACAAAACTAATACGATGCGACAACAAACATGAAGGAGAAATGTGCCGGAATAAATCATCACGTTATTTTTAATGCAGTAAAAGCCTCGCTGAGCCTGAAACCTACTGGAGGAGGATCCTGCATTGGGGCGCTGCATGTGAGTCACAGGCCCACTTGCTGTAATGCCATCGTGTGGGCACGTGTCGCAGCCCAAATGGATTAGAATGTCGCAAAAAACCACGACCTCTGCACACGACGCACAGCTCATTGGGTTGCTTGTTTAAATCCTCGTCTATTTAGAGCGTCGCACTGTGGAGGCAATGCGGTCCACATTCGATCTCATCTGCACTTCCCACGGCAGATCTGCCCACTACATTTGTAAGTGGAAATTCTTAGTCCAGCATGCGATTGTGGAGACACTGACCAGATCATCAACCACACAGTAGTCTACGGGTCTCTACGTGAGCCTACGGGTCTCTGTGCAAGCCTATGGAACCAGTGAAATCTGAATATTCAATGGAGGGGGGGCCATTGACGCAATCTGCCGCACATCGACCAAAGCCATGTCCTTGATAACCAATCCGACATTGCCTCGCAAGTCGGAATTCATCCAGCAACACACACACAGGCACATCCCCGTCGCGTACGCGCCCACTCACTTGCTGCACTGGTGACGTTCCTGCCCAGAGTGTTAGTGGTATTGTCACTGCTGCTGCGACTCAGGTTCATGTTGTTGGTGGCGTTGGTGCGGGCAATGTTGGCCACCCTGCGCACGAACGACTCCATGAGGCTGGAGGCCTCGCGCGATGACAGGTTGGGCACGCTGGCGCTGGAGCTCATGGGCGCCCCGGCCGCCATGAGCGCGCTCACGGAGAGCCGGTTCGTCACGAGCGAGCCCAGCGGCCGCTGCGGCGTGCCGCCCTCCTTGTTGGATGGCTCCGACACGGAGCTCACGTCGGGCGAGCTCACGCTCACCACGTTGAGCGCGATGCCGCTCGCCTCGCCGCCACCCCCCCCACCGCGCTCTCCGGCGTCGATCACCTCCTTGTCGCCGCCGCCGGTGGGCAGGCCGGAGCCCGTCGTCTCCTGCACCGTGTCCACCGACGCCTCCGAGCCGGTCTCCGACACGGGCAGCGACTCGGTGCTGGACAGCACCACGAAGGTCTGGGGGCCCTCGGTGCAGGAGACCGCGAGAAGCTCGCCCGAGCTGCCCTTCCGCTCCCGAAGCTCGGCGGGGCACGGCTTGCCGTGACGCAGCACGGAGCGCGTCATCTCGTCCGCACGGGCACCCATCCCGCAGGCGGCGGCCAAGCCCAGCACATCGGTGCTGCTGCCGGCGCTGCACACCGAGCTGCCGCTGCTCTTCCGGCTGCCGGCCATGGCCGACTTCTCCTGGCTGTTGTTCTTCAGGAGGTTGCTCCACGACTGCGTTGCCCCGGACAGCGTGAGCAGCTTCGGCGACACCGAGATCTCCGGATCGTAGCTCGGAGCCAATTTCAGGTCGAATTTCCCCTCGGCGCCCATGCGGTACGAGTTGGATCCGCCGGCATCCCACGTGACGTCAATCCACCCTGTGGAGCGCAAGGCCAGCCCGGTTATGGATGACATTTCATCAGATTTCAAGCTAAGGAGGCCCAAGCCTCAACTTTGCTTGAATATGGGTGATAAAACGTGCATAATGCGCGTTATGGGGCTTTGTGGATAGTTAGCAAAAATTGCTATTCAAGAAATAATAAAAAGTAGTTTTTAATTTTGAGAGGGGCAGCGGGGGAGACGCGTTGGTCCGCCGCGCACCGTTGTGGAGCTCCCCGGTGACCGTGCCGTCCCCCGGGGGGTTCCCGTCCTGGTCGCGCCACTTCCAGTCGATGCCCCGCACCACACGAGCGCCCGGCACCAGGTACTTGAGGATCTGAGACCTCAGCAGCCGGCGCTGACGCCTCAGGTTGGCCTCCTGCTCCTTCGCCGCTTTACCTGCGCCGCAACGGAGCCACAGAGAGACGATGGCGCCGATCAGTCTGGCCGGCCCTCCCGCACCGAGCGTGCATCTCCCACGTTCACAGCCCTGAGATGAGCGGTTGATATTCCACATTCTCATGATAGGAGCCCGTGTCTGCCACTGTTGATAGATCCATTGACTGCATAGAGGGAGTCAAGTGCAAAAAAACTCCTCTTGAAAGGAATCGGACAAACAACCCAAGGCAGGACTCGCACAAAGCATGGCGTAGGTAGGTACCGATAATAACTCATTAATGACAATTATTGTTGCACAGGAGCTGAAGATCTCAACTTTATCGCTCATCGGATTCCTCCAGTATGAATATTCTTATTCTTCAGTTGAGTGAGGTTATTGGACGGGCTTCACTTGCAGTTAAGTAAAATTAACATCGCGGTCTGCGGCCCGCAGGTTCCCCCCCCCCCACCACACGAGGCCCCCCTACCGCCCAGCACCCGGCTTATCCACTCACCCAGCTGATCCTCGCACACGCCTGTGACCGTGCCGTATATCTCGAAGCCAGACAGGGACAGGTAGTGGGTCTGCCCGCTCGCGTTCTTCCCCATCTGCTTCAGGCGAACGTGCCTCCAGCCCTGCTTCTCATCCTTCGGAGACTCAAGTGGCCAAGTGGCTGTGGACCTGGCAGAAATGAACAGACAAACGCAACGATCGCGTGATTATTAATACGATCCCCAATGCACGCGTCATCAAGCCAACGCCGGATGACAGCCTCCTTGCACCGTATCGGTCACGGAGGTTTCTTTCACCCTACTCCACCACGTCAGGGTTTTTGTCCAAGTTGGTGAAGGCGGGCAGCATATATGCTGGAGCAGAGTACAGGACAACAACGGATGTTACTGCATTGTCCCTGGCTGACAACGCAACCCCGCGGCTGCCTGCAACACCTGTTAGGCATGGTGGTCAACCCCTCCAAGCACAAGCAAAGCTCAACCCTACTCAGCTTCCGAGATAGAACACAGTTGGGCTCATTTAGGATGGAACTCTCCACAGCAGCAGCAGCAGCACAACTCACAACCTCTTCTCTACACCAAGGACCGTTATTGCCTTGGCGTCGTTTCTCCACGGCTGCGTCCATATGCGTCTCCGCTCCTGCCACCTTGCACTACAGCTCAAGGTGGAACTCTCCACCACAGCAGCAGCAGGATGACTCACAACCTGCTCCTCCTCTCTACAACAAGGACCAGGACCGTCACTGCCGAGCGTCTATTCTCCGTGGCAGCCCCCGCCGTCTGGAATGCGGCCATCATCATCATCGTCATCATCGTCCCGCTGCTGCACGTTCGCAGCAGCAGCGTTCGATCTGCACCGAATTTTAAGAGACACTTGAAGGCCCCACAACGTTTGCCCTGGATTTTGAGTGACGCCGAGCTTGGCTCCGCATCTCAGTCAGAGTCATTTAAGTCCGTGAAATATTGTGCACGGTATAAATTGTATGACTACTCTGGAAATAATGAGAACTGGGAATGCATTTCAGACCACATTTCACCACGATGAGCAGCGTGAATCGGTGAAGGAAAAGCACGGCAACCCGGTTCAGATATCAATCACTTCGGATATTAATCAGGAACGGAACCTCAGGTAACACTCGGTTCACAGTGCAGTGTACTAATAACCAGCGGTGCCACGGACACTACAAAACTCCAACACATTATAATGGGGTGGTGCTACTGCTACTGCTGCCGCCTTAGCAGTGGTGTACAACTCAAACAACATAAACACTCAACGCATTCGTCAATAACGGACAAACGATAATCAAGACGTGGCGACATGACGCACAGCGGACGGTACAGTACGATTACCGTAGATCGTACGGCGCACATGGCAGCGAAGCAATGTCGCGGAAAAGAAGTTCAACATACATATAAGCGGGACCCCCCTTACCCTGGCTCGTTGAGTGCGCAGTCGTCACTGTGGGTGTAGAGCGTCGTCCAGTTCTGTCCGTCCTTGGACACCTGGAAGAGCCAGTTGCGCAGGGCGGAGCGGCCGTAGCCCCGCGCGTGCCTCAGCGAGTACGCCGTGGGGATCAGCCAGAGGCCCAGGTCGATGGCAAACCAGGCGCTCTTGTCGTCGTTGGTGTGGCAGTTCAAGGCCGAGCTGTCCCGGTTGAGGATGTCCTCCAGGCGGCCGTACGGGAGGTTGCGGCCCTCCGACGAGCTGACCACGACCAGTCCGTAGGCGGCCGGGTTCACCCACTCGTAGGCGGTTCTGCCGCAAGAACATCGGGCGGCACGCGGTGATTTGTTGATTCAATCCGATGAGAATTGATTCTTTATGACATGTCGTTACGTGCACTGCATCGCACGTGCAGGATTTTTGCTGATTTTATATGCAAATGTCACCTTTAGTTAACTAACATACAAAATGCACAGTATTTTATATGAATAAAATATAAAAATATTGTATTTACCAAGTAAAACCCACTGAGCTTTCAGTTATTTTTGAGAGGTGACCTGACCACACATCCAAGTGGCTAATATAATCATCACGCGTGGGAATTTACCGGAGCAGCCAAATAATCTACACGCACATTTCTCAACGTGGAGGGTAAAACCGGAGGACACGGAGAAAAGAAAAAAACACACGACCATGGGGAGAGAGTGAACACGCAAACTCCAAGTATACAACAGGACTCGTACGGGATCGAACCAACGATCTCCTGTGCACCAGGTGAGGGGGCCAGCATCTCGCCACCGCAGCGTAACCCTGTGCAGTAGAATCGTGACCCAGTAGCGTCACAATTCCCAGGATTGCCAGGGGTGGGATTGTTGCACGCCTGCTGTTCACCCCATTGCGTCAAGACAGACACGTAACTGCTCCAAGAGAAATCAGGTAGCACCTAATTAAGGTGTTATCGCTGGGGTTGCCACCCCCGCTGAGGTACAAAAAAACTGGGACATATCATGGGAAGAAGAATCAAACTCACAAGGCCGGAAGAGCGGAGGCCAGCGTGCGAATGCATCGCCTCATTATTGTTACGCAACTGATAAAAACTGTTCCGGAAGACATTGAGATATCCCTGAAATGGCAGCTGCCTCTTTATGAAAATGATTTGGTATAGATTTAGACTTAAAATTTTGATCTGTATTGTATTATGATTGTTATTGAGGATCAAACATCGAAAAGGAATTTTTTGCACTTTTTGTACGCAGCATGGACGGGTTGTGCTTTTTCTGTAGGATTGTATTATTTACATATGTGATGTTCAGATTTGTGCACAATTAATTTCAGGTGTATCTTGTAATTTTATTGTTTGTTGCGGTAGTATTTACCAATATGCTCTCACCGATTTTTACCTGCAAACTCTGACAGGACCGCAATCCCTCCACTACGATTCATTTGAAAATTTGCCAATTCAGATCAATGCGTTATTCTTCTAGTGCGTACCGGTAAAAGGTCACTCCTGTAGGGGCGGTGGTGGCTACGCTGCACATGGCCCGCAATAATCTAGCAGGGTGGAGGTAGCAGCAAGGGTTGGTGGATCACACACAGATGTTGTGAAACTCCTTTCCCGTAGGTGTTGAGGAGGTGCAATACTCCTGGCTTGCCAGGAGAAGGCAGTACAGCAAGTGGACTAATCGCCATCTGTTTCCATCTGCACGGTGATGGAGTGTTGCCCCCTTCGTGCAAGGCGTGGGTTTTCTCCCCGCGATCCAGTTCCCTCCAACTTGTATAATAAACACAACTCATCATTAATTAGCTGAAAACATCTTTACAAAACAAAAACCCAATGCGGCACGAGCCTCCTGAATAACAGTCCTATGGACATTCGGTGTGACTTTCCTGGATAAATACGTTTTTTAAAAAAAAGTTCCAGCATCTGCCTTCTTAGCTCGATGAGCCTCACGCGAAATCATCCGACCGACCGGGCGACCGATTTTAAACCGCGCACGTGATAACCTTACCTCGCGTTGGTGCCGATCCAAAAAATTATGCCGTTCTCATCGAAGTCGTGCTGGTGCCTGAAGACGAAGGTCTGCCCCTCCCGGAGCTTCCGCACAAACGCAAATGAGGACCTGTCGTAGTCGTACCACTGCTTGGCAACCTGCGGGGGGGGGAAGGGGGGTAAAGGTCGCTTGCTCAATCCCAAAATGCACGAATGAGACACACTCAGATATACACACACACACAAAGATTCCCCGTATAGCCTTAACAGACTGCTGGGGCAAGTGCTGTTAGCAAGCACCTATGAAGGCTGGAACGGCACACGAGTGGGGTGGGTGGCCAGCACCAAACATGGCCGCCTTTGTCTCCCCAGTGGCGATGTTTACACACCGCACCAAGTACTCATTTGAGGCGGAGTCAGCCTAGGGGAGGCCCAGGACCGGTTTAGATAATCGTCACTGTTGTTGGCCATGAGCGGGAATCGAACTTAGGTTACCAGGTTCATAGCGCAGCGTGCTAACCTCTACACTACCGCTCCCCACTAGATATATATATAGATCAGTGGCGGCTCCTGCAAAATCTCTCAGGGGGGACAAATGTCTGGATGATTGATAAGGATAAGGTCCACCCATGCAATGGATAAATTAACAGCTTAAGCATGTAAAGGCAACTTCACTTCTTTAATATTAATGAAAAATAAAGTGACTCTTACAATACATCTTGTTTGTTTCTATACTCACTATTAAAACAAACCACTCAAGTTTATTTTATTAAAGATTCCACTAGGTGGCAACAAATAATATTGTTGGATGAAACGTGCTTACGTACGATGACGTAAGCACGTATGATGACGTAAGCACGTTCGGGCGAGCCCTCCCGGAATCCATAGAGAATGCATTGCAGCGCCCCCGTTCGAAAAAAAACTTCTTTGAATGTAAGTCTATGGGGCCACTCGGGGCGATTCTCAGCTGGAGGGAAATCAGCCCAAAAAGAGGCGGTACTCCACAGAACGTAGCATGACGCTGATTGGACTATATCCAGAGGCACAATGACGGCTAGCGTGACTCTGTGGTTGAATGACATTGGTGGTGCGTCGCCCAATCGCCCTAATGAAGAAACCGCCCCTGATATAGATCAATACACATCTAGTGTGTACATAGATATATACACACAGACATAGAGGAATCCTCCACCCGAAGTTGTTGCTGCACTATGCATTGTTTTGCATGTTCATTCCCCATCAATAGGTAACATATTTCCTGAGAAGTCTAACGTTTCGCATATGCGTTCTTTATTAAAATTACGTAAAACGCTTTTGAGAGCAATTTTTAAACCAGGAACGCACGCGGCGCAAACGGAATATTTTGCAGCGCAACACCACACTGTACGTGTGAAGCAGTGTAGAACGCAGTGTAGCGCGCAGTGTAGAGCGCCCAAAATCCAAATGCCGCGTGGTCAGCCTCTGTCTGCCAGCCCGCCTTTTCGTGTGGTTCTCATAGCGTTAGGTGATTTAAAAAGTGCAAAGTGCTTAGAAAGACGAGTGCAAAACGCACAGTAAATGACGACGTTGCCTTTGGCAATAAAAGGCGAAAGGAAAAGTATTCATCTAGAGGTTTTAATTACAAGTTTTAAAGCGGGTGCAAAGGCAGTCGATATTAGCTGGAATGCTTGGCCTCCACTCGACCTCAATGGGAACTATTTAAGCTAATGCGGGGAAAATTCTAGAACATGCTCAAAATGTGGCACTTTTAACTGCAAATAAATTCACTCAAACAACAGATGTTGAAATCTAGAAAATAAGGAAAGACTTTTAAAGTGTCTAGAATGAAGATCAAAACCAGCGTAGCTCTTCATCTCTGACAAGTTTTATCTAATCATTTGTATTTATTATTCGCTACAATGTTAAATTTAAATAATATGCATTTTTGTAAACTTCATGACATTTAGTCACTTTCTTTTCAGAAATGTCAGCATGCAATGCAACCCATTATTTTAACATTACGTCTATAGGAAATTAGAATTTGCTTTTAGTAAATTCGAGTTAAGTAGCATTTCCCAGGAACGCATCTCATTGTGCATAGTGGGAGAATTCTGTATATTATAGAGACAAATTCATCTTTAAAGTTGCTACTGTGATACAAAGCGTAGAGATGGCAAGCATCTCAGTGGACAGCATGGACACCATGTTCCTACGACTCGAGTATGGGTTATTGCCATGCACCACACTGCTGCAAAAAGGAATAAGTGCGTCCTCAACACAAACACAGCCTCAATGCTGACCCACAGCCTCAATGCTGACCCACAGCCTCAACACTAACTCGTAGCCTGAATCCTGACCAACAGTCTGAACAATGATCCAGTCTCAACAATGATCAATAGCCCGTGCTAACCCACAGCCTCAACACTGACCCACAGCCTCAACACTGATCCATAGCCTCAACGCTGACCCACAGCCTCAATGCTGACCCACAGCCTAACGGTTGGGGAGTGCGAATCGCGAAAATCTACGTTCTGCACAGCGGACTGTGCAGCGCTGCGCGAAAGCCGCTGCGTTACCATCTTGAGGAGGTATTGCTCCAGACTCTCCACGGTGGCCAGCGGTTCCATCTTGAGCATCCGTCCAGTCCGATCGATCAGCGACGTCTCCCCCGGCGCGCGCTCCAGACGGAACCTGAGACGCCGGTTTAATACCTGCGTGCAGCGTTGAGAGAGACGGGGGAGATGCCCCTCAACTTAATAACCAGGCGAGGGCCAACTGAGGCCAGAAGCCTCCGTGCCGTTTAAATCAACTCAACACGTTAGTCAAGAACGCTGCGTGTGGCCTAAAAAGGGAAAAAACATAACAGGCAACGTCTTTGGCAGTGGCCCTTCTTCATCGCACGTGAGTGGTGCTTGTGCACCATTGCCAAGGCATCAACAAATCATTTAGTTGCCACAGTGCTGCTGTTTTGCACTCCCTTGCCCAGCTCTTGCATCTCATCTCACTATGCTCACCTCCACACGCGTAAGTTTGTACAATATTTTTCATTGCTGCACTTTATCAGATGCGCTTCTGCGGCCGTCTGGAGCTATGCCCTTTTTAACAATCTAGATTGAAAATTCACTTCTCTAGAACTGCGTTTTGGGTTTAGTTTGTTGTCCTTCCACCGCACCTCTGATGAGCACGGTTGGCTACATACGGTGCGAAAGAAATTAAACATACATACATTTGATTTGTTTCGCTTTTGTAATTTTGGTGACCGAGGTCAACCCTTGCAAATGAGACCATCCTGGTCTCCAGAGTTCTCAATCGGGTTAAACAAAATTAACTTGCCACTCCCCTCCCTCTCAACCTCTCATCTCAAGCTACCAACCTCTCATCTCAAGCTCCAGTAACCAAGGCTTTCTGTTGAAGCCCCAACTTTTCTCAATGGGAGGGTCACTCAATCCACTGCTGGATGATGGCCTCTCCCAGCCATGCGAATCATGGGGGTTAACTGACGATACACTTTCTGCCAGTCACCTCTAGACAGTCAACCCATGGCACCAGGGTCTGTCCCGTGACCTGCTGTCAGCGTTTCTTGTGGCCTCAAAGTGCAGCTAGCCAGGCACAAACGCCGTGGTGATATCACCGCAACTTAGTGATGAATGACTGTACATTAACATGCAGAGATGTGGATGCGTCGAAGTCCAATACAATCATTTTTTATGCACTGGCCTTTGCTGCCCGCTGTGTAAACATGGAACTCTGCATACTCTACATGCACCCGTAGTTTAATACAATCTACTATTTACAAATAAGAGCTTCCCTTACCTGAAGATTGTACGGTGTTCCAGGAACATCGTAGAGATACAGAGGCAGCCTCTCGATGGATTCCAAAACGGCGATCAGCTTTCGCACCAAGGCTACAGCCAGATGGCTGCACACGTAAACACGAGACCAGCAAGAAGCAGGGTTACTTAGTTACTTACTCCTCTTCGCCCCCTGTGGAGCTTAAGGCTGCAACAAGGCCACGCCATGCCGGACGGTCTTTAGCAGCTTGCTCTAAGTAGCAGGGTTAGCTTCAAGAAAATCCAATTGGGATAATGCGAGAACAGCAGTAGCTATAGCAGGCAAGCGACGCGTACAGATGATCAAGGTAGAAACTGGAGCGCACGGTGGTCGCCAATCCAAGCACTATCCAGGTTCAAACCAGCGTAGCCTCCGAGATTTGACGAGATCCGTCAAATTCTCAGCGATTTGGTTGTAGGTGCGTAAATTTAAATCGGTGTGTTGGGGGTAAAACTGTCTACCCACAAGACAACCGCTGTTCACTTCAGCCACAAAGCATTATTCATTTCATCTACCTTTGGAGAAATCATGGGCCTAGCCAAATAGGATGTGAAACGTCCAATCGCAAGCTGCTCACTTTACACCCAGGGACGACGAAATAACAAAACAATCACCGGCACCTTTCGTCATCGTCGTTCCTCTTGAAGGCGGCCTTGAAGATGTTTATCCTCTCAATGATCTGCTTGCAGCTGTGGCGATGCTCCTTATTCACATTCTACGGAGGCATGCGCGACACACGACCAACAAGGCACTGTCAGCAGCAGCAGACGTTTGGCACTCCCCAAAGAAGTGCAGGCCACAGTGGTTCATGACATGGTCCATAGTGTGGCTGTGTGGCCACAGTCAACTACTGTGACTGACCTTAAATTTTCCGTGTATGAAGGAGACGTGCGCATCGGCCTGAGACGCAGTAAACATTTGAAATAGCGAATTCCACCTTCAGGGCTAATGTTGTTGTGTGATTACGTTGACAATAAGGAAAATATGTTTGACTCTAAAGGAGATTGGCACGAAAAACCCAAACACTGAGCTATGTAGCTCTTTTTTCAGAAGCGACCTGGTCACAAATGAAAGCTCAACAAAGTGGCTTATCACGTGGAAATTGATAGCAGCCAAATACTCTAAACGCATGTCGATTCTAAATGTGCAGGGAAAAACCGGAGGTCCCAGAGAAAAATCCACGCGACCACGGGGAGAAAGACACGCAACCTTCAAATATAACAGCAGGCGTCAGGGTTGGGATCGAACCCACGACCTCCTGTATACCAGGCGAGGTAGTTAACATCTCCTGGCCAACGTGGCACCATAACAATCAGGACGGCCATTGAATTCGAACCGGGAACCTCCGCAACAAGCGGCGAACGGCGCCCACTGCTGGGCCGCGTCAACGCCCGTACATGCGTTTGTCTCGCTGGGTAAAACGCATTTACACCCGATGCATCACACAGACGAGCCATGAGCGTCATTGTGGGGGACGTAAGCAGCAACAGAATAAATCAACAGACGATTCGCCTCCTTCCCATATTTGTACCATCACATACAAATGTAAGGTTTTTTTTTAACACATCTCAATTAGCCACACAATCTAGACATAACCCTCAGCCCTAATCCATCATTTTGCAGGCAAACTCTAGATGTCAAAACTGGTCCTGGCATGAACCGTGATCCCACAGGAATCGAACCAAAGGTAAACGGTGCAATATGCCAACAAATGCACCCATAGAGATCGCTTAATATGCGACAATAATAAATCACGTACATTGTTTAACACAGTAAGAAGTGCTTGTATAAGGCCGCTGCTGCTCATTTCGTATGGACTGATAGTGTTTTCATCTTTCAGCAGCAAAGTTAAGTCTTCCAGCGAGGCCTTCATCAGCTCCACCCAGTTGTTGTCGGCTTCATGACCCTGGAAAAAAAAAACAACCAAAACAAAACACCGCTTTTATTCGGCGCGTGACAATGCAGTAACTCAACTTGAAATCGAGCCTCGTGCTATGAGCATTGATCCATACAAGAACGCACGAGTTACAGATGATGAAAACAGTGTTAGGCCAAGGTTATGGGAACATGTGGCCTGTGTGCCAGAGCCAGCCAGTGACTTAATTTCACACAGCCCACGACGGCCATGAAGCCACGAAGCCTACCACATTGAACTGGCTTGCAATCGACATTTAACCACCACTCCGAGCATATTAGCCGCACTAATTGGGAACGAGATGGGATTTTTTTTTTTTACTTGGCAACACCGATTGTAATTTTAAATCACGATCAGTTTACTCTAAGAGTGCAGTGACAGAATGTAAATTTCAGATTCAAAATCTGGTGTCACAACAGGATTCAACACCTTTTAAAACACACCAATGTGACCTATTGTAGGGATATATTTTAATCGAAGGTTCTAAACATTTTCACCCTCATGTTGGTGTTACGATTTTTCTGGTGAGATGCCTAGAATAGAGAATGTTTGCATCAACTTTCAGCTATTACTCCCTTCTAGAACATCCAACAGACATTACTCCAATTACCAACGCCCTCAGAATTGGCCAAATTTCAACTACGTACCTCAAACATACTCAACTGAAATAGCAGCAATCATCACTCCCCCCTACTGTTGCAAAAAAACCTTGGCAGGACCCTCCTGTAAGAGTCAGTGAGGCTGTTCCTGGGTAAATAAGTGTAAGGAAGACAACAACAGGAGCTCATTCTGCAGCGTGATTGCCGAGTGAGCACCTGGCTATTCCTATAACACGTAAAGCACGGAACTGACAGTCGTCGTTTGTACCACGACCCTTGGTAGGCGTTATTGTTACAAAACATCTGGACCATGCAATATCTGTAACCATCGCCGGATGCCCATGAAATCAGCGAGCCCAACAAGCTCATCGAGCCCCTTCCTGCCGAAATCGAAGACTCCCTCACCCTGCTGTTGGAGTGCAGCTCCCACGACGACTCTAGCCGCGTGGCGATGTTGCGCAGCGCCAGCACGGTGCCCCGGGGCATGCTCTCCACCGCCTTGAAGTGGTTCTCATAGAGCTCCTTCGCCATGATCTGCACCTGTAACCGCACTGCACGCGCGTGCGTGCACGTACGTTTAAACTTTTTTCGCACAACCGTGCCAATCGGTTGCCACCGTACGCAGCTCTTCAATCCCTTGAGCTTTATAAATAACGATCGCTGGGCAGCGTCGCTTCGAAACCGACTCGGAACGCTTTCTGTAAATGACGGGGAAACTGTCAGAAAGATTTTGGCGGGTACAGTAATACCCAGATTGACGTCTCTCCCTTTCACGTCGTTTGGCAAATAGGCCGTAACTTTATTGACACCGCTACCCGATTTGCATCGCCTCAACCCACACTCACGTCGCTGACAGCATCGTTATCCATCCTCTCTCGGAACCGTCGCCTCTCAGCCTTCATTCGCCTCCACCTGCTACCCTGTAAATCGCTTTGATTGATGTCGTTTCGATATTCGTCGTCGGACCTTTCAGGATCGCATCCCCGACGTAAACCGGGGGGTATTACCGCACCTCTCTCGCTCTCCCTGCTTCCGAGTTAAGCGGTGGAATTTTCACCAACAAGGTTGAGCACTGATTGAGCAGGGAAAACACTTTGATTTGCAAATGCGTTGACCTTCAATGCATGGATGTTTTGAAAAGTAACTCAACACCGTGTAAATGTGTGGCCTTAAAAAGGAAAAATATATAACGACATAAGCCTCAGCAATAATTGTAAATTAAAGCCCTTTGCAAATCTAATGTTGGATGTCGGCCTCCCCACACCGTCAGTCATTTCACCATACTACACTATGCTGATCAGTGGTGGGTTTATTTACAGTGGAGGGCAGTCCGGATATTCACCCACCATTGATTTTAGCCATGACCGGGAAATAAACTCAGCGCTTACCACTTCACCAAACTCAATCCAAATAAGATTTACCAATTTGATAGGTGCTTTATCTTTTCTCTTACCTATAAATGTCATTTTTTGTCTGTGTGTGCGCGCGCTTGCGAGGGATATGGCTCTCAAACGGTGGGGTTAGCGTAAAAAAAAAATAGCCAGGTACCATGCCCCAATTTTTGTTGAGCTTGCTGTTCTTAGGATTGGTGAGGAGCATGGTAAGAGAGACATTGTGCTTCGATACCAAGACAACACCATCAAACGATTTCCTGACACAAACAGAGCATATGATGCCCTACAATACCACATTTTACTGTGGCAAGGCCAAGATGGGTACCACGTCCAGATTCCTCAAATTATATGTATCAAAGCTACAGGACAAAGACATCCTCACAAAACTGGTCTCCTCTAAACTATTCCTTCATGATCATGGACAGAGGCGAAAACCACGTATTACGGTGCGCCAACCTCCTTCACCCAGTATATTGTCGATGAGTATGCCAACATTTAGAGCGAGTGCCTTCCTTACATTAAACTGATTCAAAAACGCCTGCGTGTTGAACTGTACGCTCATCTCTGAGACGCTATCAATGCCGACGGAGATGCAAACGCTCAGAATGTGGCCAGATTCGTTTTTTTTCCCTTCATCCTTCACAGCTGCACCAAGATGCATGCATGAGAAGACTCAGGATGCCATGACGTACATCAGCCAATATGGCAGGCCCAATCTCTTTATCATCTTCACATGCAATCCAAAATGGAAGGAGGTCCAAACCAAAAGCCACCAGAAACACATGCCATCTTAGCAAGGGTCTTTAAACTCAAAGTTGATTACCTCATGATGCTCATTACGACTAATGAAAGCGGCGTCTTTGGAAAGACAAGCAGTAACTTGCACACCACTGAGTGTCAAAAATGTCGTCACATTTATCAGTGCTGAGCTACCTGACCCCCATCAAGACCCTGCCCTTGTTGATGTGGTGTGCGAGCAAATGGTCCATGGCCTATGTGGGCAGTTCAATCCAAATTCGCCATGTATGCAAGACCGCAGGTGTACCAAGAAGTATCCACAAAACTTCTTGAAAGACACTCAGTCGGGCCATGATGGCTATCCTTTAAATCATCGCAGAAATACTGAGCATGGTGGATTTTAAACAACGATCAGACCTGCCACTAACTCTCAAATGAAGGTTGACAACCGGTGGATCTTTCCCTACTGCCCTCTTCTGTGCAAGATCTTCGAGGCCAACTTTAATGTGGAATTCTGCAATTCTGTGAAAGCCATCAAATATGTTTGCTAATACATCAACAAAGGCTCTGACATGGCTCTCCTTGCCTTACAAAACAGAGGGGCAAAGTGTGGATGAGGTTAAACATGCTGTCCAAGGAAGATACATCAGCAACAATGAGGCCATTTGGAGAATTCTTGGCTTCCCTATCTATGAGCGTTCCCCCACAGTCGTCCATTTGGCAGTTCACCTCGAAAACGGTCAACGCATCTACTTCACCGAAGGAAATGCCTAACAACAGGCCCTGGCTCCACAAGATACCACCCGGATGGCGTTCTTTGTTTTGTGCCAAAGTGACCCATTTGCTGCCAACCTGCTCTACCATGAAGTTCCCTCCTACTTTACATGGAGTGCTAATAAAAATGGAAGCGACGTGCTGCTCACGGTGAATCTGATGCCTTACGAAGAGTCGACACAGTTCATCCCAACAATCAGGAGTGCTACTTTCTCCTAATGCTTCTACATGTTGTCAAACGGCCTAAATCTTTCCAAGACCTCAAAACAGTGGAAGGAGTTGTCTGTCAAACATACAGGGAAGCTTGCAATCTTCGTGGAATTCTTGAGGATGATCAGCATCTTCAAGTTTGCAGCCCATCTAACCCCAAAGGGCATGAGTGAGGACATCCTCCACAGAGCTCAACGAGAAAATCAAAACCTCGACTTAAACTTTTCTGGTGCCATCTTAAAACAGGCCCTCATCCTCCTTGAGGACAAACTGCACTCCATTGGTGGAAAAGACCTCACGTCTATGGGACTACCAACACCCTACAGGGACAACCTGCATGCCCTTGCTCAAGAGATCGTACGTGAAATATCCTATGATGGTTTAGAGCTTCTTAAATGTATTGAGAAAAATGAACCAAAGCTGATGGATGCACAAAGAGAAGCCTACACGAAAATCTTGGAAGACATTGAGACTAAAAATAGAGTCATTTTTTTCCTGGCGGTACTGGGAAGACCTTTGTTCTCAACCTGCTCCTCGCTAAGGTTCGCCATAGGTAGAAAATTGCTCTAGCCCTGGCATCATCGGGGATTGCTGTGTAAGTCGATGTGTGTGTGTGCGAGTCGATGTGTGTGTTTGAGCCCATATGTGTGAGCGTGTAGATCTATGTGTGTGTGGGTCGATGTCTGTGTGTGTGCAAGTCGATGTCTGTGTGTGTGTAAGTCGATGTGTGTGTGTCTTTTTCGCCAGTGCAACGCCGGGTACTTCCCGCGAGTATTAATTGTAAAAATGGCCAACGTTAACAGACCTGCAGGTCGCCTGGGTAAGCTGAACAAAAGGCCAACGCAACGCACACATGTTAATGGGAAAAAAATAAACTCCAAGTGTCTCCCTTCTCAAAACACCCATCCACGTCCGGTCGTGAAACAACGCGGAGACGTCAAGAGGACAACGTCGAACAGCGGTTGGAAAATATGCCTCCCCCCTTTCCCCCCTATGAGTGACATCATCTCACACAGGCCCATTGCCGCACTAGGCCGTGAACCACTTCAAAGGGGCCCTACAAACGATATTTATATCCATTTAACACGTAGGCTTTAGTGACCAATATTATCCATAATACAGATTTTTTTTGTGTTAGATCACGTAAGTATAAATGTGTCGTTAAACCTGCCACCACTCGACACAGAAAATTAGTAAGATTTGTCACATTAACACAACATGCCAATTTATTACGAGTACAGCACACCGGTGCGTTGGAGAGTAAATATTATGGATATTTATATCCGTCACGGGCGAGCAAGTTGGCAGCTCTAATCGGGTACAATAAGGGGAATATTTTCGAACTGCCAACAACACCGTTTATTAAATTTAGTGCCGCGCTTGGCCACTTTCGCTACTGCAAGGTGGCACGCCAAGGGGTATTGATTTGAAAGTCCGATTCAGCTCTCAGCAAGGGGGAAGGTTCTCTCCCGCCCTGATGAGGTTTTCCCAAGGTCGCTCGCTGCTCCATTGGCCCCGTGCAGGTCACGAGGTGCACCACCACCACCCACCCACCTTCTGCTTTGTCTTCTCCAGTTTGGAACGCAGCTTTTTGCTTCGTTTCCCCGTCCACCCTGCAATAAATTCACTTCCTAAAGTGAGAACATTTTATAAAAGAAAGGAGCATTAAAAAAGCCCCTGGTAGTATATTTACACTCATCAAGGTCGAGTCCGGTCGAAGGGGTCTCTCCCTGCTCAAAAAAGAGCAGGGGGGGGGGGGAGCTGGTACGGGTCTCCAATAGCACCATGAGCCAGAGGTGGACGTTCCTATGGTGAGGTGAGGGGGCGGCAAGTCCAGCAGTAGGACAGCTGCGATTTGACTTTTCATTATTCAAGAGTTCAAATTCGGCGCGACGGGTCCGTACGTACAGAGTTGGACTCGCTGCCTCAATCCAGTGGGGACACGCATTGGGCGTTTTATTTTTAAAGTGCTTCTGTTTTATCGACCGAGTTAGGGGAATAAGTAGAGAGTCAATTCCTGGCTGGGATTTGAACTCACTCACCCTGTCCGATAGTGCGTCAAGTGCTGTAACAACACACTGCCACCCCCCACATCTTGAGGGTTAACGAACGACACAGCATTGAATGAACTACGCGGGGGCGGGGCGCTATGCACATGCCCGTAAGCGCACGTGCACGTTCACATACTGGCACAGGCACCGTGGTGACGTCACCATCACTCCATGGTGGGTATTACTATTGCTGCAGGTTCACGCCCGGGCCGAAACGGAGAACGGAGAATTTCAACTGAGAATAATTAGTCCACCATATTTGGAAGAAAAAAAAGACAAGCCTGGGAGTCGATCAAGGGAACCTCTCTGTTTAGGGTAGGGGGAGGCGACTGTGCACATAAATGTGTGCATGACAAAGCGCAACCGCACGTGGATGCGAACGCACGCTAAGCGTACGCCGACAACCCAAGCACCCTCGCTTCTCTATCACTTCTGCGACACGGCGGCAATGTGAGGTTGCTCGCCTCTCCGAACTGTATTCTGTTGGCAATCTTGCATTGTGTTGGTAAGCCAGGTGGGGCAAGTTTTATGGTAAAGATTTAGCAGTTTTGTATTTTCAATGAAAGTACGTGAAGTTATCCTCTGGGGGCACTCATGGGACGGTCATAGCGGCCGTAGCAATAAGCAGCCAATCAGCTCCCTTCAAACTGACGAAAGACATTACCTCTCGCGACGCAATCGTAAGCGGACGCAAAATAAAACCGCCACGGTTTAAAGGCCCCACCTAGGGATGTCTCGGCTGTGAAGGAATGCTTCGTGCCACGGTTCGACTCGAACACGAAGCCCGGGAGGTCCTCCTTCAGGATGGTGGCCTGCTGCCCGTCGCAGTTGTGTATTGCGATCTCCCCCTCCTTGAGGCAGGTCAGGGTCCAGTTACCCACGACCAGCTTGCTCGGGCCGGGCACGGACAGGACGGGCTGGCTCGGGGTGCCTGCCTTCACCTGGCCACGGGCTCGCTGCAGTTTCTCCAGAAACTCACTGCGGCTCTCTGAAACGCAAGATCAGGGTGTGGGTTTGTGAGTTACTGATGGGGCCATGCGGCACGGTCATCAAAAGCATTCGCGTGGCGTGACCTTTTGAAGGAAGCTGCAACAAGAGGCTGTTGCGTGGCTCGGGGGTCAGAGCACTGAGCCGGCACCGTTGAAATCCCGGGTTCGATTCCATGCAGCCGCCTGTGAATAAACCGGGTTCTGAAGTGTAACGGAGTTTGATGGTCTCAGCCCAGTCACCAGTGACCGCAGAAGAAATGCCATCGTATTAAATTTGGTTTTTGCGATTGATTTGGACTCAATTTCAGCTCTGAAAATTAAAAATGTTTTATTTGACAGCTCAGTGACCTTCCGTCGGCCATTTCCTAACACGGCGTGATGCACTGCTCTTGCCAGATTTCTAAACCTATGCGTTGTCTCACAACTTTGACACCCATGGAATTTTTTAATAAAATTGGGGAAAACAATGAAGAGTTATTTTATCATGGGGGAAATGCGAACACAACACTGGGTCGGCTTCCACCTCAATCACCCGTCGCAACGGCACGGTGGTGAGATGCTAACTTACTTCGCCGGGTATACAGGAGTTTGTGAGTTCGTATCCCAACCCTGACGCCTGCTGTATATTTGGAGTTTGCACGTCTCTCCCCGTTGCCGCGTACATTTTTCTCCGTGTCCTCCGGTTTTTCCCTCCACATTTAGAATGAACATGCGTTTAGGAGTATTTTGCTGCAATAAATTTCCGCATGATGAGCCCACTTCGCTGAGCTATCATCTGTGGCCAGGTTGCCTCTGAAAAAGAGCTTTGTGTAGCTCGGTAGGCCCTTACCGGGTAATTAAAACATAATTGTAGTTTTGTTTTACCTGAACTGTCGGATCCACCTTCCGGGTTGCCGCTGGAGTACATGGTGGCGAGCTTCCCATCCAGGATGAAGCGGAACCATCCGTTGGAGCCGTTGGAGAGCTCCAGGGCGGCTGCGTCGCTCCAGATGTAGAGGCAGTCGCGGCCGCGCACCACCGACCAATCGCGCCAGTGGAACGGCTTCCCCTGCACCAGCTCCTTGGCGTCTTCGTGCAGAGGGCTCTCCTGCTGGCACGGGAAGACGCGACGCGACACGCCGGTCACCATCAGACCACCGGGTCAAATAGAATTGCGTGCCCTCGCTCCTCTCACCTCGCGAGCAAAGCAGGGTTATTATTGGGCCTGGTTAAAACGATTCAACTGAACTATTTTTTATTTTGCCAGGTAAGGGCCCACTGAGCTGTACACAGCTCTTTTTCATAAGTAACCTGGCCACAAATAATAGCTCAACAAAGTGGCTTATCATGTGGAAATGGAGAGCAGTGAAATACTTGAAATGTATGTTGATTCTAAATGTGGGAGGAAAAAACCGGAGGACCTAGAGAAAAATCCACTTGACCAAGGGGAGAGCATGCCAACTCCAAATATACAGCAGGCACCAGGGTCAGGATTGAACCCACGACCTCCTTTATACCAGGCCACGTTGTTAACATATCCCCACTATAGTGTCACTTTCGCCACCGTGCTTGTTATTGGGATCAGACAGCCCCAAAATACAATGTATTTTGGGCTGAAAGGGTAGTTAGGAGATTGTCGGCCACGGCTAACATCAGTGGCGAGCGATAGCAGTCATGAGCCCTGCTCTTCAACAACCTCACTGACCGGGGTGGTGAAACATGGCCAAACAACCCCCATTGACCAACACGGCGTGGAGAGATCCTCATCCAGCAGAGTATTGACAATGAGGCTCTACATTTGTAGATTGCACCTCCTTCACGTGAGAGACGGGAATAGCCATCACAAGTCTGCTTGTATTAGAAGGATTTGTCTGTTACTCTTTAGCTCCTGTGAGGTAAATATTCACATGCCCATTTAAAACTGGTCATCAGAAGATACTAGAAAAAAATTGAGCGGCAGATGGCAGCCTTCACACGGCCCACTCGGGTAAATGAGAAATCACAAATAATGCCATCAATGCGGCGACCGAGCATCGAACATCAATCTTCCAGTCTCCAGAGCAACATCACAAGCCATGCCAACGGCACACTTCAGGGCCAAACAACAACGCACCAGAGAGGCCCTGGGAGAAGGATCCTCGAACTACGAAGGAGACATCACAGCCGATACACTCCGTTGACCCTGACGCGGTTATCTGGCTTGACCACCTGAATGTGAAATTGTAGTTGTTGCTCTGCATCTACATCAGCCATTGAAAAAACTTTAATTCTTATCGGGATCCCATATTGTAAAGTGAATTCTACAACTCTTATTCTCCACTCTGTCTCTCTCGCCTCTCTATTCGGGAGCTATGAAGAGGGGCCACTGCCTCTATCCCTTGAAGAAGAATTGTAATAGGTGACAAAGCATTTGCCGTTGCAGCACCAATGTTTTGGAACAACCTTGTTTCGTCTCTTAACATCATAAATCTTCCTTGAAAAAATATCCTGAAGCAGAAGATTAGTGCTGGGTCCAAGCACATTTGCAAAATGCGATTTGTAACTTTTAACCTTACCCATGTATTCACTGACAGAGCCAGTGGGGGTGGGGGTGGGGGGTGGGGTGGGGTGGGGTGGCTCGTGCCCCCCCAATGATCCAATCTAAATCCTTAATTTCGATCAGATCATTGGGGTTTATTAGTAATAAATCGGCATCTTGCGACCCCCACTGCCATTTTGTAGCATATTATTAGGTGCCAGGGACTCTATGAGATGATAGGACAATAGTCTGAGTCCATAATTGGCAATATGTAACGGCAAAGCAGTTGCATATACAGTACACGACTTCCCTGAAGGCATCAACACCTCCAGCGAGCGCGATGCCGATCACACAACGCGGTTCGAATTCGACCCTTGATCGATGGCTGCGCCATCGCCGCACACGCGTCGAATAAAAAGCAAGGGACAAGTCCTTACTTACTAACAACTCCTTACTTACTAACAACTCCTAGCATTTATCATTGATGGAGGGGTTGCCCTCCCTCCCTCCCTGAAAATCCTGGCTAATCCTGGCTCCGCTATTGCATGTATTTTATTGGGGGACTGTGTTGGCCTGGTGTGGTCTGGGACTGTTTTTGTTGTTTTGCTGCCTTGCCCAAGCTTGCATTTAGTATTTAAAAATCGACAGTAATTTATATACAATTTGTACTATGTACTTGATTTATATTTATACATTTATTTTTTCGTGACTTGCTTACCTTTGCTCTACTTTGCACTCCTATCGTGTTTTTGATTTGTTTGCTGTTGTGACTTGCCGATCCGCCCCTACTGGACATCTGTGAAAAAGAGCGTCACAGCTTATCGGATACCTCCTGCAGTCTAAATCAAGATTCTCACTCTGAGACTGCCTTTTTTTTTTCAAATAATCATCATCATGCCCTTTCTAATCACAAAAGGAGCCACCCCGGTATTTGTACGAATAGACAAGAGCTTTCGCCCCCCACCCACCCCCCCCCCCCCCCCCATTCATCAAAAGCATCGCAGTCCATCCGTCCGTCACCTTGTCCACCTGCGCGTCGTCTTCGTTCTCGTCGTCGGAGGCCGTTCCGCCCAGGCTGGACACCTTGCTGATGACGCCCAGCCTGGCCAGCTGATCCACAAACAGGTCCCCTCCCTTCTCCACGAGGTCGTCGATCATCTGCAGCGCCAGCAGGTGACCGTCGTCGTCATCCTGCCGGAACGTCGCAGTCGGGTGGGGGGAAGGGGGGTTTAGGTGACGGGGGGAGGGGCGGGCGGGGAGGCAGACCGCATCCGCAACGAGACGCGCAACGACAGAGATTAGGGGGGGTGCCGCGAGACGGGGATTGAAAAAGAGCAGGTTGCGTGTAGCACCCTCGGTGGTTTAGTGGAAACAAAACTCGAGAATGGTGGAATGAAAGCGTAAACACTCATTAGCTGCACGCAGGGTATTTGATTTTAGGGGTTTTCTTTGATCCCTCCCTCCCTTCCCACTTCATCTTCCCTCGGCGAGATCAGCGAGGCAATGTGGTTCGTTGGTGGCAAGCGCTTTGTGTGTAACGAGTGCGACCCTATAATTAATTCGTTTGGCAACCGGAAGCCAACGCAGCTCGGCGAGCGCTTCCCCTTGGTCGCGAGCTTAGTGGCGACCACTCCGTTGCCTTGGCACAAACGGCTGCAGTGAATCAATAAACATTGTCTTGGATTTGGAATTGAGCCGTCTCACTGCCCACTCCGTCCCCCTCCCCGCCCACTACCTCCCCCAGCCCCCATGGGCTCTGCGCCCACTTTAGTCAACTCGATGTTTGGGGGGGGAGGGGGGGAAGTTAACATGACAATGCCGTTGAACGCAATACCCTCGCCAGTCAGAACTATCACGTGTTCAATGAAAGCGCTCAACTGTTGCCATTAGTATTTCAAACCTGTGATTATGCGCCTCCAATTAGCATGGTTGGCTATATACGAAAGAAGTTCAAGTTCAACACGAGTGTTCATTTTGCACGGGGCCCTGCGTGCATTCAGATGATCTTTATGGAGGTAAAAAGGGGACCAAGGTAGAGCACTGGGGGGGGGGGGTGGGGTGCCCTTTGAGCCACGCAACCATCTCTCTGCGGTTCCACAGTCAAGACTCCTTACCTCGTGATCCAACACGGCCGAGGTGACCTCTGCTAGAATGATTGGCAGATTATGGCCCAAATCTGATCCGCAAACTTCCTTTAAAAGTGCTTCAGGGCAATAGTGCACCATTTTTCTGATAAGTGCAAGGCTTGCTTTCCTGTTGAGAGAGAGAGAGCGGGGGGACGGGGGGTGATTCGGAGCTGACGTCATTTACTGATCATTGAGAAATCCGCTCACAAGTCACGATGCCACCTTGCAAAATCGCAAAATCAGTTAAGCTAATCAGGACGCTCAAAATAATAACAGATCGTCACAAACGTTGTTACGGTCAATTATACCTCGTTATACGGAAACACAACATACGGAATTTCGCTACGACATAACATATACATTCGGGACTGGATTTTATATATATACGTTATGTTATATTTGCATACACGTAATTTTTAATCTCTAAAAAAATCGAACAACAAATGGTTTGTCATTTGTCCTCGTGCGCATTTCACGCTGTACTGGATTCCCGCTGCATTAGCAAGTGTAATTTGATTAAGGTCTCCAATCATACAATGAAAGTTCCATAAACGGAATTTCACTTTACGGACAACTTTCCAGAAACGTATCTGTTTCGTATATTTTCGAGAGATGCCCGTACAAGGCCGGACTGAGCTATGTTTAGAGCGCGTGATTCACAGCTGGAAAAACTCAAGTTAAGCGCCGACTTCGCCTATCATCTGTCTGGGGTTGAGGACAGTCTGTTCTCCTACAATGCGGCATTAGTTGTGTTCCTGAAGAAACCGATTTATGGAAAAATTGCGTGAGAATAAATAACATTTCATTTAGGGGTAAAGCACAGTCTGTGATAATACGCGAGATGCGTAAGGAGGCTGAACAAAAGCTGAGGCGTGCGGGGAGCATCTCGAAGCATCCCGCCTTGTGCAATGCTACGCTGGGGGGCAGCCGTACGACCGCTTAGTCCTACTCACGTGACGTCGTTCCATTCGCTCGATCGCGTGGCATCCAATTTGCATCCGCGTTAGAAAAATATGTATTCCCTAATACATTCATCGCGTTACAGAAGAACAGACTGAACACATTTTTTTGCAGGTCAACAGTGGTTCCTTCCGCCTGCATTGAGACCGGCACCTGCCATATAAACGTAGAATGTCCACCAGTGGCTCTCAAGGCTCGCAGGGAAAAAAATTTGCGTAACCACGTGGCTCGTCAAGAGCAGTGAGAGGGAGCGTTCACGCAATCACCCTCCCTCCCCGCTGGGTTCAAGCAAACGGGAACCCAAACCCCAACTGAGCGGCGGCGGCCGAGCACGTGAAACGGGCGCGCTACCTCACAGAGGGCATCATGGTTTGCTGGAAGGTCTGGGCGAAGATGGGCAGCAAGCGTTTCAAGTAGACTGGCGCCATCTCCGGGTCGCCTTTGGGCTCGTTGAGTTCCTCCTCTTTGTGGCCGCAGTCCTTCTTCCTCTTCTCGTCGTCTTTATTCACGGGGCACATCCACTCACCTGATGGGACGAAGGCGCGCAAGCGGAAAAAAAAGGTTCACTTTGCAGGTTGGGCAATAGGGCGCGCATGTGAGTGCGTGCATGCGTGCGGATCCCAAAACGCAGCGTGCGCTTTCCTGCAGAAACGTTGAGTTAGCAGGCGGGAGGGCCTGCCGGGTCGCTCGCAGGGCGAAACGCATCGGGCTCATTTAAAAATGGTCCTCCTTTACTTTCATGGTTTGTGTCTCCAAGTTTTGGAAAACACTTTGATCGGTTTGGCCGGTTTTCGAAAGGGAAAGTCCCTAAATAGCAGCACCACTTTACGTTGAAGTTTATCTCACATGGAATCACATATTAAAGCTTAGGCATAAAGGTTTTCAACCTCGGTTAAAAAACTCCATATAAAACTGTCTCATAACGCAAACATGTATGTATAAATCGGCTGACATTCGAGTGCCGAATGGACTGTGCATTACCCACTGCAATGCCACTGCACCCCCAGATATAAGGAAACAACAGCCTTTACAATCTCCTAAATAAGACACAAGCAGGCTTCCTCCCCCCTCCAATGGCCCGGCTTGTCAGCTTGTGTCACACGGCCGGCAAACGCACGCACCGGGAGACTGCAGTATGGAGACCACCTCGCTGTGTCCCCTCTCCCTGGCCTTGTCCAGAGGCGTCTTCCCGTCCTCGTCACGCAGGTCTGGGTTGGCTCCGTGTCTCAGCAGGGTCTGTGTGCAGAGGCACAAGCCGGATGGGTTAACTACCGCGGCACAGCGACGACAGGAGTGACAGCAGTGTGGTCAAAGTAGCCGCGCACACAACATCGGTAAACTTTCGCAGGCTATTCACGTGGCGTATGGCTCATACAAAGACACAGACACACACATTGCATTGATGTGTTACACCTTTTACAGTGGCAGAAGAGGATCTTTGTATGCTGTTTTAAAGGAGTACATTTAAAGCAAAATAACAATGCTAACCTTTGCCACTTGTGGGCGACCGAAACAAGCTGCGTAGTGTAGGGACGACGACCTCTGACCTCTATTCACATCAGCCCCTCGTTCGCACAGAAACTCCACCTAGCAGGGAGGAACGGGTGCAGGGGTCACACACAAAACGCGTCTCAGCGAATCCGACCTCTGCCCTCGTGATAGCTCTGCGAATGCGTCGCTGCTGCTTTGGGAGAGAGCTGCTGCACATCACCGAGCCATTACGACCACAGATTAATCATTCACACGGAACAAACCCGGTATGCCTCTACAATCCCAACCCTTAATTTCCCGAGCCACAGCCCGTGACGACTCGGGCAACAAGGAAGTCGTCAAGAACGTTGTCGTAAGCAACCAGATGTTGTAGAACGGGTGGCAAGATTTTACGTCAGATTAAGGTAATTTATTCGTGGCTTTTTGCTTTGTTACATACCATCTCTTGAGTGCCAAACGCAGAGGCCCAGTTCAGCAACGTCTGTCCGACATCATCCATGAAATTGACTTCAAACGCTGCGAGGAAAGACAACCGAGTTATATTAATAATGATGATAATAACACTTGCATTTACATCACAATCCACGATGTAACAAAACGTCTCAGAGCTAAAAGTTTCTTGAGCCTGGGAGATGCCCGTAATGGCCCACATGTGAGCACGAGTCTGAAGGTTGGGGAAAATGAACTGTCCATAAGTAAATCAAGCAATCTACACTTAGCACAGCGCCCTTAACAATTACATTTTAACAGAACGCTTCACAAGTAAAGACATAAAAATTTAAGTTGCACAAAACAATAAAACGTATACACAAGAGATTATAAAGTATACACAGAGATTATAAAATACATCTTTAGCACGATTTTAAAACTCTCAACACAGCTTCCTTATCAGATGGTGTTCATGGTGCACTCCACATTAACACACCGTCTAAAAGCACAATAAAACTATCCAACTCTCTTGACCCATGTTATGGCGGAAAGGCAGCTACAGCCACCAAATGGTGCAGCCCAATGCTCAGGAAACACCCGCAGCTACGACCACGACGGCGCCCGGCTCACCGCCCGTGTCGATGGCGTCGATGAGCGCGTCGGTGTCCTTGCTGCGGATGCAGTCGATGAGCTGCCGGTGGGAGCGCTCCCCGGAGCTATCGAGCCGGCGCAGGCCGGGGATGCGGCTGCTGAGGCTCGACGTGGACTTGGGCAGCGCCTTGCGGCCCTCAAAGAGCAGCACGAGCAGCAGGTCGACGAGGCGCATCGTGTCTAGCGAGCAGCGTTCGTCGCCCTGCACCGCGCTCTCGATGGCATCCGGCAGCACCGAGCGCAGCAGGTCCTGAGACGACAAGCGCAACGACGCAAGCGCGGGCGCGCCGAGTTCACCTTGCGCAGCTCACGGGGGGACACAGCAGCCACGATAGAAGAGCATAAATCGCATCCGACTGCTCCTTTACGTGCAATTGCATCGTGCGCAGCGTGGCAGGAAACGGGGCGCTCCGCCCACGCGTGGCAACGGCACCGATTGGCTGGCGCGCTCACCCTGGTGACGATGGGGGAGCCGCGGCACAGGGTGGACAGGAGGCTCACGATGGTCGACACCTGGCTGACCATCTTCGAGTCCGGCGCGGTGGCGATGGCCGACGACGGGGGGCCGCGGGCGGCCTTGGGGGTGCCGGACGTGCCCGTCGTGCCGCACGCCCCCGCGGAGGCGAGGCGGGCGAGCAGCTCCAGGGAGAGGCCGTGCTTGGCCAGCGGCGCCGGGTCGACGCCGCGGCGAGTGAAGCGGTCGGCCAGAGACGCGAAGCAGCGCAGAGCCCCGTCGGACACCTTGCCGGCGTTCAGCGGCACGACACAATTTCAATGGCGAGCGACATCACGAGCATGAAACAAAACGCGGTGCGAGCAGAGACTGCGGCACGCAATGTACAAAAAATACAACGTCGAGCTGCATTTCTATTTGTGTGCTGAAATCGGGTTAACCGTCAGTGGTTCTCAACCGGGGGCGGTATGCAAACGCCCAGGGGGGGCTACGTGGCAATGTGCCATTGCCACGTAGCCCCCCCTGCCAATATAAAATAACTACGATAACATTTGCATCCATATGGTAAACGATAGAACGATATAAAATACCTTTCTAAATTCATTGATTGCAAACAAAGTGGTTTTCAAGAGTAACCAGCGAGCGACACATTACGTTACGCATGCAGAGCATCCGTTTATTGTTTTTATCTGCTTACGGGTACTCGCTAGTTAGGATACCTCACAAAATGGACAACTAGTTAAAATATTGATGTTCATTCTTCACACATTAATTTCTCAGAACCATGTTGGGTAAGGCAAGGGGGGTACTCGGTTGAAACACAATTTAATAAGGGGTACAGTCACCAAAAAAGATTGAGAACTACTGGTTAACATAACCATTCCAGCCACTTGAGGCCACATTATACAATAAAATAACGCGGCCTCTAGCAGATCTGCAAATGTAATCACGACCCTGAATCCTGACATTATATTGACTCACAAGGCAGGTGAATCATAGACCCAGGACCGGTTTAGACATTGCTCTCCCACCGATATAAGCCGTGGCCGGGAATGAAAGTCAGCAGATTCGTGACCCACTATTCACAAACAGGAGCAACCATTCTTATTACTCACAAAGGGGCCTCCTGGTAGGAGCGCGAATAGACACGTTCTCCTGCATGTTCCACTCCGACTACAACCAAAGTTTAAAGTGTTGGTTAAGTATTCGCTCGCTCTCGTAGAGAGAGGCGCGAGGAGGAACCATATTACAGGTGTTATCAGCCAATGAGTGAGAGTTTGTAGGTGGGAGGAAACCAGAGCACCCGTAGAAAACCCACGCGTGCGAGGGGTAAACACAATCCCATACAGACGGACCAGGCCAAGTCCACATTTACACTGTACTGCTCTCTCCTGGCGAGCCAGGGTACGGCACCACCTTCACACGCACGAGAATGTATGTGTGTTGACCTTCTTTCACACCGTACATATCCAACCGCGCTAATCGGAGGTGCGGGGGAAGGATAACAAACTAAAACACAAAAATCAGGGAAGGGAGTTTCACAAACATTTGAGCGGGGATCCACAACCCCCGGAGCCACTGCCGGCCCGGACGCGTTTGCGTTGCATCCCTCGCCGTGAGAGAGAGCGAGCGAGCGAGAGGGCAAGGGAGCGAGCGAGAGAGAGAGCGAGCGAGCGAGACGGCCGCCACCGCACCTGCGGGTCCTCATGCTTGAGCATGACGGAGAGGGCTTCGACGCAGGACTCGAGCGACGCGTCGTGCGGCTCCATCTTGCTGCACAGGCGCGACACCACCGCCATGGCCGAGTGCAGCGTGTCCTTGTGCACCAGGTGGCCCGAGTCGCGGATGAACTGGAGGACGCAGCTCAGCCCGCCGGCCTCGAACACGGCCCCCGACTCTCGAGTGCAAATCAGTTCCAGCACCTAGAAGGGGGTGGGTGGGGTGGGGGAGCAGCAGCAGGGGAGACGCGCTGATGAAGTCGCAAGCTTGGTTCATCGTTTTACGCATAAAGGGGTTGGGGGGGGGGGGGAAGCTCTTCCTTGCCGAGGGCCCATTTCGCCACGGGAGGCGAGATGTTAACTACCTCGCCTGGTATACAGGTCGTGGGCTCGATCCCGACCCTGACACCTGCTGCTGTATATTTGGAGTTTGCATGTTTCTCTCTCTCTCCCCATGGTCACGTTGATTTTTCTCTGGGTCCACCAGTTTTTCCCCTCCGCATTTATGATCAACATCACGTGTATTATTGTGTATCTGGCTGCTATACATTTCCACACGTGAAGACACTTCGTCGACCTATCAATTGTGATATCCAGCTCTGAGAAAACTACACAGCTCAGTGGGCCTTACCTGGCAAAACAAAAATAGTAAGTTAGCGACTTGTTAATTCATTATTTTCTTTTCTTTATTATCCAATAGAGCCGCACCGAGTCTTTCTGGAGGGTCCACCTCCTTGAGGGAGAGACAATGACCACCTGATGAACAATCACATGGCCATCAAAGTCAAACAATCCTACTGAAGCTCCAACTGGGAAAACACACAACTCGGCGCGCACAAAAATTGCGCAATTTATTAAAAGAACGCAAGTGCGAAACATTACACGTGAGGAAATGTGTTTCCCCAAGTTAGTCAGCAACGTATATGCCAAACAACGCGTAATGGCGCTATTTCTAGCGGGGAATTCCTGTATTGCTCATAAAGAGAACCAACTTGCTGCGTCAGACAAGCTCCAAGTGCTCTGCTCGTAAACTGAGACTTTGTCGAGCGACTGCACAAGGCATAGTTCCCGAGCAGGACCGCTCCCAAGTGAACTTTGCGTCGTGCAATACACGAGTTCTTCAAACTTATTATCGAACGTGCTCCTATGCATGCTGCGAGCTGCATTATGATCACAATGCACATCTTGAATCGCGCTTATAAAAATCATTTATTTATTAACTAGCTTTACTACCCGGCTTCGCCCGGGACTTGGATTCACCACGCCCGGCCGCCTTTGTCTACCCAGTGGCGATGTTCACACACCACAGCAGTTACTCGTTTGAGGCTGAGTCGACGTAGGGGAGGCCCAGGACCGGTTCAAATAATCGTCACCAGTGGTGGCCGTGAGCGGGAATCAAACTCGGGGCGCCGGGTTCGTAGCGCAGCATAGCGCTAACCACTACACTACCGCTCCCCCACACACAAACACGCGCGCGCGTCCATAGGTACACATACACGCACTTGCTGCAGACACACACAACTTTCAAGGTGCGTACAGCAGTAAACGACTCAAATAATAAACCAATGCTGCGCGAAGAACGCCTTAGACCTGCCACACATTTGTATTTCACTTGACCCGCAATCAGCAGGCACACTCCGTTACACTTCCGCACATGGGTCACATGACAGATGTGAGGTCACAGCTCACTTGCCGTGCAAAATATATGTATTATGTATTATTGCGCCCCCCCAAAAAAAATATACAAAAGTGTATTTTTATAATTTTTGCATGGTGTACAGTCTGGAAAGTACCTATATGGCAAATTTCAAGTTTATAGCATGTCGGGAAGTACGCTAAACATTTTGAAAAGACACATTCACAAATTTCCCTTTTATATATATAGATCACACGCATTATTTGGCTGTGCTAATCCCCCGAAAAAAATCCTGAATGCACCTGATCTCGCTGGATCCTGCAAGCCACGTTGGGCCGAGCCTGGTTAACCCTCTCCCAATCAGTTTTTCTTACGATTCCGTTCCGATTACGTATGTATACGTCATTGCAACAGAATCGGAAGTATAAGGCCATTCGGGAGTGTGTGTGGCACAGTTTGGCACCAGCTATCATCGAGTACGATCGTGTCGCGACGGTTCTCTGCGGTGAGGACAGTACAATGTCTTTAAAGACAGCAGCACTTGCGCGTTCAGACATTCAGCGGTGAGCAGGACCCGCCCTGCAACTTGCAGATGTCTCTGAACAAGAAAGGGTTAATTTACAAAACAGGCCTTTGAGACTCAAGGGAGGCTTTAAGTGGGTAGTCAACAAGTGTTTCCCATTATCTGCATTGATGTTGTTTTATGTGGGCCACCAGTCCACACCACCCTCCATTATCCGTGATAACAACTTTATTCGTAGGCTTTCACAACCAATATTCAAAAATAGTTTTCTATTGGGTGAAACCACCGTGTAGTACTGTGAAAAAAAGAGGTTCATAGCTCATCGGATTCCTCCAGTCTCAATAAATATCCTGATTCTGTGAAGGTATTGTGCCAATTTTGTTTACTATAACCCTATACCACCCGATTGCGCCAATCAAACATGTAGTTGATAATAGGTTTTTCCCCTTTTTTCTGGCAACAAAACAGGTCTTAAGATGTTAAAACACCTAACTGAAACCTTTTACAAGGAATCATGTCTGCATTAGGTTTTTTCCCATTTTTCCCCCTTTTTTCTAGCGAGAAAGAAGGGAAAAAAAACCTATTATTATATTTTGGTACTGGCAAAGGAGGTCCCATGATGGAGATGCTCACCCCGAGCTCTCATTACTCTGATAGTGCATTGTCTTTGGGCTGTATGCCTTTTGGCGTCCTCTGGTCTAACACCGTTTGAGACGAGAGTCAAAAGAAAGCCGTCTCTGGTGTGGACCAATCAGTTTCAAGGACAATGCATATATTATCACAGGATGTTTTTTGTTTGCATTCTGACCACAAGCATTGTGGTTGATGCAGACATGATACCTTGTAAAAGGTTTCAGCTTGGTGTTTTAACATCTTAACACCTATTTTGTTGCCAGAAAAATCATGTTGGTACTGGCAAAGGAGGTCCCACGATGTAGAAACATTTAGTTGATTTGAAAAACCAAATCAACTGGCATATTTGCCCACGTGACAACTAAATTTGATTGCCTATGTCAGGCGGTGGAGCATTCAATAAAAATGTTTTTTTATTATATTTGCACACTCTAACCCAAAATAATCTAAAGATGAATCCCGTAAAACCAAGCTGGCCGTGTTAGCCACTTCAATGCTGGGCTACTTATACGACAACGGGGGGCACAGAGTGGAATGAGACGGGACAAATGAGAGAGAAAATGCAAATGAGACAATGAAGACAAAACAAAAAAAGGAAGTATTACTTAGCTAAGATGCGACCCAGGACCAGCGATGATTCCTCGTACGCCACGGAGGAAGTCGGGAACTCGGCATATGCCTAGTTGCTGATAGTTCACATGCAGTGCTGGGGTGGGGCCCTGCGGTGGTGAGATGTTGACTACCTCGCCTGGTATACAGGAGTTCATAGGCTCGATCCCGACCCTGACGCCTGTTCTCCCCAAGGTAGCGTGGATATTTTCTCCAGGCCCTCGGGTTTTCTTTCCCTCCACATTTCGAATCAACATGCGTCTCGAGTATTTGCCTACTGCTATCAATTTCTGCACGATAATGCCACTTGGTTGAGCAATCATTCGTAATTGCCAGGTCACTTCTGAAAAAGAGCTACATAGCTCAGTAGGCCCTTACATGGTAAAATACAACAATTTTATTGTTTAGTTTAAATGCTCATTTGTGCAGGAAATCACTTTGAGGGAGGGGGGGAGGACTCGCCTGCCCCCCCCCATCATCAACATACCTCCGTGGGCCTGTACAAGGCGATGTGAAAAATCAATGTTGTTGGTCCAACTGAGATACTGGACCCTTGCCAACAGGGGCAGGAATAATTCCAGGCTCTTTGTTGAATCTGAGCGTTGACTCTCCCCCTCCCCACCCACCCCCCAAACACACACGGAGAGTAGAGAAGAACTCTGAACAGAGTTCAAGAATGTAACACGAACACAGATTGCCACGAGGTTCATCGCAACTAGAAAATGATTCCCCATTTATCAAACGAGTCGAGGGTCACGTTGTGCGCAGAATCAAGGCGTTTTCGTTAACAATAAAACTGGGGCAATAAAGCCAACCGTGGTGATTGCACATAACCAAAGGACCAAGTGGAATTTAAGTGACGAATCCAATCCTAGTGCTCGGGGGATGTTTTGTTGTTGGTGAAGTCACCGGAGACGAGGCTGAGGTCATCAGCTCGCTACATTTGAGAACCCAGTTTAACCACGGGCTGACTCAAAAAGCCAAGTTTGAGTGGAAATGTCCAACAATGAAGGGCCATTCGTGGTGTCGTGAGCACTGCGCCAGTGCTCATTGGGCATTTTGCTTTGTCAATTCACGCGTGCGCTACTTCTGCGCAAGACGTTATGATGTTACTGACATTGTCATTAAAATGCAGAGGCCTTTGTCAAACCACTGCTGGATGAGGGCATCCCCCATGCCAGCAGGGATGGTTGACCATACTGCTCAAAGCTGGTCCACAAGTGTGGGTTGGTAAAAGTGTGGAGGGGGGAAGGGGGGGGTTGGTTGTGCCCAGGACTGGTTTGGAAATCGCCCGGTTAGCCATGCTCGGAAATAAACTCAGGTCGCTACGCCTCCCAATCCGCCTCCCGCTGTTGCGCAATCACCGAACTTTAACGGTAAACAAACGAGCTCGATTTTAATAACCCGACAGCCTTCACGTCACAGGCGGCGCGTGTGCCAGGCATGCCGTCGTCTCGTGACTATGCATGGAAGAGGCTGGCAATTTTAATATAGTCGGTGAGACAGCACGTCGGGACATGCCCCCGCCGTTTAAGTTTCACAAGCAAGAGACGTTCAGCTACACACGAAAGTACAGTTATCACCGTGATCAAGTAAGCGTACGGTACGCATCCAGCCCTTTGTCAATCCACTGCTGGATGAGGACATTCCATCTCCCCACCACCATGCAGGTTGTGGAGGTTATTGGACCACACTTCAGGCGTGAGAACATAGATGTACAGTACAAAAATGTGATTTCATGCACTGCCTGCTGACGATACCAGCTCACAAAATGGATTACCGCAACGATAATAGCAGCCACCATTCGCCACCGAGTAACGGTGACGTCACCACAGGCCGCTTGTAACACGGCCAGGAGGGCACAGGACAGACCAAAAACAAAGATCCCCCATATAGCCTTAACAGACTGTTGGACAAGTGCTGTTCGAGAGCACCTATGAAGGCCAGGAAAGCACGACGAGGGGGTGGGTGGGCAGTCAGCACCATGCCCGGGCCTCGTTTGTCTCCCCAGTAGCGATGTTTGCACACCACACCGGGTACTAATTAGAGGCCGAGTCGACCTCAGGGAGGGCCCAGGACCCGTTCAAATATTCGTCACCGATGTTGGCCGTGAGCGGGAATCAAACTCGGGTTGTTGGTTTTGTAGCGCGGTGCACTAACTGCTGCACTACGGCTCCCACCACACACGCGCACGCACACACATTGATCTCTGTAGCCCGCGAGTGAACACCCGTTAAAGTCCAATGTGCTACACACAAGCACTCATTACACACAAAGTGCTTGCCACAAATCAACCACAATACCTTGATGCACTCGTCAAGGAGCATAAACCATCACGCGAACACCAGTCATCCTCGCAGCGGCTTTTGGCTAACCATCAAACAAAGACGGTCACCACATCGCACGCGCTCAGATGCACTTCTGCGGACGTATGGAACGTTCTTCCTTAACGATATTATGAAGCCACTGGAGCTATGCACTTTGAAATGTAGATTGAAAACTAATTTCTTGAGAACTGCTTTTTGTGTTAGCTTGTTGTCCTTTCCCCGCACCTCCGATTAGCACGGTTGAAAACATATGGTGCGAATGAAGTTCCACATACATATAACGCAACCTTGCACTGTGATATCACAGAGCACGGTTAGAGCACACTGTGATGCCATAACTCAAAATAATAATTTCGGTGATGATGGGGAATATAAATAACACCAATAAGCAGCCAATACGTCTCCCTCCCTTATCCATCTCTCTCCATGTAGAACAATAAAAAGTATTTCTTACACAACGCATCAGTCACACAGCCTCCTGGAAGTGCATCATTGCCTCCTTCTGGGAGTAGATAATTGTGATCGACGTAAATGGAAGATCAAGGACTCGCCAAACTGCGAATGCTGTTAGGTGCAAACCATCAGCCGTCTATCACTGATAACTGCCCCTGGTGGAACAAGCAGACTCCACACAGCTACCCGAAAACAACACTCAAATTCTGGTAGAAAAAGGAGATTCCACTCAGCCACCCCAATACACTCAAATTCTGGTAGGAAAGCGTACTCTACTCAGCTACCCCAATGCAACACTCAAATTCTGGTGGAACAAGCCGACTCCACTCAGCTGCCCCAAATGCCATGGAATGGCTACAAGATTCCACGTACAATGTGACCCGCTGCTCTATACCAACGCCACACGAAAGAAGGAGACAACTTACATCAGGCTAATGGTCAGAATGGAAAAGAATGAAACAAGGAGAACCAGACGCCACAAAACGTACAAATGAGGAGGAACAAGACCGCATACACGAGACAGACAATACATAGAAGACGAACAGCCATAGCACAAAAAAAAACGGAACAACACAAACAAGACGGTGGAAACAAAACAACGCTTTATGAATCGAACGGCAACCCCCCAAATTTGTGACAATTCATTGCTCACCGCGCGTGGTAGTAGGGGGCCGTGTGAAGCGTTAAGCGGTGCCAATCTGGTGGCACACGTGGCCTGTAATCCAGCACTGCGGAGGCAGGATCCAGGGTTGGTGGATCACCACACAAATGTCCTGAAACTCCCTTCCAGCAGATGTCGCGGAGGTGCCAGAAGGCAGTACCAGCTCACGAACTAATCGCCATCTATTTACATCCATGCGGGGATAGAGCGTTGCCCCCTCGCGCGTGCGAGTTTTCTCCGGGTGCTCCGGTTTCCTCTACCTTAAAAAACGCTCATTAAATCGGGCAAAAATGTCTTTAAAATAATACTAAAATAAACCCAATGCAGGACCCTATTAAAAAAAAAAAAGAGTCCTTCACCATTTCCTGGGTGTTTAAGTAAACTTCAGGAGACCGCGCGGGCAGCCTCACGTCCTACCTTGACGCACTGCTCGGCGAGGTCGCGGCTGGTGCGGTTGTTGAGCTCCACCACGATCAGACGGTTGCACAGAGCTTTGATGGCACCGTCCACAGCCACAATGCGGCGCGTGCATTCGGCGGAGACATCCAGGTAGTAGGTGATCGCTCGGGCGGTCACCTCCAAAACATTGTCCGGCGCGCACTCGTCCAGGAAGATCCTGCACAGGGCCGGCAGGAATGTCCTAGGAGGACATCTGAAAGCGAAAAGAAGTGAAACAATGTTACGTTCATAATAAAGGTTTGTTTGGGTTCGATCGCATCATCGGATGATGCCAGATGTAATTACCAGCGAAACGTCGTACTCAAATTGTAAATATTCTTTGGGTCTTTCGGTAAAGCCACGCAGATAGAAAAATTATAAAAACAATAACAATATCACGACGTTTCGATCACAACACAAGCAATCGTCATCAGGTGAAATATATAGCGGGAGCGCTGCTGAGGCAGGAGAAAATAGATTGCGGGAGCGCTGCTAAGTCAGGGAGTTGTAAAGGTTTTAGATGGGTGTAGCCCAAGGGTCAGTGGGCGGGGCTAGAGATGAAATGTGCATGTAAATGTGAGATCGGAGAAATCTTGACAAACGAAGCTGTGGAGGTGGCTATTGCATTGTGAAAGATTAGCATGTCAATGTAAGACATTCTCTTGTAAATGTAAGCTCGGAGAGAGCTCTGAAAGAGCCATAACCACATGGAGGTGGACAAGGATGGCAGGCCGCCATTTACTAACACAGCTAACGGTGGCTGTGTTAGTGAATGTAACCCAGACAGTCGAAAATAACTGCTAACATCGGTAGGTAGGAAGGGAACAACACAGCCGGTTATGACCTAAACTGGTTAATAGCATCCTTCCAATGATTGTGTCTGTGTTTATATATCGGGATGGCTTCATGAACGAATCTTTGCTGATAGCCAGTGGGTTTGCAGAGTACCTTTTGTCTTGGCCTGACCCGAACATGGTCCCGAGATATGAATGTATGAATAATGAACATCTATATTTTAACCAATTGTCCATGTTGTGAGGTATCCTAACTCGCTAGTAACTGCAAGCAAATGAAAACTAATTCAACGGACGCTCTGCATGCACTTGCTGGTTACTCGAGGAAATCACAGTTTTAGATCAGTGAGTTTAGAAAGGTATTTAATATCTTTCGAGGTTACCATATAGATAAATGTTTTATCGTAGTTATGTTATATTGGCAAATTCATACTTGATTATTATTCACCAATGACTCTCATGTATGACATAATTTTACACATTTATAAAGCACCTCACGTATCCCCTAGGACATTGCCATGTTCCCCCACGGGGTCCGCGTCCCCCCAGTTTAGAAACACTGGACTAGGGGACTTCAAATGGTGTTTCACAATACGACAATTTATCGCGATATCAGTTTCCCAAAACGTTGTAATCGTACTATGTTATAAAAAAAGTTTTCCTGGCTGGCGCGCCCGTGTGCAGTGATGATGTCACCCGCATCGCACACCGTTGAGCCTGGTTCGTGCATCGCGCTTGCGTCATCACGACTCACTCCCACCCACTCTCCAATGACCCTTCTTCACAGCATATTCATAGACCACGAAGAAGAGCCTAATTTCCCATGTCACCTATTATATATCCAAAAGAGGTGTTTTGGGTTAGATTGTGTAAATATGTCGTTAAACCCGCCATCATATTTTGTTTGTTGCGTTTGCACCCGACTTAAGAGCCGCATGGCTCCCAGGGCTATACCTAATAAATGAACTTGAACTTGATCACCTGACACAGCCAATTAGTAAGGTGCATCACGTAGACAGAAAATGTCAATTCCTTACTAGTGTGTTGGAGAGCAAAGCCACAACATTTACCATCAAATACTGTGAGCTGGTATCGTCAGATTGTAAATGTTGTGGATTTGACCCTCCAACACACCGGTGTGCTGTACTGGTAACGAATTGGCATGTTCTGTTTAGGTGACAAACCTTAACAAAACATTTATATATTTACGCAATCTAACCCATAAAAGCTATATTATGGATATTGGTCGTGAAAGCCTACGTGTTAAACTGACCAATTATATATATTTTTTCATCTTTCAAGGCCACAGTGCTATTTAAAAATGTGTTGAGTTTGATTTGCGAGTCAGGGCACTAGCTCACCCACATAAGCCCGCAATGCCCAACACGCATGCACGTGCATGTTTCCATGCCACACATTTCTGTGCGCAGGTCATATCCCCCGACAAATCTGAGGCTCCCTGAATAGACTGCCTCTCCAGATTTTTTTTTTCCAATGTGCACCGCGTGTGCTTGTGGAGCTATGTGGTATGTGGAGCCGGGCATGGTGGCGCATGCCCCCCACGCTCCAACGTTTGAAGCCAACGGTTGGTCGATCGTGCTGACCTGTAAAATTCCCGAACACTCTGGCCCTAATGTACAAGGTGTTCGACATTTAGCAGTACAGCAAGTGGGTTATTTAACACAAATTTCGATGGGTTTTGAGCGTTATATCCCAGTACGAGTGAGCCCTATATTTGCAAGCGTTTCCAAAGCCGCGAACACATAACGCTCCACAATCGATTTGGTTAACATATAAAGTCAGGACCCTCATGAAAGTCTTGAGACTCAGGAAGTACCTTATTTCTGAAAAATGTGCGAAATTAAAAACACGACATTAAGGTTTACAATTAATTCATATTTTACCATTTAAACAGAATGAATCTGCTGCATCACAAACTTAAGCTAAGCCTAGACTATCGTAGTACAGCAGTTTCATGAATTATTATTCAATTCCAAGGTAACCAGCAATATTATATAGACTGCAAAGTTGCAATGATTAAAGGACGTAAGTCAGGCTTATGTGGAGTGAACTGCAGATGAAGATCATTTGCGTACATCTTTATTCATAGTGAAAGCATAACACAGGACAAAAACAAGATGATAAAATACATAATGCAATCACAGAATTATTGAAAAATAGCATTGCGATAATCTTTCATTACGGTAAAATTGATATCGTGCCTAACGTGTCGTATTGACAGTGAATGGGTTGGTGGCAGGTAACTGGGGGGACGGGGGGCGAAACGGAAGGTGGCAGCACCGGAGCGCGAGGGATGGCAACGGCATGGGAAAGCATGGGAAAGCCTTCAGCCGGCAGTTGATTTTTTTTGTTATCTCTGCTGCCCAGCACAGGTCCAAAGGTCCAAATTGTCAGACAAACGAAAATAAACAGCTGCACGTGTAATGCAAAAGAGTAAATATGTTTGTTTAACCCGTAGGCTTTCACGACCAATATTATCCATAGTAAAGGTTTTTTTGGGTAAGATCTCATAAATGTTTCACTTCTTCACAATTCTGGCTATCACTTGATGAAGCTGGTTGTTATCACCAGCGAAATGTCGTACTCTAATTGCAAATGTTGTGGGTTTACTCTCCAACACACCGTTGTGCTGAAGCAGCGACTAATTGGCACATTTTGTTTACGTGACAAACCTTTACTAATTGGCTGTAATATGTTTCTTGACGAGAGTAGTAACAACAATGGATGAGAACAGACAACGGATAGACGATGGCCGAAGGGGGGGGGGGGGGCAACGATGATCGTACCGTCAAAACAAAAAAACACGACATCGCAGCGCGGGCGGGGGCCACTCACGTCTCGAAGCAGCGGTCGACGTTGTCGGACATGAGCAGCAGCATGCACAGCTGCTCCAGGGCGATGAGCTGCATGTCCCTCTCGTCACCCTGGCCCATGTGCAGCCATTCGAGCAACGTGTCCGGGTCCACCTCCGCCATGCTGTTCCCCAGCGGCCGCCCGCCCGCAACGCCCTGGGCACATGGAGCGAGACAGAGAGCTGTGAGCGGAGAGTGAGCGGTCAGCATCACCGAGGGAAGTGGTCATCACGGTCAAGGGTGGCTGCTGCCACCACAGGTGGCAAATCGTCGCTAGACTCCTTCCTTGTGCCCGATCCCACAGCAACTGTTGCTTCCTCTTGGTGCAGGCGACACGTCTGTCAAGGATGGCTCTTACGGTCTTGCATCAACACTCTCACCTGTTCTTTGGTTTTCCTACTCCACGGCACCATCGTTAGATCTAATCCTGATTAAAGTCTCAACCACCACCAACCACTGGCTCAAGCTGTTCACTTGTTAGAGGCAACGCATGCTTCAAGGACTTTTCTTATACAGTTCACCAAACCACGTGATGTTAGGTCATCCCTTTCTTCGTTAATATCAAGGACTGCTCTTACAGTTTCAACAATTCCACCACCTGGTCATAGGCATTTCTATATTCAAGGTAAAGTTTACTTTGTTTGACCAGGTGAGATCTCAAAGAGACCAGGATAAGCCTCATTTGCAAGGTGACCTAGGCATTAGTTTGCCAGTAAGTAGGCAATGATTGCTATGTATAATCCCAACTGAGCAACTTGCCGGGGTAATTTTTTTATTTGGCAAAAATGTACCCTCACGGCCTCCTCTTGCGAATTATGTCAGGGGATCTTTAACGTCCAGCGAGTTAAGCAGACGACCCCTCGTATCATTACAGTTATTAGACACCACAGTAGAAATGTATATTGAACTTCTTTCGCACCGTACGTAGCCAACTGTGCTAATCGGATGTGTGGTAATAATCAGGGCAGACAGCTGCTGGATTCGAACAGTAAACCTCTGCAACGAGCGGCGAACGCACTATCACTTGGCTGCGTCACCACCTCATTTAGAACATCGCACGTCCTGCGAGGACTGACTCTGGTTTCATTACCAGCACACCACCACCACCACCCGGCTTCAGCTCCTCCGTGTGTTATAGTCGACATGTCCCTCAAGGACCACTCGTGCACCAATAATTGCTTTTGGGTCTAACCCCTTGTTATACAGCACAAAGCATGTTCATCATTCGACCTCCTTTGCCAGTACCAAAATATAATAATACAACAAAACTGAAACCTTTTTACAAGGATTCATGTCTGCATTAACCACAATACTTGCAGTCAAAATGCAAACAAAAAACACACTATGATAATATATGCATTGTCCTTGAAACTGATTGGTCCACACCAAGGGACGGCTTTCTTTTTAGCCTCAGTTTTGTTGCCAGAAAAAGGGGGAAAACCCTATTATTACAAAGCATGTTCTTACAGCATTAACAGCAGAACCCAATAAGATTTTGGGTCCGAACAATTTACCATCCAATATTGACATTATGATGTGAATTGATTCTAATTTCTGGCAGCAGGAAAATACAATAATACCTTAAAGTCATGGGTAAATTAATACAAACACTGTACAATCTGTAATGCTAACTTATGGAGCTACGCATCGAGTCTTCAATTCTAACTGCCATGTTACTCTGGTCTATGGACAAAAACGTGGTCTTACAAACCTGAGTACCTCAATGGGAATCTTTGAAAAACCGTGACTTAAAAAATGTTTTGAATCTGAAAAGCAAAATAAACCCATCCCGTTCGCCGCCGTGATGGATTCGCATTTGTTGCAATGGAGCCCGTTCTGGTACCCAAGTTAGTTTCCGAAGGTTAATGTATTGCCCGAGCACCTGCTTTGGAGGCTATGATGTAAGTACGTATGTTGAGCTTCTTTCGGCACCGTACGTAGCCAACCGTCCAAATCTTACACCGGTGTCTGTGTATAAACAGATGGTCATCCCCAAGAAAACGTACAAGTACAGTAAAACCTTGGATTGCGAGCATAATTCGTTCTAGAAACGTGTTTGTAATCCAAAGCACTCGTATATCAAAGCACTCGTATATCAGTTGTGATCACGTGACGCTCGGCAGACAAAGCGAATACACGTACTACTCGTGTTGCAAGACCTCGCTCGTTAATCAAATTAATATTTATTTAAAAAATTTGCTCGTCTTGCAAAACACTCGCAGACCAAGTTAGATCGCAATCCAAGGTTTTACTGTATATAAAACCTACAGCCCTTTTCTAAATTCACGGCTGGATGAAGGGGCTCGCCGTGCCGCGCAAAGCTCTGGAGTTGTTTTGACAAAACTTCATGGGGGGTGGTGGGGGTTGGATGGAATCTCACCGGGTATATTAAAATAAAACTGAGGTCCAGCTATTGTCAGACACTTCCCAAAATGCCGGTCAAGCTGTCGTGACACCGCAGTTTTTAACGTGGGGGTTCTCCCATTTGAGGTTGTGAGAGGCTCCTCACTGTAAAGCGAGAGATTTACAACTCCACCGGGAGACAGACTGAGCCCATAGGCTCAAAAGAAAGCTGTCTCTGGTGTGGACCAATCAGTTTCAAAGACAATGCATATATTATCAGAGTACGTTTTTAGTTTGCATTTTGACCACAAATATTGTGGTTAATTGCAGACATGATTCCTTGTAAAAGGTTTCAGTTTGGTGTTTTAAACATCTAAACATCTGTTTTGTTGCCAGAAAAAAAAAGGGGAAAACCTATTCTCATATTTTTGGTACTGACAAAGGAGGTCCCATGATGGCGGTGGCATCAACTTGAGTGAACACAACGCGATATCGGCATCGGATGGGTTCAGCAACGAGATTCTGCTTGAATCTCATTCGCGCCGTTTGGTCACCAAGATATTTTTACAGCTTATTAATTATATATTCAAGTGAATGTCTATTAAATCTGATCTCCTAGCCAGGCGGTGGTAGCTAAGCAAGTGGCCTGGCCCTGGCCTGTGATCCAGCACCGTGGAGGCAGCAGCGAGGGTTGATGGATCACCGCACAGACCTTGCGAAATTCCCTTCCCGTGGGCGTCAAAGAAGTACTGTAACCCTGGCTCACCTGGAGAAGGCTGTACAAAGTTGACACATCTCCATCTGTATCCATCTGTACGGTGATAGACTGATGCCCCTTTTGCGCATACTTCAAATCTAGAATTTCTACTGGTGCTCTGGTTTCCTCCCACTTATATAAACACTGGTCATTAATTGACTAAAATATCTTTAATAAAGATTAAATCCAGGACCTTCCTGAAAAAGAGGGTAAATAAGTAACTGTTATTAATATTAATATATATCTACGATCTCCTAAATATGTTAAATAACACTCTTCTATATGCAGACCATAACAATTCCTATGACATAACCAATCATTGCTTTACAAGGGTGCCGCGTCACTGACTTTGAGATTTTCCCTCGACCTTTCTGTCACTTTTTATAGTCCATGGACAACAAGAGAAATTGGTAACCTCTTAAGATAGCAAAACTTTCGTCGTACCGATGTATTTAAGCACTTAAGAAGAGTAAATTACTTGGTAACCCACTCAGTGTAAGTGGTTATCACATAATTCACTGTTTGTTGGCAACAGAAAGAAATTGGAACCACGAATGTGTTCCACCCCAGGTGATACCGACAAGTGAAATGTCTGGTCTGGGCTGATGGAATGGTTATTGCAAAGGCCACTGTCTATCCTCCCTGAGCATCTCCACAGACAGCCATGTCAGCGTCTCCACCACACGTCTCTCTCCTGGTTCCCCTCTTACCTCTCAGCCGACAACCCCCCATGCCCATATGAGGACTGCCTCTGATAAACCCCCGTGCGGAGTTGTGACACAAGGCTCCATCCTAGGCCCCCTCTCGACTCAATATATCTCCTCCCTCTTGTCAACATCATCTCCCCCTCCACACACTCTCCTTACCTCTCCCCTCCATCTCACTCTACTCCACTCCACACACTACCTTACGTGCCCCATCTCACTCCCCTCCACACACTCCCTTACCTGTCCCATCTCACTCCACTCCACACACTACCTTACCTGTCCCCTCTCACTCCCCCCACACACTACCTTACGTGCCCCATCTCACTCCCCTCCCCTCCACACACTACCTTACCTGCCCCATCTCACGCTCCTCCACACACTACCTTACCTGCCCCATCTCACTCCACTCCCCTCCACACACTACCTTACCTGCCCCATCTCACTCTCCTCCACACACTACCTTACCTGCCCCATCTCACTCCACTCCCCTCCACACACTACCTTACCTGCCCCATCTCACTCCCCTCCACACACTACCTTACCTGCCCCATCTCACTCCCCTCCACACACTACCTTACCTGCCCCATCTCACTCCACTCCCCTCCACACACTCCCTTCACTGTCCCATCTCACTCCACTCCACACACTACCTTACCTGCCCCATCTCACTCTCCTCCACACACTACCTTACCTGCCCCATCTCACTCCACTCCCCTCCACACACTCCCTTCACTGTCCCATCTCACTCCACTCCACACACTACCTTACCTGCCCCATCTCACTCCCCTCCACACACTACCTTACCTGCCCCATCTCACTCCCCTCCACACACTACCTTACCTGCCCCATCTCACTCCCCCCCACACACTACCTTACCTGCCCCATCTCACTCCACTCCCCTCCACACACTCCCTTACCTGTCACATCTCACTCCCCTCCACACACTACCTTACCTGCCCCATCTCACTCCCCTCCACACACTACCTTACCTGCCCCATCTCACTCCCCCCCACACACTACCTTACCTGCCCCATCTCACTCCACTCCCCTCCACACACTCCCTTACCTGCCCCATCTCACTCCCCCCCACACACTACCTTACCTGCCCCATCTCACTCCACTCCCCTCCACACACTCCCTTACCTGTCCCATCTCACTCCCCTCCACACACTCCCTTACCTGTCACATCTCACTCCCCTCCCCTCCACACACTCCCTTACCTGTCACATCTCACTCCCCTCCCCTCCACACACTCCCTTACCTGTCACATCTCCCCCCCCCCTCCACACACTCCCTTCACTGCCCCATCTCACTCCCCTCCACACACTACCTTACCTGCCCCATCTCACTCCCCCCACACACTACCTTACCTGTGTCATCTCGCTCCCCTCCCCTCCACACACTCCCTTACCTGCCCAATCTCATTCCCCTCCCCTCCACCCACTACCTTACCTGCACCATCTCACTCCCCTCCACCCACTACCTTACCTGCACCATCTCACTCCCCTCCACACGCTACCTTACCTCTCCCCTTCATCTCACTCCACTAGCTCGCCCATTTCTCCCCTCTCAGCTCAGCAACAAAGGAATTATTTCTTCTGCTCAGTGGGAGGTCGCTTATTCCCCTCTGCTGCCACATTTTCTATCACGCTCCCCCTTCCCCCCTTCCTCTAGAATCCCTTGCACCCGGCCAAGTCCTGGCTCCAAGACCTTCCGTCAGTTTCCTTTGAGTACGACGACTGGGAATTTGTTGGTGGGTGGGGGGTGGAAGAGCTTCATAGCTCATCGGATTCCTCCAATTTAAATATTCAAATTCCTCCCACAGACTCGCAAGGCGATCCATAAATACACGCGACGATGAATCCATCGAGGCCTCACGGTCGTGACCGAAAGCTCCACAAACAACAAGGAGAACAGACTCGGGGTTTACGCCGAGGCGTGCACGATACGCACCAAGACGCCCACCAAGCCCCGTCGCTTATTATTATTATTCAGTCTTTAAGACGCGAAACTTAGAGGGGGGAGGGGGGGGTGCGCACTCGTCTGCGTCGTACATTTCGTGCGAGACTCGAGCCAAAGGCGTCGTCGTGCGAGGCCACGAGGCTTTGTGTTTATTTCTCAAGGTACGGGCCGGGCCCTCCCCCCCCCTCGACCGGCGAGAGCGGCCGCCGCCGGCGTCGACCGAACGCTGCGAGGAATCCGCCCGCGGCGCCTGAAAGCGTCAAACTCCGGGGACAGCGGCGTCCTCCACGCAGCCCGCGATGTGCTGCCCACGATGAGCTGCCCGTGATGCCCGTGATGTGATGCCAGTGATGAGGTGCCAGTGATGTGATGCCAGTGATGTGATGCCAGTGATGTGCTGCCAGTGATGAGGTGCCAGTGATGAGGTGCCAGTGATGAGGTGCCAGTGATGTGATGCCAGTGATGTGCTGCCAGTGATGTGCTGCCAGTGATGAGGTGCCAGTGATGAGGTGCCAGTGATGAGGTGCCAGTGATGAGGTGCCAGTGATGAGGTGCCAGTGATGAGGTGCCAGTGATGTGATGCCAGTGATGTGCTGCCAGTGATGAGGTGCCAGTGATGAGGTGCCAGTGATGTGATGCCAGTGATGTGATGCCAGTGATGAGGTGCCAGTGATGTGATGCCAGTGATGTGATGCCAGTGATGTGCTGCCAGTGATGAGGTGCCAGTGATGAGGTGCCAGTGATGAGGTGCCAGTGATGTGCTGCCAGTGATGTGATGCCAGTGATGAGGTGCCAGTGATGAGGTGCCAGTGATGAGGTGCCAATGATGTGATGCCAGTGATGTGATGCCAGTGATGTGATGCCAGTGATGTGCTGCCAGTGATGAGGTGCCAGTGATGAGGTGCCAGTGATGAGGTGCCAATGATGTGATGCCAGTGATGTGATGCCAGTGATGTGCTGCCAGTGATGAGGTGCCAGTGATGAGGTGCCAGTGATGTGATGCCAGTGATGTGATGCCAGTGATGTGATGCCAGTGATGTGCTGCCAGTGATGTGATGCCAGTGATGTGATGCCAGTGATGTGCTGCCCGTGATGTGATGCCAGTGATGTGATGCCAGTGATGTGCTGCCCGTGATGTGATGCCAGTGATGTGCTGCCAGTGATGTGATGCCAGTGATGAGGTGCCAGTGATGAGGTGCCAGTGATGAGGTGCCAGTGATGTGATGCCAGTGATGTGATGCCAGTGATGTGCTGCCAGTGATGAGGTGCCAGTGATGAGGTGCCAGTGATGAGGTGCCAGTGATGAGGTGCCAGTGATGTGATGCCAGTGATGTGATGCCAGTGATGTGATGCCAGTGATGTGATGCCAGTGATGTGATGCCAGTGATGTGCTGCCAGTGATGTGATGCCAGTGATGTGATGCCAGTGATGTGCTGCCCGTGATGTGATGCCAGTGATGTGCTGCCAGTGATGAGGTGCCAGTGATGTGCTGCCAGTGATGTGATGCCAGTGATGTGCTGCCAGTGATGTGCTGCCAGTGATGTGATGCCAGTGATGTGCTGCCAGTGATGTGATGCCAGTGATGTGATGCCAGTGATGTGATGCCAGTGATGTGATGCCAGTGATGTGATGCCAGTGATGTGATGCCAGTGATGTGCTGCCAGTGATGAGGTGCCAGTGATGTGATGCCAGTGATGTGATGCCAGTGATGTGATGCCAGTGATGTGCTGCCAGTGATGTGCTGCCAGTGATGTGATGCCCGTGATGTGATGCCAGTGATGTGCTGCCAGTGATGTGATGCCAGTGATGTGATGCCAGTGATGAGGTGCCAGTGATGAGGTGCCAGTGATGTGCTGCCAGTGATGTGATGCCAGTGATGTGCTGCCAGTGATGTGCTGCCAGTGATGTGATGCCAGTGATGTGCTGCCAGTGATGTGATGCCAGTGATGTGATGCCAGTGATGTGATGCCAGTGATGTGATGCCAGTGATGTGATGCCAGTGATGTGATGCCAGTGATGTGCTGCCAGTGATGAGGTGCCAGTGATGTGATGCCAGTGATGTGATGCCAGTGATGTGATGCCAGTGATGTGCTGCCAGTGATGTGCTGCCAGTGATGTGATGCCCGTGATGTGATGCCAGTGATGTGCTGCCAGTGATGTGATGCCAGTGATGTGATGCCAGTGATGAGGTGCCAGTGATGAGGTGCCAGTGATGTGCTGCCAGTGATGTGATGCCAGTGATGTGATGTCAGTGATGTGCTGCCCGTGCGAGCGAGGAATGAACGCAGTAACAGCAGCAAGTTCACAATTGCAAGTGCGAGGCGGCATTTAATAGTTGCGCAAGACGGGCAGCAGCAATGAGCGCCGCTGATGTCATCATCATCATCAACATCGTGGTGGTGGTGATGGTGGTTGTTTACCACTCGCAAGGCGCTAAGAATAACCCGAGTTAACATCGCTGCTGCTGCTGCTGCTGCTGATGTCGTCGTTAACGCCGCTGTCGTCTCAAGCGCGACATGGCGAGTGCGTGTCAGAGTGTCCTCCCTGTCTCTCCCCGTCTCTCTGTCCCCCTCACTCGGGCGTGGGGAGGCCGCGAGACGGCGGCGTCGCCTCAGGGGCCCTCCTCGTCTCCTTTGTCTCGCGGCGCCCGCGCGGCCTAAGCCGAGGGCCCCGCCGCGGCCGCGCACGTCTGCGGGGCCCGCCCGCCCGCTCGCTCTCTCCCGCTCTCCCGCTTGCTCACCCCGCAGAGAACTCCCCGCGTGGCTCCCTCCTCGGCGCGGAGTCGTCAACGAAGAGGCGAGAGGCGGAGAGCGATCGGAGAGGAGAGGAGGCGACAGCGGCGGCGGTGGTGGCGGTGGGGGGAGATCAGCGCTGCGATGACGGCGAACGCCACTGAGGGGTCATTGCCGGCGGGGGGAGGGGGGAGGAGACTCGTGACGTCACCTCCGCGCGTGACGTCACCCCTATTATGATGTCACTTCTGTCGGTGGTGGTGGGGGCGTTACTCCCCGTATCTCTGGTCAAATGACGTTATACAATGTCACTTCTGTCAGTGGTGGCGTTACTCCCCGTATCTCTGGTCAAATGACGTCATACAATGTCACTTCTGTCTGTGGTGGCGTTACTCCCCGTATCTCTAGTCAAATGACGTCATAAAATGTCACTTCTGTCAGTGGTGGCGTTACTCCCCGTATCTCTGGTCAAATGACGTCATACAATGTCACTTCTGTCTGTGGTGGCGTTACTCCCCGTATCTCTGGTCAAATGACGTCATATAAATTTCACTTCTGTCTGTGGTGGTGTTACTCCCCGTATCTCTGGTCAAATGACGTCATACAATGTCACTTCTGTCAGTGGTGGCGTTACTCCCCGTATCTCTGGTCAAATGACGTCATACAATGTCACTTCTGTCTGTGGTGGTGTTACTCCCCGTATCTCTGGTCAAATGACGTCATATAAATGTAACTTCTGTCTGTGGTCGCGTTACTCCCCGTATCTCTGGTCAAATGACGTCATATAAATTTCACTTTTATTATTTGGGTCTTTCGATGAAGTCAGGTAGAACAAAAAAAATAACAAAAAACTACGACGTTTCGATCGCAACGCAAGCAATCGTCATCAGGAGAAAAAATAGCGTGAAAGCTGCTGAGGCAGACTGTTTTAAAGGTTTTAAATGGGTGTAGCCCAAGGGTCATAAACGAAGTGGGCGGGGCTCGTGATGTTATAGTGCTAAATTTGCGGTGGTGATGTTAAAGTGAGAGGAGATTAGCATGTTAATGTTAGATCGCAGAGTCGCCGCCACGTCGAGGACGCGAGCCACGGTGGCTGTGTTAGTGAGAGACATTGAACCTGTTCATGTTAAATCAGAGAGTCTATGGATCTAATAGTTGTGTGGAAACCCTCCCCGTAGATGCGGTTACATCTTCACTTAAAATCTTTTTTTTGTCCTCCTGATGACGACTGCTTGCATTGCGATCGAAACGTCGTAGTTTTTTGTAACAAAAAATAGTTCTCCGTGACTTTACCGAAAGACCCAAATAATATGAATTCCTGCAGTCACGAAAGCTTTAAGTTATGTAACTTAAGTCTGTGGTGGTGGTGGTGGCGGATCTCTTGTAAATTTACGTCATAAAAACTTTATTATGGATACTGTATTGATCGCGAAACCCTCCATGCTAAATTGACGTCACTGCTGTCTCTCTGTTGGTGACGTCATCCTGTCGCTCTCTGGTGGAAGCGTCAGGCTGTCTCTTTGTTGGTGACGTCATCCTGTCCCTCTGGTGGAAGCGTCAGGCTGTCTCTTTGTTGGTGACGTCATCCTGTCGCTCTCTGGTGGAAGCGTCAGGCTGTCTCTCTGTTGGTGACGTCATCCTGTCCCTCTGGTGGAAGCGTCAGGCTGTCTCTTTGTTGGTGACGTCATCCTGTCGCTCTCTGGTGGAGGCGTCAGGCTGTCTCTCTGTTGGTGACGTCATCCTGTCGCTCTCTGGTGGAGGCGTCAGGCTGTCTCTCTGTTGGTGACGTCATCCTGTCGCTCTCTGGTGGAGGCGTCAGGCTGTCTCTCTGTTGGTGACGTCATCCTGTCGCTCTCTGGTGGAGGCGTCAGGCTGTCTCTCTGTTGATGACGTCATCCTGTCGCTCTCTCTTGGTGACGTCATCCTGTAGCTCTCTGGTGGAAGCGTCAGGCTGTCTGTCTCTCTGTCGGTGACGTCATCTCTCTGTCGGTGACGTCATCCTGTCACCGCCGTCTCTCCCAGTCGGTGGTATCGGCACGCGGCGCGATGTCGGCTCCTCTCGCCCCGCGCGGCCTCCGCGCCTTGAGTCGCCTCCTCCTCGCGGCCGCGGCGCCGCCTCCCCCGCCGCACTCCCTGCGCCTCGCCCGCTCCCTCGCCTCGGGGGTCCGCGTCTCGACGCTCTGCGGCGACAGCGAGCGGCGGCCGCGGCGGCAGTGGCTGCAGGTAGCGAGGGGGTTACGCGCGGGAGGTGGTGGAGGAGGCCCAAGGTCAATGGAGCGGCGGGCCGAGTCGGGCCACCCCCCGCGCTCGGGACGCGGGGGCGCGGGCCTCCACTGCTGGCTGTGCGGAGACAAAGATTCCCCGCGTAGCCTCGACAAGCTGTGGGGGGGGGGGCGGTGTTAGCGAGCACCTATTAAGGCCGGAGGTGGTGTGGCCAGTACCACGCCCGCCCGCCTTTGTCTCCCTCGTGCTGATGTTTTACACCGCTCACCTAGGTACTGTACTGTACTCGTTTTAAGTTTGAATGAACTCAGGGTGACGGGTTCGCATGGTAAACCGACCGCTGATGTTGCCCTTGGCCTGGGATCGAACTGGGACGGGGCCGGGTTCGTAGCGCGGTCCGGTGAGAATCGCGACCCCCCCGTGCGCCTTGTCCCCAGCCACGGAGAACAGCGAGTGGCCAAGTCGTGTCCGAGGCCGCCTCTATGGGGAGGAGGCTCGTGGAGGACGCCGCCGCTGCTGCTGGGCAGTTGGAGGGGGTTAAATGGGTGCAGCACAGGTTAGAGAAGAAATGGGTTAATGTGGTACAGAAGGATGTGGAGCTGAGTGGACTTGCCGAAGACTGGTCCCAATGTTGTCAATATCGGCCTCTGGAGGAGGCTCATGAGAGACGCTAATGGGCAGTTGGAGGCAGTCGCCCTCCAGCAACAACAGAGGGCATAGGAGTGACGCTCACAACAACGAGCGGAGCGCCTGGCGGATAAAACGCAGCAAGTTGGCACAGTAGGGGGGACCCACAGCCTGCCAGTCAGTGCAGCACTGAGTATATCTCATTGAAGCAAGAGGGAGGCTCTGGTTCTTGCAGCATCACCCCCACGTGTTACACTCTAGGGTTGGTGGACCACACAAATGTTGCGAAACTCCCTGTGAGCGTCTCGGTGTCATAACCCTAACTTTGCCAGGAGGCAGTGCGGGATGATACATTGTCCTCACGTGCGTGCGTTTTCTCCAGGTGCTTCGGGTTTCCCTCCCACGTGTAAACACTCAGTAATTGGAGCGCAGAGCTTGGGCAGTCGCTGACACCGTCTCGCCGTGAGGTTTCCTCCCCACGTGTCTGGTTCCTCGCGCCTGAGCCGTTCTCTCTCTTCAAGAATGAGCGGCATCCCTGTGCGGCGGCGTGTCACAAGCTTGTTACATAGGTGCTCACAAACCGCACTTGCATCAGCAGGCTTGTGAAGGTAAGCGTATGCTGTCCGTGCTTGTGGCCGTGCGCGTGCAGGTTCGCATGCCGAGCGTGCATAGCCTGCGGACGTACTCCGACGCACCACCGCTGACGCTGCACTTCATCACGGAGAGGGTCATGTACGTGCTGAATCTCTACGACAAGATCGACCCACAGAAGGTGCGACAGCCGCAGTGGTCCACAGCATGACTCAAAACAACAACAATACTAACAGTGTGGATCAACGCGAACGTTGAGACCCAAACATCGCACCTCCAGGCTTTGGCATTCCTCCTCGAAGGCACCGGTGGTGTAACCATGAACCGCATCAAAATATCGACAGGCCGATGCGCATAAATGTAAAAACAAAGACATTCCACAGTGGTGTGATTGTGGCTATGCAACACACGCTATGAACCATATAGTAAGCCCATAGAAACACAGATATACATAGCGACCCTTCGAGACGCACAGAGATGCATTAAAGACAAGGCACGGTCGTGCAATTGTGGCCATGCAACCAAAAACTATGGACCATAGAATAAACCGCTGTTGTCTGCACTCCTTCAACGGAGGAGAAGCAGCCAAACTACACGAAGTCTCTGCTGAATCACTCTCGTGGCTAACAGACCTCGCCATTGGCATCTAACTCATGAGCGTATTGCCATCGTATGCAAGAATTGAATGCATAACAAATATAACAGTTGAAATCTTGACACTCATACCTGGGAATTTAATTCCTCCCAGTTGACCCCAAACCAGGGTTTGAACTTGTAATCGTACGAATATTGCGAGTGAAATGCTTTTCACAACCGCAATGCCACTCGGTCACATCTCTGTGGTACAAAAAGTCTCTTTGAGTAGAGTTTCAACACCGTGACTCTTACACCCAGGGGCTTAAGCTCGCAATTGAAATATTTTCTGGTCAACTGGGAGCTGAAGCCAGTGGCGTTACGCATTTTGGCGAGGCGCGATATGCAATAGAATCGTAACTGCAGCCATCGGTCAACCGGATGTGGTGTGCCAGGTTGGCTTGTAAGCCTACGATCTGAGGGCATCAGAATCATTAAGCACTTTTCAAATAAATCTAAAAACTAACTTTTTAAAACTTGCTTTTAAGTAGGATTATCTTAATGTGTTATATTGATTACTTGTTTTCCCATCCTCGGGCGAAAGCTGTAATATTTACGAAAAAAATCACCAGAGTATTATTGTATCTTGTGTAAATTTAATGCCAGTGGATCCTGCACAAAAGTACGTCATCAAACACTTCACTGCATTTCACTATAGCACTGTATTAATGGCAGTGAATCTTGCATAAAACGAAGTCGTAAAACACTTCACTGCAGTTCACTGTAGCACTATTAATGGCAGTGATTCTTGGACAAAACTACACCATTAAACACCTCACTTCATGTCACTGTAGCACTGTATATAACTGACCTTGAAATTGTTCAAATTCACTGCTGGATACTTTATTTTCTTCTGCGTTCGCTCACTGGGGTTGAAATAAATTGGAATTTGAAACAATATCTGGGAAATCACCTAGAAATGTAAATGTTATGATAATTTAGAAGCATCAATTAGACTTACCTTTTGTCGCAAGCGCTAAATAAATAAATACACCAAATCGCCTTTGTTGCTGTGTAGAATTATTTATTTGTATCACTTTCAATAAAGAAATGTCAAATTTAAGGCGAATTTGCAGGGGAAAAAATGTATTTCCGCTCGACCTACGTGAGTGTAAAAATCCACCCGCTCATGATTATTAGTGGGGGGGTGCCTCATGTGGAGGACCCCACCTGTTCATGATTATTAATGAGGGGGGCTGGTCGACGTGGAGTGACATCACGTGCGTTACACACACACAGACATTCTTGACTCATTAGTAATGTCTTTGCTAGAAATTTATAACAGCGTGATTTTATTTTGCCTACAAGTTCACTTTTATTGTTCATGCCTGTAAAGCACTATGTATTGCATTTTTTTGCATGAATAGTGCTATAGAAATAAAGTTTGATTGATTAAACTGAAGAGAACACTGTTAACAGACGGTGCATTGTTTTGCCTTCAGTTAAAACTGGAGTCACATTTCATGAAGGACTTGGGTCTCGACAGTCTGGACCAAGTGGAGGTGATCATGGCCATGGAGGATGAGTTTGGTGAGTGGAGTTCTGGTTCAATTTCATCGTCTGCACCGACTCGAATCGGTGCAAACGCTGCCAGTGATGTGGATGGACATCGCCCTCGGCCAGTCATCCCTCTGGTGTCCGCAAAATGAGTATCGCTTTGTGAGAAGTGATCACTGGTTTTTGTAAGAAGAGCTACCATCGGAATATAATAATGAGGATCCCATGGGCCTTCCAGAAATATGTTTAAGCAGATGAACTCTGAGTGTGGCCTGTTACACAATTTCTGCCTAAAATTCAGTCGAAACTGATGTGACCATTTTCCCCACTTAAAACAAATGCTGCTGTAAAACATTGGTCCAGAAGGCGCATGTGCCGATCACCCTCAATGTTGTTGTTGTTCTTTGGCTGCGTGCCCGTGCTGTCTATTTGCCGAAACCACCTCAAGTGTGTCGAGCGGTTTTCAGAGCGGTTGACGAGATGCGGGCTTTTTTGTTGTTGTTTCAAAGGCTTCGAGATTCCAGATGTGGATGGGGAGCAGCTGTTAACGCCGCAGGATCTGATCAATTACATTGCAAACAAGCGGGACGTGTACGAGTGAATGCGGCCATGCTGCCTGCAGGTTCGCCGATTTTCACACCCCCCCCCCCCTTCCCAATTTGGGGATGCTGTGATATTGAATAAACGTGTGGCAACGAGTTCGTATAGTGGCTGCGATGGCCGCTGGGTGGAACGTCTTCTTTCCCTGCTGTTAAGTGAAGTTTCAAGATTTGATTCGAGGATCGATTATTCTTTTGTGGTGTTCTGCCCAATACTGCCTGCCTTGTTTGTAACGTCTTCATTGCTGTCAGTGCATCTCATATTTAGGGACTCATTTGATTACTGTTTTTGTTCCATTTGGACGTCGCAGTGACAATATGTTAATTTCCTTGCCTGATATACACGAGGTCATGGGTTCAATCCTGACACTGACGCCTGTATATTTGGAGTTTGCATATTCTCCCCGTGGTCGCGTAGACTTTTCTCCGGGTCCTCGGGTTTTTCCCTCATTTAGAAACATGCAATTAGAGTATTTGACCACGCTACATTTCCGCATGATAAGCCACTGTATTGGGCTATCATTTGTGGCCAGGTCGCTTCTGAAAAAAAGCTATTTCTCTCAGTGGGCCTTATCTGGTAAAATAAAGAATAGTTTAGTATTATAGATTTTATTTGCCTAAAGAATGTAGCATACTATTTGTATCAATCAAATGTTCGTTTCACAGGTGCGTCACCTGATCAGTATCATCGGCATAAGAATACATTTTAATCCTTCACATGCGCACTCCTTCCTAATCCTATTGTTTTGTGTGTCTTCCCTTTAGGTGTTCTGAGGAAGTGATGCCACGGTTCTTTATAAGATGTCCCTTTACGGAAGTGGCATTTGGTTTTGGTCAACGGGGAATAGTTTTCTGAAGCTTTGCTCATTTCAGTTCTCGGATTCAAGTGTCTGGGCTCTTTACCCGGTCAATAAAGACCGTCTAATACAACGCGAAAGCCCATTGACACGGTTAGCAAACACTTGGTGGTCATTGCCTCAGGCCTCATGGTTCACATGGATGGCACGGCGGGTGCCGGTGGATCATCGGGTGTCAGTGCAAGTGTGAGCTGTGCGCGAGTCTTCAAGTGCCGGTTTAACCCGTGCTCAATAAAAGGCTAAAACCCTTCCACGTGATCTCGTCTCTTGAATGCTGCAAACCCTCGGCCAAGTGGTGTCGTTGAGTAACAATTCACGTCCGTTGTCCACGCGCCGTTTGCTCAAAGCGGCACAGGCCTGCCTCTCCGTAGCCCTGTCGGCACTGCGCCCGCAGCCAACCGACCTCTTGGAAAATCGCATGGTTCGCGCTACCTTATTTTTGGTTGAATCCGTAAATTATCGTGCGCTCGTGCGTGTTTTCAGCCCCCCCCCCATGACATGTCGCTACGAAACCGCCCAGCGATAAAATTGTAAATGGAAAACAGCACCCCCGCCCACCCCCCGAGATTTTTTTTTATCTTTTAAACACCGTTACTGAGCACGGTGCTCCCAAAAGGTCAAGCGGCCATCAACAAACGGCCTTTCGGTTTAACACTGAGGCTTTTGCGACCAATATCCATTACACAGGTTTTTTTGGGGTTAGATCGCATAAATATAAATGTTCCGTTAAACCTGCCACCACCCAACAGCCAATTAGTAAGGTTTGTCACGTAAACAGAACATGCCAATTCGTTACTAGTACAGCACACCGGTGTGTTGGAGAGTAAATCTACAACATTTGGAACCTTGAGTACGACGTTTTGCCAGTAATTGCAACTAGCATAATCAGGCGATGCTTACAAGACAATGGTATTCCAATGTCCCCTTTTTTTTTATCACAGCCTCGATTCTGTGATGTCGGCCACACTCATCAATGCTGCAACGTTCAGTCCATTCGCACAAGGTGTCCGATTTTACGTGAAGGTTGCGTGCTGCGTTTGATTATGCCAGATCGATGTCCATTTACATTTATTCTTGAGGATGCGATCGATTCTGTGCACCCAAACCATGTGGAGATGTCCAAATCCATGTCAATGTTAAAGCTTCGTAATGGGGTCCGTGGAACGCACAGGCAAGAGGACATCACACGACTACAACTTTGACTTTTTAGTGTATTCTATGCACAATCATCTCCTGCATTCTATACACTATCATCTCGTGAGATGCCCTGCAGCACCACAATGCACGCCTCAAGATTTGGCAATGCCAACAACAGAAGCGGTGACCTGTGCAGAATATTGGTCAAAGACTGTAGGTTGGACAGGAGACACTCCGAACAACAAAACTGCATTCTTAACGTGTTGAGCATATACATTTCAAACCGGATTCTGAGATCGAGTACACATGCATACTCGGTGCCGGATTAAGCTAGTGCGTGGCCTGTAGCATATGCTATAAAGGGGCCATAAATAAATACACATTAAAACTTTTTTTTACTGGCATAGTGGGCAGTCATTCCAAATGGTGCCACACACCCCCGAGAAATACAACAACAGAGCCATATGCACAAGTCGTACAGTCAAACCCCCTCTCACGCCTTATCGCCCCAAGCAATCCCGACAGACCACAGAGCCCATGACTGCACAGCACATCATCTGCTCCACGGAACTTCAGCTGAGAGGCCACCACTGAGGCTTCATCATTGATACGGCACCGTAATTACCGGATAATAAGACGCACTCTACCCCCCCCCCCCCCCCCCCATATAAAACTGTGTCAATCAAGCGAGACCTGTGATCTCTCGTAACAACACCTACCCTGGTACTTGAGTCAACCCATACCACCTGGGTATGTCCCGTGACCTGCACCTACCCTGGTCCATCAGTCAACCCATACCACCTGGGTCTACCCTGGTCCACGTGGTCTCGTTGCCAAGCAGCAAGACCCCCCCCCCCCCTGCGACACTTCACTTGATCACAAAGGTGCACCTAGCCTGGCACAAGCGCCGTTCGCCACTTTACTGCTGTTCCGAGTGAGAGGTCACATTTGTCTCGCTTGATTGACGTTTTTATATTGGGGGGGGGGGTGGATGTAGTGCGTCTTATTATCCGGTAATTACGTTGCCATGTCAATGTTAATGTGTTGTTATTATTACACGCTTTTATTTAACTCTCTGTCGTTGTTGACATTGATGGCTCTTCGCCATATTGCGTGCAACTTTCTCCGCTTCACAGGTGTAGTAGGTTCAATGAAACGTGGACGACGTAGTCGGAGGCACACTTATTTGTTCTAACGTTTCACTCAGCACAGGCCAATGTATACACACTCGAAGGGGTAATGGCCCCTTCACCCGTCTAACAGGGAGACCCCACTGTCTCGAACCCGGCTAGCCTACTCCCAGGTCCTCCACTCGAGAGCTCGGGGAAGCTAGCTGACCCAGCTCTGGCCAAGCTGGGATCACGGCACCCTTAATCACCAGACCGGCTCTTACAAGAACATCGGCTCTGGGCTCTCGGGGCCACGCCACTGGCTTGCCCTGGTCGGTCCTGAGAAGGACAGAGATCCAGGGGAGTCCCAGGGCCTATCTAGCCGGTCTTCTTGCTTCGCTGGTTTAAGCTGAACACTGAACCCCGAGCCCACCGGCTCACCGCCTTATATAGCAACTCCCCCCCCCCCCCCCGAGGGGTGGGGCCGTGGGGGATCACAGCGCCGTCACAGCCCCCCAGGCTAACCGGTGCGGACGTGGATGTAAGCATCCTTCCGCGTGCGGCCATAACCAGCCCTGGTGTGTTTGTTCGCCCTCCCGTAACACCCCTACACAGGTAAGTAGTGGTCGTGTACTGTCGGCTTTCGCGACCAATATCATTCATGATTGAGGTTGTTTTTGTTGGGGAGGGGGGACGAGGTTGGATCGCGTAGATATAAATGCGTCGTGAGCCCCGACGCTTTGCCACGTAAACTATTGACGTGCCCATTCGTTACCGCGACAGCACAGCCGGTGTCACTCGACATTCACAATCCGTGAGCACGACGTCTCTCTCTCTCTCTCCACACAGCTCTTACCACGGTGATTAGTAGCGGGACTCTTCACAAACAGGTGAGTTCGTCGATGAGTAACGGATTACTCTATCCGTGTCGGGGGATTACTTTCGGCTACTAATCGGTGAGGACGTTGACTGAACGCGACCAAGGCCCCCTAATCGATAATATTCGTCGTGAGCCGCGGCCCCGCCACGTGGCCCGAGGCCTCGTCCCCGGTCGAGTTGAGGCTGATCGGTCGCAAGGCCCCTGGTCGAATATACATCATCACATCCGTAATTAATTCATAATAAACAACGACAACAATTGTGTGTCTGTGGGACCTTTATTTTTAGTATCCCAAGATGATGAAAGTCGCGACTCGGCTTCGTTCCCCTCTCTGGCAATAAAAACACAGGACGTGTTAAGATGTCCAAACGGCAAATACGGCGGACAAACAAACGTGCTCTCATAGTATCCGTAAACTCTAAATCTAGGTAGTACAGTATAGGGATTGTGTTTAAGACGAATTGGCCTACAACACACAGAAAAGACGACAGCCTCCGTGTGCGGCCTTGCGAACAGCGACACACGCAATGCAAGTATAGAACATTACGACAAATAACACTCGGATTTTACCCTTTCCGGCGATACAATAACAACACTCGTCTTCTGCGTGACATGAACAACATGTCATACGTGTATGTGGTCCATAGCACACGTGGTTTTTAGGTGTTTATCGCGTTAATTGCATCGTCAATACACAGTTCGTGAATAAGTCGGCTTCCCATTGTATTGGGGTAAAGTGTGAATCTCTCGTCGTGGAGGCCCCCACGGTGTGGTCGAGTTGCCAACACGTGTCCGTCTCCCTTGTGTCTCTCCACCGGCTCCCCCAGTGTACTCTGAATAGGGGCAGTTGCCTGGAACGTCGCCTATTCTATAATATTCTCGTTAACGCTTGTGGCATTTGCATCCATTTATTCTTTTTCGATTTAAAGCTTTCGTGACTGCAGGGATTCATCTTCTTGGTTATTTCGGTAAAGTCACGTAGAAGGGAAATAATAAAATAATAAAAATAAAATTAAACATGCTTTATTTACTTTTTTATTTTTATTGTTATTTTATTATTTCCCTTCTACGTGACTTTACCGAAATAACCAAGAAGATGAATCCATTTATTCCTCAATCGTTTACAGCACCAAAGTAGAATGTTAATAAATACGTAGTGTTTTGATAAAACGAAGTAAGTTGTGACTTGTGTTTTCCATTATTTACCTTCTAAAACGACAACATCAATCTGCCACACGTCTCGCATGCCCCCCAGAAAGGGCATCTCGCACCCCCAGGTGAAGAAGAATAAGAACCACCCCACTGCTCTAGAAACAATGCTTCTAGTTTTTAACTAAACCAGCGTTGTGTTAACCATGAGTTTAACCGGCAATCGTGACCGTGATAATAAGTGCCAAGTGCAGTTCTGTCCCAATGCAGCAGTGGCAGCATCATCGGTAGCAGCAGTAGCAGCATCAGTAGCATCAGAATCAAGAATCAAGTCTGCATTAACCACACGTGCTTGTGGCAAAACATACAAACATGCTATGGTGATGATAATAATAATATCTGCATTGTCTTTGAAACTGATTGGCCTGCACCAGAGATGGCCTTTTTCATGGCCTTGTCTCTCTCACCAGTGTCAAGCCAGAGGACGCCAAAAGGCGAACATTGCAAAGACAATTCAAATATCAGAAGACTTATTATGAAAAATAAGAGAGGTTTTACCCTTTCTACTCTTAGGTTTTTTCGGTAAAGTCACGTAGGTAAAAAATGAAATTAATAAAAGTAATAATAGAAATTAAAATTAATAAAAGTAATAATAGAAATAAAATAATTTATGTTAATTTTATTTTTTACCTACGTGATTTTTACCGAAAAAACCTAAGAGTATGAATCCTTGCAGTCACGAAAGCTTCAAATCTAGAATTTACCCTTTCTGGCAATACATAATCAGGTTACTCGTCCAGTACTCTTGATTACTCGGATGACACGAGGCACACACACACAAGCTTGTTGATTACAAGAAATCGATTGTTGATTACAGTACAAGCAATTGATTGTTGATTACAAGCAATCAACACGCCAGTGTCTGTATGTAATCAGATTACAAGGAATCAACCCTTACATAATCACGTGACGACGATGATGATGTTGCTGATGTTGTTGAGAGAGAGTGTCAAGCAGGTCTGGAGATCACTCGGTCACTGAAGTGGTGAGCACTGGTGTCTCTTGAGGACACGGTTCCAACCACAACCACCGTGCCCACAACAACAATAACCAACCACAACACATCAACAACCACCGGCACGACAACAATCACCGACAGTGCCGGCGATGATGGACGGCACTCACCTCGACCGCAAGGCCGACCCCACCATGCCCCGGGTCAACTTGGCCGCAGGTGAGAGGTCATGACCGTCGCACTCCTGTCAACCCCTTGTCAGTGCCCCCTACCTTGTTACACACCAATTCAGATCTTATTGGTCACCCCGTGCCCCTTATACATCTCAACGGTCATCCTGCAAAGTCCCATCACAAGGGAGAGACACAAATAAATTAGACAACAATTTATTGTATTGCCCGTATTGAAACGGCTGTACGCCGTATCGACCTGAAAACTCCCTGTACAAGAATACGGAGTAAACCGTGTGGCTTCGACAGCTATGCCGTCAGCTGAGCCGCTCCGTGTGGGGAGTCGGCAGGCGGGTTCACAACTTGACGTTGCCCTCTCTGTGTTTAACTTTATTTCATTTGTCACACGCATGGTCCCGTTTCCGATGGAGATCTGTGGTTCCGTGAGCACAGCAGCAACAAAGACACTTTATGGGTCTCTATGAGTCTGCAAGGGTCTCTGTGTATCTCTAGGTCTGTATCTCTGTCATTGTCTCTGTGTATCTTTATGGGTCTCTCTTGGTATCTGTATCTCGGGATCTCTCTATCTGTCTCTTTGTATCTATTTAGGTTTTTGGGTATCTCTGTACTGCATCTATATATTTCTATTTCAGTCTCTCTATGAGTCTCTGTGTATCTCTACGGATCTGCATTAACCACGCGTGCTTAATGTAAAAGATGCAAACAAATATGCATTCATAATAATGAACGTATTGTCCTTGAAATAGACTGGCCTACACCACAGGCAGCCTCTAGTACGGCCTTGTCTCACCACCATTGCTAGACTAGAGAACGTCGAAAGGCAATACAAAATATCAAAGCATTAATATATCGGGTCGACGGGTTATAACTACGAGACCCGTTTTGCCGGTATCGAGATGATGACCAAAATAACGGGCTTTACCCTTTCTGGCAAGAATACAGGAGGTGTTAAGATGTTCAGACACCAAATAGACACTTATTGCAAGAACCCTGGCAAAAAGGTCCCATAGATATCACTGCCCAACCCGATATATATTGACATTGCCTTTGTGCTGTTTGCCTTTTGGCGTTCTCTGGTCGAACACTGGTGACGCAAGGCCATAAAGGAGGCCCTCTCTGGTGTAGGCCAATCAGTTTCAAGGACAGTGCATATACATTATCAAAGTGCGTTTGTTTGCATGTTTTGTCACAAATATGATGTTAGGTTAATGCAGACTTGATGCCTTGTCATAGGTGTCTCTTTGGTGTTTGAACATCTCAAAACCTCCTGTATTCTTGCCTGAAAGGGTAAAGCCTTTTCTTTTTTATCATCATCTTCATACAGGCAAATAGGGTCCCATAGATTTATGGGTCTGTCAGTATCTATATGGATCGCCTCTGTATCAATCTATCGCTATAGGTCTCCATGTATTATTTATGGGTCCGTCTGTGTCTCTGTATCTCTGTCTCTATATCTCGCTGTATCTCTGGGTCTCTTTATCTCTAAGTATCTCTGTGGATCTCCATATTATTTTGGTGACCCAGGACGCTCTTGCGAATGGGACTCCACCTCTGTATCCTGGCCTCTCTAGAAGTTATCACCTGGTCATACAGAATCTACATGACACTGAAATGGCTTCACTCGCACTGGTGTGCAGACTCAACGCTCAAGCCTCATGAAGGTGGCGGTGGCGGTAGTGAAGGGATTCACTTTGGCCAGGTTCCCAAATGGCTGGCGCTTCAGTTTGAGTCTGGGACCCTGCACGCCATATCAGCGCTCACGCAGTACAGCCAGATTTACGGGTTGACGCTCCGCCTGGCAGAGGTGGACTCAATGGGTGAGTAGAGGGGCAAGTGGGTGAGTGGCTGAGTTTGTGAGTGTATGAGGGGGTAAGCGAGTGGGTGGTTTGGTGAGCGCATGCGCGCATGGGTGGGGGAGCTCAGCAAGTAGCTGGGTGGATGGGTTAGTACTGTATGAGTGGGTGAGTGTCTGGGTTTGTGAGTGTATGAGTGGGTAAGCGAGTGGGTGGTTGAGCGAATGTTTGCCAAAGTGGGTGAACGCGGGAGTAGGTGGGTGGATGAGGTCGTGTATGAATGGATTCATGAGTGGGTGAGTTGTGTTCGTGCGTCTCCTTCCTGCGTCTCCTCCCAAACGTCCTCTCCCCGCGTCCTCCTGCATGTCTCCCCCCCCCCCCCCATGTCTTCCACCCCCCTCCGCCCCATGTAAGACGGGGTGGTTGGCCGTCACTTCACGGTGGCCGCGTTCCTGAGTGGCGACCGCGTCTCCGTGGCCGTGGGGCGCAGCAAGAAGGAGGCACGTGCAGCGGCAGCAATCGCCGCCATGAAGCTGCTACTCTGCTGGCAGGGAGATTGCAGCAGCAGCGGCGGTGGCGGTGGCCAGCAGAGGAGGCAGGAGCAGCAGGTGATGGGGGCAGCTGAGGCTGAGAAGACTCGGGGATGCACAGGTAAAGCAGCAGCAGCAGGACTCTTGTAACACGCGTGGGTTTTTCCACTGACACACCTGAGCCAGACCAGCATGTGTGGGTGTCGCTGCCCCATGCTGCCCTGTGGACGTGTGTCGGTGACGCTGTCCCTGCTGCTGTTTGCTGCCCCGTGCTGCTGTTCCCTGCCACCACTGCTGGTACCCGGTAGAGGTGACGGTGCCGGGGCCGCTGCTGCTGGAGTTGGGCATGGGGCCCGAAGCCCAGGAGGCTGTGGCGATGGCCGTGCGGAAGAAGTGTGCGGAGCTCGTGGAGATGGGGGGGGGGACCCTCGTGGGGGGCAATGACGGCGCAACCCCCCGGCTGGCGGCGTTCCTTGTCAAGCGCGGTGCGGGTCACTCGCTTGCACACTCACTCATACATACTCAGTTGTCCACTCACTCATAGACTCACGCACACACACTCGCACACTTGAAAACTCACTCTTACATGCACTCACTCAGTTGTCCACTCACTCATAGACTCGCGCACACTCACACACACTCGCACACTTGAAAACTCACTCTTATATACACTCAGTTGTCCACTCACTCATAGACTGGCACACACTTGCTCACTCACACACACTCACTCGCACACTCACAACGTCACCACCACGCTTGTGCCATGCCAGGTGCACTTTGAGGCCACGTCAAGTGTCGAAGACTCACATGAGGTCAGACCCAGGTCCCATTGGTTGACTGACTGAGATGACTGGCGGATGCACCAGCTGTGCCCCCCCCCCCTACTGTACCAATTTGCTGCATTTTAGCTGCCTGATGCTCTGCCCGTTGTGAGCATCACTCCTCTGCCCTCTGTTGTTGTTGGAGGGCGACAGCCACCAACTGCCCATTAGCGTCCTTCATGAGCCTCCTCTGTAGAGGCCGATATTGACAACATTGAGACAAGTCTTCGGCAAGTCCACTCAGTTCCACATCCTTCTGTACCACATTAACCCATTTCTTCTCTAACCTGTGCTGCACCCATTTAGCCCCCTCTATCCGGCCAAACAACTGCTTGGGCAAGTGGTGGCTGCGCATGCGGGCTGTTTCAAGATGACGCAGATGTTCCTTTAAAGGGGTCCACGTTTCGCGAGCATAGAGAAGAGAGGGGTGTTACTGTGGCCGAGAAGACCCAAAGCCAGGCAGCTTAAATACAGCGAGTTGGCACATTGGGGAGCACACGTGATGCATCTGCCAGTGAAATTGATAAACCCATAGCACCTGGGTCTGCCCGTGACCTGCTAGCAGCGAGCGCTTTCCACTCTTCACGTGACTTCGAGGTTCACCGAGCCTGGAAAAAGCGCCGTGGTGATGTCACCACTTAAAGGTGGAAGACAGCTGTTGTGTGCATGTAGGTATGTGTTTGTGTATATGGGGAGTGGTGGTACAGTGGCTAGCGCACTGCTACAAACCTGGAAATCCGAGTTCCATTCCTGCCCGCGGCTAACACCAATGACGATTATCCGAACTGGTCCTGGGCTTCGCCGAGGTCGACTTGGCCTCAAATGAGTACCTGGTGCGATGTGTAGTAATCGCCACTCGGGACGTGGTGCTGGCCGCCCACCTCCTTCAAGTACCGTGCCGGCCTTCATACATGCTACTCACTAACAGCACTTTCCCAATCAATCTGTTAAAGGCTACACGGGGGATCTTTGTCTTTGTGCAGTGGGGCACCCGTTCCAAGTGGTCGCCGTGGGAACCGGCTGGGGCATCTGCTCCGAGACGTCCAGTGGCAAGGGCCGTGAGATTCTCGACTCGCACGCCGAGGTGACGGCACGCCGCTCCCTTCAGCGGTAAGCCCCCCATATCCGCTATCCCCCAATCCCCATATCCGCTATCCCTCATATCCCCCATATCCACTATCCCTCATCTGCTAATCCCCATATCCGCCAACCCCCATATCCGCTAAACCCCATATTTGCCAAACCCCATATCCGCTTTCCCCAATATCCGCTCATCTTCACCATCGAAAGCAGACGACGCGGCACCCCCTACAACGGTAAGAGCCCCGATATCTGCCATATCCACTATCACATAAAATGTCTTGCGAGTTGATGTTGATGCTGGCGTTGATGTTGATGTCGATCTGGGAGGCAGGTACCTCTACCGCCAGCTCCTGCTACTCCAAGCCGGTGAGGGGACGGTGCTGTGCAGCACTGCCGCTGCTACCCCCGCTGGCGGGGGGCTGCGCTACAGTCTGCAATCGGGGGTCACGCTCCACCTCTACCTGGACCAGCTACCCCGCGGGGCTGCCCTCGCGTGAGACGCCGCCCCCCGCTGCCCCTCACTGGGGTGCTGGGACATTGGGGTGCTGGGACGCTGAGATACTGGGACACGGAATCTGAGACGCTGGGACACTGTGGCACTGGGGCACTGGGGCACTGAGACTGTGAATCTCCCCGTGTAGGTGTGCATGTGTGTGCATGTGCTCCCCTCTTGGAATATTTCCTCGCCCTTCTCTCCCCATCCTCTCTCTCTCTCCCCGCACCTCCAGCTACCACCACGGCTCCCAGAACCTGCAGCAGGTGCTGGCGACGGGAGAAAGACACCTGATTTCGGCCTACACGGCGCCTCCGGCCCCACCAGCCCTGCAGACCCCACAGGCCTCGCAGGCCACGCCAGCCGCGTTATGCCAGGCCCAGCTACCGATAGCCGTGATGAGCGGCAGTGACAAGCTGATGCGCTGGGAGGTGCTGGGAGTGCAGGGCAGCCTTCTCAGCATCTTCCTTGAGCCCGTGTACATCAGCTCCATCACACTGGGTGCGTTTTCGCCACCACAACCACCAAAAACACCACAATCACCATCACCAGTAACACCACAATCACCACCACTGTCATTGTACATCAGCTCCATCACTTAGGGTGCGTTTTCGCCACCGCCACTACCACCAAAAACACCACTCTCACCATCACCAGTAACATCACAATCACCACCACCGTCATTGTACATCAGCTCCATCACTTAGGGTGCGTTTCCACAACCATGATCACCACCTTTACCATCAATACCACTATCACCACCACCATCACTACCATCATCACCATGTACATTTCCATCAGGCTTGGTTTGTCTCCGCCACCACCACCTTAAACACCACTGTCGCCACCACCACCATGTATGTATGTTGACCTTCTTTCGCACCGTACATCACCAACTGTGCTAATCTGGAGGTGCGAGGGAAAGACAAGAAACTAAACACAAAAGGCAGTTCTAAAGAAATTAGTTTTCAATTTAGTATGTGAGCTCCATCATGCTCGATGGGTCTCCACCACCATCACCACCATGACCACCATTACCAAAACCATTACCACCATCACTGCTGCAATCTGCACGGTGTGCCACGTTGCCCAGGTGGATGGGTGAGTGGGTGGGTGACTGTTGGTGCGCGAGTAGATGAGTGGGTGGATGGGTGAGTGGATGGGTGGGTGAGTGGGTCATTAGATTGTTTTAGTGGGTGGGTGAGTGGATGGATGCGTCGGTGATCGGGCAGGTGAGTGCGTGAGTTGAGTGGTTGAGCGGGCGAGCGGGCGAGCAAGCTCCTTCCTGCGTGTCGCCAGGTGGAGCGGAGGCCTCGTGGAACTGTGTGGAGTCGCTGCGGGCGGCGCTGCACGGCCGCGTGTCGCTGCGCCTCTGCGCCGACCTCCCCGGCGCCTACCTCACCAACATCGCGCACATCGGCCACGTGCCCCCACGCGGGGGGCCACGGACCAGGGGGCCAGGGGCAGAGGCCGTGAACTGGAGCGAGGGTGACAGCAGCGTGGAGGTGGTGGAGCCGGCGACGGGGAGAGAGTCGCCCACGTGAGTCGGCTCGCTCGCTCACCGTCGCTCGCCAACACGCGAACGTTGCTCACCATCGCTCACCATCGCTCACCCTTACCATCGCTCACCATCGCTCACCATCGCTCACCCTTGCCATCGCTCACCATCGACCGCTCGCCGGTCAACTCGCCTTCACTTCGAACCATCACCAACATGACTACCACGATCATCATCACCACCGCTATCATTACCACGATCTTTACCATCATCGTTCTCGCCCAAATCTTCGCCTATCTCCTCGCCCGTCTCCTCCATGCCCCCAGGTCCCCGTTTGTGTCGGGGCCGCACCACGCGAGTCGTCTGTGCAAGGCGGCTATGCTGTCTCGCCTGCGCCTCGTGGCGTCTCGCTTCTCCTCCTCCGCCGTGTCCACGGCACCGGCCGCGTCCGTCCCGGCGCTGCTGTCGCTGTCGTACAGCGCGTGCAAGGCGCTGGCAAGCGACTACCAGCAGGCCAAGGCCGCGTTCCACCGCCACGCTCACCACCTCGGCCTGGGAGCCTGGCAGAGCCACCCCAGCACACTCGCCACCTTCACCCGCTGAGCACTCACTCAACGCTGCTCAGTCGCTCGCCACCACCACGCTCGCCACCATCACCACCACGCTCATCACCATCACGTCCACTCACCACGCTCGTCACCACCACCACCACCACGCTCATCACCATCACGTCCACTCACCACGCTCTCCACCACCACCACGCTCATCACCATCACGTCCACTCACCACGCTCGCCACCGCCACGCTCGCCACCTTCACCCGCTGAGCACTCGCTCAATGCTTGCTCAGTCGCTCGCCACCACCACGCTCGCCACCATCACCACCACGCTCGCCACCATCATCACCACCACGCTCGTCACGCTCGCCACCACCATCACGTCCGCTCACCATCACGTCCACTCACCAAGCTCGCCACCACCACCATCACGTCCACTCACCACGCTCGCCACCTTCACCCACTGAGCACTCACTCAACGCTGCTCAGTCGCTCGCCACCACCACGCTCGCCACCATCACCACCACGCTCATCACCATCACGTCCGCTCGCCACCACCACCACCACGCTCGCCACCGCCACCACGCTCACCAACATCATGCTCACTCATCACGACCACTTTCACCACCGCTACGGTCGCTACCGCCGGACTCGCCACCGCCACGCCCACCCCCACTATGGTGTCCACCACGCTCATCGCCCCCACACTCGGCACCATCAAACTCGCCACCACTCTCACCACTACGCTGACCACCATCACGCTCGTCACCACGATCACCACCACAACGCTTGCCACCAGCAAACTCGCCACCACGCTTCCCAGCACCACCACTTCTCAGCACCACCACTTCTCAGCACCACCATGCTCACTTTCCCTGTTGATTTGTGTTGCTGCATTGCGTTAGCACGAGGAGGTTCAGAATCGATGTTAGGTTCACAGTGGCCATGGCAAAGACACTGAGCCAGCGCAGCTGAGATCCTGGACCTGAGCCCTGGGTCCGGGTGTCTCTTGGGGAGTTCACGATGGCCGTTTCGCAGAAACCAAGCCAACACAGCTGACAACCTAAGTTTGATGATTTTCTCATGGGGTTCACAATGGCCACGTCAGGTTCATAATGTCCGTGTCGGTGCCACGGTGGCTGCGCCGTTACACCGGTTCCGTCTACAAGTCTTCCGCCTTCACTCTTCGTTTCCCTGTGCCCCCTGCCTCCAGTTTGAGGCCTCCTCCACCGTCTTGTCCACCGTGTACACGCTGTGATCTGCACGGCCACTGTCGACGCTGCAAGCCTCCGCAGTTGAAATTTCTTTGCAAAAAAATCAATAAAACCGCACTCCTCAAACGATCGCACCGCAGCCGTGCACGCGTTCATGGCGTTGGGGGGAAACGGAAAGAGAAGAGAATAGGACATAGGATGGGAAGGGAGTGGAGAAACGCGAGGGGGGAAAGAGGAATGACCAGGCCAAGGTGTGTGGGCTGATGAAGAGGGTGGTTGATGGGTCATGATTCAAGCAGAGGAGGGAGAGGAGTGAGCAGAGATGTCTGGTTTCACGGGGGGGGGGGGGGGGGGTGGCGTGGAGAGGGGAGGGATTCAAAGTGGGGGTAGCTGCACACAAAGTCGCGTCAGTCGCAGGAGGCTTGGGCCGATTTACAAATAGAGATGGAGATCTATGGATGGGAGGGATTAGGAGGGGAGGTGGCTGCGCACAGGTCGCGTGATTTACGGGAGCTTTGAGCCGACTGAGAAGGGAGAGATGTTGGTCATCATCTCGACTCGTAACGCCACCGCACGGCGGTCGCCCGCTCATGGAGAGAGAACGACTTGGAGGCGCGGAGAGGAACCAGAGACGAGCGGGGAAGGCAGAAGCTGCAGCCACGTGTTGAGGCGGCGCTACCAACAGTTGCCCAAGCTCTGCGGTCCTCTACTGTATATGAAGGCGTTATTTGGCCCAGTTAATACATTTATACGTGTGGGTCGAAATTGGAGCAAACTGAATGAAAGTCTGAATTTAATAATGACTTTAATCATGAATGGTTGTGGTGGTTCTGGTGGTAATTGTGGTTTTGGTGTTAATGTTAGTGGTGATGGTATTGGTGGTGTTGATGGTGGTGGTATTGGTGGTGTTGGTATTGATGGTGGTGATGGTATTGGTGGTGTTGGTATTGATGGTGGTGATGGTATTGGTGGTGGTGATGGTAGTGGTGGTGGTGGTGTTGGTGGTGGTGTTGGTAGTGGTGGTGGTAGTGGTGATGGTGTTGGTAGTGGTGGTGTTGGTAGTGGTGTTGGTATTGGTAGTGGTGGTATTGATGGTGGTGATGGTATTGGTGGTGATGGTGGTGTTAGTGGTGTTGGTAGTGGTGATGGTGGTGGTGGTATTGGTAGTGGTGTTGGTGGCTTCGGGAGACGGCGCAGTTGTAACACAACCCCCAGCAAGGCCCCCGGGTTCAACTCCCAACTCGGGCGCCTCTCTGCGTGGAGTTTGTTCCGCTCTGCGTGGGTTTCCTGTGGGTTCTCCACGTTCCTCTCTCAGCTAAATCTCAAAACACAGCGGAACTGGGTCAATATTTGCCAAACGACACCGCCAATGGTGAGAAATCGCCTGCAAGTCACTCGGGTTCAGACAACAGCAGCATCACCTCCTGGCAAACAAAACCTGGCAGGACCCTCTTGAACATTGAGTCCTGAGCGTCGGGAGAGGCTTTCCCGGGCGAACGAGCGGAATCTCGTGGTGGCTTTCGCGTGAAAAACCTGTTCCTGATCAAAACCGGTTAACCCACACGCGCAGGCAGGTGGGGTGTTATACAGGTATTGTTTTATTTTTAAATCCTTTATATTAAGTTCGCTTGCTTGCTTAGGACCGTGCAAATCTTTCGGTCGTTTTTTAACCCACTTCCCGTGATCCAATCGAGCTGACATTTTGCACACAGACTCGTTGTGCGTGACAATGCATTCTGGTGAAAAAAAAATTCCTAAATTTTACACTGTTTAGGGAATTGTTTTACATTTAATTACCAATTTAATGCTGCCAATCATCTGACCTATAGGTGGCAGCCATCTCAAGCCAGAGGACGAGAGGACTATAGCCGCCCCGATGCCACGCATATAAATTATTTATAGTGAAAAACTTTGTTTTTACGGGTTAATTTTTTATTAATTTTAGTTTCATTTTTTACCTACGTGACTTTACCGAAAGAACTAAGAGTAGGAAAAACAGTCCCACACTGCCTACCAGGGATTGTCTGTCGTGCATGGCCCCGCCGCACCAGAGCCCTCCCATTGGCTCGGGGGCGCCGATCAATGGGAGCGGTGGGTTGGTAGAGGGGGGGGGTTAGTGGTGGGGGGGGCACCGCCGCGACTCGGGCCAATGAGGAGACGAGGATGTTTCATTCACAAAATGGAACTAGGGGAGGGTGGCTCCATTCATAAAATGGAAGCCTTGAAAAGAAAAAGGCGGATCTTTTTGCCTCGTGTTTCTTTCAACATTCCCAGCCTTAAGGTGATTCAGTTGGGGGTGGGATAGGTGGGGCACGATACACTACACTTATACAGGTAGGGACAACAGCTTCCACACTGCCCACCAGGGATTATGTGTCTGTCGTGCACGAATGCGCTGTCCAACCAAGTTCCTAGCTGCCCACTCTGAAGGAACGTGTTGGCGATGATTCATTAGACTGCCGAGGTCGCCGATTTGACTCAAGAATGTCGGCGTGGCACTTGCAACAACGAATGGCGCAGGTTGTTGTTGGTGGTGGTGATTGTTGGTGTTGGTGGTGATGGGGTTAAAGTGCGTGGGGAGCGGTGGTGCAGCGGTTAGCGCGTTGCTGTGCTCCGAACCCGGCGACCCGAGTTCGAATCTCGCTCACGGCCACCAACAGCGAGCGACGATTGTCTGAAATCCGGTCCTGTGCCTCCCCTAGGTCGACTCGGCCTCAAACGAGTAACCTGGTGCGGTGCGTAGTAAACATCGCCACTGGGGGAGACAAAGGCGGCCGGGCGTGGTTTCTGGCCGCCCCCTTCGTAGGTGCTGCTGCTCGCTAACAGCACTTGCCCCAACAGTCTGTTCAGAAGCTACACGGGGGATCTTTGTCTTTAGGGGGTAACGCGTGGGTCGCTGCCACTTGTCGGTGTGGAAGAGGGGGGCCCCCTCCGTCTCGTGCAGGAGCCCCCCCCCCCCCACCGAGCGAGCAGTTTCAGGGGCTGCGCCTGCGGATCGTCGCGCACAGCCGAGCGGCGGAACCGGATACAACGAGAAGAAATATGAATAAATTAGAAAATATTAATAAATTAGAAAATATTAATAAATTAGAAGATATTCATACATTTGATATTAATAAATAAGATAATATTAATAAAGTAGAAAATATGAATACATTCGAATATTTTTTAAAGAAAATATTAATACATTATAAAATATGAATAAATTAGATATTAATACATTTTCACGACAGGATAAATTAGTTGATATGCATAAATTCGCAAAACTTAATAAATTAGATGAGATGATTCAATTAGAAAAACTGCATAAATCAGATATGAATAAATTACCAGATGCAAAAAAATTTCTATGCTGAATACATTTGGTAACTTGAATAAATTAGATATTTATATATGCTAAACTGAATAAATTAGATAATATGAATACAGTAGCAAAACTTAATTAATTAGATCAACTAAATTAGCAAAACAATAAGCCAAAATTAATTAACAAAATATGAATTACAAAATGTATTCTCAAAACTGATTAAACTAGCAAACACGAATTAATGAGCATTTCTGAACAAATTAACACTCCTTTAACGTACGGAACAAAATTAAACTTTATAAAGGCAATTGATAATATAACGCATTAACCACTCGTGAATATTAAATCGCAAAGGCGACAACGGGGCCCCACGTGGTCGCTGTGCGAAAAGCCACGTGGCGCTGATTGTTTAGGCCACGTGGCGCTGATTGTTTAGGCCACGTGGCTCTGATTGTTTAGGCCACGTGGCGCTGATTGTGGTGCCGGTTCGACTCGGGCTGAAGTTCCCGTGAGAAGATTTTCTCTCTGGTTTCCTCTCTCTCATCTCAAGTCTCCTGCCTCTCCCCCAGCCCCCCACGACAGCCAAGAAAGATGTGTGACATCAACATCGACAACTTCTTCCAGAAGCTTCCGGAGATGAGAGAGGCGATCTTCCAGGCTGACTTCATTGGTGAGTTTACTCATTCAACAAAAACAAGAGTGCTTCCAAAAATCATGTTAACGTTTAAGTGGGACTATCGTTTTTAATGGGGAGAAAGAACGGATTTACTGCACTGTGACACGTTAACAAATGTAACGTTAATAGCTTCACAAAAGTTCGCCGTCGTTGTCAACGCGGAATCTTCTCCACGTGGATCTGCAGAGGCCTGGAGGTGTGGGCCCGTCTCTCGTGGCGTTGTTGCAAATTCTCTGAAGTGTTACATTGTGTTTATTAATCACCCTGTTTACGATATACGTGGACCGCGGTGGAGAAGTTTGGGGGTGGTTAAGGAGTTGGTTTTTAAAAAAAAAACGCTAAATTATTATTTAAGGAGTTTCGATTTAAAGCTTTCGTGACTGCAGGGATTCATCTTCTCGGTTCTTTCGGTAAAGTCACGTAGAAGGGAAGTAATAAAAAAATAAAACATAATAAAATACAATTCTCACGACGTTTCGGCCACAATGCAAGCAGCCGTCCTCAGGTGAGGACGGCTGCTTGCTTGCGTGACTTTACCGAAAGAACCAAGAAGATTAAAGGAGTTGTTTGCCCGGGCGGGCAGCGGTGACTCATCTTAACCGCGAAATAATCGCGAATAATCGTGAGAAACGTGAGTTAATCGTGAGAAACGTCCACCGTGACAGTGACGAGGACGATGATGTAGTGTGGGAAGGGTTTTGTTGATGTTGCGGACCCTGTCCGCCTACAAACTCTGTCGCGGAGCTCTGTCGGAGTCGAGGTGGAGTCGGGACTTGTGTTTACATATAAAATATAACCCCCGACGGAGGTGGTGGTCATTTAGTGGCCACCCCCGTGTTGCGGTGAGTGGGAGGCAGGGGAGAAACAAAACAAGTGCTCCTGGGTAGGAAGTGTATTTCCCAATTGCTTATGCCTCCCAAAGTACATAAACAAAGGCTATTATTGCCCACAAACGTAGCTTTTTGTGACCAGGACAGTTATATTTTGAAATTGACCTATTTTTAATGAGAAAACTCGGTGTGCATTTGTGTCATTTCTTCACGTAAAGTCCTGGTCACAAAAGCAAAGTTTGTGGGCAATAATAGCCGTTTTATGTAATTTTGAAGCATAAGCAATTATAAAATAACACTTCGTACCCAGGAGCAAAAGTCGTGTTACATCGTGATAATATTCACACGGAGGCAGCGCTGCGTTCAACGCAATTGAATTCCCTGCCACGAGGCCCCCCCCCCCCAAATGCTGCCCCCCATTGGTGCCGTCTCACGACTACTTTGGCCTGCCCCTCTTATTTATGTGGCCACGAACAAGGGCCATTGCACGAAACGTCGCCCGTCACGTGACAGTTTTTTCTCTCCCTTCACTTTTCAGGCCGAAACTTTTTTTTGACACGGGGCGCGTTTTGAGATTTGCTTAAACGTAAACATGCAACTCTGAAGCGAGAGGGCACGAGTTGTGTGTCTGCGTGCGTTGGCACAGTAGGGGGCACAGGTGGTGCATCAGCCAGTCATCTCAGTCGACCCGTGGCACCTGCTGGGTCTGCCCCGTGACCTTCTGTCAGCGGGCGTTCGACACTTCACGTGGCCTCAAGGTGCACATGGCCTGGCACAAGCGTCGTGGTGACGTCACCGCTACTTAGTGGCGAATGGGGGTTGTTGTTGTTGGGCCAATAGTGGGGAGCGGTAGTGTAGTAGTTAGCGCTACGAACCTGGCGACCCGGGTTCGATTCCCGCTCACGGCCAACACCCAGTGACGATTATCTAAACCGGTCCTGGGCCTCCCCTAGGTCGACTCAGGCTCAAATGAGTACCTGGTGCGATGTGTAAACATCGCCACTGGGGAGACAAAGGCGGCCGGGCGTGGTGTTGGCCACCCCCTCGTGTGCCGTGCTGGCCTTCATAGGTGCTCGCTAACAGCACTTGTTAAAGCTACACGGGGGATCTTTGTTGTACCAATGCTGTCACGTGGCACTGTGTTACGCCTAGGGTGTGATTATTGGAATGGGTTCACCTGGATCCCCCGGGCGGGATGTGAGGGGAGGTGAAAGCATTGTCATCAAGACAATGTGGGGCTAACACAGTCAACGTGGAAACGAAATGTCGAGGCAACGTTGGGCCGACGTTGGGTCAACGTTGACATTTTTACTTGGATAAAGCGTCCGTCCCACTATTCGAAGGTGGTATAAGTTCAGGTTGACGAGACGGAATCGGGGTGATGGACGACCCAGCACTCAGTGATTGATTCTTTGGCCGTTGCCGATCATTGCTACAACTCTGTGGGCTCTCATGAAATTGTCTTTTCCGAGATCAAGGTGCTCTGCAAACCTCCTGGCTACCATCAAAGGTTTGTACACGAAGCCATACAAATATACAAACACAGACATAATTTCAACCGTGATGATGGGTACAAACTGAGTAATCATTGGAAAGATGTGATTAGCCATGCAAAAAAGATTTAACTACACATATTTGGACCTTCTTATTTGACAGACAACTATTCTTGAGTTACTGTACAGTTTACTGATAAGACAGCCGGTGTTGTTTTTACCATGTTTAGCTTATTTTTTCACACACTGGTTTCCTGCTATAAGTTTTACCCACCAAGCAACATAGCAGAAGGCTGTTTCTTCCTGACCTGCTTTTGTGCTTTTACCATCTACATGGCAGAGACTCGGTCTCATTAGCAGCAGCTTGCACTTTAACAACCCTGGCACCCCCCCCCCCCTCTCAGCCATTCTACATAACAAAGGCTCAATCCTTTGTTATGTAGACTAGCCGTGTCAAGCCGCACCTTACCATAATAATATAAAAAAGGGGGCCTGTCCTAGCCCATCCCCCCCCTCAACCAGTATATATACGGGGTAGTATCTCTTGGAATCTCTCATTTACTTGAAACAGCAAGCGTGCTGTGACGGTTCCACCTGAAGACGGAAGCTTGTGTTGCCTCCGAAACGTCGTGATTTTTATTTTATTTTACTTTCATTAATTTAAATGTTTTACCTACGTGACTTTACCAAAAAAACCTAAGAATATTGTGGTTCATTTGTGGCAAGCACTTTGTGTGTGGCGAGTGCGGCTTGACAATGTATTCGTTCAGCAATCGGAAGCCAACGCAGCTCGGCGAGCACTGGGCAGACGTGGTCGGATCTCGCAGTCCCCGTGACGATGCGTGTACACACTGTAGCTTGGTAATGTTCATGGCGGATGTCCCAGAGAGTAGCGAGTTGCAATAATCGAGCCTTTGTCGATACTACGCTACACGCCATCGTGTTGACTACGTCACAACTCAATAGTGGTCTCTATGGGTCTCTATAGGTCTCTATGTGTCTCTGTATCTCTGCTTCTACAAATATCTCTCAGGATCTTTATTTTTATCCGTGTCATCTCTCGGTGCCCAGCAGTGCTGACGATGGTGATGATGATGATGTTGCTTATGTGGCTCGCTATGTTAATAGGTGTGCATTAACTATGCTAAGTATCCACAGCTATCGACACGGAGCTGAGTGGGCTGGACGCGGGGCCCCTCTCGCGCTTCAGGTACCCACGATCCGCACAACGACCCTTGTTTCCACTGGCACTGCAGAAGCCGTGCTGTGCCGCCGACATCATGCACAGAACGAGTCGAGACGCGAGCACGCACGTAGATGAACTCTGCCACGGCCATCATGAACCTCCCCCTGAGAGGGAGAGTACCGTTGCTCAAACCCAGGATCTCGGTGTCTCCGACGTGACCAGTATGAACACCCTGAGACAGAGCGAGAGACCCAGGATCTTAGCAGTGCTGGCTGCCTCGTCTCCACCACAGCCATTATAAACCTGCTGAACCACACGGTGTAAATAATACCCATGCTAATTGGTTCTTTACCCTTCTATCTGGCAACAAAACTGACACCTTTTTGCAAGGAGTCATGTTTGCATAGACCGCAATACCTGCAGTCATAATACAAACAAAAGAACATAACTCTGATAATGTGCACTGTCCTTGAAGTTGATTGGTCCACACCCGAGACTGCTTTCCTTCGAGCCTAGTCTCATATGGGTTGGACCAGATGACGCCAAAAGGTTTGTATTATGACTGCAGGTATTGCGGTCTATGCAAACATGACTCCTTGCAAAAAGGTGTCAGTTTTGTTGCCAGATAGAAGGGTAAAGAACCAATTATCATATTTTTACTGGCAAATGAGGTCCCCATAGAATACCCATGCTGTTGTGTGTGTGTGTGCGCATTGTGAATTACTTTGTGGATTATGCCGATGGTTAGTTTGTGTTAAATTGACCATAGACCACAACAGCTGCGCCACTGCTCTCCCCATATACAAAGATGGAGATTCCCCGTATAGCCTTAACAGACCGTAGGGACAAGTGCTGTTGATGAGCACCGATGAAGTCCGGCACACATGGGGGGGGGGTGGGTGGGTGGCCAGCACCACCCCAGCCACCTTTGTCCCCTTAGTCGTGATGTTTACACATCGCACAAAGTAGGCCACACGAAAGGCCACCAGAGCCCGCCAGTGGCCCACAGGCCTTGCAATGCAGAACACTGTGGTGGCAGGAGATCCGCAGGACCGGTTGAGATAATCGTCACTGGTGTTAGCCGTGAGCGGGAATCGAACTCGGGGTCGCCGGGTTCGTGGCGCCCCACTACTACTCCCCATTGCGAAGACAAAGACACGGCGCACTCACGGTGGCCGTGCTGTTACTGCTGTTGCTGCTGCCGTTGCTGCTGCTGTTGCTGATGTTTCTGCTGCTGTTGCTGCTGTTGCTGCTGCTGTGTGTGGCCGTGTGTGCGATGAAGTCTGTTCGACTCCCCACGAGACCACTACGCCCGGAGGAGGGAGAGCGCCCAAGTCTACTCCATCGTGCAGCTTGGTGAGCCCCCTACGGTGGCCTCCTCCTCCCACTACCCCCCCTCCCTGCCCTCCCCCCTGGCCACCCAGTGGTGGCGCTATTGTGCACCGCCTTTGTTTCGGAAGTTCACGGTTCGATTTACAGCGGCAGACCACCATGGTTAATACCGTGGTGTTTTGTGCGTGGGTGAGTGGGTGATCGTCATCATCATTATCTCTTTACCACCATAATCATAATCATCATCTCTATCACCACCATAATCATTATCGTCATCAGCAGTAGAATCTACATCCCTTCATGGTCACACCTCGCAGTGGCGAGATGTTAACTACCCCGCCTGGCATGCAGGAGGTTACGGATTTGATTCCCACCCTGAGTATTTGGCTGCTATACGTTTCCACGCGATAAGCCACTTTGTTGAGCTATCATTTGTGATTGCCAGGTTGCTTCTGAAATAGAGCTACATCGCTCAGTGGGCCTTGCCTGTTAAAATTACATTGTTTAGTAGATTGAGCACCACGTGTGCAGGCAGTAGTGATGGTTGATTGGATAGACTGGCCTTGTCATGAGAATGTGGAGTTGGTAATGTGTGTTTGCGTTGTGCTCTTCTTTGCAGGATTGTCGGCCTTCAAACAGGACAATGAGGTGGAAGGGCAGGTGGGTGTCGCATCATCATCACCATCACTTTCAAAATCGCCACTATCACCACTATCACCACTATCATCGTCATTACCACTCTCATAATCACTGTCATCACAATAATCGTCACCACCATCAACATCACGATCAGCATCACTATCAACATGATCATCACCACCATCAGTTACAAACTGCATGTTGTTGATGCTTCTTCTGATGTATGCGATGTTTATCTTGATAGTGTTGCTGCTGTTGCTGCTATTGCTACCGTTTCGACTGTTACTGCTACTGCTGCTGCTACAGGTTCAGTGTGCGCACGTACAATGTGTACCTGTGCCCTGCTGCGGTTCTGGGCTCCGGTTCGAGCATCACCTGGGAACTCCCGGCGATCATCTTCCTGCGCAGACACGGCTTGGATATCGCCCAGGTACACTCGCCACAACCACCACAACCACCACAACCACCACAACCACCACTCCACTAGCCACAACCACCACAACCACCACTCGCTGTACACTAGCCACAACCACCACTCACTCTACACCCACCACCACCACTCACTCTACACCAACCACCACTACTCTCCACCACCACAACCACTCTACACCACCACAACCACCATTCACTCTACACCAACCACCACCACTCTACACCAACCACAACCACCACCACCACTCAACACCAACCACAACCACCACCACTCTACACCAACCACCACCACTCTACACCACCACAACCACCACCACTCTACACCAACCACATCCACCACCACTCTACACCAACCACATCCACCACCACTCTACACCAACCACCACCACTCTACACCAACCACCACCACTCTACACCACCACAACCACCACCACTCTACACCAACCACATCCACCACCACTCTACACCAACCACCACTCTACACCAACCACCACCACTCTACACCAACCACAACCACCACTCTACACCACCACAACCACCACCACTACACCAATCACAACCACCACCACTCTACACCAACCACCACCACCACTCTACACCAACCACCACTACCACTCTACACCAACCACCACAACCACCACCACTACACCAACCACAACCACCGCTCACTCTACACCAGCCACAACCACCACCACTCTACACCAGCCACAACCACCACCACTCTACACCAACAACAACCACCACTCGCTCACTATACGTATATATGGTGAGCGAGTGATGAGCGTGTGTGATGAGCGTGTGTGATGAGAGTATATGATGAGAGTGTGTGGTGAGAATGAGTGATGAGAGTGAGTGTGTGGTGAGAGGGTGTGATGAGAGTATATGGTGAGTGTGTGTGATGAGTGTGAGTGGTGAGCATGTGTGGTGTGCGTGTGTGGTGAGAGTATATTATGAGTGTGTGTGGTGAGCAGGTGGTGAGGGAGGGAGTCCCGTATCTCAACTGGGAGCAGGAGAAGTCCCTGGCTCGGGAAGTGGAGTCCAACCCCACGGCACTGCTCTCGTGAGTGTGGAGACCACAACATCACCACCATCATCACCATCAACACCATCACCACCATCATCACTATCATCACCATCATGATCACCACCTTCATAATCATCAACATCACGATCATTAACATCACCACCATCATCATCAACACCATTATCACCACCATTATCACCATCATCACCACTGTCATCACCACCATCATCATTACTACAGCGCTTCTCTCGCGACCCCACTGTTGGGGAAAGTGCTGCTAGCGAGCAGCACCTATGACGGCCGGCACGGCACACGAGGGGGTGGGTGGCCAACACCACGCCCGGCCGCCTTTGTCTCCCCAGTAGTGATGTTTACACATCGTACCAGGTACTCATTTGATGCTGAGCCGACCTAGGGGAGGCCCAGGACCTGTTCAGATAATTGTCACGGGTGTTGGGAATCGAACTTGGGTCACCAGGTCCGTAGCGCAGCAAGCTAACCGCTACACTACCACTCCCCACCAACATTACCACCACTATCAACACCATCACCAACATTACCACCACTATCAACACCATCACCAACATTACCACCACTATCAACACCATCACCACCATTACCACCACTATCAACACCATCACCACCATTACCACCACTATCAACACCATCACCAACATTACCACCACTATCAACACCATCACCAACATTACCACCACTATCAACACCATCACCAACATTACCACCACTATCAACACCATCACCAACATTACCACCACTATCAACACCATCACCAACATTACCACCACTATCAACACCATCACCAACATTACCACCACTATCAACACCATCACCAACATTACCACCACTATCAACACCATCACCAACATTACCACCACTATCAACACCATCACCAACATTACCACCACTATCAACACCTCACCACAGTACCACCACTATCACACCATCACCACATTACCACCACTATCAACACCATCACCAACATTACCACCACTATCAACACCATCACCAACATTACCACCACTATCAACACCATCACCAACATTACCACCACTATCAACACCATCACCAACATTACCACCACTATCAACACCATCACCACCATTACCACCACTATCAACACCATCACCACCATTACCACCACTATCAACACCATCACCACCATTACCACCACTATCAACACCATCACCAACATTACCACCACTATCAACACCATCACCACCATTACCACCACTATCAACACCATCACCACTATCAACACCACCATCATCATTACCGCAGTGCTCCTCTCGTGAGCATGGCGGCCACATTACCGCCGCCACTCTCGTCGCCATCATCACTCTCACCGGCAATGCCATCAGTATGAACACCAGCACCATCATCAGCACCGTCATCAACATCATCATCACCAGCACCGTCATCAACATCATCATCACCAGCACCATCATCAGCACCGTCATCAACATCATCATCACCAGCACCATCACCAGCACCATCATCAACATCATCATCACCAGCACCATCATCATCACCGTCATCAACATCGTCATCAACATCATCATCGTCAGCACCGTCATCAACATCACCAGCACCATCATCAGCACCGTCATCAACATCGTCATCACCAGCACCATCACCAGCACCATCATCAACATCATCATCACCAGCACCATCATCATCACCGTCATCAACATCATCATCGTCAGCACCGTCATCAACATCACCATCACCAACACCAGCACCATCAACATCATCACCAGCACCGTCATCAACATCACCAGCACCATCGTCAGCACCGTCATCAGCATCACCAGCACCATCATCTTCACAAAGGATATGAATGTTGATGATGCGACGTTGGTGATGACAATGATGATGTAGATGGTGATGTTGTGACGCAGGCTGGAGTGGGGCGAGCCGGTGTGGGATGCCGTCACCTCTTGGCTGTCAGAAGCCAAACCCGGAGACTCCACTGTGCTCACCGAGACCGGGCTCCTGACACCCGGTACTAACGCCCACCCCCCCACTAACACCCACCCCACTAACGCCCAACCACTAATGCCTGGTACACGTGTAGTGGGTTCACAAGCGACAGAGACGGTGCAGTCGAGGCAGCACTATTTATTATAACGCAACAGGCGAACACTGAGAAGGGGTAACGGCCCCTTCACCCGTACTAGACTGGTATACACCCCTAGGCTCTCTGCCTAGCTATCTATGCTCCCAGGTCCTCCGCTAAAGGCGCTAGGGGAGGCTACCTGACCTGGCCCAGCCAAGGCGCAGGTCACGACACCCAGCCAGACAGACCCGGCCCTGAGAAGGACGTCGGCTCTGAGGCTCTGGGGCCGCGCCGCCGGCTTGCCCTGCCCGGCCCTGAGAAGGCCAGCGGGTCAGAGGAGTTCTTCCAGGGTCTATCTGCCGGCCTTCAGTCTTCACTGGCTCTTCGCTCTTCGGCTCCCCAATACTGCCTCGAGCTCTCTGGCTCTCCGCCTTGTATACGAATTGGCCTCCCGAGGGGCGGGGTTCTGAGGGATCGAAGCACACCCCGCAGCCCCCACCCGTTGGGAGGGGCGCGAGGGATCCAAAACCCACAGCCCCCCAGGGTGGTAGCTATAACCCACGTGGTTGTCCCGTAGCATCCAAACGGCTGTAACCGATGTGTGTTTCTACCATAACACCACTACACTAGCGCCCACACACACCAACGCCCACACACACCAACACCCAGAGCTAACTCGACTACTAATTTTCTCTCACTGAGTTCTAACACCTGTGTTCTCACTCTAACTTCTGTAACGCTATGGTACATGCTGATGATGATGTTGATTTTGATGTTGATTGTGATATTAATGTTAACGGCTATAATAATGTTGATGGTGATGTTTATATTGATGGTGGTAATGTTGGCGATGATGTTTATGACGGTGGCGATGTTGACAACGATGTTGGCGATGTTGGCGACGATGTTGACGGTGACGTTGCAGGCCCCTCTACTCGCCTCCTGCACTGGGTTCTCCGTTCCACGTTCCCCTCCATCTGGACCTCGGAGAAAGATGGCCAGGTGACCCCTGACCCTCCCCCTGACCCCATCCCCCACTGACCTCCCACTGACCTCTCCCCACTGGCCCCTCCCCCCTGAACCCCCCCTACCCCCACTGGCCCCTCCCCTCCCCCCACACTACCGTCTCCCACCATGACTCTGATACAGCCAGAGGGGACACGGCCATAAAACCAAACAATTTATTTTACTTTACCAGGTAAGGGCCCACTGAGCTACGTAGCTCTTTATCAGAAGGGACCTGGCCATCACCAATGATAGCGCAACAAAGTGGCTTGTCATCACGTGGACATCTATAGCAGCAGTCACATACTCTAAAACGCTGGACCCGGAGAACAATCTATGCGACCACGGGGAGAGAGAGAGAACACGCAAACTCAAAATACACAGCAGGCATCAGGGTCAGAATCGAACGACCTCCTGCACACCAGGCGAGGTAGTTAACATTCCCTAGCCACCATGATGATCATGGGAGAGAGACGCAATCGGGATCAAACCCACGACCTCCTGCATACCAGGCGAGGGAGTTAACATCTCCTAGCCACCATCGCGCCCCATTATGCGACTGCACGCCGCCCCGTGTCGGGTGGCTTTAAGCAGGCGGTGGCGAAACGGCCCCAGCGGTTCGACCCTGGCGGGCCGCCCTGCTTAATGCTGCAGTGGTGTGCGCATTAAACCACGTTGATCGCACTCCCACCCCATGCCGCCGCCCACTTCGCTAGGAAGTGGACGTCGTCCGCAAGGGGACTAATGTCATCGTGTACCAGCGTCACAAAAAACTAAAAATAAATAAATGTTTGTATTTAGTAGTTTGTTTTCGTTCGTCCAGCACCTCCGATTCGTGTGGTTGGCTACGTACGGTGCGGAATAAGTTCTACATCCAACTTTGTACAAATTTGAAGAGTGACTGCACAAATAAAAAATTACTCGTTTGGGATCACACACATCAACAGCATCACCCTCCCCCAAGTGCAAACAAAACCTGGCAGGACTCTGCTGAACACGGAGTCTTGAGACTCGGTGAGGGTCTGCTGGATGAATGAGCGGAATCGTTACCATAACTAATGTGACACGCACTCAAACCTCCCTCTCTCCCTCTCAGCTGCTGCTCATGAGGGTCACTCCGTCGGGCCGGGAGCAGCAGGAAGCTTCCACGCCCGGTGACCTTTGCCCCCTCGGCCTGATGCGAAGCATGCTGGGAGTCACCTCTGTGATTCGCTACCTGGTGGAGGCACAGAAGGTTCGGAGAGGGGCGGGGGGGGGGGCACCCTGGGTCTGGGTCTGGGTCTCTGTCTCTCTCGAAGGGGTTCCTGATGGGCGTGTTACAGATATTGAGCCAGAACCATTGAGATCCTGGATTCAAGCCCAGGGTCTGGGTCTCACAGGTTCATGATGGCCTTGTTGGTACAACCAAACTTGACCCAGTTCGATTCCCGCTCACGGCCAACATAGCCAACGGCGAATATCTGAAGCGGGTGCTGGGCATCACCACTTGGTCCACTCAACTTTGTCTGAGCATTGGGTGTGGTGTGTCGGTCAGAATCAGAATCTTTATTTGTCCTGGAGAAACGCGAAGCGCTTATGAAGCTATTTTTCACAGACGTCCAGTAGGGGTGGATCAGAAAATCACATCGGCAAACAATACAACAAAGCGATTGGAGTGCAAAGTGCAGGAAAGGTGTATAGAACATCAGCACAAGGGAGGCAAAGGTGGCCGGGCGGGTGTGGTGTTGATACACCACCCCCCTCATAGGTGCTATGCCGACCTTCACAGCTGTTACTTGCTCACATGCCTAGGAATAATAATGAATAATTCTAGATTTGAAGCTTTCGTGACTGCAAGGATTCATACTCTTAGTTCTTTCGGTAAAGTCACGTAGGTAAAAAATGAAATTAATAAAAATAAAACAATAAAAATCACGACGTTTCGGAGGCAACACAAGTCTCCGTCATCAGGTGGGACCGTCACAGCCAGATTTGCTGCATCAAGTGAGGCAAGGATTCAAGATGTAATCCCTTAAATGCAAGTTGAGGGGGGGGAGCTCATCAGAATATGGTAGCCAATGAATGGAACGTATCGGGAGGGAGGGGGGCGGGGCTAAAAGAAGGCACGACGTGGTGCACGAGAGTCGGCGACGTGGACGTGGTTGTGCGCAAGCAACTACTGCTGCACACGCCAACGTATTGGACGGAGAGGGGGAGGGGAGGCCAAAAGAGAGTGTGGGGTGCAAGTGTACGTGGACATGTGTATGTACAAGCACCTGTTGATACACATGATAGAAAAGAACGAAAATGCCCATGTTTATACCAGTGCTGGCTGAACAATAAATGGAGTACTGTTAAACACTGGGGATGTTAACACTCGGTAAAGTAAAGTAAAATAGTGCCTGTCAGATAAGATGGTCCAAAAATGTGTAATTAAGTCTTTTTTGCATGGTTGATAACATCTTTCCAGTTGAAGTATGGGAATTGACGGCAGGAACTTCTTGACGGGAACACACTTTTTATTAAATCTTTACGTGTCAAAATACAACGTGTAGTCTCCTTTCTTCCGACTTCACACTCCACTACTCTCGTGTAAACTCTAGGCCTCTGGCTACACACGATACCCTTCACTCGTGTAGACCCTATGTCCCTGGCTACACAATACACTCGACTCGTGTAGACCCTATGTCCCTGGCTACACAATACACTCGACTCGGCTCGTGTAGACCTTATGCCTATGGCTACACACACTACACTCGCCTCTGGGTTACACAGAGTCCCGGTCCCGTTAGGACAGCGGGACTAGGTACCGCAGGGCCCTAGGTCTTCATCCCCGTCTTCATTCTTCGCTGGTTACACACTGCCCTCACGCCTGTGTGCATCCCCTTTTATAGCCCCTGCTCACGAGAGGCGGAGCTGATGCGTACTTCAACGTGAGCATCGCTCCTTAATGAACCAATCACGACGCACTCTCTCTACGATCCGTTTTCCCCAGCGCGTGTTAACACTCCTCCACCAATCACACCGCGCTGCCACCCGATCACTCCCTCTCAGCACGTCACCGGCCCACAGCCAATCAGTACCCCGTAACCCACGACCCCGCGCTGACCCCTGATCCTCCACCGTCAGCGCGCGTCACCACCTACACAGCCAATCATCACGCGCTGGCATACGATCTCTAATCCCAGCGCGTATCACCTCTACATCACCCCCTCCCACATAGCTTGCAGCCGGCCCGGCTGTTAACCAACAACACAACCTAACGTCAATGCAGTAACAAAGAAACTCCACCTCTCAGTGTGCCCCGTAACGCAACAACAACAACACTTAAATATGAAGCAATATACAGCCCGACGAACAACACAATAAAAGCGAACACCGGAAAACGAACACAATAAAAGCGAACACCGGAAAACGAACGCGCCAAGTGTCTCTGTGACTAAACGCAGTGCCGAGGCGCTCCGGCTGCCTCGACTCCTCACGTGGCAGGTCACACAAAGTAGCGCGACCTAGCGCGAGTCCGTCTGGCCGGTCCGTCGTATGGGACGGGACGTTGGCGACCGTCCGGTGGCTCCGGCCGCTCAAGATCCGGCCGCCGGTGGTCGGCAGCTGTCAGTTCCGAGACACCGGGGTTTGCAGGGACGACTTGGGGCCTAGGTCGTCGTCCAGCCGAGGTCCCATGGCGCGCTGACGTGGGGCGCGGCAACCGGAGGCCACGTGGCCCCGGAGGCCGCAGTTATAGCAGGCGATGACAGTCGTCGGAGATCTCGGTTGCTCCAGCTTGCGGGCCGCTCGCAGAGGCGAATGACCCCCCGATCTCCAGTCCCCCGGTCGTCCTGCGATGAACGCCTCCTCTCGTGGGCTGACGACTTGGGGCACGGTGACAACTGGGCCCGGAGTTGAGGCCACGGCAGCGTTGCAGACGACTCCCTGTTTACGTTGAAGGACCTCGTGCGCTTGTATGCTTGTGGCGACCCGTAAGGATGAAATATCGGTCTCATCGGCCGTGTTGATGGGGACCCCCAGGTCCTGCGCCAACTTGAGCAGCTGCTCCAAAACCATGGCATCTTGGCCCTCCTCGTCCATACGAGGGAACGCGGCGTCGGCGAGAGCAAGCAACGCCGTGCGGTAGGCGAGCACGGTCTCCGTGTCCGCCTTCCGTCTTGCATAAAAATGATGGCGGCACGCCGAGGGAGGACCATAGACCTTGGCCATGAGAGCCAGCGCATCCTTGAGCGTGGAGCGGTCCGACCTGCGTGCGGACGTGAAGGCCGCGAGCGCGTTGTCATCCAGCATGGCAGGCAGTGCCCGCAGTGCCGTAGTGTCGGACCAGGCGGACATCTCCTGATGCGCCAAAAATCTGCGCTGAAATTGGCTCCAATCCCCGCCTTCCGCCTTGAAGGCTGACAACGTGGGAAGGCGCTGCTGAAAGATGAAGTCGTCCTCCTCCTCGTGCTTCCTCTCTGCCGCCCCGTCGGTGTGTAAGATGGCGGCCCCCTCGGCGGGTGTGTGATGGCGGTCCGCCGCGCGCGTTGGTGACGTCAGCGGGCGCGCATGGAGAACCGCTGCCACGTGGTGATGGCCGTTCCCGCCAAAAGTCGGTGCAGATGAAATGGCGGCCATCGCCAAATCGTTTTGGCGGGAATCTGCAGGGCGACCCTGCAGAACGTCGGCCGCCGTTCCCGCTCCTCCCGACGAGCTGATCTCCGCCAGGATGGACGCGGCGGCGAGCAGCAGCTCCGCCAGACGGGAGTGCGCTTCGCGAAGCACGGCGTCAGTCCCCCGTCTCTCGTCCGGCGCCGTCGGCGGATCCTGCCCCGTGGGCAACTCCTCTTCCTCACCCCCCGATGCCAGCTGGCCCGCGTCGTCGAGGTTGTCCCCGTGGTCAATCCCGTGGGTCCGACGGTTCCTCCTTGTATCCATGCTTGGAAGACCGTTTCACTTCTGACGCCAGTTGAAGTATGGGAATTGACGGCAGGAACTTCTTGACGGGAACACACTTTTTATTAAATCTTTACGTGTCAAAATACAACGTGTAGTCTCCTTTCTTCCGACTTCACACTCCACTACTCTCGTGTAAACTCTAGGCCTCTGGCTACACACGATACCCTTCACTCGTGTAGACCCTATGTCCCTGGCTACACAATACACTCGACTCGTGTAGACCCTATGTCCCTGGCTACACAATACACTCGACTCGGCTCGTGTAGACCTTATGCCTATGGCTACACACACTACACTCGCCTCTGGGTTACACAGAGTCCCGGTCCCGTTAGGACAGCGGGACTAGGTACCGCAGGGCCCTAGGTCTTCATCCCCGTCTTCATTCTTCGCTGGTTACACACTGCCCTCACGCCTGTGTGCATCCCCTTTTATAGCCCCTGCTCACGAGAGGCGGAGCTGATGCGTACTTCAACGTGAGCATCGCTCCTTAATGAACCAATCACGACGCACTCTCTCTACGATCCGTTTTCCCCAGCGCGTGTTAACATTCCTCCACCAATCACACCGCGCTGCCACCCGATCACTCCCTCTCAGCACGTCACCGGCCCACAGCCAATCAGTACCCCGTAACCCACGACCCCGCGCTGACCCCTGATCCTCCACCGTCAGCGCGCGTCACCACCTACACAGCCAATCATCACGCGCTGGCATACGATCTCTAATCCCAGCGCGTATCACCTCTACACAATGATTACTAAGTTTGTACCCATCATCACGGTTGAAATTATGTCTGTGTTTGTATATCTGAATGGCCTCGTGTACAAACCTTTGATGGTAGCCAGAGGGTTTGCAGAGCACCTTAGTATCGGATAAAACAATCTCATAAGAGCCCACCGCGTTGTAGCAATGATCGGCAACGGCGGAAGACTCAATTTTGCCGTGTTTCAAATCTGCTCGCGGACACGATCAGAGACATGACGTTTCGTTTCCCCAATGTAACAGTCACCACAGCTGCAACTCAGTTTATAGACTCCCCGTTACCATACATAGCAGGCGTGACCAAAAAGATTTCCAAAATTCTAAAGAAACACAAGATCCAAGTCCCATTCAGTACAGTACATAAAATCCGTGATCTAATTCCATCTGTGAAGGATGTCATCCCTGACTTGCAACACCCTGGAGTCTATAAACTGAGTTGCAGCTGTGGTGACTGTTACATTGGGGAAACGAAACCTCATGTCTCTGATCGTGTCCGCGAGCACAAGTCAGATTTGAAACACGGCAAAATTGAGTCTTCCGCCGTTGCCGATCATTGCTACAACGCGGTGGGCTCTCATGAGATTGTTTTCTCCGAGACCAAGGTGCTCTGCAAACCCTCTGGCTACCATCAAAGGTTTGTACACGAAGCCATTCAGATATACAAACACAGACATAATTTCAACCGTGATGATGGGTACAAACTTAGTAATCATTGGAAAGATGTTATCAACCATGCAAAAAAGACTTAATTACACATTTTTGGACCATATTATCTGACAGGCACTATTTTACTTTACTTTACCGAGTGTTAACATCTGCGAGTGTTAACATCCCCAGTGTTTAACAGTACTCTCTTTATTGTTCAGCCAGCACTGGTATAAACATGGGCATTTACGTTCTTTTCTATCATGTGTATCAACAGGTGCTTGTACATACACATGTCCACGTACACTTGCACCGACACTCTCTTTTGGCCTCCCCTCCCCCTCTCCGTCCAATACGTTGGCGTGTGCAACAATAGTTGCTTGCGCATAACCACGTCCACGTCGCCGACTCTCGTGTACCACTTCGTGCATTCTTTTGGCCCCGCCCCCCTCCCCCTCCCGATACGTTCCATTCATTGGCTACCACATTCTGATAAGCTCCCCCCCCCCTCTCCTCCCCCCCTCAACTTGCATTTAAGGGATTACATCTTGAATCCTTGCCTCACTTGATGCAGCAAATCTGGCTGTGACGGTCCCACCTGATGACGGAGACTTGTGTTGCCTCCGAAACGTCGTGATTTTTATTGTTTTATTTTTATTAATTTCATTTTTTACCTACGTGACTTTACCGAAAGAACTAGGAGTATAATAATTAATAGTTTAGAATAATAGTTATAATTTATCCAGAGAGCCACACTGAGTGCGAGTCATACGACTATTTTTTTCAGGAGGTTCCTAGCGGCCACTTTATGTTATTAGTTGCAAGATCCTTTTCAGCCAATTAATGATGAGTCGCGTTGATTATGCACGTTGGGAGGAAACCCACTCCTTGCGCGAGAGAGCAACACTCAATACCCGTGCAGACGGACACACAGATGGAGGTTAGTCCACTCGCTTGTGCCGCTTCTCCTGGCAAGCCGGGGTATGGCGGCTCCTGGACACCCACGGGGAAGGCCGCTTCACAACGTCTGTGTGATCCACCAACCCTAGCACTTGCCCCGACTGCCCTATGTGCGCTACATGGGAGGGGACCTTTGTCTGTATATGTGTGTATTTGCGTGTGTGTGTGCGTGTGTGTGTGCGTGTGTGGGGAGCGGTAGTGTAGTGGTGAGCGCGCTGCGCTACAAACCTGGAGACCCGAGTTCGATTCCTGCTCACGGCCAACACCAATGGCGATTATTTGAACCGGTCCTGGGCCTCCCCTAGGTCGACTCAGGCTCATGAGTACCTGGTGCAGCGTGTAAACATTGCCACTGGGGAGACAAAGGCGGTCGGGCGTGTTGCTGACCACCCACCCCCTCGTGTACTGTGCCGGCCTTCAAAGGTGTTCGCGAACAGCACTTTCCCCAACATTCTGTGAAGGCTGCACGGGGGATCTTTGTCTGTGTGTGTGTGTGTGGGTGTGCAGCCTCTGGTTGGTCACAGCATGTACCTGGATCTCCTTCACGTCTTCCAGAGCTTCATTGCCCCATTGCCAGGTATCCAACCCCACTGCTTTGCAAGCCTTGGTTCGATCCCTGGGTCTGGGTGTCCATTCCATCACAGGGGGTTCATCATGGCCATGTCAGAGATACTGAGAGCCCCTGGGTTCAATCCCTGGGTCTGGGGGTCTATCTCCTCAATATCCCAGGGGTTAAATCTTGACTTAAAGCGTTCGTGAATGCAGGAATTTATATTCTTTGGGTCTTTTGGTAAAGTCACGTAGACAGGTTCAAAGAAAATAACAAAAACTATGGTCATCAGGAAAAGGGGGTTAGCTTCTAAAGGCAAACTGTTTATAAAGGTTTGAAATGGGCGTAGCCCAAATGTCAGCAGCATGGGCGGGGCAGCTAATGTTAATGTGGGCAGCGACCGCGACGGTGGTGGGTTTTCCATCAAATAAAGGGCTGCCAGGTAAACATTAGCATGTTAATGGGAGATCGCAGAGACAACTTCTCGTTCGGCGCAGGAAGGTGGCTGTGTTGGTGTGAGAAATGTAACCTGTTAATGTAAAATCGGAGAGCCGAATATAGCAACTAACATCGGAAGGTGGTAGGATGGGAACATCACAGCCAGTTATGACTTGAACTGGTTGATAACGTCCTTCCAATGATTGCTTAGTTTGTACCCATCTTCTCGGTTGAAATTGTGTCTGTATATATGGATGGCTTCTTGAACAAATCTTTGTTGATAGCCAGTGGGTTTGCAAAGTACCTTTGTCTTTGAGAAGTCACGTACTTTGCAAACCTACTGGCTATCAACAAATATTCGTTCATGAAGCCATACATATGTAGTGGTGTTAACTACTCGCTGTTCGCAAACTGTGAGAGCAGATCGTAAACAAGGTTTTCCCGCTCAACCAAACGGTCAGGGTCAAATAGGGTGAGGTAGGATCCAAATGCCAGATTGGGAAGGACCAATCGCAGGGTTTCACAAGGTGGCCGGGGATTGGACAACCCGGCCACGAACAGGTATAAAGCCAGAGCACTGAGAGCTCTGGAGGAGTTCTGCTACATGAAGACCCAAGACGGCCGAAGACGTCTAGGACCCTGGACCAAGCCCTCCAGCCCTTATCAGGGCTCGGGCTCAGAGTAACCAGTGGTCGGGGAGAGATCCCCTAGGTCCAGCCAGAGGACGCTGGGAGAGCAGGGAGAATAGATAGCCTGCAGGGTCCGGAGGCTTGTACCTTCTGAGGGTAACGGGTGAGGGGACCGTATACCCCTTAGTGTGATAGGGACTGTGTGTTAAGATAATAAACAGTGTGTGCCATAAAGAAGTCGAGAAGTCCGTCCTTACAACACTGCACATACATACACAGACACGTAATATACAGACACAGACATTAACATGCTAATCTCTCACATTAACACAGCCACCTCAGCACGCTCGCCGTGGAGGCTGCTCACCGATCTTACATTCATATGCAAATGTTTACCTGGCAGCCCTTTGATTGGTGGAAAAACCACCGCCAATCGCGGTCGCTGCCCACCACCTACATTAACATTAGTTGCCCCGCCCATGTTGCTGACATTTGGGCTATGCCCATTTTAAACCTTTATAAACAGTTTTGCCTTTAAAAGCTAACCCCGTTTTCCTGATGACGACTGCTTGTTTTGCGATTGAAACGTAGTTTTTTGTTATTTTTCTTTGAACCTTCCTACGTGACTTTACCGAAAGACCCAAAGAATATCCCAGGGGTTCATGATGGTCATGTCAGATCCACTGTGGCCCTGGGGCCAAGTCCTGGGTCTGGCTGTGGTCTCTCACAGGGGGCTCGCAGTGGCTGTGTCAAAGACCCTGAGATTCTAGATTGGAGCCCTGTGTGTGGGAGTCTCGGGGAGGAGCTCACGATGGCCGTGTCAGAGACGCTGAGAGCCTGGGTTGGAGCCCTGTGTGTGGGAGTCTCGGGGAGGAGCTCACGATGGCCGTGTCGTCGTTGCCGCCGCAGAGTCCTACGGGAATTTCAAGCGCTCGCTGAGCGAGCTCTTCCCCTCCGTGTACGACACCAAGCACATGGCCCTGGCCTCCGAGAAGGTGAGGGGGTGGGGAAGGGGCAGGGATAGGGAAGGGGTAGAGGAGTAAGTCGGTTTTAGAGCTGCGTTCGGAGTAGGGGGCTAGTGTGTCGGTGTTATTGCCAGTGTAGTGTTGTACAGACGGACTCTTCAACGTCTTTTGTAGCACACACTTTTATTCGTCTTATTAACACAGTCCCTATGCACTGAGAGGTATACGGTCCCCTCACCCGTTACACTCAGAACGTACAAGCCCCCGTACCCTACAGGCTACTTAATATCCCGCTCTTTCAGTGTCCTCTGACTGGACCTAGGGAGATGTCTCCCCGACCACTGGTTACTCTGAACCCTAGCCCTTATAAGGGCTGGAGGGCTTGGTCCAGGGTCCTAGGCTTCTTCCGCCGTCTTGGGTCTTCGTGTAGTCGAACTCCCCGAGAGCTCTGAGCGCTCTGGCTTTATACTTGTTCGTGGCCGGGTTGTCCAATCCCCGGCCACCTTGTGGAACCCTGTGATTGGTCGTTCCCAATCTGCTTTTCGATCCCTAATTCACCCTATCTGACCCTGACCGTTTGGTCGCGCGGGAAAACCTTGTTTACGGTCAGCTCTCACAGCTTGTGAGACCCTGACCGTTAGTTTGAGCGGGAAAACCTTGTTAACGATTTGCTCTCCCAGTTTGTGAACATCGAGTGGGTAACTCTACTACACCAGCATTACCGTGTGTTGCTGTGTGTTGCTATGTGTGGCGAGCGGTAGGACGTGTGTATGTTGAACTTCTTTCGCACCGTACGTAGCCGACCGTGCTTATCGGATGTGCGGTAGGGTGGTGGTTAGCGCGTTGCGCTACGAACCCGGCAACCCGAGTTCGAATCCTGTGCATGGCCAACACGAGTGACGATTATCTGAAACGGTCCTGGGCCTCCCCTACATCGACTCAGCCTCAAATGAGTATCTGGTGCGGTGTGTAAACATCGCCACTGGGGAGACAAAGGCGGCCGGGCGTGGTGCTGGCCTTCATCGGTGCTCGCAAAAAGCACCTGCCCCAACAGTCTGTTCAGGCTGCTGTGTGTGAGTGTGTTACTGAACGTGTGTCACTGTGTGTGTGTCACTATGTTGGTGATTGTCACTGTGCGTGTGTCGCAGATGCTGCAGAGGAATGATGTGTGTCATATGGACACGCTGGAGAACCTTTACATGGCATTCAAGAGGTAAACCCAGTCTGTCCGCTAATGTTATTCATTCAGTCATTCCTAAATTCTGTCAGACTGTCATTCATGCGTTCATTCATTCTTAAGTCGGTTTGCTCCGGTTTTGTCCCACACATGTCAACCACTCATTCATTGGGCCGATAACCCCTTCATATGTAGGGGACTGCAGAGCTTGGGAAATTTTCGGTAGCACCGGCTCCTCGCCACCGAGTAGCTGCTGCTTGCTGCCTTCCCAGCTTGTCTGTGATCCCTCCCCCTGGCTCCTCCTGAGTCCTCTCTCTGTCTCCAAGAGAGAGCGCGTCACGAGTTGAAATCGTACATCAAGCAGCTCGACACGCTCGCCACTCGCGACACTGTGCACGCACGTGGCCTCTTCCTCCCGATCCTCATCTCTCCCGAACCCCTCTGCTCCCGTTTGTCCATCCCTAACCCATCCATTCCCTTCCTCTGACTTCCCATCCTTTCCCGTCTCTCTCCCCCAATCGTCCTCCCCGTGGTGTCGCCACCGCCACCGTCAATTCAACGGCCGCCCCCTGTGTCTCACGCGAAACAGTCTCAACTGGAGCTGGCACATTGCATTGTGGGTAGAGTAGTTCTTGTGAACCCCCGACGCGGGCAGCTTTCCTGTGTGGTGTTTGTAGTTTGTTGAACCGTTGTTCTGCAGAGTATGTGTGGTTATTTAGAATATTTGGCTGCTATAAATTTCCACATGTTTAAGCCACTTCGTTGAGCTATCATTTGTGGCCAGGTCGCTTCTGAAAAAGAAGCTAATAGCTCAGTGGGCTTTAGATGATGAAATAAAAAAAGGTTTAATTTGTCATATTTTTCAAGTGATTTGTTTACCTTTGCTGCTACACATTGCACGCCTACCGTGTTTTTGTGTTGTGTTTGTTGTCGTAACGTTCTGACCTGCCCCGACTGGACATCTGTGAAAAAAAGCTTCATAGCTTCTCGGATTTCTCCCGTCTAAATATTCTGATTGATTTTGAGTGAGTGTGTGGAGTTTTTTTTTCTCGCCTCGTTCTGCTGAGTGAGCGAGGGTGAGTGTGTGAGCGAGTACATCTTTAAGAGTGTGAGCGAGTGTGACATTTGGCTGTTTCCCCCCTTGTTCTGCTGAGTGAGTGAGTCTGTTGCGAGTGAGTGAACGAGTCTGTTGTCTCTCGCTGGTGTGAACTCGTGACAGGGTGATGCCCTGGAAGCTCTACGCTCCTTCCATGCTTCACGCTCCGGGGTTTGAGAAATACAGTGCGTGACTCACTCACTCACTTAGTCACTCACCCGCACTCGTATACTCATGTAGGCATTCACTCACACACTCTTACACTCACACACTCACCTACTCCCTTACATAGTCACTCACCCGTACTCACCCACACTCACACTCACTCAGTCAATCACTTACACTCACGTACTCACTCATTCACTCACCCACTCACTCACATAGTCACTCACACACGCTCATATACTCACGTAGTCTTTCACTCAGCTACTCTTTCACTCACCCACTCACCCACATCGTCTCTCACGTACTCACCCACTCACTCGCTCACTGACGTAGACATTCACATTCACGTACACGCACAGTTAACTCACTCGACCTAGGCAGAGACACAGGACTGGTTGAGATAATTGGCACTGGTGTTGGCCGTGAGACAAAATAACACTCGCACGCGCGCGCACACGTTCAACGCGCTCGAGATTCAGAGGCGGCGCCCAACCAAGTTGCCCGAGTTCTGTGGTCCTACGTTGGGTGGGACGTTTGGCGGGCTCCACTCGTAACGAGCGCTGCGCTCTGCTTCACAGTGGAAGGAGGGAAGCCGCACGAGGCTGGGTACGACGCCTTCATGACCGGCTCCGGTGAGTCACAGCCTCCCCACGTCGCGCGCCGTGGCGAAGGCCTGCTGCCCGAAACGTCGCCCGTTATTTGTATTTTAAAGGCCAGGCGTGCGCGCGCCCACTCGCGGTGATGTTATTGATGAATGCGTCTGTGTGTAGACGAGTTTGTGTGTTTGTGTGCGGAGTGGTGGCGTTGCAAATTAGCGCGTTGCGCTACGAAACTGGCGACCCGAGTTCGATTCCCGCTCACGGTCGATACCAGTGACGAATATCTGAACCGGTCCTGGGCCCCCCTAGGTCGACTCGGCCTCAAATGAGTACCTGGTGCTGTGAGTACTAAACATCGCCACTGGGGAGACAAAGGCGGTCGGGCGTGGTGTCCGCCACCCACCCCTTCGTGTGCTGTTTTGGCCTTCATAGATGTTCGCTAACAGCACTTGCCCCAACAGTCTGTTGAGGCTACACGGGGGATCTATGGCTTTTGGAGCAGTGGTGTAGTGGTTAGTGCTGCGCTGTGAACCCGACAGAGACACGAGTTCAGTTCCTGCTCATGACCAATACATGTCAAAGTGAATATCTGAACCTGGTCCTGGCCTTTCCTGAGGTCTACTCGGCCTTAAATGAGTACCTGGTGTGTCACGCCGGCCTTAGGTGCTGCCCGCTAACAGTCATTCGGTGAGTGGGTGGGTGATTAGGTGGGTGTGTGAGTGGGTGAGTAGGTGGACGAGTGTGTGGGTGAGTAGGTGGACGAGTGTGTGGGTGAGTAGGTGGACGAGTGGGTGGGTGTGTGTGTGAGAGTGAGTGAGTGAGTGGGCGGGTGGGTGTGTGTGTGTGAGAGTGAGTTAGTGGGTGGGTGAGTGAGTGGGTGAGTAGGTGGACAAGTGGGTGTGTGTGAGAGTGAGTTGGTGGGTGAGTAGGTGGACGAGTGGGTGGGTGTGTGTGTGAGTTAGTGGGTGGGTAAACGAGCAAGTGAGAGAGAGCATGTGACCATCCGTGTGCTGTGCCGGCCTTCGTAGATGCGGCCTGCTTTATCTGCACTTGCCCCAACAGCCTGTGTGGGCTACACGGTGGTGGACTTTTATCTCTGTGTGTTTCAGTGTTCCTCATGATGACCTACTTATCAGTGATGGAAGGCCTCTGGTAAGGATGTGGAGTCTCCTGGGAGTCGGCACCTGTTCACAATATCCACAAGTCACACACGCACAGGAATGTCTCCTTATGTACGTTTAACTTTATGGGGACCTCATTTGCCAGTAAAAATATGATAATTGGTTCTTTACCCTTCTATCTGGCAACAAAACTGACACCTTTTTGCAAGGAGTCATGTTTGCATAGAGCGCAATACCTGCAGTCATAATACAAACAAAAGAACATAACTCTGATAATGTGCACTGTCCCTGAAGTTGATTGGTCCACACCCGAGACAGCTTTCCTTCGAGCCTAGTCTCATATGGGTTGGACCAGATGACGCCAAAAGGCGCACAACTCAAGGACAATGCACCATCAGAGTATGAGAGCTCGGGGCAAGCATCTACACTATGGGGACCTCATTTGCCAGTAAAAATATGATAATTGGTTCTTTACCCTTCTATCTGGCAACAAAACTGACACCTTTTTGCAAGGAGTCATGTTTGCATAGACCGCAATACCTGCAGTCGTAATACAAACAAAAGAACATAACTCTGATAATGTGCACTGTCCCTGAAGTTGATTGGTCCACACCCGAGACAGCTTTCCTTCGAGCCTAGTCTCATATGGGTTGGACCAGATGACGCCAAAAGGCGCACAACTCAAGGACAATGCACCATCAGAGTATGAGAGCTCGGGGCAAGCATCTACACTATGGGGACCTCATTTGCCAGTAAAAATATGATAATTGGTTCTTTACCCTTCTATCTGGCAACAAAACTGACACCTTTTTACAAGGAGTCATGTTTGCATAGACCGCAATACCTGCAGTCATAATACAAACATTATCAGAGTTATGTTCTTTTGTTTGTATTATGACTGCAGGTATTGCGGTCTATGCAAACATGACTCCTTGCAAAAAGGTGTCAGTTTTGTTGCCAGATAGAAGGGTAAAGAACCAATTATCATACGTTTAACTTCTTTCGCACCCTACGTAGCGTTCCAGACGGTCGCAGAAGCGCATCTGAAAGCGCGCGGTGCAGTGGCCGTCTTGGTATCATGGTTAGCCAAAAGCCGCTGCTGCTGCTGCGAGAATGACCGCAGCGATTCCTCGAGGGCAGTGCTTCTTCACCGTTACTGCAGCCTTGCACCCCTTGGGTTCTAAGTCGTAACAAATAATAATGTGAATAAACACGTAAGGGTGTTTTATTTAAAGCTTTCGTGACTGCAGGGATTCATATTCTTGGTTCTTTCGGTAAAGTCACGTAGAAGGGAAACAATAAAATAATAATAAAATATCATCAGGTGTGAATTCCACACCTGTTGATGATTGTGTTGCAGTCGAAACGTCGTGAGAATTTGTATCGTTTTATATATATATTTTTCCATTCTACGTGACTTTACCGAAAGAAGCAAGAATATTAGACACGTAAGGGTTTGATGAAACAAAGTAGTAGTACTCACGTGATCCGTGCTTAATTTGTCTTTCGATGGTTTACCTTCGGAAAAAAATGTGGCCGTGTCTCGCATACCCCAGGTAAAGGGAATCACGCACCCCTGCGTGATGTACCCCAGGTTAAGAATAAGAACCAATACCCTAGGGCAATACACGACTCTGAATCATCACGCGCGTCGCAGTGGAGAATATAAATAACAGAAGAGACAATCGGATGATGTCTCCTCCTCCAGTCAGGCTGGCATCAACCTGGTAAGCTGCCCAGATATTCACAGGCAAGGACTGATTTCGATATTCAGCGTCCCATCAGCAGGGTTAAGCAATCCTGACTGCTGACTAGGCACCAAATCTCAAAACCGTTTTGACATCAGCCACATACACACAGACGTGTGCGCGTGGCGGATGGGATGTGTCCACGGAGAGAGACGGATCCATGAAGGAGGAGATGACGTTTCTCTGCTCATCTTCCCTACGGTGACGCTCATGATTGGTTAGGGCTAATGGCTCATTTGCATATTACCCCCTCCCCCGTTTGCCCCCCCCCCCCACCACTGTGTGCCCCCCACCACCTGACTAGCGGCCGTCTCCAGGCGAGGCCTCAGATGAGCGACTACCTGTGGGCCGCGCAGCCATTTGTAAACCGCGTCCACATGATGCGCTCCTACACGGCCTACATGGTGAGACCAGGCCTCTCGCTCGCCTCTCTCTCTCGCCTCTCTCACCCCCCTATATCAATCCTCTCTCTCACTCCTCTCTCTCACCCCTCTCTCTTGCCTCTCTCTCTCGGCTCTCTCTCACCCCCCTCTTTCACCCCTCTCACCCCCCTATATCAATCCTCTCTCTCACCCCTCTCTCTCGCCTCTCACCCCTCTCTCTCGCCCCTCTCTCTCGCCTCTCACCCCTCTCTCTCGCCCCTCTCTCTCGGCCCTCTCTCACCCCTCTCTCTCACCCCTCTCTCTCACCCCTCTCTCTCACCCCTCTCTCTCGTGGTCTCTCGCCGTCTCTCACCTTGCGGTCTCTCACCTCTCATCTCTCGCTCTTTCCTCTATTACCCATTTCCCATTCCGATGACGTACAGTGTACATCACCAGTGTCTATTCCGAATCCGTTCCGATGACGTATGCGTACGTCATCAAAACGAAACCGGAAGAAAATCTTAAATAAAAATAACTTTATCGGTACCGAGGCTCCCACAAGGCCATGCAGGAGGGCTCGCGGCACAGTTTGGCACCAGCTGTCATATCGTGCGGTCGCGTTGCTATGGTCCTCGGCGGTGAGCACTATCTTTAAAAACATCGGCGCTACACCTCGCCAAATGAATTCAACGCTGAGCCCCTTGCGGAGGTGAAGATGTCTTAGAATGGAAAAGGGTTTCGATGATTCCGCTTGCCTACCCAGGAAAGCCTCACCGAGTCTCAAGATCCTTTGTTCAGGAGGGTCCTGCCAAGTTGTCATGGTGGAAGGGGGGTAATGTTGCTGCTACTGCTGCGTGATCCCAATGGAGCGATTTTTATTTTTTATCTTGTGGAAAATAAGTCAAACTTTGTAATTGTGAGGGCGGCACACGAGATGGCCTTACTCCTCATCTGAACAGCACTATGGGGGATCTCTGACGTCCATTGTGAGTGAAGTAGACGTCGCGGAGTTAGTCGAAGTATTATTGCCGTTTAAATACGCACCGCAGTATTAACCGGGGTGGCCACTGGCCTCGAACCGCGTAGCTCTGCAACGAGCGGCCAACGTGCCACCGCTGGACCCCTTCACCGCGCTCGTTGCAGAGGTTCGTGGTTCGAATCCAGTGGCCAGCCCTGGTTAGTACTGTGGTTGTGTGCATTAAACGTGTAGGGGACTGTTTATCGGGAGTTATGGTCGGGGCACACGTCGAGATACAGTGGACGTGTAGGCGTGGGAAACTGAAGGGGTAATATCAGGGAACGCACACGTTGATTTAATTCAGAATAGGTGGCCTGTCAACGTGGGGACACAGTTTGATTGGGGGCGGCGGGGCCTATGGAGGGTATATAAAGAGGGAGCCTAAACTCAGTTCAGGGCGCAAGGCTGAAGAAAAACTGAAGAAAGACGACCAAGGCAGAGTGCAGCTGGGCTGGGTTCAACGGAGCTGTACCGACTGTTTGGAAATAAAGACTTACCCTTGTTGAAATGGACTCCTCAAAGGAACTCCTTTACACACGGAACAACACTGCTACTGCGCACTGTCTGCTTCACCCGTGGAGGACGGCAGAGATCCCAAGATGCTGTTTGCCAGCGTCATGAATTCAAATTTGAATGCACCGCAGAATTGCTAAATTGGTGCTGGCCACCCATCCCCTCGTGTGCCGTGCCAGACTTCATAGGTGCTTCTTGCTAACAGCACTTGCCCCAAAAGTCAGTTCCAAAGGCTACCCGGGGGACCTTTGTGTGTGCGTGCGCGTGCAGAATCTGGCTGGCGCTGATCCGGCGGCGCGGTCCTCGGTGATGTTGGTGGTGAGCGAGAGACGCGGTGGTGGCGGCGCTGGCGGAGTCTGTGCGCGCGTCACTGCGGCCGTTCGCTCCCGCAGCTGCTGCGACGTGCGTCCGCTGGGACCGCGTCGGGCGCTCGTCTGCCTCACGGGACTGCGTGGGTACGGCACCCGCACAGGGACGTCACCCGCACGAGGGGGACGGCACCCGCACGGGGGACGGCTACCGCCGGCAGTGCCCCTAGGCTCAGCCGCACAGAAGGAATCGGTCACTCCCCCAACTGGCAAACGAATGCACGGACAGCTGTCCCTGGGGGTACCTCAGGCTAGAAGCACAGCAATAGTGGTTGTGGTGGTTGATGGCGTTTATAGTGCGATGTGTGGTAGTGAGGGTGGTGATCGTGATGTCGATGATGTTATTGACGGTGATGCCGGTGATGATGTCGATGATGATGGTGATGTCGGTAATGGTGGTGATAGTGTTGGTGATGTTGGTGATGGCAGGATGCAGGATGTGAGGTCGAGGCTGCTGGACACCGGGAAGTTCCACGTGCGACTTTACAGACCCTGGATGGACTCCAGACTCGCGTCCACCCTCTTCTGGTGAGGGCTGTGGAGGTGGTACCAGGTGGTGGAGATCGTGGTGATGTGGTGGTGGTGGTAATTGTGGTACTAGTGTTTCTGATTCTGCTGCTACTATTGTTGGTGATTGATATCGTGCCATTGATGATGATGTTAAATATTATGATGATTGGCATCATGGCAGATGCAGCTCGTGGTGCTGATGGTGGCTGTCGTTATTGTTGTCGTGTGGTGTTGTGCAGGGGCAGTGGATTGATGATGGCCATGTCTCTCTTCTTGTGGCTCGTGCCCAGTTCCAGCAAGAATCAGTGACTCCACCACCACCAACTCCATCTCCACCACCACCTCCACCAACTACCACCAACTCCATCTCCACCGCCACCTCCACCAACTACCACCAACTCCATCTCCACCACCTCCTCCTCTATCTCCACCACCGCCACCTCCTCCACCGCCAACTCCACGACCACCATCACCTGGTCCACCATTTCTCCCTCCTCCACTTGCTCCTGCATCTCCCCCCTCCACCACTTCCACCTCCTCTACCTCCCCACTCTGTAAGCCTTATACTGAGCCCCCCCATGTCACGGGGAGAGCCCCTCCCCAGTGCCAGTTTAAAGTTGAATAAAGTTCAATTAAGTTCACCCCCCGTGTGAACTGTGTGCATCGCCTGCGTGTGTGTGTGCGCGTGGGAGTGGTAGCGCAGTGGTTAGCGCGCGGCGTTACAAAACTGGCAACCTGAGTTCGATTCCCACTCATGGCCAACACCAGTGACGATTATCTGAACTGGTCTTGGGCCTCCCCTAGGTCGACTCGGCCTCAAAATTAGTATCTGGCGTGATGTGTAAACATCGCCACTCGGGAGACAAAGGCGGTCTGGCGTGGTGCTGGCCACCCATCCCCTCGTTTACTGTTCCGGCTTTTGATAGGTGCACGCGAACAGCACTTGCCCCAACAGTCTTTAAAGGCTATAAGGGGGATCTGTGTCCATTTGTGTGTACTTGTGTGGGGAGCGGCAGTTCAGTGCTTTGCGCTGTGAACCCGGCCTTCTGAGTTCGATTCCCACTCACGACCAGCATCAGTGACGAATATCCGAAGTGGTCCTGGGCCTCCCCTAGGTGGACTCGGCCTCAAATGAGTGCTTGGTGCGATCTGTAATTGTTACTCGGGAGACAAAGGCAGCCGGGCGTGGTGTTGGCTACCCACCCAATCATGTGCCGTGCCGGCCTTCATCGGTGCTACTCTCTTACAGCATCAGTCTGTTAAGGCTATGGGCTGGTGTCTTTGTGTGTGTGTGTGGACATGGCGCCCACCTCAAAACCCATCTCTGTGAATTGATAATAATGAAGATAAACGAAGTGACCAGTGGATTACCGTATGGGCCAGAGGACAAAATTTTTTAACAAAACCTTATTTCTCAAATACTCAGTAGCCCGAACCATGCCGGGATTTAGTCCACTGCAGAAAACACGGCGAATTGTATCACGAGCTTAAATCGTTAGCCGGGGCAGGCTGCTGGCTAATCGGCATCGTGTGCGCCTTGGCAAAATGTGCCACTGCGCTCTGCACCATGGGCATGACACGGTCAACCGCCTGGCCTTCTGCACTCTCTATGCAAGGCAGAATCCCGTGGGCCATTGAGGGCAGCGACAAACGTGCAACAAGAGGAAGATGCAACCAGATGGTGGCGACGATTCGTTGAAAGAGTGGGGAATTTGGAGGTCATCGACTTTGCGACATCACAATTAGAAGAGATGGCCAAGTGTGGTCAGCAATAATGGCGTTGGTCTTGGTTTGTATGTGTAGTGGCATCGTGGGGTGCCACTGCATGATGCGTGAGCCGGGCTGTGTGTATCAAGGATGGATGGCATTGCACTTCACGTGCAGTGCCAGCCTCCAGAGGCTAGCGGGCGAGAGTGCCAGGCATGGTGGAAGGGTTCACAGGGGGGCCGTGGCACTCTGTGTGAACCCGGAGGCCTGGTGACCGGAGGTTACCAGCCTGGGGGCCCCCAAAGAGGGGGCTGCTGGGGGACCACGGGACCAGGTCCCTCGAAGGCTCGAGAAGGGAGGCGTGGCGAGGGGCAGAGTGAGACGATGTAAGCCGGACCCCTGAACGGCTCCGGCTGCTGTTGTACACCTGAAGCCCTGAAGAGAAGCCCCGAAGACGAGACCTGGACCCGAGTCGGGGTCAGGTCTCTGATAGCTTCCCCAGTTGTGTGAGGGCCTCGTTAGCCCGGAGGGACAACCTGCTTAGGTTAGCTGGTGGAAGGCGCAGATGCCCCTTTGTGTTAGGGCTTTTGTTATTGTTATAATAAACGTGTTGCCTCCAGAGAAGTCTCTCTCTCCATTTGTACCCACTACATATGTATATATATTTTTTTACATGAGCACTGGCCACGCATTTGCGTGGGATCCACGGGCCAGCGTGGAGGGTGGGGAGGCTGCGTGCCGGCACGTCGGTGCGCACCAACCGCTCAATACTGGTGGTGGGGGGGGTGACGTCATCCAAGCGCTTGCCCGCCTGTGTCAGCCGTAAAGAACTTGCTTGTAGTATGAAAGTGAGTCTGGATGAATTACGGAAGCGTGAAGGTCGCTGGGCTCCCAACTGTTGGCCGCACACGACAGAGGTCGACTTTTCAGGACTTTTATTTCCACTGCAACATTTTTTAAAAAACAATCGCAGGAAAAAAACACCTACATTGTAAATCAATAAAACATCGAACTCTTAACAGCCGTGTGTGGGTGAAACACAAGGCACCAGGATAGAGCCTGTGAAGACGACCATCTCCATGTGTAGCAAAATTGCTATTTTAAAGGATTTTTCAATCCTATTAAGAATCGAATGTTTTAACATCAGAACGCGATGTGAACAAGTGTTTTTTTTCTCCCCCTACATTTTAAAAACGAAACAGCGTTGACGTGTCAAACACAACGTGAACATCTGAATTCATTATATTTTCGAGGTTTCTGTCGTTTTTTTTCAAAGTACTATCGGACTACGCAAACAAGTATTTTTTTTTACGTTTAGCATTTTTAAATGCTCAAAATATAACTCTTTAGTGCATGAAACTTTGAAAAGGGTAAAGCAATTGGTAAAAAAAAATGACAATCGCCTAAACTAACTGCTAGTTTTGCCATGAATGGCTTTGAAAACCAGAATTGTGGGCAAAAAGAGCCCGCACAGTCGTAAGATTGAAATGTAACCATCATGAAGTAGATTTTGTCAGACGTGCTTAGCGAGTGAGGCAACGGCGCGTGGTCCAGTGAGAAGGAGTGAATGAGGACACAAGCGGGGCGGTGTGGTGACGAGTCAAATGAGAGAGGTGCAATGTGAAGTCTGAGGCACTTTTTTTTATAGGGAAAGGAAAGGGGGCGGCTGGCTGAGCACAGCATGAAGCTTGGATGGAACGTGAACACCGCGGAGGCGAGTAGCCGGGCAATTTGTGGTTTGACGGTGAACACCGCAATGGACGTGAGGTTCGGAGGGAATGCCAAGCGAGGGCGAGTAGCCGAGAAATTTGTGGTTTGACGCTAAACACCGCAATGCGTGCAAGGTCCGGAATGAACGCTAAGCGAGGGCAAGTAGGTGGAACATCGTCAGTGGTCTGACGAACGCAGCTGCAATGGAGGTGCACTATGGGTACGTGTAGCTGTTTGCCAGGTACATGGTGACCGGCTGCGGGGTCATGGGGAAGGAGCCAGGGTACGCCGAGAAGGCCTGGACGGGGCAGCTGGGAGGCAGCGTCGCGGCCGGGGCTGGGCACATTCTCAGAGGACTTGCCTTGCCTGCACGCCGCACGCGGGGGGGGGGGGGGGAACAGGTGAGGTGGGAGGCGGCTCCTGAGCACCGCTCGGCACCACGGACGTTTTCGAACGCCGGACGGGGGGCGCCGAGAGCCGGACGGGCAGCACAGGGGAGCGTGTGGCGGGCGTGGAGCTCTCACTGAGGATGTTGTAGACGTGCCGACTCGCCACCTCCCGCGCTCCCTCCACGCTGGTGCTCAGAAATTCGGGGAAGAAGCCACCTTCTCCAATCCCGGAAATCGAAACCTGCACCGTGGGGGGCGGTGAGAGAGACGCGCATGAGGGAACTCGCTTTGCAAGCGAGTCGCGGGCTACCGGCACTTGCCAAGTGTCGGCAACCTGACTCCTGTACCTCTGGAAGAGCACAGACACCTGGGATGGCAAGCCGGTGTCTCCTATAGCCTGCCCTGTCTCCCCACCACCTTCACGTCCCTCAGCGCATCACCATGAACGACATCACGACAATTATCTCCACCCCAAAAAAGACTTCCACCCTCAATTCTCTCTGCCCACCAAACTCCTCCCTCACCGACTACTCATCCTGGCGTCTACATCACCAGTGTCGTCATTGCCTCCATCTCATCCAGCAGCGTTCCCTCAGCTCTCGAGACTGCTGCTGTCACATTCTGAATCGACGTGGTCCCATCTGCTCGTTGGTTATAACTCCCTTCAGCTGTTTCCAAGAGTGAAGTACTTCTCATTGGCAAAAAACACAACTTTGGAGTAAAGACCCCAGCTTCAAAGTGCACTTTTAAACACTGCCTAAACACTGGCCTCAATGCTGACCCACAGACACAACACCAGCGCACAGCCGGAACACGCATTTTACCGATTTAATAAACAAATCGGTGCGATTCGTGCATGAGTGCGATGGAGGGGTTAGACTTGAGACCGGGCATACTTGACCGTAAAACAAGCACCGTCTGATTCACGGTGGACTTCAAAGAGGAGGCAATGCTTGCTGGTGTCACGGTCAACATTTTATAACATTACTCTCAAATTACTTATTTGGGAAAAGCCGCACAGCAACATCGCCCCCAACCGGTCGGTTCCTTGTTGTGCCGCACAGAGACAGCTGCCACCGGGGGGTCCCCTTTGGCCAGACTGCCACAGGGCCACAGGAGGTGCGGTGTAAACAACGACGATGACGGCGAGTACCTTGTAGAGGAGGCCCATGGGTATCCCGGACTCCCAATGAGCGTGCAGCTCGAAGTTCACGTAGCCGAGGCCGGCGCGCCGGCACAGCACCCGCAGTCGCACCTCCCATGACAGCACCGACGCCTCCGGCAGCGCCTCAAAAGCGATGGGCATTGCCTGCAGGTGGCGCGGCACCCGCCACTGCTGCGTGCGTGCCCCCCAGCCCCCAAACAGGCCTGAGACACGAGGGGGGGGGGTGGTGGGGGTGGACGGGGCAGGGCGCACACGGCGGGTTCGCGACTCGTGATGACGACCGTCGTGACGACTTTACCGGATGTCAAAGTGATTCAAATGTACGCCCAAACAACACGAGTGACGACGACGATGTTACGAGCAGACCTAACGTATGAAGGGATTCACCGGCTTATAAAGGGGAAGCACTATGATCGGAGATGAGAGGATGACAGCTAAATGTTTGTATCACAGAGTGTGTCCATTAAGAGTTTGCATCCAGCAGGGACAGGAAGATAATGACCACCTCTGTAACAATGAGTCTAGACGATGGACATGGATGCTCTCAAATGAAGACATTGGAAATTAAAATGACTTGATTCCCACGGACAAACCCCAGGCAGTCGTCAGAGGTCTCCGCAAATTCAACACAGGAAGTGATCACAGGCTGGTGGAAGAGAACACAACTTCAACATTGCCAAAGAGAGGGCAGATAAATGTCACGCAACAGACAGTTCAAATTGAAAGTCTCGTCGAGGAAGTAGGAGAACTAATACTCATTCTTAACAGATTTAAACCTCTAGAGCTTTCTAGAAAGATAAATGTCCCCCATGCAGTGTTGTAGACTTTTGCAGCAAGTGCTGCCTATGAGGCCCAGCTCACATCGACGTGCCGGTGCAAGCCGGTGTGACGGCACAGTGTGCACCTTCACAGGCCCCAACCCAGCCCAGCATCCTTCAGGGGTAAATTAAATGACCGTTGCTTTGTGGGATAGTGACAGCAGCTGTCATACTCGCCAAGTTGTTTTTTCCACCGCAGAGGTGGTGCGGCTAACGCCGCACGCAATGGACGCGTCACTGGCAGAGCCCTTGCCCTGCTTAACCCCCACCGAGTCAGACTCAAATGCATTGTCAGCCCAGAGTCTCGGAGTTCGGATCCGGCCCTGCACAGAAAATGGTCGGTTGAAAACCACCGGTACCATGAGGGCCCCGCGCTTGTTTGGACATGCCGGTGTAAAAGGGGAGAGCCTCCAGAATTGTCCCGCACGACCGTCAGCCCGTACCGTGTGCGCCGTCTTCCTGCGCACCGGGGCCAGGGAGGCTGGCCGGTCGGCGGCCGCTGCTGCTGGGAGAGGAGGAGGAGGAGTTGGGGTGGGCAGGGAGTCCCGGCCTTGGGGAGTCTCGGCCGGCACCCGCACCGCGTTGTTCTCCCTGCACACACACCCCAAGCGTCTCAGCACCCACACACCCAGCATCTCGGCACCCACACACCCCCAGTGTCTCGGCACCCACACCCCCAGCGTCTCAGCACCCACACACCCCCAGCGTCTCGGCACCCACACATCCAGCGTATCGGCACCCACACACCCCCAGCGTCTCGGCACCCACACACCCCAAGTGTCTCAGCACCCACACACCCCCAGCGTCTCAGCACCCACACACCCCCAGCGTCTCAGCACCCACACACCCAGCGTCTCGGCACCCACACACCCCCAGCGTCTCGGCACCCACACCCCCAGCATCTCGGCACCCACACACCCCCAGCGTCTCGGCACCCACACACCCCCAGCGTCTCAGCACCCACACACCCAGCGTCTCGGCACCCACACACCCAGCATCTCAGTACCCACACCCCCAGCGTCTCGGCACCCACACACCCCCAGCGTCTCGGCACCCACACCCCCAGCGTCTCGGCACCCACACACCCCCAGCGTCTCAGCACCCACACACCCCCAGCGTCTCAGCACCCACACACCCCCAGCGTCTCAGCACCCACACACCCCCAGCGTCTCAGCACCCACACACCCCCAGCGTCTCGGCACCCACACACCCCCAGCGTCTCGGCACCCACACACCCCCAGCGTCTCGGCACCCACACACCCCCAGCGTCTCGGCACCCACACACCCCCAGCGTCTCAGCACCCACACACCCAGCGTATCGGCACCCACACACCCCCAGCGTCTCAGTACCTGCAGCACGAGCGGCATCCGTCCCAGGGGCAGCCAGAGCCGATGGTTCGAACCTCCGAGCGTCGCTCGGTGATGAGGCCGATGGCTCAGGGGCCTCGAGCGGTTAAAGTGGTGTTGGTGTGGTGTGGGTAAGCAACAGAGGATGCGTTGATGTTCTCTACGTCTCCTGACTCTCAGTGACATCTCCGACCTCACGTCTCCATCTCTCTCGTCTTGTCTCACACCACATCTGCCTCTTCTCTCAGTCGCTCTTCTCACGTCACTTGCATTGCTCCCCCTTGGCTGTCTTCTCTCATCTCAATACATCCCCATCTATTTTCTATCTCTCTTCTCTCTTCACACTACCTCTCTCTCTCGTCTCCTCTCACTACATCTCTATATCACATCTGTGTTGCAGGTAATCTACATGTTATAATGACAGCATGTGTAGAGTGTGTAATGTAGATTGTTACACATCTTATGAACAACTTGTTGCCTTCACTAACTCACTAGGTGTTTGCGTTCCGTGGCTCTTCATTCAATCCGGGCCTCTGTACAAATCGCTTGTCCACCTCTAGTTTGAGATGAACCGTGGCAGCTGTTGCTCAACTCATCTATTACAACTCTCATAGGGTTGCTTGTTGCTGGCTGCCCGATGTTTTGGGACTTTGGGGCAGTGGGGGGGGGGAGAGGGGGGTGGAAGGGGGGTGGACACAAACCTGTGAATGTTCGTCCCGACCCAGCGCAGCGTAGGACACCTCCACCTGCAGCACAACGCGCACACCGCCACCCGTCAGCCCCGTGGCCGTTTCATTCGCGTCAAGGTCACCGCCACCGTCTCGTCGGCGGCGACAAGCGCAGGAATCTGAGCGCTACACCGGCTCTGTGGATCCCATTCAGTCACTCTCTCTTTGTCGATATATATTGTGCACGTTATAATTAGCATTGTTATTATTGTTAAAGGAGTCAAACGTTGGTCCGCTCTTAGTTATCAAATGTTGGTTTTCCCTCCCACAGTATTATCAGGTCAGCCACCGATTCATCTGATTCCGTTCCTATCCAGCCAATTACCATCTTTTGTCTTCTGCAGTGCAACGCAGTCCCTGATAACGAGACCAGATCACCTTGGTGTGCCCCTTCATTCAGAGCGGTGACTTCACCTCGTCGCAGCTGTGCCCCGAACGCTGATCGGTAGTCGCTCGATATATGTGACTGACATAAATTGAAACAGGTAATTGGCAAATATTTCCATCACTAATTTCGTGAACAAAATCAACGCTGCTTCTGACCCCGTGACCACGTTGTAAAACAGTGTCCTAAAAAAAGTGTCCTGAAACGTGTCGTACGAACAATGATTTCCAACAGGAAGAGGTGGCACTTTATGTGGTAATTAAAATGTTCTCACCATTTACAGTTCAATTGTGCTTGTGGCACCAGGAAATTTCCATCGGTAATACTCGCAGAGGTCAGAGCATCGAGCTAGTGCAGGTGACCCCCAACTTACGACGGCTCGACTTGTGACCCCCCCCCCCCCCGCTTTTACGACCTTTCTTATCGTCAGTAAGACCCCCACAGTAACGACCAAAACTCGTATCTACGACCACCTAACGAACGTGACCGACTCCGAGTCGATATGCGACGAGTCTGTGCACGTCAAAAGCAAAGCGCTGCTTCACTCTACCGCCGTATGCGTATGTAGAGTATAGCCCTGCAGTCTGCAGCTGCAGCGAGAGTGCACGCAGCGGCGTCTCTTTCTCAATGCTCTTCACTTCTTTCTAAATATTCTTCAAATAAAAAAATACGCCTTTCGCTACGACTGAGAAGAGGAAATGTGATGCACGAATTTTCAAATGTGGTTGTTTTTACTTAATGTTTATAAAAGTTACGTGAAGTTCCAATGAATGTTTGTTAAAGTTATTTACATTTATTTTCGTGGTAAATGTTGGTATTTTAATGGTATGTAATGGGTTTCCAGGAACGAAAGCCCCAATGCATAACGTAGCGCCCTACGGGAGACGAGGCTTCGACTCGTGACGACTCGACTTGCCACCGTCATCCAAGAACCAATGAGGTCGTAGGTGCGGGGGTCTCCTGCACCGCTCAAATCCTGCGATCGAATCCAGGCAGCCGCTCGCGATGAAATCGGTGCCCCGAGCGCGGCACGTCGACCATCCCGGCCCAGTTGCCGACGACCGCGCGCAGAACCGCCGCCGCGTCGCAAACGCCGGAAACCCCCTCGCGGCTCCGCGGCGGCCGCCCTCACCTGCGCCCCGAGCAGGGCGGCCCCGCGCAGCGCACGCAGGGCCGCGGCCGCGTCCCCCCGCGAGCGGAAGTGCAGCAGCGCGGCGTCGCCGGCGCCCGTGCGCTCCAGCTGCAGTAGCTCGGGCGCCGCCGCCTCCTCCACGGCGCCGCGCACCGCCTCGTCGGGGGCCCCCTCGGGCAGGCGACGCAGCAGCAGCACGCGGCCCCCGCGCAAGCCCGACGTCGCCGCATCCTCCTCGTTTTCCGTTGCCGCCGCCGCAGCCGCCACTGCCGTGTCCCGCTCCGGGTTGGCCCAGTCCACCTTGATGGTCTGGCCCCATAGCTGGAAGGTGCCTGCATGGAGCGGCGCGCACACAACGGGAGTTCCGATTCACGCGTTTGGCTACGTACGGCGCGAAAGAAGTTCAACGTGCACACGAGTGCGCTTATCAGCACCGCGTCACTAGAAACCATTCGTAACTATCGAGAAGCGCCCCGCCCTGTGCTGCAGAGCAGCTCCCGGAGTGAGATTTCTGACATCCCTTCAAGTGACCTCGACGTTTCGCTGGTGATTACAACCAGCCTCATCAATTCTGGCAAATCGCCTGATGAAGCTGGCTGTAATCACCAGTGAAACGTCGTACTCAAAAATTTTGTATGCTGTGGGTTTACTCTTCAACACACCGCTGTGCTGAACTCGTAACTAATTGGCACCTTTTGTTTGCGTGACAAACCTTACTAATTGGCTGCGTCGGGTGGTGGTGGGTCAACAATATAATTGTATTTACGCGATCTCACCCAAAAACCTTTATTATGAGTCTCATGTCACTTGCAACTGCTGCTTGCCATAGCTGGTCACAGAGCGCATAAGCACAGCATGCTAACCACTGTGCCATTGCTCCACGTACAAAACAACAACTACAACAGCTGCCATTCTTCACTAACTAGTATTTGTGCCAGGCTAGGTGCACTTTGAGGTCACGTGAAGTGTCGAAACTCGCTGCTGGCAGGTCATAGGCCATGGGGTGACTGAGATGACCAGCAAACATGTACACACAGACCCACAAAGACCCCTAGTATAGCCTTAACAGACTGATGAGGCAAGTGCTGATAGCAAGCACCTATAAAGGCCGGCACGGCACACGAGGGGGTGGGTGGCCAACACCACGCCCGGCCACCTTTGTCTCCCTATCGACGATGTTTATACATCGCACCAAGTACTCATTTGAGGCTGAGTCGACCTAGGGGAGACCCAGGACCGATTCAGATAATCGTCACTGGTGTTGGCCGTGAGCGGGAATCGAACCTGGGTCGCCAGGTTCGTAGCGCAGCTTAGCGCTAACCTCTACACCCACGCTCACACACATCCACGAATGCACAGGAATGGCACAAGTGACTCTCACCCATTGACATGCACACACAGCCACGGACATCCGCACACATCCACGCGCACACACCCACGCGCACACACCCACGCACACACATGCCCGTACACAAACCCACGCACACGCAGAGGAGTGGCATAAGTGACCCCCACCGGACCTGGAACGAGCTTCCTCCGGGCCATGGCGGCCGCGCGATGGCTCTCGTACTCGATGAAGGCGTAGCCTCGGTTGCGGGTTTTGTCGGAGGGACAGACGCTCATCTTGACGTCCACAACGCCATCCGTGGCACAACTCATGGCTATCATCACCTCCTCTTGCTTCTTGTCCTGCACGGGGAGAAGACGCGATGCTAAGGCACCGGCACTCGTTCACAGTCTCGCGGTCGAGGGCAGCCTGCGACCTAATCACACGGAATGCGCCTGAACTCGTCGGATCTTACAAGCTAAGCAGGTTGAAGGCTGGGTAGCGCTTGGATGGGCGACCAGCATGCATGCCAGGCTGCCGTAGGCAGCTGTGGAACTGTGCTACGTGGTGGTGATCCCAAAGAAATCCAATGTTGCACTGTGCTAAAAGACTCCCGGATCTACGCTCCTTGCCTTCAACCCGCATACACCACCGTGGTGAAGTATGGTCAAACAGCCCCCACTACCCGCTCAGTGTGGCGAGGCCCTCATCCAGCAGTGGACTCACAAAGGGAGTAGTCAACAGTCAAAGTGAGTGCCCGGCTCGCCGCTCATCCGAGCAATGAGGCGGTGCTTTTCACCAAAGGTGTCCCAGCTCTGATGTTCACACTCCACGTTCCCATGCCGGGTGCCAGTTTCCCTGGAGGTGGGGAGGTGGGGAACCTTTTTCTTACCGAAGGCCAAAGAGGATTTTGAAAAACCTACAGCGGGAAACCACACATTTGTTGACAGGAAACTCTGATCATGCAAGGACTGTACACACTGTGTGAGAACTACTTGAAAAAAAGTGTTGCCTAAAATTATGTGCCACCAAGATGCTTGCAGTGACAGATATAAATATTGTTAGCAACCCGTTTCCAAGCAGTAGGCCTCACGTGGCCACAGGCCGTTTGGGACTGAGCCGTGGGCCATGTCCAGCCTCTGGGCCGTGGGCTCCCCATCCCTGCTGGAGGAAAAAACACCGCTGGATTTCCACAAATTGGTGCTCATTTTATCCAACCCAGACGTACGATGGGCTCTGCTCACCCATGACCGAAATTCGAACTAGTAATAAATAAATAACATTTCCACACACAAACAACTAAGAATGCCTCTCCTTTTACTCAAATGCTCACGAACCCACTGTTCTCCACAGCATCAATCAGATGCCATATAAATAAGACTTGTATTGTATTGCAATGTACGATAGAATTGTATAGTCAAAAAAGGTCAAGTGATTTCTTGCTCAAAGGGCAGTGAGGAAGTGCCAGTGGTGGAAATGGTAGAGGCGAGTCCCTCCACATCACAACGACTTCCACACAATGGTACTCATTGTATCGGCCCCAGATTTTATGATGGGCCGAGTCAACCCCCCACCAGAAATTAAACTCGCAGAGCCTTCTGATCGCGAGCCGTTCACTCTCCCACTGAGCCACTTGGCCTACTTATTGCGTGATGTTATAGATTAATATTGTTGTACTTTATATTGTAAATTATTATAATTATTATAGGAGTGCTGTGGGAGAGATGAGCTCCACCGGCCACACTGTACCTTTGGCAACCCCCCAATGTAGAGGCGGCAATTGTCCACGCTGATGCAGACTCCGAAGGGGTGTCCGGGCCGGATCTCGAAGTTGTTGAGCTTCTTGATGGCGGCCACGGCGTGGGTGCGCGTCGTGTAGGTGGCGAACGCGTAGCCGCGGTTCTCTCCGCTGAACTCCATCATGAGGCGAAGCTGGTAGAGCTTCCCCACCGTCTCCAGCACGGGCACCAGCTCGTCCTCGTAGAGGTCGCGCGGGATCTTCCCCAGAAACACCTCGCAGCCACGTGCGGGCGGGGGCCCCTGCCAGTCTGAGGTTGCGGATGGTGGGGAGGGGTGACGACGATTCAGTCATTTCAAGTAGTTAACACAGATACAAATGTCTGTGTGTGTGTGTGCATCCGTATGGGGAGCGGTAGTGTCGCGGTTAGCGTGCTGCGCTATGAACCAAGCGACCCGAGTTTGATTTATGCTCATGGCCAACACCAGTGACGATTAACTGAACCAGTCCTGGGCCTCCCTTAGGTCGCCTCAGCCTCAAATGAGTACCTGGTGCGATGTATAAACATTTCCACTTGAGAGACAAAGGCAGCCGGGCGTGGTGCTGGCCACCCGGCCCCATGTGTATCATGCCGGCCTTCATAGATGCTCGTTAACAGCACTTGCCCCAACAATATGTTAAGGCTAGACGGGGGATCCATGTGTGTACCAGATGTACGCGTGTATTTGTGTGTGCATAGCGGCCGTGACTGCAAATGTGCCTGTGTGCGCGAGCCTCTGTGCATCTCGGATACCGGGCGGTGGTCCGAACTTCCTCTGCCCGTTCTCCTGGATCATGTTGTACCCCGTGCGCAACATGAGGTCCAGCAGGGCCTCCTCGTTACAGGCCATGCTGAGCACTGATGGGTTGGCTATGACGGTGCTGGGGCAGCAGATTGGGGCACAGGGAGGCCTATGACATCCAGGGGATGGAGAGCGCACATCAACAACAACAGTTTATGAATGTATCCTTGTAGGGCTTCAATGCCACTCATCGTCAACAACTGAAAACTGTCAGCGGTTTCAACGCACCGGATGTTGAGCATTTGCCTGAAACATAAGCCTAAATTATATATTTTTGTGAAATCACAGTCGTTGGGAGTTTTTTTATGGGAGCTATTAAGCTACTGATTGCAAGCTCTTGGATGTTTTACGCCATCTGTCTATCCACACCACCTCCTCCGTGTTCAAGGTCACTACGAATCGCCTAAATCAATCGCTGAAAAACGTACCACGTCGCCCGCCAATGACGCTGCCCAGCGTTGTGGAGATTTTGAGCCAATTACGTAACTAAAATACAAAAAAAAAGACCTCAAACCAGACTGTGGTAGCCAATGAATGGAAACGTATCGATACGTTTCCATTCATTGGCTACCAGTCTGATAAGCTCTCCAACCCCCCCCCCTCTCCACCTCCCTTCAACTTGCTTATAAGGGATTACATCTTGAATCATTGCTTCACTTGATGCAGCTAATTCGGCTGTGACGGTTCCCACCTGATGACGGAGACTTGTGTTGCCTCCGAAACGTCGTGATTTTTATTTTTATTTTATTTTGATGTTTTACTTACGTGACTTAACCGAAAAAACCTAAGAATATTCCCCCCTCCACCTTTACAATGAACGCCACGCGTTAAGATAATCATTCGACTGCCGATATAAATCTCCACACGACAAATGCACTGCGTCGTCGGGGGCTATCGTTGACGACGGCCCCAACGGCTCGCTTCTGAAGAGGAGCTTGCCACACGTGGCTCAGTGTGGGCCCTACGTGTTGAGATACAACACAAAATAGTTGCAAGCGAGATTAGCTGAAACGTGTGGCTCCATCACGCCAACAGCTGTTGCTGTGGGTGACGCGGCCCCCGCCCCCACCCCTCACCCCACCCCCATCAGCCAATCAGCTGCGACGACGATTTTGGCGCCAATTTCTTTTTCGCGGGAGAGGCCGCGCGAGAAAACTCGCCGCTCGCTCCCAGCCACCATCACCGGTGTGGCGGCGGTGGTGGCGGTGATGATGATGAAGTTTATGACGAGGCTGCTCTGGGCATCCACCTGAGGCACCGGAAATTCCACATTCCCGTGGCCGGGGGCCAGGACGTCCACGCGAATTCCCAACGAGAGAAGCCAACCGCTTGAAGCGTCACTGCTGTAACGTGGGGATAACTCAGAAAGCCGCCACCGCCACTCTACAAACGCGTGGATGGGTTCAATCCCTGAGCCAAACATCCCTCAACCACCACCACCACCCCCTGGCACGGTCTCTCTTCTCGCTCGTCCCTGGTACCAAAACCAAAAAAACATCGCCTCGGTTCGAATAAAAACACGAATCGTCGCTTCTTGTTGTCGTGTCTCGCACCCTTCGACGCGTGGCGTTTTGTGTGGTCAGCTTGGCAGCAGCTGTTTATAGAGAAACTAAATAGCTCCCTGTTTAATAGTTGGTCTGGAGAAGAAGACAAAAACATCGTATAGACGCATGGGTCCGCAATGTTTCCTTCACGCGTGGAGACAAGCGGCGTGATGGTTTACATCGTGTGACCAGTCTGGCCCTGTCATGCGAATGTGGAATTTCCATCACCCGTAACCGGGTCCACTCTCGGCCCCTGGCGAGAATCCCGCAGGCCCAGCAACCCGCGTGGAGACTCTCACCTCGAGACTCCGCGCAGCCGCCTCGTGCCGGCAAAGTCGCGGACGGGGAAGTCGCTCCAGGCCAGCAGTGGAGAGACCCCGATGGCGCCAAAATACAACCCGCGTCACGTGACGAGACACCCCCCAACGGCCCCTCCCCTCTGTCCCCCATGGCCCCTCCCCTCCACCCCCAAAACCCCTCCCCTACGTCCCCCTACACGTGACGAGCCACCCCCCCCCACAACTGCCCCTCCCCTCTGTCCCCCATGGCCCCTCCCCTCCACCCCCCAAACCCCTCCCCTACGTCCCCTACACGTGACGAGCCACCCCCCCCCCCACAACGGCCCCTCCCCTCTGTCCCCCATGGCCCCTCCCCTCCACCCCCAAAACCCCTCCCCTACGTCCCCTACACGTGACGAGCCACCCCCCCCCCACAACGGCCCCTCCCCTCTGTCCCCCAAGGCCCCTCCCCTCCGTCCCCCTACACGTGACGAGCCCGGCCCTCACCGCGAGATACACAAACTGGACCCCGTTAGTGACCACTGCGCGTGTGTGGGGGCCTGGACAGGCGACGTTTCAGGCAATGGCCCTTCTTCACAGCACACGGATGGAATGGCCAGGGGGACAAGAGTTGAATAGTAGTCGTGCAGACTGCACTCTACATGGAGGGTTGCCAACACTCCCGTTAGCCGGGGGTCTATGGGAATTGCCGTCGATTTATCATTCATTGTTAAAACATCTTCCGTTTTCGTTTCATTGGATTACGTTTTTCTTTACGTCAGAGTTGGTAACCATAATTTTATACAATGGGCCCTGACAATAATGATATGTGAAATGTCCTTCCTGGTGAAAAGTTTTAAATTGGTAATACAGGATGAATATTCGTACTATCGGTGGATATTGAGAAACATTCCTCATTAATCGCAAATGCATTGATACACATTGGGACGTGGTTGGAACAGGGACGTGCGGTCAGGGGGGGCAGGGGAGGCAGAGCCTTCACCTGTCATACTCAAATGAAAATAGCTGTTACGAAAAGTAATTTCTGTACGATTCCAATCATTTTCATTGTCAAAATCGCCAAATTTGCGGAGCTCCGCTGCAAATACAGGAAGAGACGAGAGGTGAGGCAGCGACGAGCTCAGCCTCCCCTCTGATTGCGCAACCCCTCAGTAACTGGATGGAGCGCGGGCAATAAGCGCGTGCCTGTTACTATCTCAGTATGTCACCAATGTAATGTTTGTAGACCCCTTCATTTCATGTCCTCGCCTTCCATACTCCAGGTAACTTATTTCGCGTATGTGTATAAAGATACTCTTTGGTTCTTTCGGTAAAGTCACGTAGGTAAAAATAGAATACAATAAAACAAAAAAGTTATATATTATTTTTCTACCGACGTGACTTTACCGAAAGAACCAAAGAGTATGGATTCCTGCAGTCACGCAAGCTTCAAATCAAGATTGTATAAAGATATTTAGGCTCACTGGTCTCGTCATGAAACTGCAATGAAAAAGCACCAGGGGAGGCAGCTATCACATCTGCCTCACTGAGGGTGATGTGTCTAACACGCCCCCCTCAGTGCGGACACGCCCCCCACCCTTCAGTGTGTGAATCTGGCTCTGACACGAGCCCCAGCCATTGACCTCACCGCACGTCACTTGGTTGGAGGCCCATGTGTCTACTTAGTCACTCCATGCCTCGCATGTCCGCAGGATCAGACACTTCAGAGCGATGTTTTAAATTCCTGAATCTGACGAGCAGGGTAGAGGATTTCAAGGGAGACAATTTAATGACTCCTTTATATGAGAGCAAGGGCTAAAAATACTTTACCCCCTCTATGTAAAACCGAAACAGGAGGAATTCTCCACAATTCTGGCTAACGCCTGATGAAGCTGGTTCTAATTACTGTACTGGATATAGACACCAAGACGCACAACCACGGGCGGGAATGGCCACAGCGGACCGAGTTCTCTGTGGGGAGGAACAATCTCGAAAAACTACTCACTTCTAAATCTTTTGTTGTAATGTTTTTATTACTTTAGTATAAATACATGTTAATTTTGATTCATATGTTGTTTTTTCTGACTCTGTGAACGAAAAGACACAAATTCGCACGTTTTCTCATTGAAAATAGGTACATTTCAAAATATCACTGTCCTAGTTACAAAAGCAAAGTTTCGTGGGAAATAATAGACTTTTTCTATACATTTTAAGCATAAGCAATTACGAAATGACACTTACTACCCAGAAACAAAAATTGTGACAGTGTAATCTTTGAAGAGGTTCACGGAGACTGCAGTTTGGCTAGAATGTAAGTACGAGCAGAACTAAAGTTACCTCCAAGCACGGCACGGTTCACTGAACATAAGAAAACCATTTTTGCAGGGGACACAACTGCAACGCACAACACAGAGGTTGCATGGTCATGGTACTGTAACGAGTCGAGGCGTGCCAGGATCAAAATGATGGAATACCGAGGCGAGCCAGAGCAGCGTGGAGTGATTTTGGAATTTGATTTTAATATTGAAAAGCAACGTAAAAAAATGTGATTTGACACGTACATTCAAAACATTGAGAGGTACGTACACGAAGCTTGGAGATAAATACACGTTCATGATAAACAACACTGTCTTATGTTCGCACTTACTGAAAAATCCCACACGTCTTAAAGTCTACAATCCAGAGCAATAAGTGTCTGGTGAAAACCCACCACTCTCTGCAGACATGGCTCTGAGTGTATTTCACGTTTCCACAATTAAATAACACATTATGTGGGAAGTGAATTCCTGGCAGCAATGAAGCGACGTGAGGCGTAAACGAAGTGGTTTGAGGAGCGAGACACTTCTTGCCAGCGGGGATTTAAAGCCATCGGACACCGATGATGATGACGATGATGACGATGGGCCAAGTGCTTTGGACGTCAAGGGGACCATATGGAGAAACTACTCAGACACACACAATTTCAACCGAGATGGGTACAAACTGAGCAATCATTGGAAGGACGTTATCAACCAGTTTAAGTCATAATTGGCTATGATGTTCCCATTCTACCACCTTCCGATGTTAGTTGTGCTTTACGCCCATTTCAAACTTGCGCTTTCACAGTCACTTCGCGCGCTGACCCCTTGGTTTGCTGCTCTGCGATCTGCCATTAACATGCTAATCTCTCTTAAACATGCAAATTTTCACCTGGCAGCTTTTTGATTGGTGGAAAACCAACCACCGTTGAGTTGGCAACCCACCACTTACATTATCATTGGCTGCTGACACTTGGGCCACGCCCATTTCAAACCTTTAAAAACAGTTTGCCTTGGAACTGACCCCCCTTTTCCTGAAGACGACCGCTTGTGTTGCGATTGAAACGTCGTAGTTTTTTGTTCTTTTCTTTGAACCTATCTACATATCTACTATCTACGTGACTTTACCAAAAGACCAAAGAATAGGACGTCAATTGTTTGTGATGTGATGGGATAATACAATTCACAATTTACCCCGATTATCGGAACATCAGTTTCAATCAACTTTGTAATTTCACGTTTAGTCTTTTATGCTTGCTGATGTATTTCAAGTGTACATTGCTTACTAAACCGCAGTTCGCTCAACACAAGTCTGTCCCGAGTTTCCTAATCATTGTAATTTTACAATTTATCACTTATAATGCACATGCCATCACAAAACGACGATGCCATATAATCACCAACCCATAAATTACTCCGGAAAACGTTTCTAGAAACGCTCATTTAATGGTTAAAATACCCTTTTAAAACTAAAATTATTCCTGTGAACATTAACTTGCTAATTCGTAACTAATATGTCCGGTAAAGAATTACTTAGGAAAAAAATCAACGAGTAACGATAACCATGATATGACGATATGATTACCATGGATCTTATATCGTACGATAGATCGCAGTATCGCCATATCAGGGCAACCCTACGTGGATATTTATTCAAATTGTGCCGAATAGAGCCTGTATGTACATACGCTGAACTTCCTTCGCGCCGTACGTAGCCAACCGCGCTAATCAGAGGTGCGTCACATTCGTACACACACAAACACAGGCGCGACGCATGAGTTGTGTCAGTCTTGATAATCTAGCTGCAGGATTTCCATCTGCTCCGTGATGAAACTGGAGCTTTTCTCACACATCGACTGAATGTGATGTCTTAAAGATGCGAGGCTTTTGTAGGCGGCAGAAAGTTCCATTTGCAACCTGGAGGTCTCTTCTTGAAGCTCGGCGTTCTTGCCCTCCAACTTCTTGCAGCGCTGTGGAGTAGAACAACATAAACCACGTTGGGAAAACGGTGGCCGGTTGGCTCAGAGGTCAGAGGTCACAACAACGAACAAGGCAACGCTGCCACCCGTGATTAAACTACTTTTTCAAGTGTGAGTTAATGGTCATACCCTGGTTACCAATGATTAAGGAAACAAAAACACATTGCATTATGTATGCACGTATGTTGAACTTATTTAACACCGTATGTATTAAATTTGGTTCTGCACTTAATTTGGCAAACAATTCCAGCTCTGCGGATCAAAAACACGAGTTTGACTGCCGTGCAACAATCGCCCAGCACAGTGTTAATGAAAGAGCGAACCGTACTGTGTGATGGGGAAAAGGCCACGTGAGGGATTTTTTGCAGAATTACTGTGAACATTCTCTTGTGCAGCTGCTGTGGACTACGGGTCCACACTGCTCTACGTCCACCGTGTGGACTCTTTGTCTCAGGTCATGAGGCTGCAGCTGGAATTGGCGGGTGGGGGGGGGAATGCATAAACGCTGAAGAGCACCCCCTGCTCAAATAAGTGTGGGGTGGCGCTCATCTCTACTGGTGGCCCTAAGCCAGCAATTAAAAATGACACGCTTCCATGACGGAGGCCAGTCTCGATACGTCTTAACCACCATCGACTTTCTATAAAGTGACCAGGATGTGCACGTGGACTCTGCCAAGTGCGGCGGTCGAATGCCAGAGAAGCAAAGGAAGGCACGAGAAATAAAACACAGCTGCATCACCTCTTCCATTTGCAAGGCCTTCGTGTGTGTCACGAGTGTCCGCAGGGAAGCTTCTGCCCGATATTTGAGGCAGCTCTCGGTGCTTCCTCCCGCACGCTGTAGCTGGGATTCGGGCGAACACAGCTGAGAGATTTCCCAAGCGTCCGAGGCGTCGGGCAGCAGCAGCTTCGGAAGAGCCTGATGCCTTTGCACCCTGTTAGATAAGGCATCGAAGGCCTTCTCCGGGACCCGCGGCCTGGAATTCTGGAGCCTCTGCACCACCTTCCCCCTGGCGAGCGCGGAGTCCGAGCCCGGCTGCTCCGCGTGCGCGCAGCGGCCCCCGTAGCGAACCAAGCGATTCTCCAACGTGGGCGGTTCCTCCGCGTCGACAGCACATTGACGTTTAGGAATCGGCGGAGGGGACAGCCAGTGGTCTGTCTGCGTGGCCCTGTTGACGGTGGAGTGGTGCACTTTGACGGAGATCCTCTGAGCAGAGCTGGTGAGCAGGGTGAGGGAACCCTCATTACCGTCACTGCCCTTTCTGGACTTGAGCAGAGCGCACAGGTCAGGAGCTACGGGGCGAAAGAACCGTTCGCACAAGATTAGCCGCTTGTCTGCCACTCTCATGAGTGACTTACCATTACCGTGTTAAATACACAAATACGACTGTCAAAATCACCGTTCCTTATCAAATACTTCCGAGGACAAACGCACGACTGAAAGCATCACAAAACGGCGGGCCCGGCGTCCTTTAGAAAAGGAATAGAAATGGGGTGCGCGCGCCGCGTGGCCTCCGTATGAGGGCGACGTGCGGGTCGCCACGCACCGTTGTCCGGGCTGTGCGTGGGCGTTTCCGACAGGGACGTGAGGGACGGGGATGGCGACGTGGCCCCCCCTCCGTGCCGCCCGCTCGACGCGCACTCCATCACCAGCTCCTTGCACTGCCGGTGGCAGTTCACGCCGCAGTCTGCCGCGGGGAGAGACGCGGGGAAAGGTGGGGAAAGGGGACGCGCAGTCGACAAACGCATTCGGCGACAGTGGCCAAGTCACGGCGACTACGCGGCCCGATGAAGCGGGCTGCCGACACCTCCCGTGGCAGCCTGAGTCGGGGGAAATTCCACATTCCCGTAGCAGGTGGCCAGTCTCTGTATAGGAAGGCCATCGTTGACGTCCCACGTAGAGACACGGTCGTGTTTCCCTGTAGCGCTGCGTGTTTTGTTAACGCGAATTTGATATATAACGCGATTCATGTATGAGGGAACACATTTTTTATATAACGCGGACTGGATATAATGCGATCGAGTGAACGAAACTACGTCGCGCGAGTAGGAATAAGCGGTCGTACGGCTGCCTCGGCGTAGCATCGCACAAGGCAGTGGGATGCTTCAAGATGCTACCCACGCGCCTCGGTCTCTGTTCGGCCTGCGTACGCATCTTACACCTTATCACGGACCGTGATTTTTCCATAACGCGGTGTTCTTCAGGAGCACAACTACCACCGCCATGTTCTAGGAGAACAGACTGTGCTCTTTTTTTACGATGGGCCAACTTGTGAGTCAAAGACTCTCACACCGAGCACTCTGTACCCAAGCATCACATCTTGATACCCGTAATGCATTAGAAAAAACATTACATTTGCCCAGGGAATATTCAAGTCAAGGTGCAGTTTGTCTTCCTGCTCAAGTGTTCATCTCTGTTGGCGGCCTTAAGCCATCGTTGGAAATTCCAAATTTCCATGGCTGGTGAACGGTACGTCTACATTGTCACTTTGCATTACGCCTTCGAGGCATTTTCGTAGCATTGCGTTCCAAACGTACACAAGTCGTGCGTATGTATGTTTTTAACTTCTTTTGCACCGTACGTGGCCGACCGTGCTAATCGGAGATGAGTTGCTTACACACTATCCTGACTTGCACATTCGTAGCAGCCTCCGCTCAAAGGCGATACGATCCTTTTCACGGTTGCTTCATTTAAATTGCTTTAAAGTTTGGTAAAAACAAGTGATAATTGTACACTGGATTACACATTTTTAAAAAATAGGAGTTTACCTTTGCACTTGAAGCCTTGCTTCACAAGGCCCCACAGCTTATGCAAGAGAAAGACGTCAAAGGAAGAGGCAACGTTAGTCACACGTACACGTCACGATGCATGCACTGGCCCCGAGCACAGCTTGCAAACTCCAGACGGTTCACCCACATTCTTGTACAGGGAAATTGAGTTTGAAAAACAAATTGTCTACTTGTTTGCCTTTCTCCCTTGTGACGAGACCTTGTAAGATGAACGTTGATATTTATAAGGGGCATGGGGGTGACGAATAAGATCTGAATTGTTATACTCATTGGTTTTTTCGGTAAAGTCACGTATGTAGAAATAAAAGAAAAAATTTACTAAATTCAATTACATTTTATTTTATTTAGTTAAGTAAAATTAAAAAAATTACTAAATTAAATAAAATTTCATTTAATTTTATAAAATAAAAATTTATAAAATTAAATGAAATTTTATAATTTAATTTAATAAAATAAACATTTTTTTAGTTACATTTCTATTTTATAAAATTGAATATAATTTTATTTTATTTAGCAAGGGGAAGCCAGAGAGGAGCAAGGGGGGAGCCAGAGAGGAGCAAGGGGGGAGCCATCATGCGGCTGCGGAGCCGCAGGTCGCCAAGCCCTGATGTAGCGGAAGGCGGTGGTCGTGGGGGCGCCCGTGGTATTCACGCGCAACATCTTTTGTTGTCTATTTTCACATTTTAACTCCCAGCGCGCTCATCGGCCTCACAGCTCGAGACAAAGAGAATCCGTTCGGGAAAACTCGCAGAGCATCGCGACCGCCGTGTGCCCCACGCATTTGAGAATGGCTGCACAAGACATTTTCAGAGGACTTCTCCGGGAAAATTCTTCCAAGTGGCCCTGCTGGGGCGCATTTTCTCACGCACTCTTCTGCGAGATGATTTATCGCGTGAGAGTTGATGCGATATATTGTTTTTATCGTAGCCAAATTGAGTGCACATCGAAGGGGGCAGTGACCACGGGATATTTGATTTACTATGTTACTATGAGCTGTCATCACGCGGACATTTATTGCAGACAAATACTCTAAGCGCGTGACGTTGATTCTAAATGTGGAGGGAAAAACCGGAGGACCCGGAGAAAAATACACGCAACCACGGGGAGGACATGCAAACTCCGAATATACAGGTGTCGGGGTTGGGATTTAACCTACAACCTCCTGTATATCAGGCGAGGGAGTGAACATCTCGCCACCGCAGTATGGCGGGTCCCTGGCACGGAGGTGTTTTTAATACGATTACTTTCATGGAGTCACTGGTGACTGGGCTAAAACTATTGATTCACTCCACTTGACAAGCCAGTTGAATCACAGTTCAGAATCAAAATATTTATTTATCCTGGAGCAATCCGATGAGCTATAAAGCTCTTTTTCACAGATATCCAGTCGGGGTAGGTAAGAACGTAACAACAACAAACAGTACAAAAACATGACAGGAGTGAAACGTACAAGAAAGGCGAACAACCAAACCATCCCCATCCTACCAGACAAAGCCCACTGAGATATTCACTCATTTTTCAGAAGCGATCTGGCCACACATAATAGCTCAACAAAGTGGCTTATCAAGTGGAATTCTATAGCAGCAAAATCATCTCCATAATCCCAATCATTAATCTATAACGCGCCTGCCCACAGCTGGGCGGCTGTAACCTGGATTCGAACCCAGGATTCTCAGCGGTGCCGGCTCTGCACTCTGACCCGTGGGCCACGTGGCCCGGCCTCTCTGCGATGAAACTCTGGGTGCGATCGTGGCGACTCACAAAGCCGGCGCAGTGCTCGCAGAAGGTGGGCTTGAGGTACGTGGTCTCCTGGAAGTTGTGGGTGAACCCTTTGCCCAGCTTGCAGCGCAGAGAATTCGCTCGCAGGAAGTAGCCCATCATCTCCTCCTTGCTCACCTGACCGATCCTTTACGCGCGCGGAGAAATACGGAGCGTGAAGATGTTCATGACCATGAAAAATAAGGATAGGTTTCACCCTCCCTGGCAGTAAACACAGGTGGTGTTGAGATGTTAAACCACCCAGTAGATTCCTTTGGCAAGGAGTCAAGGCTGCATTAACCACATGCACTTGTGGTGAACATGCAAACAAAACATGCTCTGATTAATCTTGATTTGAAGATTTCGTGACTGCAGGAATCCATACTCTCTGGTTCTTTCGGTAAAGTCACGTAGGTATAAAATAAATATAAGCATTGTCTATAAAACGGATTGGTCTACACCAGAGACAACCTTCTTTAGGGCCTAATCTGACCCGTGCCAGACCGGCCAAAAGACGCACAGCACAAAGCCAATGCAATTATCAGGGCATTGACAGCTCGGGTTGAGCAGTTAGGTCTATGATATATATACAACTATGATATACATCTATGAACTATGATATGAAACTATGAGAATATTTCTATATCATAGATGATACGGTATATATAGTTACATATAATCTGTGATATAATCATTGTACACCCCTGTCAACTAAATCATTCCATTCTGTTACCGTTTTTTAAAGCTCTGTCAAGCACCTTGAGTGAAGAGGCTCTATAAATATAACTTAGATTAGAATGTGATGATGACTGTGATGATGGTGATGGACTCAGTCAACGCCTGTCTGCGATTCGAATTCACAAACATCCCGTCCTCAGCGGAGCTCTCAAACCGCGGCTCGGCATTACCTCCACACGCCTAAGAGAGCGGTTTAAGCATGGGTGGCTGACTAGGGCTCGAACCCAGCCGCTCTGAGCTCAGTCAGCGCGGTGACGTGAGCGTCTCTCCCTCTCTCCGACATGAGCGCAGGGCGTGCCCGAGGGCGCTGGCGCCATCGTGCCACTCACTGATCCCTCCGCAGGAAGCAGAACGAGTCCAGGAATGGGAAATTGGCGGTGATGTTTTGGAAATCCTCTTGCGCGATGTAGCCGTCGTGGTCGTGGTCGTAGTTTTTGAACACGGTCTGCGGAACGAAAAAGCGACGAGGCTTTGTTGAAGCAGCGGAGAACGGTCCGAGGCCGGATGAGCGAGCCCCTGCATGGTGTGCCGTCCCCTGCTGCCCCCCTCCCCCACCGCTCGATGAGAAGACCCATAAGTTCAAATCCCAGTCGGGGTTTCGCTCAGCCTCTCGTTTTTGTTTTTCTGTAGTCAGTAAACGGAGTACCACTTTTCGGAACGTGAACAGTGAATTGCTGGCCCTGGCGTGGGATTTTCACATGCATTGCTTGAGGCACACCAACAGCCCAATGCCCGATAGGGGTGGGAAATACTTTTACTTCATCTTTTGACTTTTCAACAGAAACAGAAGATTGAGTGATCAGCAATCATGTTCATCGGCAGCCAAAACGTGAGATTTGTAAAAAAACTGCAAAAGTGTCTCCCTGTTTGCGAGGGCACGGGACAAAGCTCCTCTCCACAAATAATAAGCCAGCAGTGGAAATTCCACATTCCCGTGCCACTGACTCCTGTTGACTGTCTATAACAATGCGCTTCAATGCAAGGCCCGCGGGCCATTGGCGGCCCCTGGTGGCCTTGAGTACGGCCCCCAACAAGACACAACACGTGACAACACCCCACCATCATCGTGCTGTCCTACCAAATGGTTTGAATTGTGTGGCGGCCGTCGCACTGATGGTGTCTTATCAGCACTAGTGAAGAACACTGCTCTATAAAGTGGCACTCGATTGATCAACCGAAGGACTATATTGGCCCTCAAGTGGAACTTGTGCTCACGATCTTTCCGTTTGATGATGGAGCTACTGGGCAGGATTCACGTTGATTATTAATGTGCAGGTTGAAGGCGCAGCCCTGCAAATGCTCACGCCACTGGTGGCTGGGAAGGCCTTCGCTAGCGGGAGCGCTGGAGAATACCTCTCGGGGTTACTTTGGCCTACTCTTCAATGCCGGGCCAGACATCTTGGAAGAGGTGGGAGCAGCCACACTTTACTTCACCACACGCGACGTGCCGATTGACTGGTGCACCTTTTTATTACTGCCGGGCGGACGGAGGTGGAGGGGATTTAATAAACTTGCACCGGGGTTCGGGAGATTGAACCGGCGACGTTTGGATCGTAAGTCCGGCGCGCTGGCCATTACACCACGGCAAGTAAAGCAAGAGACTGCCGGAGACAAACCTCCACCATCTGACGGATGTGGCGATTGATGGCGGCAGGGTCTGGCTTGGGCTGGGCTTCCCTGGTCCACTCCAAGGATAGTTTCAGCTTATTTGGAGTCGAACGCTGATGGGGAAACAATGCAACACGATTCAAACGAGACGTAAACAAGCCAAAGCATAGAGTGCGAGTGGGAGGTGGTGGGCTCGTCACGGCTATGTCAGTGACACTGAGCAGACAGCGAAAAAAACCTGGTTTCAGTTTAACACGTAAGGAGGCTTTCGCGACCAAATATTATCCACAATAGACGTTTTTGGGGTTAGATCGTGCAAATATAAATGTGTCGTTAAACCTGACACCACCCGATGCAACCAATTCGTAAGGTTTGTCACGTAAACAAACGAATCAGCATCTTCTGTTTACGGAGACAAACCTTACTAATTGGCATATTCTGTTTATGTTACAAACCTTACTAATTGGCTGCGTCGGGTGGTGGCGGGTTTAACGACATAAAAAACGCCTCCATTATGAATTTGGTTTCGAATCCGAGTTGGAGATTACACTGGGCTCCCAAGTGTCGTGCACAGCTTTGGCACAAACGAATGTATGACAAATTATTGCAAACATTTCGATATTTCGCTTCAAATCGTCGCTTCCAGCTTTGAGGAATGCACATTTTTGCTTAATTTTCATGAACTAAAGTCCTTGTACACGGTGGCTCAAGGGGCTAAAACCTTGTCAGAGCATTGAGCTGGCATCTCGGAGATCCTGGGGTCCAATCTCTACGTGCATTGGTGACAAACACTGCTTATTGGCGGCCATGCACGTGGCCTGTAATCCAGCACTGTGGAGGCAGCGAGGGTTGGTGAATCGCGCCAATGTTGTGGAACTTGCTTCCCGTGGGAGTCGTGGAGGTGCCATACCCTGGTTCACCAGGAGAAGGCGGTGCAGCATAGTGTGGACTAACGTCATCTGTCCCATCTATATGGGATAGAGTGTTTCCCCCTTGCATGCGTGGGCTTTTCTCCGGGTGCTCCGGTTTCCTCCCACGTGTTTAAACAGTCATTCGTTGCATAAAATCATCTCAGTATACTTGACGGCCGACAACGTAACTGGGACAGTTTTTGTTTGTGAGCGCACAGAAATGGACGCCCGTGCCGGTGACGGGCGCTGACAGGCGCTGTCAAGCGCGCTCGCATTTGCCTAAAGAGCCATCGCCGCGACTCGAAGAAGCTCACCGTTGCCTTGCCGTTTCGAGGCTCCCTCACGAACGACAGCTCATAAATCTCCTCCTCTGTGTAGTACAGATCCAGAGACACCTGCGCAGCAATCAACAGGCCACAGCAGCAATCGGGCAGAGGGTACACGAGCGGGAGATTAAGCATCTCAGAAATGGATAACAATAATAACAATCGCGGCGGCGGCAGCATGTTGTGTAGGGCAGTCCAGACCTCCCTTTCCCTGGCGACTGACTCTGGGCACTATACACTATTATACACTATACACTACACTACAATACATTAATATACAGTACTATACACTACACTACTATACACTACACTACTATACATTACTATACACTACTATAGACTATACACTACTATACACTACACTACTATACACTATACACTACTATACACTACTATAGACTAAATTTCGATTTAAAGCTTTCGTGACTGCAGGGATTCATCTTCTTGGTTCTTTCAGTAAAGTCACGTAGAAGGGAAATAATAAAATAATAAAAATAAAACATAATAAAATACAATTCTCACGACGTTTCAGCCACAACGCAAGCAGCCGTCCTCAGGTGAAGAACAGGTTTGTCGGAAAGACAGTGTCTAAATGAACACCACCAAGCTTGGCAGCGTATATTTAAGCTGGGTTAGGAGAGGAAGGGCGCCTTGACAAAGGAATTTGCATATCAACAGAGGAATTTAGCATATTTATGGAGAATGCAGATATGGGATTAGTCACTACTTGTGGAATGCGTAGGAGGGGAGGGGGGGGTCTCAAAGTCATATTATGCCCATGCATTATGTAGGAATTAGCAGCAACAAAGGGAGGAGGTAGGGTTAGCAGTAATAAAGGGAAGGAATTTTAATAGTAAGGAGCTGCAGCAGCCAAACCACCACGTAAAAAACTAAAATATAAACTACGTAAATATCATCAATATACTAAATATACTCTCCAATAAGCTGAGCTACTAACATTAAGTCATACATTACAATTCTACTGTCGCAAAAAATATAATATGCCTCCAGCTAAACTTTTTCCTTACATCACACGGATCTACCCCGTACTATATACTGACATAGACAAACCCAACATTAGAATTATATACTGCATTACTATATACAACCATATACCTTAGACTATACATTGTAATATTACACTATGTATTATTCTACCCACCCGACTGTATACCACACTGCTGTATATTCACTATACAATTACGATACTATATATTATACATTATATTAAACATTACACTTTTATACTATGTATTATTATACAATCTGCTATACACTATACCATTGACCGTCAGCGTGAAAGGTACTAAGAGGAAGCAACGAAATATGTCAATGGGAGAGTGGAAGGAGAAGACTTGTCCCCAGACGACCTGCTTGTCAGTTTTGATGTGCTTTCCTTATTCACCAAAGTTCCTGTACCTGACACCATCGCAATCATTGAAGACTTGGTTCATCAAGGACTGGATACTAAGGTACCCCTCCTGGTGAGACACTGCTTAACCAATACATACTTCACCTGGTATGGAACTTTCTACAAACAAACTGAGGGCACCCCAATGGCCCCCCCCCTATCTCCGGTTGTAGCCAACGTTTTCATGGAGAAATTTGAGACTGACGCCATCCAGACTGCCACTCTATGCCCGACCTTATGGAAGAAGTACGTAGATGACACTTTTGTCATCTGGCCACATGGCCAGCCTGCTCTAGACCAATTCCTCGACCACATCAATTCTATACACCCAGCCATCAGATTCACCATGGAAGTCGAAAAAGATGGCAAGCTACCCTTTTTGGATGTCCTAATTAAAAGGAGACCTGATGTTCAATGAGCCACTCTGTCTACAGGAAAGCTACCCATACGGATGCTTACCTAAAACCGGATTCCCACCACCATCCATCCCAGAAGAATTCCCTCATCAAGACTTTACACTATAGAGCCCGATGCTATCTCCGACCAGGAACACATTGCCAGTGAACTCAAGCACGTACGCCAAGGTCTGAAGGCTAATGGTTACTCCGACTACACAATCCGCAAAGCCATTACTCCAACCATCAAGAAGGATCCGGTTGTCGGAGCCATTCAAAACCATCAAAGGAGGGTGGTTAATCACCTGATAAAAGGCTCTTATATCAAAAAAAATGTGTGCGTCATTACTGATTTCATTCTAGGCCCACTGATCTACTTTTGGGGCCCTAAGCATTTGCTGAGATTGCTCATGCCGCACGCTACCACCGCACACATACTCAGCTAAAACTCAACTATTTTTTTGTTTTACCAGCTCAGGCCCACTGAGCTATGTAGCTCTTTTCCAGAAGCGACCTGGCCACAAATGGTAGCTCAACCAAGTAAATTATCATCATCACGTGGACATTTTATTGCGGACAAATACTCTAAACGCATGACGTTGATTCTAAAATGTGGAGGGGGAAAACCCGGTGGATCTGCACTAAAATCCACGCAGCCACGGGGATAGTGGAGACTCGCAAACGCCAAATACACAGCAGCAGCAGGCGTCAGGGTCGGGATCGAACCCACGCTCTCCAGCATACCAGACGAGGGAGTTACCATCTCCTAGCCACCGCGGACCCCTCCTGAGGACGGCTCCTCCACAGGCAGCTCACCGTGAGAAGGTGAACAAGGTCCATGTTGGGTTCGATCTGCGGCGGGGTGTGGTGCAGGTTCATCAGCGGGCTGAAGGTGGCGTGCAGATGCTGCATCTTGGCGAGGTTGATCCTCTCTCCGCCGAGCCAGTCGGGCAGGGCGGCATGCAGAGACACCAGGTCCTTGAGGTGAACGGCCAGGACGGGCAGCCAGAAGCCCTCGCACTGAGACACCGCCTGCCGGTAGCTGCGGTAGTTCCCTGACACGGACAGCAAGTCCGTCAACTCGAGCAAGACCTAGAAAAGGAGGGAACGACATTGAGAGAGGCCTCAGTCATTGAAATCAACAAGACAAGCATGTATGTGTGTGTGTTGAACTTATTTTGCACCGTACATAGCCAACCACGCTAATCGGACGTGCGGGGGAAAGACAACAAACTAAACACAAAAGGGGTTTTAAAGAAATGAGTTTTAAATCTAGATTTTAAAGTTCATAGCTCTAGTGGCTTCCTAAAATCGGAACGAAGAGCGTTCCAGATGGCCGCCGATCCGCACCTAAAAACGCGCAACGCAGTGACCGTATTTGTTCGATAGTTTGCCAAAAGCCGCTGCGAGGATGACCGGAGTTTGCGTGATGGTGTACACTCCTTGACGAGACCAGCAAGATACTGTGGTTCATTTGTGGAAAGCACTTAGTGTGTAATGTGTTCGACCTCATAATGTATTCGTTCAGCAACCAGCAGTACGTGCTGGAAGTACACATTTGGGATGGAATCTAGACCCAAACAATTATAGAGATGTCTGGCCAGCATGAACGAGCAGAGTAGGCTATAACACGCTCAGGAAATAATTATTTGGTGACGCTGCTGCTGCTGAGTTGGCAGTGATGCAACACACCCCAGTTAACAATAAAAAACTTCACATTCGTAAATACACTGTCATAAAATACATGTATACAAGATAGGCGACGTTTTGGGTAATGGCCCTTCTTCATGGCACATAAATAGAGAGGCCAGAGAGATAAAATGTATAGATTTTGAGACTGCACTTGACATAATGGGACCTCATGAGAGTTAAACTCAATTCTTTTTCTTGATAACCAGTTTTTTAATTTGCATATAATTCGCTATTAGTAGCTAATGAGTAATTGACAAACCCTTTAATAAAAAACAACAACAGTTACGACTAGATAAACCGATTGTACATTAAAGTAAAATAATCAATGTTGCTGGCACATTGCATTGTGGGAAGATCTGTTCTTGTGAGAACAGGGCACAGTGTGCATAGCGATGCATGGCAATTTTACTCTGTAGAGGGGGTTCTATGGTGCTCCCTCTAGTAGAGATACTTCCTCCAGCGAATGTCCTGGATGAGGTGGTAGCACCTACGGTGTGCCCCTCCACGCGTGACCTGCCAACAGACCGTAGCGAAATTCTGGCCGGACAGAGGCAGGGGATTGAGGAAAATCGACGATCGATCCAACTGCCGTGCAGGGAGATCGAACCGATGACCTCCGGATTGCAAGTCCGGTGCACGATCACCGTCACCGCACCGTTACCCGTTTGCTTACTGCCGGAAGACGCTTTAAGGAGTGAGCGTGCACTGCGTGTCCCGCGTGGCGAAGCGCTCTGACGTTACCCTGTTGTCCTCGACTTGAAGGAAAGCGATTGTGTCGCGCAGCCTGGAGATGGAGCTGTGGTTCAGAGCCCCCACCACCGCCATGAGCGTGTTGAAGTTCTGTAGCCGCAGCAGATTCTTTGACCGACAGCAGCCCAAACACAAACGCAACACAAATTAATGGGACAGCGAGAGAGAGGACGCCGCAGCTTCTATCGAGACAATAAACATACAAAAATAATAGACGATTTCAAAAACTCCAGTCCGAATACCTGCAGTCATAATGCAAAAAAAACATAACTCTGATAATGTATGCACTGTCCTTGAAGTTGATTGGTCCCCACCCGAGACAGCTTTCCTTAGAGCCTAGTCTCACATGGTGTTGGACCAGATGATGCCAAAAGGCGCACAACTCAAAGACAATGCACCATCAGAGTATGAGAGCTCGGGGTAAGCATTTACACCATTGGAATCTCATTTGCCAGTAAAAAATATGATAATTGGTTTTTTACCCTTTTATCTGGCAACAAAACTGACACAGTTTTTACAAGGAGTCATGTTTGCATAGACCACAATACCAAAAGGGTAAAAACCAATTATCAACACTAATTGTTATAACAACACTCCTACAACATCAGAGTGCAGCGCCACATTAAATACGCACTACAATGACAATAGTTTAAAGCGATTTGAAGCATGTTTCATTTTCAAAATAGAAATATGATTTTGTGGAGGGGGGGGCAGAGCTTTGTGACGTCATATTTAAGGGAGGGGGGGGTCTGACTTTTTGTGACGCAGTGTGACGGGGGGGGGGGGTCAAAAATCGTCCAAAATCGCGTGACGTCATTTATGACCGGCCCCCTAGCAGAGCACGTGGTAGACTGATAGTTAATCGGTGAACCCATCGCCTCACATGCCGCGGTATACCACGCCGTCTGCTGGGACAACCTTGCACTCTCGTTTAAAAAAAAAGAGTTGTTCATAAATGCGTCACATATCTTGACCGTAGGACATGCGAAGTGCGTTTGTACTCTATATAATGAATATCAATCCAAATAAGTTTCGTCTCGTCAACGTCGCACTTTCTAACGACGAGGGAAGTGTGTGTTGCACACTCAAAATGAAGGACGTAGGGCAGGTGCTCCAAATCGAGGGCAAACACATCTATTGTGGTTAATCTTTGGGTCCTTTACCTGTAGAATGCAACAGCACGTGTGTCACACACAGCACTCTTCACCGAGTCGCCATTAACCACGTGACTGGGGTAATCATTAACCCAGCCAGCCCCCCCCCCCCACAGGCCCAACTCAGTCATCACATGCTGGTGTACACGTGCATTGATGTACTGCACAGCACGTAAGGACTTATTAAAAAAGTAGTCCATTCCTAATGTGCCACATGCGTGTTCGAGACGTGGTGGAGCGCCGGCCGGGCCCAGCAGCGCAGCGCACCTGCGCGAGGCTGAGGAACGAGCGGAAGACTTGCGCCCGCTGGGCCGGGAGCGGCTTGCTCAGCACCATGAGCTGCACCCACTGGCTCACGCCGTTGAACAGGGAGATGGATCTCTCAAGTGCCGGGACCCCTTCCACGGAGCCCCGCACCACGAAGCTCCTGTAGTCCGCAAACTGCCAGCAGACCGGCGAAACACGATCAGCGCGGGCACGCCGGGGGCGCCGTGAACGGAGCGTCGATTTCGATTCGAGTTGTGCATGTCTCAGAATGGATTATCTTCCAAGTTCAAGTTGATATTACACGTTTTTATTTAACTCACTGTTGTTGTTGTCGTATCCTCAAATCTTGTAACTCAATTTTAACCCACTTCCCAATGTGGTATCGACTGCAAACTTGGTATACTTATGTCATATTGATGACAATACTATATTATATCATTGAAAATATATTTTAAACAATCTTTTTACACGCTTTCTATTAACTCATTCTGTCTGTTGTTGTTGTTGTCGTATCCTCAAATCTTGTAACTCAATTTTAACCCACTTCCCAATGTGGTATCGACTGCAAACTTGGTATACTTATGTCATACTGATGACAATACCATATTCAATAAAAAATAGATATTTTTTTACGATTATTTTCTATATGTTATGTTTCGGCTTGGGTCTAATTGTCCACGCTCAACTGACGTTGGCTGTAATTGGCCACGGTTCCTTACGTTGCGGAAAGCGTCGGGGCCACTTCCTGGAGTCGTGGAGTTCTGCCATTACGAGTACGGTACATTTCATGAAAGCGTGTTTTTAAAAAAACGTATTTTTAAATATTACTTATTTTAGTGTAACCAGGAAATAACTCAAGTGGCCAGGATGGAGTATCACTTGCAAGTGTGACCCGGGTCACCAGAGTTAAGCAAAATAGGTAAAAAAATGTAGGGCAAACGGAACCAATAGAAATGGTACCACAAACAAGAAATCTATAATATTGTCCTATCTATCATAAGTCAATGTTAAATACTTTCTCTGCAGTGTGAGCCAGCTCGGGCAGATTGTTTTAGGGGCCGTCCATAAATGACGTCACGCGATTTTGGACGATTTTGGACCCCCCACCTTCGTCACACAGCGTCACAAAAAGTCAGACCCCCCCTCAAATATGACGTGACAAAGCTCTGCCCCCCCCCCCGCCCCAAAAAATAAAACATGCTTCAAATCGCTTTAAACTATTGTCATTGTAGTGCGTATTTAATGTGGCGCTGCACTCTGATGTTGTAGGAGAAAACATTTTAAAAAAAGTATATTTAATTAAGTAGAACGTGTTGTCTATATTTATTTAAAGTAGCGTATTTTGATGTGACGTCACATTTCTCAACCCCCCCCCCTCGTCACACATCGTCACAAATGTCTGACCCCCCCCCCCCTAGGTGCGTGACGTCATTTATGGACGGCCCCTTAGGACTGATCAGAGTACAATTCCTACGCTTCTTCCGTTTGTATCGTCACCATTTACGGCGGTGACTTGGCTGAGCGGTCGCGGGTCGCCTCGGTTATTGAGGGACGCGTTGAGTTTTTGTTGCTGTTATTATCCGTGCTTCAGCACCACCGCCAAAACGCGAATGCCACGAGCGTCAGTTTGAGTGTCTTACAGAGACGCGACGGAAGTACTTGTACTCCAGGAAGGTGAGGAGCTCGGCCAGTTCCAGCGCCTGGAGGTGGTCCAACAGCAGCGACATCTTCCTCCGCTTCTGCGGGTGCGGTCGGCGCGTCACCCTCCGCAGCCAGTCGCACGACGGGCTACAGAAACGGTGCCGCTTAGGTATCGAGTGCACACAGTTTTGACATTGGGAAATGTGCTTTACTTATCCAGGAAAGTCGCACTGAGTCCTAGGACACTTTTGCAGACGGTCCTGCTACTACGTTGGGTTTTAACAAAATTTTATTAAGATGTTTTCGGCCAATTAATGACGAGTGTTTTTGATGCAAGTGGGAGGAAACCGGAGCACCCACAGAAAACCCACGCGTGCGAGGGGACAACGCTCTATCCCTGTACAGAAGGAAGCAAAGTGATTAGACCACTCGCTGTACCGCCTCCTCCTGGTGAGTCGAGGAATGCCACCTCAACTCCCACGGGAAGGGAGTTTCACGACAATGTGTGCGGCGATCCTCCCACCCTCGCTGCTCCCTCCACACTTGCTGCATTACAGGCAGCCACGTGCAATAGCCACCAATGCCCGGCTAGACATATGGTGCTTTTTTTTAAAAAACAGAGCGCAGGTCTGAAGGCCTAAAACGTCATGCGGCCAGCAACAAACGGCACGAGCGGAGTTGCTCAAGTGATTGATCGCACGTATCTCAAATTGAGCAGGGTAATTATCGGAGCTTGGAGAAAGAGACGATGGGAGGGAATTTCAAAGTGCGGCAGTGCACAGGAAGATGTTGAATACAGTATGGCTGCGATGAAAGTCAGTCTGGCAGACCGAGTCTTCAACATGGGTAAAGGAATCAATGAGTGAATTTCATAGGAATAGTAAGCCAGACTAAACAATGTTTTATTTTACCAGGTTAAGGCCCACTGAGCCATATAGCTCTTTTTCCCAAGTGACCCTGGGAATCACAAATGATAGCTCAATGAAGTGGCTTATCACGTGAAAATGAATAGCAGCCAAATACTCTAAATGCATTTTGTTTCTAAACGTGGAGGGAAAAACCGGAGGACTCGGAGAAAAATCCACGCGGCCGCGCGGAGAACAAGCAAACTCCAAATATAAAGCAGGCCTCAGGTTTGGGATCGAACCCACGACCTCATGCATACCAGGAGAGGTAGTCAACACTTCGCCACTGCAGCAATAGAACATTGATAAGGAGGATAATGAGCACCAGTGAGTGAGTGACTGGAGGAAATCGGTGAGAGCCGGATGAATCAATCTGACTGATTTACGTTGAATTCTACAAACTACAGTGATGTAGGAACTGGGTACTCCACCTTACATATAACATAAAATTATTTTAAAAAATCAAAAAATCACGACGGTCCAAACGTCGTGATTTTTGTAATCATTTTATGATTTTTCTATCTACGTGACTTTACCGAAAGACCCAAAGAATATGAATTCCTGCAGTCACGAAAGCTTTAAGTCATCGTAAATAATTTCATGAACGAAATCAGCACCGCGCTGGTGACACCTTGATGAAGGCCGCCTGATTGGTGGGTGCCCACACTGGGCGCTAAGAGAGCGGACGTCTGGCACCTCCCCAGCACTCATTCAAGCATCATCATCATCATTAGTATAGTAGAACCCCTCTTAACGACGGCAATTGGTTCCACGGTGAGTGATTTGGTCATTAAGCGAGTATAGGAAATGCACGTTAAAGGCTTGATTCGTCCTGACAGCATTGAAGTTACCCTTTTTCACCCAAAAAAACTACTTTATAACATTTAAACAATGGATATTGATGCATAAAGATACTAACAACATTATAAACACATTATTAAAATAAACATGGTTAATCAACGCATTACTGAATATTTACTGTACCTACGACAGCCCGTTGTTAACAGGGGAATGGTCGGGAAGCGAACACATTGGGCTCTATGGAGGCACTACTCTATACTATACACTACACTATACACTACTATACACTACTATACACGATATAACTATACACTACATTACTACACTACTATACACTACACTATACACTACACATTGGGCTCTATGGAGGCACTACTCTATACTATACACTAAACTATACACTACTATACACGATATAACTATACACTATACTATACACTACATTACTACACTACTATACACTACACTATACACTACACATTGGGCTCTATGGAGGCACTACACTATACAATACACTACACTATACACTACTATACACGACATAACTATACACTACACTACTATACACTACTCTTTGGTTCTTTCGGTAAAGTCACGTATAAAGATAAAATAATAAATTAAATAATAGCATACGACGTTTCGATTGCAACACAAGCAATCATCATCAGGTATAAATGAAATAACAACAAAAATCTAACCAGAAAACTATAGACAGGCATATAAGCAGACAGATATCACCAAGATACATAGAGAGAGAGTAACACAGGCACAGAGAGGGAGATCGTCTCTGTGGCGAGGCCTTAAATAGACAGAGGGGGGCGGTGGCGGAGAGAGGGAGGGGTTAGAGACAAAATTAACATGTCAATGAGTATGGCGACGCGTGGTAAAGTACGCAAGATTCAACTTTAGGAGAGAGGGAAACGTCGTATGCTATTATTTAATTTATAATTTTATCTTTATACGTGACTTTACCGAAAGAACCAAATAGTAATTCCTGCAGTCACGAAAGCTCCAAATTAAGATTGAACCACTTCTACGGGGAAGTTTCAAGTTTATCTTTTTCTCTCTCTCTGGGTTTTTTGTTTTCTCTCTCTGCCTGTGTATTTAGTGTACTTTTTCTGTCTCCCCTCGTTTTTTGTCATTCTTATGTTCTGCTCTGTCTGTGTGTCTCCGTTCCTCTTGTTTTATGTTTTGTCTCTCTTTGGAATTTTCACACTTAAATTCTAACTTAGCAATCTTTGAAATACGTAATCGACCAGGCTATGCGTTAATTGTGTGTTGACCGACTCTCTGTGTTGTATTACATAACATTTCGATATTTTGCTAGGTTATTTAATTTTAGTGTGTTATTTCTCCCTCTCTCCTAATGTTCAAGCTTGCGTACTTTACCACGCGTCGCCATACTCATTGACATGTTAATTTTGTCTCTAACCCCTCCCTCTCTCCGCCCCCGCCCCCCTCTGTCTATTTAAGGGTTCGCCACAGAGACGATCTCCCTCTCTGTGCCTCTCTCTCTCTATGTATCTTGGTGATATCTGTCTGCTTATATGTCTGTCTATAGTTTTCTGGTTAGATTTTTGTTGCTATTTCATTTATACCTGATGATGATTGCTTGTGTTGCAATCGAAACGTCGTATGCTATTATTTAATTTATGATTTTATCTTTATACGTGACTTTACCGAAAGAACCAAAGAGTAATTCCTGCAGTCACGAAAGCTCCAAATTACTATACACTACACTACACACAACACATTGGGCTCTATGGAGGCACTACTCTACACTATACACTACACTACTATACACGACATTACTATATACTACACTATACACTACATTACTACGCTACTATATACTACTACACTACTATACACTACTAAACACGATACTACTGTACACTACATTACTACACTACTATACACTATACACTACACATTGGGCTCTATGGAGGCCCGTTGTTAAGTGATTAGTCGTTAAGAGGGGTGGTCGTTAAGAGGGGTTCTACTTTCGAACAGTGCTTGTTCTGCGGACAGACTGGTCCCACCATGGAAATGTGGAACGTCCACCCTGACTCAGGGCCACCAACAAAGATGAGTGCTGCGTATTGGTCATTAATCTAATTGGATGAGACGCTGTACGTCGAAACCGCTCCAGGGATTGCCCGTACAGGACCTAATCGATCCTGCTGAAAGTATGCACACGCTCGAAGGCCGTGCGGCTCGAATGGGTTGTGTAACGAAATGCTTTCGCGTATTGTATGCGCGGGTACACGGATATTTTTTTCCGTGAATGGGTCGCAACGCGTGCCCGCACGATCTACTTTAATACTCCCCCTTACATGTGAGAGATGTCGATGAGGGACGCATGGTGGAGACCGCCGATCCGGGTGGCCACCTTGTGGAATTCCTGCATGGACTCGGCCAAGCGCTGGTCCAAGTCAAACAACTCTGGGGTTTCCTTTATCCACAGCCTGTAGAACAGTAAACAGTCTTGCAATATGGTGCAGACAGCCTGCAACAAAGTATGCAATATGGACTCTTTCTGGGATGGTAAAAAAACACAACTCAGCACATTCATAAACACCGTGGCCTTAATAATCATAAACAACAAATAAAAAGGCGACGTTTCGGACAATGTCCCCTTCTTCACACCACATGGGCCGGGGGCAGTGAAGAATGACCGTTTCCTGAAACGTCGCCCACTTTTTTAGCTTTTCGTTTCAATGACAAATGTGTTTTGAGTATTTTTTTCGATCACGCGAATGCCTTGTGACTCGTAGGGCATTACTCCCCAACGCCGGGAGCGACGCGAGTGATGATAATAATCAGACCGATGTCCGTGTGCGTCTTACTGCACAAGGTGGCAGATGTTCCTGCGGATGGTGGTGGCTCCCATCCCTTTGACGTCTTGGTACGTGGCTGGGAGTCAAAGCTCTAAACGAAATTCCTCACTTTCATTGCAGCGATTCGCTCACGTAACTATTTAAAATATAACTTACTTTTTTTATTTGACAAGGTTAAGGGCCCACTGAGCTGTATCGCTCTTTTTTCAGAAGCGACCAGGCCACAAACGATTGCTGAACGAAGTGGCTTATCATGTGGAAATGTATTGCATTCGTATACTCTCAACGCGTGCTTCTAAATGTGGAGGGAAAAACCGGAGGACCCAGAGAAAAATCCACGCAACCACGCGGAAAAAACATGCAGACTCCAAATATTCCGGGTCAGGGTCGAACCCAGGACCTCCTGTTAACCTGTCAATGAGATTTTATATATATACACACACAGGGTGCTTCAAAAAATTAGAATTTGCAACAACACCGCAATAAATGTACCTCCAGGCTCTGGAGACCACCTGGAGAAAATTCCAGGCACGTGTTGACAACGATGACGACCAAGTGGAGACTCTTTAACTTTTTGAAGCTATTAACATTACATGTATTATCATGTTACAGTGCATTATCCGTTCTTTTTCCATTAGAACGATAGTGTTCACATTTTTTAAGGCCCACTGAACTGCATATTTACAAATCCTGTTTCGATTAACAATTTCTTGTCGGTCACAGATTTCCAAGGATATAACGTGAGGAGCTGGAGGGCAAAGTCGATGGAGGTGATGAACCACGGGTGCAGCAGCAGCAGCATGTTCACGTGGGACGAAGAGCCGTGGGACGAAGAGCCGTGCGGCACCACCGGACCGGACTCATCTGTAGGGAACCACCACGGGAGGCTGGAGCCGATCGCCGCCGCACTCCCAATTCGTCTTTTTTATTCATCCCGAGCCGCACCGTTACACAGCCGAATAAACGCGCTGCTTCGACAACAAAATCGACGGCGTCCTACCCCCCCGGAGAGCATTAGCAGGCGTTCGCGGGCGCTGTGGATCGGTTGTAGGTGCACGAAACTACGCGTGGCATATTCCGTCCGATCAGTTGGTTATAATCGGGACACTGCTGTAAACGCGACGCATTGAACGCAGCACACGGTGGCCTTCCCAGAGAAATGTTTTGGTTTTGTAAAACAATGCGTGCATCAACTCACGCGAATAAAGAAAAAAGGTCAACTTTGGTTCGCGACAAGCCGGTCCGGTTACGACTAACCACTTTGTGGTTGTCCTACGGCCAGGCTCGCTCCCTGGCATAGGGACGTGGAAATTTCCACCGCTGGTTCAGGGCGTCAACGGAGGACGAGCACTGCCTCATTCGAGCAGGGAATCGCTTTGGCTTGACAAGTTTCTCAGTGGGAGCCAGTTGAATAACTGTGGGTTAAGACAACCAATGTCAGAACCCGATGCAGTCTCATTCTATAAGACGGCGGTGGTAGTTGCGTTTCTGAAGAATGCAACTACCACTGCCCCTTGTTGCAGAGGTTCGCAGTTCTGACCCAGCCGGCCGCCCTGGTTAATACTGGGAGCACATTCACCATAGGTGCGCAATTGGTGCGCAACATTTGCTTTAGAGGGGACGTTAAAGGTCCCGTCACGTTATTCAAAAAAAGAGCATGACATGCTATGGTCCAAATTAAAAAAATTACTCCCCAGTTGCCTAATTGTGGAAAAAAACCCCACACATAGCAAACTCACCCCCTACTTTCAGACTAATGTCCGGGCTTGCAGGCCGGTGCTGTGTACACTTTGTGCAGTGTCGGGGCAGCAGCCACTGGGGTTCATTTATGAAACTGATGGACATCTTTTGATAAAGAACCTCATCCACAATAAAGGCTTTTGGGTTAGATCGCGTAAGTATAAATGTGTCGCAACCCTCCACCACCCAACACGACCAATCAATATAAAATGTGTCACGTTAACAAAACGTCAGATAGTTACTTCTTCAGCCCACCAGTGTGTTTGAAGAGTGAATTCACAACATTTAGAACTTGAGTAGCGTGACGTTTTGCTGGAAATTACATCCAGCATCCTCGGGCGATTTGCCAGAATAGTGAAGCCCTCCACCTGCTTCCAGTCTTGAATAGTGCAGCAGGACAATGTCATCATTGAACCCCAACAGGTTTCGAGATCAGAGGCGGAGGTGGGGGGGTATTGTAATTATATAATATATTAGTAATCAGTTAATTAGTATGTGATTCCTCTATAAGGACATGAAATATGTATTGTGTATTAGTTAATAATACGCTCAGTTTTGTGGATTAATGAATCCCCAAGACTGAGCAATACCAAATTGTATGGGCTACCAAAGATTCATAAAATCGGTATCCCATTACGACCCGTAGTAAGTACAAGAGGCTCTGCCACATATAAATGATCAAAATATGTAACTAAACAAATACAGCCCTACATCGGTAGGACATCTTCATATCTACGAAATTCAGAACATCTTGTGAATGTGATTAAGGATATGAAACTTAACCCTAATTATATTCTGGTGAGTTTTTATGTAATTTCTCTGTTCACTAAGGTTCCAGTTAACGAGTCATTTAAATTACTTGATACACTGGTAAAGGAGACAGGGTTACCAGAAGATATTCTAAAATTAGCTGACCATTGTCTAAATGACACTGATTTCTTGCGGAGAGGTGACTTCTTTAAACAAAATGAAGGAGCAGCAATGGGCTCTCCTTTATATCTTCTGCTATAGAAAATCTGTACATGGAAAACTTTGAAACAAGAGCACTTGCCTCAAGTACATTAAAACCATCCTTTTTGGTTGAGATATGTCGATGACACTTTGGTTGTCTGGCCACATGGTAAAGATGCACTTAATGCATTTTTAAATGATCTCAATGAACAAAACCCGGCCATTCAGTTCACCATGGAAATGGAGGTGAACAACACACTCCCATTCCTAGAAATTTTGCTTGGATGCGGCCTAAATGGTAAAATAACACAGCATCTACCGAAAGGGAACACACACAGATGGCTATCTGAATGCAGATTCGCATCATCACCCAGCACAGAAATCCTCTCTCATCAAGACGCTCATACATCGGGCAAAAACAGTGTCAGATGGTGAAAGTCTACGGAGAGAGATTAAACATGTCCAAGCAGTACTACGACTGAATGGCTACAAGAATGCTCAAATTAACAGATCATTGAATGCCAAACCAAGACCGCACAACACAACTGCTGAAAGTGATCAGATTATCAAAACAATTAAAATAAAATATATCTCAGGAGTAACTGACAACTTAGCCCGTGTTTTGCAAAAGCAAAACATTAAAGTAAGACATACTCTTTGGTTCTTTCGGTAAAGTCACGTAGGTATTAATACATTAAATTACGACGTTTCGGGCACAACACAAGCGTCCGTCATCAGGTGAGACAACCACAGCAAGAAATAATTGCTGAAGTGGGCAAAAGGGGCTGCTGTGACAAGAGGTCATATAGGTAAGAGAGGGGGGAGGAGCCAGGGTCATGAACTATACCAAAGTAAGATTTGGTATGGTACACAAAATTCAAAAACTAGTGTCATGTACTCAAGATGAATTACCTAAGTTATCAACAGAAGGTGTATAACGGATCAATTGCTTATGCAATAAATGCTGTATTGGACAGACGGTACGTACAGCGTAAGACTAAAATTACACCAAAGGAACATTAAATTATCTTAAACACAGCTGTCGGCAGTGGCAGAACATGCTTGCCAATAAGGACACTTAATCGATTTTTATAATGTCGAAGTGTTGTACAAATCTAATTATTAATGGCCAAGAATAATTAGAGAATCCATCGAAATTTAGAGAAATACAAATAATTTTAATCACTCTGATAGCTCGAGACTTAGCGCAGCCTGGAAGCATATTATTAAGTAATACACAATGCATATTACATTTCTATAATAAGCCAAGAATGTGTGTGTGTCCCGTGCGTGACGTTCTCCACATGAGGCCCACCCCCCCCCTCATTAATATTCATGAGTGGGTGCATTTTTACAGTAACGCAGAGGAAGGTCGAGCTCAATTAAATAATTTATTACGCAAAGTCGCTTCAAATATGACTTTCCTTTACAGAAAGTGACGGTAAAATGTAAATCTACGCAGCAAAGTGCTACATGCGTGCGTGACGTCACTGCAAAAGAGCCCCCCCCTTCATTAATATTCATCCCCGCGTGGAAATTTACACGAACGCACAAGAAGGCCGCGCACTCCACATGCCGCACCCCTCCACAATAACCATAAGGGGGTGACGTCACTCCACATGCCACACCCCTCCCCAATAACCATTAGCGGTTGACGTCACTCCACATGGGGCAATCCCCCCCCCCCCCCTCATTAATAATCATGAGCTGAACAATTTTTTTCTATTGAATATTTTAGATTTACTGCAATGTACACCCGTCCTTGGACGGGCAAAAAAGCTAGTGCTAATTAACTGATTACTAATCTATTATATAATTATAATAACCCACCTCCGCCTCTGATCTCGAAACCTGTTGGGGTTCAATGATGACATTGTCCTGTACTATTTAAGACCAGAAGCAGGTGGAGGGCTTCACTATTTTGGCAAATCGTCCGAAGATGCTGGATGTAATTACCAGCGAAATGTCGTACTCAAATTCTAAATGTTGTGGATCCACTCTTAAAACACACCGGTGGGCTGAAGAAGTAACTATCTGGCGTTTTGTTAACGTGACACATTTATTACTGATTGGCCGTGTCGGGTGGTGGAGGGTTAAGACGCATTTATACTTACGCGATCTAACCCAAAAGCCTTTACTAGGAATAATACTGTTCGCGAAAGCCTACGTGTTAAAGAGCTTCATTGCTCATCGGACTCCTCCAGTTTAAATCAATATTCCGATTCTGATTCTGTCCCCTTGGCTAGATTAATGCAGGGCGTTGGAATGGTTGAGTTGAGATGTGGCGTTCGGCGCTTTGAGTTGCAGAGGCATTCAAGTGGGCGGTCACTGTGAATACGAGTCCTTAGCATATTGCTTTACCTGTCTCCTGCTTCCTAGTAGCACC